CTACTTATATCTAGCTATTAAATATTTAGCTACACTAGAGTTAGGTATAATACTATAAAATAAGATAAATAAATATTACTTATTAAAGGTAAAGACGTCTATATTAGGTAGCTTATTATTATATAGATTCTTATATAAGGAGTTATCCTTTATAAGAAAATAGGTTATAAATTAGTTATATAGTAATAAAAAGAGAGTAGGCCTATTAATAGTAAATAAGTTAAAAACGTTATTAATATATAAAACGTAGTGCCTAATTCTTTATCTTTATTACTCTTTATATAGTTACCTTCCTTATTTAAAGTAAATAGCTTATATCCCTTAAAGTTAGTTATAAAGTAGTTAAAGGCTTTAGGTAAAAAGTCTATTAGATACTACTTTTTATACTTATAGTATACTTATTACTTTTTATCTTTTAAGTACCTTATTAACTAATAGTTAGGCTTACTATATATATAGCACTTCTTTATAAATAATAATAAAAGTAAAGGAGGTACCTATTACTATAGATTACTATTAAAAGGGCGCTATAGTGTAAAGTTACTATAGCTATAGTTATGTTAGCTAAATTACTAGTAACTTTACTAGCTATTATAAGTATAGTTAGTCTAGTATTAATTATCTACTTCTTTAGTTAGGTATTAATATATAGGTTATTTAAATTATATTATATTACTAATTACTAATTAAAGCTAGCTATATATATATAAAGGTATAAGTAGTGTGCTACACCTGTTAATAGACTATTCTAGTATTACTAAAAGATTAATTAGTTTAGGCACTAAGTGCCTAAAATACACCACACATAGCCTTATAAAAGGTAACCAGGCTAACCCCTTATAATTACCCCCCTTCTAATACGACACGTCCTAAGTCGCTTTAGGCCTACGTGCACTAGCGCTAGTACCTATGCGCTAGAGCATAAGGTTATGTTAACCCTAAAGGCCCTAGGCAGCCTAGCGTCTAGTAACAGCTGCTAGACATTACCTCCCTGCACCTAGTCCCTCTAAGCCTAACGTAAGCTGCCCCTTATTTATGCCTAGCTAACTAATCTACTAATTAATGACCTTCTAGCCCCTTAAGGCCTACACTAAAGAGAGTCTTAACAGGTAGGATTTAAACCTAGCCCTTATTAACAGCTAGAAGACCTACTTAGTGCCTAAATAATTATAAAGGTATAAGTAGTGTGCTACGCTTGTTAATAGACTATTTTAGTATTACTAAAAGATTAATTAGTTTAGGCACTAAGTGCTTAAAATACACTATATATAGCCTTATAAAGGGTAACTAGGCTAACCCCTTATAATACACTAGTAAACGTTAAAGATAAATTAAAAAGGGTAAAGGAGCACTTTTTTATCTTATAGTAAGAGTTAAGTAATTAGTTATAAAGGGCTATATTAGATAAGGTACTAATCCTTATAACTATTCTTATAAAAGTAGTTACTCTCTTAATAAGTAACTTTAGGTATTTAGCCTTACTTTTATCTAGATTATTTAAGATAGTCCTTATTAAATTAGTTCTTTATAGCTTAGTAAGGTAGGCCTAAAAGGTCTTTTTATTCTTAAAATTACCTCTTATCTATATAACTATAGTAATAAAGTTAGTCTAGTTATAGAGATAGTTAGTATAGTATTTGATAGCCTTACCTTTAAGTATAATAAAGAAGGCGCTTATAAAGTGCTCTTACTAGATCCTAGCCTTTATATAGTAGTTATAAAAAATTATAAGCTTTAATTTAAGTAACTTATATACCTCTTTACTATACTTTATCTTATTAAGGTATAATTTAATAAGGTTAGTAAGCTAGTAAGTTATAAGTAAGGTAGTAGTAACTAGTATAACTAATAAGTAAAAGTAAGTATTACTTACTTACTTAAATAGTAAAGAAATAAAATTTAGGTTATTATATAATAAGGCTAGATTAATAGGCCTTTATTAACCTTTTCTAGACTTAAGTAACTTATACTAAGGAGGTAATAATATAGGAGGGGCTTAGTTAATCTTATATTAATATTATTTTCTAGTAGTAGGTCTATATATCTATATAAAGTAGGTTTATATCTTTAAGTAAACTCCTACTTCTTTTTTTTCTCTTATATCCTTAAGCGTCTACACCTTTAGATTATTAGCCTTAAGGGTATAGTAAATTTATTTAGTAATAGTTAGTAACTTTACTATTAATACCTATATACCTCTATATATTAAGTAGTCTCTAAATTTAATAATAGTTTTATAGGTAGTATTTTTAAAAGTATTAAGTAACTATTCTTTAAAGTCTTTAGTAGTATATCTTTATAGCTATTAACTATATAGCTATATAAAGCTATATTATATTATTTAGAGTATAATAATAGTGCTTAAGGCGTTATATTACTTAACTTAGGTAAGGCTATTAAGAATATTAGCTAAATTAGTTATACCTTATAGTTATATAATAATAAAGGGCTAGCTACGCTTTAAGATAGAATATAGATCCTTAATATCCTATAGATAGATATACTTTTCTACCCTAGCTAGCGCCTATAGTTTACTTTACTTTTTACTTAGTCCTTCCTCTACTATTATTACCCTTTATTAGCCTTACTAACCTTTTAAATATAAGTACTTACTTCTTACTTATAGGGTTAGAAGTAAATCTATACGTTAGAGAAATTACTACTATTAGTATAGATAATAATAAAATAAGTAAATAAATAATATAATATAAAGAGGTATAGGTAAGAGATAAGGTAAATAAAAAAAAATTAATAAATAAATAAATAGTAGTAAATAGCTTTAGGGAGGCCTTACGCTTTAGTAACGTAAAGAGATAGCTCTAGGGAGGCCTTATAGTAGATCTTACTACCTCTAAAAGGAGACATATATAGACCTTACTTTTTAGTAAGTAGGATACTATAGTTAAAGATTTTTAAAGAAAAAAAAGTAAAAAGTTAAGGTTATATACCTTACTTAAAAGTAAATAATAAGTAGTTTTCTTAAATTAATTAGAATAGTAAAGTTAAGTAAAAGTTATATTAGTTACTAATAACTATACCTTACTTAAAAAAAAAGAGAAAGTAAAGAAGATAGTATAGTTATTAATAAGTATTTAAAGAATAAAAAAAAGTAAGTAAATTAAAGTAATATAAGTAATTTTTACTTTTTTTACCTTACTTAAAGAATAAAAAAAGGTATACTTACTAAAAGTAACACTTAGCTACTAATTATTTAGTTAAGGAAAAAAGTTATAATTACTATAAGCTACACCTAGCTAATAATATAATATTAAAAGTATATAAAGGTAAGATTAGTAAAAGCTATTTACTTATAAATACTATATTAAAAGTAGATTACTTAGGTAGTTCTTACTTAATTACTTTATAGCTAGTCCTACTAGTAAGATCTTATTTAGATAAGAACTTATAAAAGTTTATTTACTTATAATCTTATATAGGCTATTACTACTATAGTAAGATAAAAACTTAGTAAGATAAAAATCTTAATAATTAGAAAAAAAAAGTTAAAAAATAAAAAAAAAAAACTTAAAAAAACTTAAGTATAAAAAAAAATAATTATACTAAATACTATAAAGGTTATTAGTAAGTAAGTAGTATATAAAAAAAAGACTTCTTTAAAAGTAATAAAGTTAATAATAGTAATAGTAGTTATTATATAGTAAACATAAGGCTTAAAAGGTTATTTACTAAGTATTATAAAATCTTAGGTACTAATAATCTTTAGGCTAGGTAGCACTTTAATACTTTAATTTAAGCTACTATAGTAAGTAAAGTATTATAGCCTCTTCTAATAATCCTTACTAATCTATAGTAGTAGTAACTATAAAGTTAACTACTAATTAGTATTAGTATTATAAGGATTATAATTAAGGTAGCTATAATAGTATTAATTAACTATTAGTAGCTAGGTAAAGATAATAATTAAGGGAAAAAGAAGAGGTTACTGCTATAGGTATTTGTGGTAGTGTAAGTGAGCCGCCAGGGTAAGTCACGTGATAGTAAATCACGTGACCATGGATCGGCTCCACTATTGAACAGTTGAATATCCCGACAGGCATATTAACAGTTGATGGTTGATGTTCTGCATCACCCTTGCAGGGATAAAATGCGCTTCATTGGGACCCGTTTCGTCGTTGCTGCCTGCGGCCAAGTGGTAGGCAGCCAACGTCTCAATAGTTTGCGTATTTGGCCAACAGGACTGGACGTGAGACTGATGGCGAGGAACATGCCCACCGCCATGGTGCTGCATGATATTCAGCAAGTAGTCGGGTGAAAAGGTGATACAGCTGGTGATTCAAGTTATACTATTGCCATCATCGTGTACAGCACTCAAGTATATGATACCCCTTTCAGTGCACCAGATGCACCATGTCACTTGACTTGGACTCTATTCTTCATCCGCCGCAAGCTTATCAGGGCTCGTCTCACACGAAAGTCCTTTCATTGGCCCCTTTGTAGAAGCCGATCAATAGATGCCTGGGAAATTCGTCGACAATGAGGCGAGAGGCAGCATTGAGGTGTAGAATCACCACTCCATTCGAGCGCAATGATTTTGCGATGATAGCCAAGTGTTCCGGTTGGCCATAGCTGATACGCTCATGCGGTTCATTGCAGAGGTCATTCTAAAGTCTCTCATCGGAAAAGGCTCAGGATCGATGTTCAACCGCAAATGATTGTCCTTGATAAGCACAAGCGCTCACCTACTGAGGCCGACGCTATTGGTTCCCCCGACCTGACTGGATTTATCAATCAATAATAGCTAGCGACTCTGTCGCTGCAAAGACCCCGCTTCTTCAATTTTCAGCTTCCCAATCGTTTCCAGCATCTTGGGCATCAACCTCCCGCCGACTTGCTTGAACATATACACGGACCGATATTTTGCCATGTTGTGTAGAGTATGCGTCGATGCCCTTCAGCACCGCAAGGGATGGTACCAGGACGACGATGTCGCGGACCCGCACGTCTTGCTGGCGCATCACAAATCGGCCGCTAGCCTGAAGATGTCCGCCCACGATGCCTGTGAAGTATGCTATCCATTCTGGTCTCTGATCAACGAAAGCAGTCGGTCTAGCATGGAAAAGTTTGATCACGAGTGGTCATCTCGGCACCAAGCGGCCGAAACCTCCAGGACGCCGGGGCAGCCCCTTGACGATCTCACCGGCCTTGTAACGATATGCGCCATCGTCAACATCGGTCAAGAATCCGACGTGAAATATACTGGCATAGACCTAGTAATCTCTATAGCTTTGGAGTCGGATTACCGGGATGAAATCCCAATGCTGGACGACATCTCCGGGACATACGTGGTGTTGAGAGGCCCTGGTTCGTCACCGTTATAATACGATTACTGCCGCAATCACCGAGTATTCTAACAGTCAAGTGTACTAGAAAGAGAAATGGAGAAAATGACGCCATTTTCAAGCAAGAATACAGCCTCCGAGGAATCGTGGAGTAAAGCCACAAATTGGATCCGACAATGCATCTCCAGTCACCTTGCTTGCAATGTTGAGGAGAATGCTGGGTCATGGCGTCCCACTCGCCTGCTAGATCTAGCTTACCCTACCTTGACCTCAGATCTGTTCCGCATCGTGGTGACTTCGGAGCTCGACCTCGACTCAGACGAGCGATACACGACGTTAAGTCACTGCTGGGGCTCCGCCCAGTTTCTCCAACTGAAGAAGTCCACGTACGACGAATTGTGTAAAGGTGTCAAGCTAGACAAACTGCCAAAGACTTTCCAAGAGGCCATCCAAGTCACCCGACGGCTCGGCGTCAGATTTCTCTGGATTGATTCACTCTGCATCTTACAAGACCGAGACGATCTATCTGACTGGTTGGTCGAGGCGGCGCAGATGCATAAGGTGTACTCGCATTCCTTCTGCAACATTTCTGCTGCAGGAGCCCATGACAGCTCCAAAGGTCTCTTTTTTGACAGAGATCCGCGCATAAGCCATACAGCCGACGTTCGAATCTGTATCGAAGGACTTGGTCTTCCGCCTGGGAGCGGCTACATGGACTGCAGCATTTTGAATTTGCTCTTTTGGAGCAATAACATCGGCCAGTCTCCCCTAAACACACGCGGATGGGTCCTGCAGGAACGCCTGCTTTCTCCTCGAGTTCTGCACTTCGCCAGAGACCAGCTGTACTGGGAATGCAGGGAGCACACGGCCGCTGAGTGTTACCCAGAGTCACTTCCCACGCCGTTACGCAACGGCGTCCACGCGAACTTCAAGAAGCTCGACCCATTCTCGCGGAGCCCACTATTGGAGGCGTCAGGGGACACTCTCAATGATCCCATGTTTTATCATTCCGTCTGGAACTCGGTTGCACAGGAGTATTCAAATACCCGCTTGACCAAGAGTTCAGATAAGCTGATTGCTTTATCTGGTGTCGCAAAGCATTTCGCGACGCGGATCAACGATGTTTACGTCGTGGGCATGTGGCGCAGGTACTTGGCAAGCAGCCTGCTGTGGGAGGTGGAGAAGGAAGCTCAAAGTGACGGGTCGCCGTCCATGCGGCCGGATACTTATCGAGCCCCGTCCTTTTCGTGGCTCTCTGTGGACGGCGCAATTTCGACCGCGCAGCCAACGGATACCAATCTACTCATTGAAGTGGTTGACTTTCATTTAGACTACGTATCAGTGGATAGGACGGGCCTGGTGGAAGGTGGATATATCAACCTCAGAGGCCAGGTCAAACCCTTTGAAATGGCTGTCAAGTACATTCTTCGACTCCAGCAACTATTCATAATGGTTGATGGTATCATCGTCAGAGATCCCAAGAAACAAGATTGGGAAAACGGGCCGCTTGTGCACCTGGATGTTGGTCAAGCAAGCTTCGATGACGAGAACGATAAGAAAACGCTCTACTACATGCCAGCTCAGAAACAGAAAACCCCTGAGAATCATGTGTCGTACCTGCTGCTGGTAGCTCTGGATACAAGCAGATCTACGTACAGGAGGATTGGGGTGGCCGTCACGGCCGAGGCTGCTGAGATTGAGGTCCTCAATAGACCAACTTCAAACCAGGATTATCATTCAGGAACAGAATCTAAGGCAAACTGCGATGTTCGAACGATTAGGATAATCTAGTTTTGTATATCACCGGCGAGGACTTAAACTGGGAACTAGTATTTCCCCCATCCTTTGTTCATTTCTATATAGTAGTCTCTGATTAAAATCATAGAATGGGGACTCGCCTCAATTTATTTAGCATTTTTTCAGCTGCAAATATCAGGGGAGGATAGTGTATAAATCTCTGGTGGCCTGGCCTGTCACCCTGAAAGGGTTCATATGAGCTATAATTTGGCTGAGAATGCAAGAATTTCTGGAGTCTTCGGCAAAGTCCCAGATAAGTTGCAATTAAACAGTTAGGAGACATTCTGAGTTGATATTTCAACTCGTTGACTCTGGTACTCATGCCTTATAAAACGAGCCCTACTGTAATAGTGGCTTCTTTTCTCTAAGACTCATCGTCGTTGATTCATCTACAAGACCAATGCGCATTTAATATTTAGCAGTTTATATACGCAACTGCTGTTTTTCTTCCCCTTAGGTTTGCAACCGTACTCTGTAGTTTAAGCAGACCACCCTCACGTTCTGCCTTTAGTTATATGTTTGAACTCGCAGTTCGGATGCCCCTTTCGGCTTGCCCGCTACTCGTTCTTGTAATGAATGGTTTACTCAAGTATCAGTATTTGAAGACAGTCTCCATAGGTCTGTGGGAAGATTTTAGACCAGACGGAAACGATCAAAAGGGAAAACAGAGTAATTTCATGGAACCCATCGCGCTCAATTCAACAAACCCTATCAGCCCTCAATCATATAAAACAAGAATCAGCAACAGAAGTGAAATGCGAAAATGTAATCACGTGGAAGTAGCAGCTAGCCAAGCCAAAGTCCTAAGCACTACCACAGGGGTGGAGGATAACAGAGATTCAAGCCTTTAGAATCGCCGTAGCTCTTTAGGGGTAGGAGTAGCGCACCTGTGGTCTAAACAAATAATTCTATTACACAAGATAACCCTGCTACGCCGAAATCTTCAGACCCATGGTTCAACAAGTTCAAAGCCATCATTGCGGATGTGGTCGGCATTTGTACCGCCAGTGGCTATGTTGTTTGGTGGAGCACAGCCGGAGTCTACATACAAGGTCCACTGGGATTCAAGCTAGCTGCTAGGCTTTTCTACGGCGGCATCGCAGCAGGATCAGCCGCAACAGGACTTTACATGGAGCTGCCGGAGGGGCGGGGGTCTACCTCGTTCCGTGGGGGCGCATCTTTGCCTTGTTGAAAAAGGCGCTTAAGTCCATCTGGGAGACCATCAAGGATATTGTGGTTTGGATTTAAGACAGGATAAAATACATGGCGGTTAGTGTTCGCTCGTGGTTTATGGGATGAGTGCATCCGGTTTTCTTGCGGTTTCGGGGTTACGGCAAATGTTCCTGTCACAAAGGATACGGTATCATTACACAACACTTATTGCATTTTTACTAGCTGTCATCAACTCAAAACGACATGTACGACTTGAATAAAGCAGCGTAAAATCAATTCTGTGATGACAAGAGTGGAACCATAGAACCGTAGTTGTCACTGCTACAACTCCACGTAAGTACCGTCATGACACGTTCATATTAGTGCGCTCCGCATGTTTAGTCTTAACTTATCTGACCTTTAGATACTATGCCTCTCTATATATTCAATTCACCGACGGCGACGGGCTTGCAGCAATGCTGAGTAGGTACTTTGCATGTAGGAATAGAACCAACATACGTTCATTTCGTCCCAGGTGTGCGAAGGTTTCGGTAATACGGGTATGGTACGTGTGATGTTTAGGATATGGAGTAATTGAAGCCCTTCTTATGAGTTGATAGAAGTTCCTTTAACTTTTACTACTTCAGCCTCCGGGCTTGAGTGTCTTAGTTCGCAGTCTATCGCACAAGCCAGGACGTTCGATTCCGCATGGCGTAAATAAGTTTTGGAAAATTGCAGAGAGAGATCAAGTTGTCTGTTCGGTAGACTCAATCAACACAAAAATTGCTTGTAATCCGAAGGGAAAAGCCAGTTTCAATGATTGGGAAAAGCTAGTTGTATAGCAATTGTCTCGCCGTCAATCGGATACATGCACAGAATTCTTTAGTAAATGGAAAATAATTCTATTTGAAGTGAAAAATAACTTTCGGAGAGATAGCTTCTGGGATTGGGATCTCGAGACAAACTAGGTTTGCATATTGGTAGTTAAACATGTGCGGTCAGCTAAACCACTTTCGAAGAGTATAGACTGTATGCGTCTCTACCCAGTGTTCCCCAAAAGTTGACTCTTTCTAGTCATTCCTCCACGTCACTAGGAGAACCAACTAGAAGAAGACGTGAGACTGGGATTGGAAGGTTACAGGTAACTCTTGCCATATTCATTATAGCTATAGCAAGGCTCCTTCCTTTTGAATGTCTGCTTCTAACTACCTAGAAAACACTCATTACTATCGCCATACATCCCCTATTTCTCTTCCTCACATCCCATTCACGCTGCTTATTGCCAACCCATTTCAGCAAGATAAACGACTTGCTGTCCTGGACATCATTCTCAGTTTACAGCAAGTCTCTCTAGATATCTATTCCATCTGTCCTAATATCTACGACGTTTCACCTTCCTCTTGATTGCTTTCCTGCCTTCCTTTTACCCTATTCAGAAGAGGTATAAAAGCCTTTTCCTGCTCTCCGTCACACTCGTTTCCTTTTCTCTTCCTTCAAAACAACATCCAGTTTCATTCATCATTGACCCAACCCTTCATCTCTGACAGAAGCCCCAGCCCCAGTGCACCAACTCCTCCGTCAAGTACACTTTGCTTTTGGTGGCCCTACTGATCATATGAGCTTTAAGTACTACCAAAGGCATCCTTTCTCATAGACTTGGTTCCTTCCTTTCAACGAACCTTATATTCCTTCCTGAATCTTGAAATCCTTCCCGCCATCTCGCTCTTACCTTGCCATTCTTCTCTCTTTATAAACCCGACTTCTGCGAAACTAACTAATCAACGAGTACGCAGGCCTTCACACTTTTCTCTTCAACAATGACCGGTAGACAGCCAACACGTAACCAAATCCAGCCTGACTGGCAGCCACTTGCCGAGCGAACAACAATGGCCAAGAAGAATGCAGTCGCCATCAAGAAAGAGCCCTACGACAGCCCCAGTTCTTCCGTCCAGGCGGTTCCCGAGACCATGAAGGAAGTACAGGTGGAGACCCGCTTCAGAGCAATCAGTGACCTCCACTACCTCGATGACACCGTCGTCTTGGAGCGAGCAGTCGGGGCAGGCATGCAATTGACCCGCGAACTTGCGCCATCGGTCAACCAGCTAGCTTCGATGAACCAACTGTCAACTGCTCGGAAGGACGATGGACTTCGGTGGAAGGAGAGCATCGAGGAGATTATAGCCATGGGAAAACCGACCCGGACCACGATCGGAGTCGTCGGTGCCACGGGATCTGGCAAGAGCTCGTTGGTGAACGCCCTTCTCGACGAAGAGAAGTAATTGTCTTTCTGTCCTTTACTGACGTATCTGCTGACATCACTCAGACTGCTGCCCACTAGCGGCGCCAGAGCTTGCACCGCATGGATCACCGAAGTCTCCTACAATTACAGTGACGACGAAAGCAAGGCCTACAGGGCGGAAATCGAGTTCGTGACAGGAGAAGAGTGGCAGCGAGAGATGGGTCCCTGGCTCCAGTCTATGAAGGATGAAATCGCTTCCGGATCGCCTGATTACTCGAGCGCCAACACCGAGGCTGGGATGATGCTCTCGAGACTCACGGCCGTCTATCCCAGCGTCACGAAGGAGACGATTGCAACATATGACTGTAACGCCTTGATGGAGAACACCGAAGTCCAAAAGATACTCGGCAGAATTATCAGCCTCGCCGACGTCTCCGCCAAGGGCCTTTCCGATCAGATGCAACCTTATATGGGCAGGAAGGTAGAATCGAAAGAGGGGACTGATATGAACCCTTGGCCCTTGATCAAGGTGGTACGAGTCTTCGTGAAAGCCGCGGCTCTCTCAACCGGAGCTGTTATTGTCGATCTGGTACGTTAAGCCTCTTTCCGCCTCGTAGCTTGACTGGCACTGACTTATCTTCCGAGCCCGGAATCCATGATTCGAACGCCGCGCGAGCGGCAGTCTCAACAAACTACATGAAGGATTGCTCCAGCATCTGGATTGTCGCTCCGATAGTAAGAGCCGTGGACGATAAATCCGCCAGAGACTTGTTGGGGGAGTCGTTCCGACACCAGTTGCTCCTGGACAACAAATTCTCAGCCATCAGCTTCATATGCTCCAAGACCGATGACATCAACGTGGACGAGATAGCTGGCGAACTGGCCTTAACTGCTGACATCGAACAGGACCGTTTCAAGATTGCTTCCCTCGCCGACGAGATCCCGGCTCTGGAAGAGGAACTGAAAGCACTCAGAGAACAGAAACGCAACGACGCAGACATACTAGATGAGTGCCGTGACCAGTTGGATGACTGGGAGAACGCTTTACGTCAGGTGCAAGAAGGCCAACCCCTTGGTGTGGCGGTGGGAAATCTGGCCAAGAGAAAGCGTGCCTCTGACAATGACAGCGTTGTGTCCTCTGCTGTTGACACAAGCATCGGTAGCAACCCTTCGAACAAGGTCCAAATTGAGGAATACGTAAATACCCTGAGGCGCCAGGCCCAAGACCTCCGCGAACGATGCCGAAAGTCGACAGCGGCAGCCAAGGAGCACGAGGAGAAGCTGGATTCCAAAGTGCAGGAGAAGAAGTCGCTCCAGTGCTTCACCAAGGGTTCTTGCATCAGAAAGCGGAACTCGACATGTACGCAGAGTATCAAACAGGACTTTGCGGATGGCCGCAAGGAGTAAGTCGGGTCCGTGATGGTCCCCCAGGACATGGCTAATTGAGAGTGATCAGACTCGAAAAAGAGAGCGCCTCGGACGAGAATGATGCGTTTTTCAAAGACGAAAAGCATACGCCAGACTACGAGAAGATTAAGGCTGACCTGCCCGTGTTCTGTATCAGCAGCCGGACTTACCAGAAGCTCAACGGCATGATGCGGAACGAGGACATCAGCACGAGCGGCTACAGAGACGCCGACGACACGGGCATACCCAGCCTCCAGGCCCACGCGCAGAAGCTCACAGAGTCTGGCAGAAACGCGCGGTGTCGATATATCCTCACCAAGCTGCACGCCCTGCTCACGTCCATCGCGTGCTGGGTGACAGGCACCGACCTCGAACGAGCAGGCTTCGACGCCAAGAAAGTCGAGGAACATCTCACAACAGAGACCAAGAAGCTCCAAACGGTAAGAAGCATTGTTGAGAGTGGTGAAAAAGATGGGAGGGGGCCGCGGCTTGGTAGCTAACTCGTTGTTCAGAACTGGAGAATCACTCGGGAGACTTTCTGCCGGCACCTCAACGACATTCTGCAGGAGTACGTCTATGGCAGGGAAGACGCCATCATTGCCAAGGCGGAAAAGAATGCGCCACGCCTTGCTGCCGGCTGGTTCGAGACCCCCAAAGCCGGAGGGTTCGCTCTCCAGACGCTCAGGGCGATTTGCAGAAAGAATGGCGTTCACAATGCCCGTGGCCGTCCTACCATCATCTTGCATGATCAGCTCGCCGGGCCCATACAATCTGGCATGACCCGAGATTGGGCGGCCGCCTTCGAGCGCGCCATACCACTCATCATCCAGGACCTTGTCGGCGGGCTCACGAACCATCAGGACAACTTCCACCGCGCCATTGAGGGACGGTACAAGTCCAACGGTAGCATGGCCATGGCCCTTGACCTTCTCAACAACATCAACTCGGCGTCCAAGGGGATTCCTGCGAGTCTCATGATGACGCTCCTCGGCACCATCAACGCGAGGAAGGACAATGCCTCTCACGCCATGCTTCCCCCGATCGCGGATGCCATGGACCCGGTTTACAGCAAGTGTCTACAAGTGCAAGGTAAGTGGGGCTGGGTCGGTGACCGAACATTAGTGGCATGTTGCTGACATTAGTTTCCGACAGGCAGTGGGAGCAAGACCGCCATTGAGTCGCTGATCAAGCAACACATCGAAGACATCAAGAGGACGGTCTTCCGCACGTCTGTTGGTGAAATGCACCATCGTCTCCGGAAGATGGAAACACTCGCCGCAAGCTGGCTGGAGTCTGAAGTGAACAAAATGATTGACGGCATCTTCCGAGATTACTCAAACGCTCTGCTGCCCAGCAACCAGGGCGTCAAGCAGTTGCCCGAAGAACTCGAGCTCAAGAAACAGCTGACCCCCATACTCAACAGCGCGGCAGCTAGGTTCCCAAAGGAAGAGTAAACAGCAAGCAGCCTTGGTGGTGGACAGTTGGATGGTTTCTCTTGGGGGGATTGGTTCCGCAAGGGCCGCGTTGCTCTTTGCCTTTGCTTTCTTTTACATTGCGTTTGGTTTATCCTCATCAGGTTACAAAAACTCCCGGGGTGCAAAGCTGCACATGGCCGAATTCTATTTTTGGGAGCACCATTTACACCATGCCTACACCAGCCGTAACAAAACGGCGATGTGATGCAAGGCCAGATGCGGAATCAAACATAGACAGTACGTAGACCATGGATGGATAGACAGCAGATCAGCTCTGCTCTAGCGTTGCTTTTTTATTACATGCGAATTGAGATTTGGTTTAGCACTTGACGGACTCGTTTGACAGTATTTATGCAATATGGCCCGCCAAACATGGCGGTATGTGACAACTGCACTGCAGCGTTAGTTAGACTGGTCGATAAAAAGAAAAAATAGATGAACCCGGAGAGTGGCTTTGCCAATCGCGGTGAGGATTTGAGCCTCACGCGGGGGTCGAACCCGCAACCTTGAGATTAAGAGTCTCACGCTCTACCGATTGAGCTAGCAAGGCGGGTCTTGTCTGGTGATGGTGTCACATTGTTGTGAAAATATGAATGCCACAAAGAGCTGGCCACGCTCTTTATGCAGAGCTTCCGGCTCTCTACGAGCAAAAAGAAGATGGCTAAACGATTACCACTTGAAATTTCCATGCTCTCAGCTCCTCCTGATTCAATTGGAGAATTGTGGGAGGACAGACAAAAGAAGGTGGCTTGATGTCAGGGCGGCTGAGCTGCGGCATGCACCTGTCCAACTGCCTCTCTTGTGACTAGTAGCCAAGAACTAACTAACCAGACCGTCCAACAAAATACACTTCTTGAAATTACATGTGGAAATACACTTACAGTATATTATATATCCAATAAAGTGACAGAGTTGGTCTCAGTGCCGTTTTTGTAGGCCTTTAGGTCTAGGTAATGTGCGAGACACAAGGGGCGCCCCGGATACGTACCTCAATGCCAGAGACACAAGAATGGGTGATTACATAGCACACACATTTTATCCCCCTAGGCCGGATCCCACTCCGGAGCTGGGCCAGTAAAGACACGTGACCTGAGCCACGTCCCCTGAGCCACGTCCCCTCACCTTTCTTCTCGACCTTGGTACTTTACCAGACCAAAATGATTTTGTGATGAACCGCCGCGTCTGGTCATTTAAGAGCAAAGTAGTTGTCCTATTAAGAATCTACGTATGAACTAGAGAAGCAGTAGAAATACCTACCCATCTCAAGTGGTCCGTGCAGGTGCTACGCCACATCTGTGGCGGCTTCCACCGGTACTAGCCACACGAAGCTATTCCAGCTTCATGACAGACTTCTTGTAATTATCTAGAAGCATGTTCGACCCAGATATGTCGACTCCTCGTCACGTATTTAGCTTCATCCCCTGCGATAGGTACCAACACACACAGGCATGAGACTTTTCAATAGTTTCCCAGCTTGGGATGTGCCCATTTCCCCCTGGCCAGTGACTTATAAACCCCTTGCTGGTTTTGGTTAGCGTCGTTCCGAAGCTTCGAGCAACCCCCTCCAAGACGATAAACTGACTGCTGACTTCGAACTGTCACCATCATTGCATCTCCATCTGCTCACAGCATCACGCATCCAAAGTAGGCGCAGTAATGAATGCCACCGAGGCTTACGAGTGGAGATTGGCTACCGAAGCAAATGAACAAAGAGGTATCTGACAAAAAAGGACCAGTCTCGGCCAAGCTAAGCAGTAGTCCAACACAAAAGCCAATCATGCAACATGGCCCTGTGGCCGCCGAGGATGGAAAACAAGATTGAGAGCGAATATGTCATCCCTCACGCCGCTTTCCACCTGCAACGCTTCTTGTTGTGACCCCCCTTCTCATACCCACCCTCTACTCCTTTGATGAGCCGCCTGCATCCAAACCCTCATCCCCAGAGTCGTCATACTCCGAGTCGTTGTACTCGATTTGATCCTCGTGGGCGTCGCTGTCAGCCTCCTCGTTGGCCCCCATGTCGTCCACGCCGTAGTCGGCCACCGCATAGACATCTTCGTTCGCCTGGTCATCGCTGCTGTTGTGAATCGGGGCGAATAGAATGTCCCGTGTCACTGTCTTCGTCTGCCGGAAGAAAGGGTGGTTTTCCTGTAGAATCTTTCCCTGCGCAATGAACCCCATGGGAGTAGACAGAAAGTCCTGGCCCTTACGGCGGGAAGCAAGCCACTCCTGTACAAAGGACAGAGGCCGGTTGGTGAGGCCAGTGGCAGCTGATCTGGCTCCGCTGCTGTGTTGGTTTTCTGCCGAGTCGCTTTCGGAGCCCTCACCTTCCAAGTATTCCAGTAGCGGCAACGATTGGTCGATGCCGAGGAAGTCGCAGAGCTGGTCGTACTCGGACCACTCGAAGTACAGCCGGCCTGCGTAAAGGCCCAGCTCGATCTTTAACCAGCTTGGAGCCCGCCACTGGGTCGGCAGTGTCGGGACGCTGTAATATTTGAGATCGCTGAAATGGAGCATCTTGCGGGTGACGGGTGCAGAGTACACAATCAGGTTCGTTGCGCCGGTAAAATGTGCATCACGAATGATGGACAAGAGGGCCTCTGCTTCTTCGGGCACGACAATCAAAGCGACTTCGGTGACTTGAGACCAGAGCATCCAGTTCACATTGCGCTGTGGTGGATGCTGTTAGGACCAAAACCCCAACATTAAACAAAGCAAGACGACTTTTCCACTTACCAAAAAGTTGTCACTTGTCAGGTCAAAGCTCAGTTTGACTGTTCGCTCAAACTCGGCCGACACGAACAGCTTTTGCTGCGAGGATCTGTCCGAGACCCTAAACCTTTTACCAATGGCTGTCTTGGACAGAGACTTGATAGCTGGGATGAACGTGAGGGCTCCAGCAGGGACTCTGCCCGTTTTCGCGAAAGACTCGACTTCCGGATGCAACCCTGGGAACGAGAGCGCAGGGTAACGTTGAGGCTTCTTGACCTGGCGGACCGTTTCAACCTCGAATGCAATTTCGCGTTCCTGCTCAACCTCCTGCAACGCGGATGCATGCACTGCTCGGCCAGTATCCTGGAAAGCCCTGCGCCTTGTGTTGAGTTCCTTCACGAACGACTTGATCTTGACATGCGACCCTGTCTGCAAGTCACTGGCTCCCTTGGCCTTGCGTTTCGGCTCGTAAAGCTGCTGAAGGCTGTGCTGCTCGTCTTGCTTGATGGTGGCGATGAACTTGTCTCGCTGACACTTGTTCGTGATGAAGTCTGGGTTGCCGATTGTCGCCTGTATTCGACGGCAAAAGTCGATTCCTTGAGAATAGTAGAGAGGCTGCAGCTGTTCGATTCCCTCACACGTATTGTCGAGAAGCCAGTAAATTCTGTGCCTTGGTTAGCGCCGCCTGGACAAATGTACCAGAGCCACATACACGTCGTGAGAATCTATCATGGCTCCAAGCGACTTATTCCGGAGGTCAAGGATGCTTTGATAGACTTCAGGAGGGGCAAAGAAAGTCACGGATTGGGTCGTGCCTAGCTGTCTCAATCGCATGGCGGCTGTGATTCCTTGGTCAGTTTTGCATAATCTCACATCCATCTCGCCGGCACTCACCTTGCACAGTGTGGTCTTTGCTCTGGCCCAATCCGAGCGTTAGAGCGCCTCTGGCTGATGGGGGGAACTTCAGATCAGTTCCTCTGGTATGGGCCTGTGTCATTGTCAACCACACGTCGCGGCCTCGAACCTCGCCAAGGAGTCTCTTGCTCACCTCATCCAAGTAGACCAAGCATCTGCTGAGGTCATCCGCGTACGGGGAGCCTAGAAGAGGCGTGATTCTTCCCGACCGCTGAATGATCGTCGGCTTGTTGCTTTTGTCAAAGAATAGAGCAGCGAGCGCTGATTGGTCAACAGTAAGCCACTGCTTTGCAAGAGTCTCATTGTCCATCTCCAAGATTTGAGCGCCTGCGTCGATGAGGATTTTGATCTCGCGACGATTCAGCTCGTGTAACAAATCCGACTCGCTTGCTCTCGCACCACGGGGCCCAACAATCTTTCGGCACTCACGGGATCGAGCGTGGAGAAGGTACGTCAGGACTTCGGCGTTCGTGTGCGAGAGTCCCGGAAGGTCTTCCTGCTTGATTGTCAAGGGTAGCATGGTTCGGTTATCATTGGTGCCGCTGAAGCCTGTTGTCAGCGCGGACGGTAAAGAGGTCTCGCTGGCGATCCCCTGGCAATCTTGGCTTCCGCTCAATTGTTCGTTCCCGTGAACGGAGAAGAGTGGAATGTCCCATCCGTTGGACTGAAGCTTGACCTTGAACTGTTTGGCGTGCTGCGGAAAGACGAAGTTGTTCATGAAGTAGTCGATGGCGGCAACGTTGTATCGAAGGGCCCTCCAGATATCCGCAAGATGGAGGCTATCGTCAACATTGATGGAGTTCCAAGCTCGAAGGGAGTCGGGAAAATCATCGCTAGTTAGAATCCACTTGTCATACTCGGATGAAGGATCGTCAGACTTGAGCAGGTGCTCGAGCGATTGAGTCAGCTGAGCAATGCTGATGCCGTCGTAGTAAAAGGCCAGGCAAGTGAACAAGATGGCCACGTCTGGGTGTCCCCATTCGGATTGCTCGCTGGGGACGCCCTTTGCGTGGTAGGGCACTGCAATAGGGTCTCTGAGTGGGTGCAGTCCGTACTGAACGTTCCATCTCTTCTTCAACGTCATCATGAGAATGCGATTCAGAAGCACGCCTCGAAGGAGGTAGATCGTTTGTCTCACGCTGGGCCGATCGGGACAAAGCCGACGGATAAGTTGCAGTGTGGCGTCGCGCGGTCTCTCGTTGACAAGGAAATCTCTGACAGCAAGACGTTCGGCGGCGTCGAGGTTCTGCATAGGAAGAATACCTCCAAGTCCTCGAAGCACGTCCGCGGTAAGGCGTTGAACAAGTGCCTCTTCAGCGTCAGACCGCAGGAAAAATAGGAGAGGAAAGCCACCCTTGGCACGTCTCACCACCTCGATTGAGTTGGGAAATACGTTTGCCAGACTATAGCAGTGGTGGTCTACAAGACGCAGGAGGTCCTGTGCGATACGCCAGCGATGAGGATGCCCGTCGACAGTCATCTGAGAACCAGAAGGGTAAATGAGCTGAGTGCGCACAGCGAGAGTGTAATCCGATTCATCCAAGATGTCGCGGCATCGTGTGCGTAGCCAAGTCTGAACGTTGATCATCGGTCCTGCTTCGGGCATCCGGTTGTCGAGGAGACGTTGCAAGCCACTCAACATGAACGACAGGTTGTGCTCTGGCTGGCAAACCATGACCCCGGCTTTCTTCATCATCATTCGGTGGGCTCGGTGATATGCTCGGATGACGTGTTCCTGTGTAGGCGTGCGGCGGGAGAACGGAATGTGACGGACTTGTCGATCGAGCAGACCACCGAGTCTCGCTTGGAGGAGCTGCGCAGTCTGCAACAAGAGAGCCTTGGGAACAACTACTCGGACCAGGTTTTGTCGATTTGCAAGGACCGCAGCGACCATGGGGATGATACAAGATGTTTTGCCTATGCCTGGTTAGTAACAAAATTAAAATAAAATAAAAGCGGATGAAGCCGCATAGCATAGTACAGACCTTGTCCCATGTTCATCTGGAGGACCGAGTTGGCCCCGGAAGCAGGGGATATGGTGGCAAGAGCCACGTCAACCTGATCAGGCCGTATCATTATATTTGCTTCAATTTCGAGGAGCAACCAGTCAGGGTGATCGGATGGGTTCCAGTTGGAGTGCCCCTTGTTGGCCATCTCATCCAAGTACCTTCCGGCGTCGCCTCGCATGTTGGCATGATTTATACGCAGATCTCGCTGTGTACTTGTAATAGCGAGGCCAAAGTCAATCAAAGTCTCCCGAACTGAGCTGCCAAACAAGGCTGGTGCTGCTGTCGATCGCAGCTGCTCGAGGAGGGTAACGGTTGTCACCGCTGGCCAAAGCTGACCTGCCTTGAGCCAACGCACTCGCTGGGTTGAGAGAAGCGCATCTGGTTTCTCGAGAGCTGCTTGAATGGCGGCAAATCGTCGTTGAATAGTCTGCAAAGACAGAGAAATTTCCTTGGAGACAAAAACTGGCGATGGGTTGTCACCAGCGTTCTTCAGGGACTTTCGAGAAATGAAGGCCTCAAGACTTCGTTCCAGGTCCTCTGCGTACCTCTGACGTACCATTGACTTGCTATCTGCAAGGCTCGACACTATTTGTCTTAATTCCGAAGTGGCATCGTTCGAGGGGATGAGTGTAGTCTTGGAGGACATCCAGCTCGGTGCAAGGACATTCGTACCCGAGCTGCGAAGGCGTGAGGACGGCAGTTGAACTGGTTGGTGAATATGGGCAGGGTGACGGGGTGCAGCGGGCGGTTGAGCAGGCTTCGTTGCGCCTGTTTCCTCCATCTTGGGCTGCGGTTGCGCCATGATGGCCGTGTCAACGGCGGGAAAGCCTCTCTTCAACAGATCCGATCTCAGTGACGGTATCTCTCCTCCTCTCAAGCGTTCCTCTAATGTCTCTTCCGCTGGAATGAAACAAGGAACCTCGTACTCGGTGTCGCAATGGTGCGTGTTCAACACGGTCTGCACCGCATCAAGATGGACCGAGAAGTTCATGTTCTCATACAGGCGTTTCCATTCCGGTCGGACGAGTTTCAGGGCACCCTCGATGTCAATCAACAGAGATTTGGACAGTTCGGCGATGTGTGGCTCGGCGCAAGGCCACTGTGAGAGCAAGAAGTTGGCCAGATACTTGCAATCATCTTCCACTCGTTGATCCCAGGCCGCCTGCTCCGCTCTCATGCGTCGGATCTGCTTGGCGCTGGCAAATGAGAGGAATTCTTCGCTGTCGTTTTTCGGTGCGGGCGTCTTGAATGGTCTGATCAATTGCAAGAGATAATCGAGATGAGGGGCTTGATTGGGCTTGAAGTTGTTGTACGAGGGCCAGGGGGGCAATTCAATCGCCTTCAACTCCTTGAATATAGCAAACGCAGTCAGTGCTTTGACAATACCCATGTCGGCTCCGGGAGCATATGATATGGGGGCCAGAAGAAACATGAGAGCAAAGGGACTTTGTTGTTCTTGACACAAACGGGCTAGAGGTCCCCAATTGGATGGAACGTCGAGACCCAGCCGGTCGTTGAGTGACACCTTATCAAAGACATCTGTGTATCCCCCGACCAAGGCACTTTGAGAAAGCTGTTGCGCCAAAGCGCTCGTGGTTGCCATCTTCTCCGGCCAAGTCCGTAGAAAATGAACGAGCTCGAGGACCTGACAATGGCGGGTGTTCGATGGCTTGATACAGTCTCGAGCCGCGTACTCAAGGTCAACATGCTTTGACTGATCTGTGGTATTGTCGAAATAGCGCTCCATCAGCTGTCTGCGGACCATGGAACGGTCATGAAGGTGCATGTCACCAGCAAGCGGTAAAAGACGGGGGTCTGTATCAAGGAGCTCGAAAGTCTGTAGCTCGGCCGATATGGCGAGAATCTGCTCGACGAGAGGCCTGAATCTCTCGTGCTGTACACTTTCGGTCAAGTTGGGATCCCAATGGTCAGTCTTCATAACCTTAAGATCCTTGGGGTAGTACTCATGACGTGGCGTGAGCTGAGCAATCTTGACAAGAACTCTCACCGGACCAGGTCGCAACGGCATCCAGGGTTGGCAGACTCCAGAGGAGAGCCATTGGAGTGCTTCCTCAGTGCCAGTTCGTCCAGTCAGTGGATCTGGAAGTATGGACGACGTATACGCGTGAAGCTGTGCCTTCGTGTAGAGAAGCAGCGGCTCTGGCGCGGACTCGATGCGTCCCAAGTGTTTGTTGATGACGAATTTTCCGTATTCTCCATTTGGAAGTACGCGCACGAGCATACCATCTCGTTCTTGCTTTGCTTGGAGGAGGCCAAGGGGAACCAGGATGCTTCTCTGCTGCGGATCTCGGGGGTTCCGGAAAACCAGCTTGCTCTCTAAACCATACCAGGTCCCGGCATCTTGATCCGAGTCGATCTCGGATCCCAGTTGAGGTGACTCAAGAAGATTTCTTGCGTTTACATAAAACAAGAGTTGCAATCGTTTAATCTCCACCTGGAGGTGCTTCGCTGCGGGTTGGAAAACGAGTAGTTGTCGTCGTAACTCGAAACCGTCAAAGATTCGCGCGACGCGGTTGAACAGCGGACTGTACGTGTCGACTATTCTGTCTTCACCGCAGTGTCCAGGACGCGAGCATGTTGCCTGATGGACATTGATGGTCCAGTTTCGGTGGCTAATGTACCAGATGTCGGCAACAAACGAGATGAAGATTTTGCCGCTGCGAAGATCCAGCCAATGGAAGCAATTGTCGATAAGAGGGCCAGGGAGGTCGGAAGAGTTGTCGGAGAAAAATACATTCCTTTGGATCAGCTGCAGATACTGCTGGCCTTTAGTTGCGCGGATAACGATGGAGCCAGTGTCGTAACCGATATCGATGCGGTAGCCTCGGGGCTTCACTGTCAAAGCTGTTTCCCCGCCTCCCAGTCAGTAGAAGCTCTCACACATTTTGTCAACTTCCGTGTGACCTACTGTAGTCCATGCCAGCCATGTCAGACGGTCGTGTAAGCAAGGCTTGCTCTCCAAACAGCTCCGTGAGGATGGCAGTATGTTCGGGCGGCTTGGGGAGTTTCTATCACACGGTTAGTTGGACATGGGTTGCGGCTAGCTTTGAGGCAGATACTCACCCCAAGGGGTCGGTTATCGACTAGAAGCAGACCCGTACAAGTATTATACTGTACCACCTGCATACGCGCATCCCATCCATCATGACCGTGGATCTCGCACACTACCCACTCTTCCTGTTCTTCCCGAAGGGATGCTATTTGTCGAGGGCGACCGTCGGTTTCAGGCCATACAGTCATGATTGCCGTCCGGAAAGTGTCTGGAGAACGAACGATGGATTTGCGTACCAAGGATGACAGTCGATACGAGAGTTTCAGATCGGAGATGATTGCTTGCCGAAGGACCGGAGGAAGTGCACCGACATCGACCACCAAGTTGTCTTGAACAGTAATGCAACACTCAACGTACGTCTGAAGTGCAGTGTCGTCCAGGAGAGCAAATTGGCTGCCGTGGATAACATATGTGCGCTTGCACAGGATCGCGGCCCAGAGAGCGTACTGCTGGCATCTCCGGGCGGCCTCGTTATCGCTGGCCTTGAAGGTCTCTGTTCGAAGCATCTCCACCCAGCGGAGGCAGATTCCACGAGCCCGAATGATTGCGTCGAAAGCTCCCAGAGAGATGTTTGGGTTCGTAGCCGTAAGCGCGTGTGTTCGCAAAAGAAGGGTGATGACCACGTCCATCAGGTACGTTTCTCGCCAGTTGGCCTGAAGGCTATCCAGCTTCGCGCACAGTTGCTCGAGAAGACGGTCGCAGAAGTGTCTATCACGGAAAACTTTGTGAACCTGGCGAAGCACATCTCCCTTTTCGTCCTCGGGTCCGCTCTGAAGCACCAAATGTGAGACAAGAAGCATCGTGACTTCGCTCGAGAAATTCAAGTTTGTGGAGCCAAGTTCCGTGAGAAGTACGATCCAGCGTTGACTCTTTCCCGTCATTAGTGACTGCATGGCGAGGTATTCGTGAGTGTTGATACCGGGAGGACATGTTGATTGACTCGCGACAATCTCGTACGAAGAAGGCCCCGGTCCGTCAAGCGCATACGCTCTTGATTCCAGAAGCGTGCTCCAAGGCGACTTGTTCGGCAACATTAGGGCAGTGTGGTGAGCAAAAGAGGGTCGGAATCTGGTGCGACCGGTCCATGTCGAGGTGCGTTCATCGAAGTAGCCGAGCTTCAACGCGTTGGGTCTGCAAACCCCATGACGGCCTCCATCCCATTCAACGGGGAAGGGAACAGAGGTGTAATGAGTTGTTTGGACTAGAGATAAAAAGCAAGTTATAAGTCGTCATATTTCAGTACAAAGGCAGGACGGGAAAACTCACAGGGCTTCGTCGTGGAGGCCAGGCCGACCTTCCGGTGACTGTCGCGGAAAAAGGGCTTCAGCTGCATGTAATCTCGCAGCAGACATCGCGGCTTGATCCCTTCGTCGTCAAAATGAGTGGCCAAGTGTCGGAGAATCCACCATGTCGTGTCTCGATAAACAGCAAACTCCTTGGGGCAGGCCAGCTCGAAGATGACTGATTTTGCGGTAGTCAATTCCAGGGGCAGTGGCTCTTCGAAGGTGGTGATGCGCATGTGCTGTGCTGTGCACATCATTGAACAGCGGGGACAGTGAGGGTCGTGCACTTCTTGCCCACGGTAGTCGTGCTCATCGGCAAGGTAAACGCAGGCACTTCTGTCGATACGACTAATCAAGTCATCGTATTCGCGGCTCTTTTTCTTCCATTCCTTCTCCTTTCTGTCGCGCATGTCGTTGGCCAAGTCGATGATCTCTTCATGAATCCCTTTCAGGAACGGAGCGTCGGATGATTCATTATAGTAGCGCTCGGCAAAACAGCCGGGTGATGGATCCTCAAAGATGTTACGGTGACTGGAACTGGCTCTCGCCACACGGGATGACAGAAGGGCTTGGAGGGTTCCGAGTCGCGCCAATTCCGAGAACTGCGGCAGAAGCAGAACGTCAAGCATCTGGGGGTGGAAGACTGGGTGGTACTCTTTGAGCAGCGGAAAGGAATCGCACGCGATAGAATCCATCTTTTGCCAAAGCTCCATGACCGTCAACAACATCAAGCTTTTCTGTTCGGGATTATTTTCGTACATGGGCATAGCTGCATGTACATAATTGAAGATCTGACGTGAAACCTCCTCACAGCTCTCTGCGGCCAATGAGACAAGCTCCATCTCCTTGTTGATCAACTTGTGGTAATCCTGCGCGTATTTGCTGAGGTGATCCTTGGCAGCCTCGGCTGGGCCTTCGTCAGGGAGGTATCGATAGCGCTTCTTCGTGGGGATCCTGGATCTCTGGAGGACGCTTTTGATGTAGCCATGGCTGAGTCTCAAGCTGAGACGAAGATCCTGGCTGAAAGCCTTTCTCGGGAGATCTGGAATGTTCTTGACCAGGGAGAGTCTTTGCTGTTTCAGCACACGCTGGATGAGTGTCGTGCAGTTGTCGATGGCTCCGTTGAACTTGGGCCCGAGAGAGCTGAACAGGTAGTTGTATCGTGCAAGAACATCCCCATCTTGGCAGTGGTCTTTGTCCACATCGAGTTTGACCAGCCGACGGCAAAGCTTTTTCTGGAGGAATTGAAGCTGTTCCACACCAGCGAGGTGGGAGAGGCTCGCGTCAAGAAAAGTGGCGAGGACGACGGCGATGAAGAACTTGTACTCCAACTGGCCTTGCTGGCAACGCAACTCGGACGCAAGATAGCGTTGGATGGCGACGCGGAGAACGAGGTAACAGGGCAGTCTGCGCCAGGGCTTCTTGGCGCGGTCCCAGCAAACATCATCATGAACACGCTTCCTGAGGAGCTTTGGGGCGATTCTGCGACCATTTTCCTCCAGGATAGCCATAAGAAGGGATGTGATGATGGAAGGGTCGCCGGTGTTGCGATACTCGAAGACAGTGGCGCCGGCTTTGAAAGCAAAGGCGGCGAAGTCCTTGATGGTCTCGAGGGACGCCTGTTCGATGAAGTTGGCGAGGCTCAGCTGGAAGTCAGGTTTGGCGAAGGTGATGTACGGAACGGCGACAGCAATGCCGGGAAAGTCCCAGAGCAGGGCGCTTTTTGCTGCAAGGACGTTCTCGTTCTTGGCGGAGGCTTCGAAGGCCTCGAAGATGACACTGTCATTGAAGATTGGGCTGTATTTTTTGGTAACTGTCAGTGGCGTACCATGATGAGGAAGACAAAAACACTGACTCCTGGGCTCTGCGTATGATGAGACCAGCATTCTGGGTCTCGATATGGAGGACGATGCAACCCGAAGGGCCAAGCAGTTCAAGCTCGCGAAGTAAGCTGGCTTTGTCAATGCGGCCTCCTCGGTAGAGATCGTTGGACGCCACAAGCATTTGACTGATCAATCTCCAGGCATTCCGGGATGGCGTCTCGTTGTCCGGGAGTTGGGACATGACTTTGGCGGCGGCGGCCATCCGCTCAGCGAGGGCCTTCCTGACCAGATCGGCTTGCTGGTCGGATTCTTGTTGGTGCGGTAGTTTCGCGGGCAGCACCAGATGGTTGTACAACGCGCCATGAATGGCCGCTGGGGAGACCAGCGACGCATCCATGGCTGCAACGGTGAGCCAAGTCCAGGTTACGTAGCTGGCGGTCGTTTTGCTTGTGTGGTGATACTCGGCTTGATCTCGACGAGCGCTGACTCGGTAGTATGTTCGAGATGCGAAGATTTTGTGTGAAAGGGAGGAAAGTTAGGTGAGGAAAGGAAGAAGAGAAGGTGAAGAAGAGGCCCAAATCGCAAGTGAGAATAGTGGAAGTAAGGATGGAAAGAGAGGAAAGGTGGAAGAAGGAAGGTGTGTTGGTGCGTTGGTGCAGGTGAAAAGTGAGGCCAGGGAGGAAGCTGCCAAAAGTGGGGCCCAAAATGAGAAATGGTAGTAGAAGCAGGAACAACCAGACGGGCGGGAAGGAGGCAGGAGTCAACAGACAGGAAGGAAGGATAGTGAGTAGGCACCCATGGAGGCAGGGACACTGGAAGGCAGAACAAGAAGAAATGAGGTTTTCAAAATGGTTATGAGATTTCAATCTTAGACTGCAGTTCTTTGATATGGATTTGAGTGAGAAAGCAAGAGAACAGCCAACAAATCAAACGAGGACAATGGATGGTGAGGTGACAGGGGTATGAAAGCAATCAAAGACCAACAACATCATGTACATGAGAGCAACCAAGGAACAACAAGCAGTTTGGCTCACTTTTACTCAATTAAACCACTTTTCATTCCCGTTTGTCAACTTACCCTTGTCATGTGCCGGTGGTAAACGGATGCCTACTGTCGATATTTCTCAGGACAGGTCTGCGCTAAGTCGAGACTGTATGCCCGCCTCTCATATCACCTCAAGGTAAGTTAGACACCTGAATAAGCGTGAAACAAGGACACCTGGTGAGGACTGTCAGGCACCAGCTGAGAAGTTGGAACTTGAGTCTGAAGCCAAGCAGCCTCGGCGAAACACCAGGCATATGCCATTATGCAGTGAAACGGTCAGTATTTGAGGAGAGACATGTCATGCTATTTCTCTCTATAGCTAGGGCGGTGACTACCTCACTTGGTGCGTCCGTCGCTGATAGCCGTTTCGTCTCATAGATTGTGAGTAATCCGGGTTCCGGAATAACATGTAGTTCCTGCTTTGTGATGCCGGAGTTGGGAACCGATAAATAGAGAGCACAGCACTACTACCAGATATTTGACTCTGCAGAATGATTTTTACAGAGCAGACACAGTTTCACAAACTCAATTGAGACTCTTTTCATAACATATCGGAACATGTAGCGACTCATGCCCGGTTATAATCTAGCCCATGGAATGTCAGTAGTTTGCCATGCCCTTCAGACGTGGGACGTTGATCTGAACTTTCTCAGATATTTCCAAGATTTATGAATCTTTAGTCAAATATGTAATCAGATTAACCTCCCTCAACTACCGATCTCCATAAGAGGGACTTGACGTCCATGAGTGAACCGTGAAAACGTCAACCTTTCAGCTGTTCAAACCAAAGTTCACCTCACTCAGGACAAAAGTCATCACTAACTACCGTTTCAAATGGCTCTCAATAGTATCCAATTTATCCAAAATGAACCGGCAAATCAAATAAACGCTACAAAACGCCGAATGTGAGATGGTATAATCTCGTCATAACCCTTTCCCCCGCTCAGCACGACATTAATAACCCTTCAGAAAGCAATCGCCTCGTCAAGCAACATGCCCTTGTCGCCCATCCGGCCACTGCCCTTGCTGCAGAACTCGATGGCCGAGCACAGCTTCGAGTCTTCCTGGGTCGCGCCGGCGCTCTTGGGCAGCCTCTGCTGCGCCGGCCAGATCTCGGCGCCGGCCTGCTGCTCCTTGCGCCAGTGCTCGGTGATGACCTCGCGCACCGTCTTCTGGAAGAAGAGCGGGCCCTTCTCCATCTCCGGGTGCAGCTCGCCGTTGACAAAGATACCGGCGTTGATGTTCTTCTGGGCGTTGGCGCAAAGGTACTTGTCCTCGGACATGATGCGCTTGTACATGTCGCTAATGACGTTGAAGTCGGCGTCGCTCGAGTTCTTGTTGCGGTACACCTCGTATCGCATCACGCACTTTTGGGGCCCGCTGGGAACGAAGCGCTGGATGAAGAAGAAGTGCGGGCTTGGGTGGTGTTAGCGATGACAAGACGTGGTACACGGATAGCAGCAGCAGCAGCAGCAGCAGCAGAGATGGGTTCACATACGAGACGTTCATGGAGGCGTTTGGCCAAAAGTAGGTGGCGGCGACGCGGAAGCCCTTGGCGATCTGCTCCTCGGTGGGCTGGCCAAAGTGCTGGATGTAGGCGTTCTGGGTGTTGACGAAGTACGAGTTGAGGTCGGCGATGGAGGGGATATCGGGATGGGCGGTAGGGCAGTGGTAGCACTCGTTGTAGTTGTCGGCCAGGATCTTCCAGTTCCACTCGCCCTCCATCTCCCACTGGTGGTCGAACTTGTAGTCCTCGAAGTTGTAATGCTGGAACCTCTCCTGCTCGTCGATGCCGAGGAAGTCATCGTTCCACGCGATCTCGGGCGTCTCCGCGGCGTCGAGATTGACAAAGATGAAGCCGTTGCGGTCAATGTGCATGTGGATAGGGAATAGGTTGTTCTGCGATTTGTCGAAGCCGGCGAGGTCCTGGTAGCCGGGGGCCTTGGCCAGGTTGCCGCTCAGGCCGTAGGACCACCCGTGGTATTTGCAGGAGAAGGTGTAGCTGTTGCCCTCGTCCTTGGTGACGACCGGAAAGGCGCGATGCCGGCAGACGTTGTGCATGGCGTGATAGTTTCCTTTTCTGTCGTGGACGATGATGAAATCGTAGCCGGCAACGTCATATCGGATCCAGTCGCCCGGGTTGGGGATTCTGGACTTGTGGGTTGTGAGGAGCCATTTCCTGGAGAAGATGGCGCGACGCTCGAGCTCGTACATCTCCTGAGATGTGTACCATGACGCCGGCAGAGCCCGGACGGGGGTCTTGTCTTCTTGGGCAGGCTTGGTGCCGCCGAGGCCGAAGTAGTTCTTGAATAGTGACATTGCTACTAATCTAGCAATGCTGGTGTAAGTCGATTCACTGGTAAAAGAGATGGAATAATCGAAAAGAGGCCTGGAGCTCGGTAATCTTGATCCAAGATGAATCTGATGAGGGTGGTCTGATTTCTACTATCTGAAACCTTATGCTCAAAGACGATGGTCCTTCTATATAGTCATGATAGGCATGGCCGGTCCATCAAGGCTGACCCTTCGCCCTCCCGTATCACCCACCCTCTTGGTGTCGAAACCCAATACTTGGGCCGGCCGGTGCTCGATGTCGCACACCGAACGCCTCTGACGATTCCGTGCACTGGATGCCATCAGGTGGTTATCGACGCGGTCGTTGTTCCGATCACATGACCGGCAAAAGTACCTCGCTGGGCCGATGAGTATGCCAGACGCCGTGGTGTGGGATTTAACGGACCGAGCCGCGCTCCATGGTGGCAGTATGCCGGGGGCCCTTGAGGGCAGTGGAGATAGGATCCATCCATGATGCGTTGTTGATGCCGAGCCCACACCCCTCCGGGCCCTCCGGGGAGGGGAGTCTAGACTTTCATGTGTGAGGAGCTTTGGATCCGGCTGCCTATCTGTGATTTCTGACGATCCTGCCGGCTAACATAAGCACCCCAAGTTGCCCGATCCATGCTTATCACTACTCCAAGCAGTCAGTTACTACTCTCGAATGCTCAGCTCCCGGCACATCAGCTTTCCTGACGGGCCATCCTTACCGCATGCGGTAACTTTTGACTGAGTGCTCTTCATTGGACAGACCCAAGATCCCCCGACCCCGCATTATCGACTCCCGGGCAGTATTCTTACTCCATTGGCAACCGGCAGCAACACGTTTTCTGAACTCGCCCCTGTTCCAACTCGCCCAGCATCGTGATATCCAATACGTAGGCCCCGGCTGGGCAACGTTAAGGCACTGTGTTCGTCCCATTCGCTGCACGCTGCACCGCTGGTAGCGTCTGGGCATCATGTCGCCGTCCACGAGTGCCCCGGCCACGGCCTCCTTTGCCAGCCATGCGACAGAATAATGCGCCACGTTCCGGAACAACAAGCACGGCAATATTCTCAAGTCCGCCGGGCTCTCCTTCGTGTCTCCTGCGTTGAGGGTGCAGCTACCCGCGAGTCAACAGCCATGTCACACAAACACAGATCGAGAATTGTTCGTATCTATCGCCAATTCGCCATTGTGTTGTCTGCATCTGATGTTCCAAAAGGATGACTCCTGGATCCGGTAGGGGCCAATCTCTCACTTTCAGGGCGTGCCCAGGGTCTTATCGGCGTCTGGCCGGGGGGGACCCCTGGTTTGTGAGAGTGACGGTCCAACAGAAACCTGCGCAAAGGCGAGACAACGCCCATGATCAGCCGGCAACGCCTCCAAGACCATCTGGTGATGCTCGTATCCCTGGGACAAAGAACACCGGTCCCGGATAGCCGGCGCCATCACGTGATCGGCATCCGGGAACGGTGCCGACATCGGGACACTGCCGGCCCATGAAGGCGCGGGGGAGGGGGAACACCACATGAGTTACCGATAAGTAAACCGTTGTCTGGCATTCGTGTAAAGTGACGATGTTAAGACGCTGGATGTATCATCCAATATAATTGTGCCCGTGTCTCCGTACCGTCTTGGAAGAAAACTCGACCGTCCTGTGATCCCCCCCCCCCTCCCCCGCCAGGTCTGCAAGAAACCCCTTTGGACCATTTTCCGTCCCCTTCCGCCCGCAGATCCATGTCATTCTACTTCTTCGACAAGATGGACCAAAGAGAACACACATCCTACCTCATTGTCGGCGCTGGTGTGTTTGGTGTGTCTACCGCCTATCACCTTATCAAGAAGTACCCCGGCGCATCCGTGACCCTGGTCGACAAGGATGCCTTCGACGCCGACGAGCGCGTAGCCGCCTCGTGGGACTGGAACAAGGTAGTCCGCGCCGACTACGACGATTTCACGTACTGCCAGCTGGCCCTGGAGGCACAAGACATCTTCAAGAGCGACCCGCTATGGAAGCCTTTTTTCCACCAGACGGGCGTCTACTGGATCTGCCGTAGCGACTACGCGCAGAACGTCATTGACCACCACAAAAAGCTCGGCCGCAAGGACGACATCATCGCTTTGCCGGTGTCGGAAGCCCGCAAGCTGTATGGTGGCCTTTTTGAAGACGCGGATTATTCCGGGGCCAAGGAGGTTCTTGTAAACCGCGCGAGCGGCTGGGCGGCCGCCGGAGACTGCTTACGCGCCGTCACACGTGAAGCCGTCAGACTAGGTGTCAAGTACGTGACTGCGGAGACTGCATCTCTCGAGTTCGATGAGCGCGGGAGCTGCACTGGCATCAAGACGACAACGGGTGAGACGCTGGCGGCTGACCACACTATCCTTTCCACGGGGGCGTATACTCCCAAGCTACTGGAGTTGAGTGCGGCAGAGAGCGGTCTGGCCAACCTCCGGGCCGGGGATCGCATTCTCGCAGCTGGCATCACCACCGGGATGGCAGAGCTCGATGAAGACGAGTACAAACAGTATGCGAACATGCCCGTTGGGTTCCAGGGATACACGGGACACGGTACGTTTCTCATATCTTATCGCCTGCAAATTTTCTTTTTTCTTTTTCTTTTTTCTTGTCTGGGACTAGCTGCTTACAGTCGAACTAGGCAAGCCCTTCATCGGCAGCATCCCGCCGACCAAGGACAGAGAACTCAAGTGGTGGGGAGCCAAGATCTTCACTAACACAAAAGAAATCCTGCCCGGCCGGCACGTCTCTGCGCCGCCGCCGGCGAAGGATTACAGCCAGTGGAAGGTCTCGCGGCAGCTGAAGCAAGACATCGCCGAGCAGAGAGACCTGTGGTACGGTAGCAAGAGCGCGAACTGGAAGATGACCAAGCACCGCATCTGCTGGTAAGTGACAGCGGCATCGGCATACGGTTGACTTTCGGGCCGCTCCCGCTAACGTTACAAACAGGGACGCCTTCACAACCAGTTCGGACTTTATCATCTCGCCGCACTCGGCAGCCAAAGGTTTGTACCTCGCAACCTGCGGCTCCTTCCACGGGTTCAAGTTCTTCCCCGTGCTCGGCAAGTATGTCGTCCAGATGTTGGAAGATTCGCTATCTCCCGAGCTTAAGACGAGGTGGGCATGGGACCGCGAACGCCCCGATCACCTGCAGAACCCCGAGTATCCCAACTCGGAGCTGAGCGATCTGTTGGATCCGGTGTCGAAGCTGTAGTCTGTTTTTTTGAGCGAACTGATTTCCATGGCGGCAACGGCGTAGATCCACAGCGCACTTAGATGGCACTAGGCTTCCTTCATAATCCAGGGGTTTCGAGAGAGGGACGCCTTTCCACTCCGGGCACCGTGTGTACGCAAGGTAGGCCGCACGATGGTTCATAGCAAGTGGGTAACGAAGACGATGCGCATTACTCGGCGCACATGAGTTATGACAACCTGTTTTGAGCGAGTGCCGATGCCAATGGTCCATCAAAGTACTGCAACGTGTCGTCAAGCCCTGGAGCTAATGTACGATCAGGGAACACTTGTCACAGCAAGGCAGGCACAGAGTTCTAGAAGCGCACTTCCGAGGACAATGGGGCAGTACGGCGGTTCGGCATCTCGGTGTGATGCAATTTCAGAACTGCTTGATGAGTTTCCAAGAGCTGGCATTAAACCGTTACGAAAAACAGAAGCAAGAGACGGAAATGTGAGACAACATGTGGCTGAAGACCCCTCCCCCCCCCCCCCCCCCCCCCGTGTCAAATTGCAATCGGCAACTGAAAGAGTTTATGCACGCCTGGTGGCTGACTATGAATGTGGACCTTGTTGGCGGAAAGAGATATACTAGGTGTATGTAGATGTTGGATCGCGATGAGCCGTCGATCTATAAAGACTGGCTCACGGCTGTAAAGGGATGTTTCACGTGACCATGGTTATAGTCTTCAGCGCTCTTATCTCTTTCGGGTCTTCTCCACCCCAGGACTACCTATCCCCCTGCTTCCCTTATCGAAGGCTTGCTTGTCTTGTCCACGGTTGGTTAGTCAGTAATACTGGGAAGAGGGGGGGATGCCGATGCACGGTCACCTCACTTATCGGATTAGTCGTTAGGGTGCGGGGTTACGCTGCCAGGGGGTAAGTGTTTATCATCTGTGCATATCCATACAAAGTATTTAGTGGAGGTGCTCACTCTTCTTGGGCCAGTTCTTACAAGTGAGCTTCGTGTTTTGCCCGGCCGTGAGATCCGTCAATGACATGCCGCCAGAGGAGGGCTCTATCACTACAGCCGGCTTGAGGGGGAGAAGACGTTCACATCATGCTTGTCTTACTTGCAGGTCCGCGCTTTCTTGTTTCCCGGAGGGCACGCATCTTTCCGTTGGGGAGGGGCGTCCACGCTGACATCTGACGTAGGAGGAAGAAGACCCGGTGTCCGGGCGAGAAGCCGGCGTGCTCCAGTTGCGTCCGGCTCTCCCAGTCGTGTACCTATCCCGCGGTGAGACCATCGCAGAGCGGTCGATCGGTAGGTTCACCACACGCCCTTCTTAAACGACTGATGGAAGACGCCCTTACCACCGATAGGATGAGAGGCTACAAACCTTGGAAGAGAAACTGGATCTCCTCCTCAGCGGAGGGGGCTTGTAATACGGCACCGCACACGAACATGCTAGGTTCAGACCGTCTGACCGGGTTCTTAGACCGAACCACCCCCCCCGTCATGGACAAGCGCAACAGCAGGTATCGTACGACGAAGTCACCGACACGTCGGACAAGTCATTTTCAGCGACGCCGCCGTCTCGTAACGCCAGGCCGAGCTACCTGACCGACAACAGCAACAACTCGTCCGTCGTCTTCGACCCGAACGACATGGCCACGGGCATCGACCTCTACTTCAAGTACTGTCATCGCCAGCCGATCTGGTGCTTCGAGAGGGACGAGCTGGGCGACTACGACTCCCTTCCGGAGGAGCTCGCCAGCAGCATCTTGGCGCTCACGTCGCGGTTCTCTGAAAAGCGAGACCACATACAGCTGTACAGCAGCAATGCCAAGACCCTGATCATGCTCCGCATCGCCAACGGCACGGTGAACATGACGACCATCGAGAGCCTGTGTCTTTTGTCATACGCGTCGTTCATAGGTGAGTAACGACTCCCAGGATGAGATGAGATGAAATATGAGATGAGACGTAGTAGCCCTCGATGCTGACCCGCGCAGACGGCAATGTCCACCTCGGCCAGTTCCATCTCGGCCTTTCCCTCCAGCTCTGCCGGTCCGCCACGTTGGACATGGAATCGTCGTATGCCGTGAAGGATCATACAACTGATCGCAAAAAGAGGCTGTTCTGGAGCCTGCAGTTGCTGGAGCAGTCCTACGGCCCGCAAGGCGGCCTCTTGAGCTTCCCAAACGACGTGCGCCGGCCCACGCTACCGACCAGCGGGAACCAGACGGAGCTGGACTCATCTTGGGCGCCGCCGCTGCCGCAAGATGACCTGGGCACGTCGACCCCGAGCGAGCCGGGCATCTGGAACACGGGCGTCTGCCTGGGATGGGTCTGGAGCCAGGTCAGGAAATACGTCTCGGACTGCGCGCGGAACATCCTGAAGGAGCCTTGGCGGAACGACTCGACGTACGCCAAGGTGCTCTCGGACTTTCTGGAGACGGAGAACAGGATCCCCATGTGCCACCGCTACGACTCGGTCAAGTTCTACGAGCGCAAGATGGACGAGCTCAAGATGAACCGCGACTACTGGGCGCCGTGGCTCAAGGAGCAGTTCACCTACCATGCCATCCCAACCGTTCTCAACCACCCGTTCCTCTACATCGTCGGGGCTCAGCACAACCCGAACCTGGGGATCCCAAACACCTTCTGGAGGCGGTCGTCAGAGCAGGCGCTGCTCCACGCCACCTGGATCGTCCGCATGATCGACATGGTCGTGGACAAACAGGTGCCGCTGGTAGACCCCTTCTTCGGACACGTCGCCGCCATCGCGGCCACCGTGCATCTCTACTACTGCTGCGCCGCCGCGGCGCGGTTGAAGCACAAATCCAACACGGATTTTGCCAAGTGCAGGAGGTTCCTGAAGAGCTTCATACCATGTTCGGCGGCCTGCGGTGCACTGGTGAGTTGAACTTCCGTTCGCCGACCTTTTCTTTTTTTTTTCTTTCTCCCCCGAGGAACCTTGTGAACTCTAACGACGCGCAGGATCGTAACTTGGACAGGATGACGCGCATCGCCGCCGGGAGCGAGAACATGGACGTCGAGGACTGGATGCCGTCCAAGATCTACCTCAGCGTGCCCCTGATGTGGGAGATTCTTCAGTTCAACTCGACGGCGGACTCGCAGGGGATCCCCAGCTCCGGCCTCCTCGACGCCTCCCTCACGCCCGCCGTACCGCCCATGGACACGAGCGACAGCTCGACGCTCGAGATCATCGTCGCCACCTCGCCTGAGATCACCATCAACATTGCCGACGGCGGGCAGGAGGCGCCGACGTCGTCGTACAAGAAGGCGCCGCTATCGTCGTCGGGACTGCGTAACTCGACATCAACAAGAACAGCAACTACTACTACTACTACTACGACTACAGCGGCGTCGTCGTCGTCGTCGTCGTCGTCGAGGGCGGCCGTATTCGATCCGCCAAGTGTCGAGCAGATTGACAGTCTGACTTTCAACACGACACCTTGGCTGTATGCGGACCCGTCACAGCTGGTGGGCATCGGGGACATGAGCTTTCCGCCGTCGGAACCGGGCAATGCATGGTGGGAGGGCGAGAACTTTAACAGTATCATGTTTAATCAATTTTAGCAATGGCCATTCTCTCTGATTACCTGACTACCTGTTCACCGTATGCCTTTCGAGGATGGACGTGCTATTTGCATCTGATTAATCCTGACTCCTGAGTTATAATCCTTGAAACATCACATAGCAATAGGTAAGATCAGGTGCGAAAGACCGGCCAGATGCTGCATCATCAGAAAACATGAGAGAGATCACTGCACGGAAGAAATCTCCGTTCCCCGCACACGATACTCGACCTAAAACCAACCGGATAGCCGATGCCAGCCAGCCATGGCATGACTTGAAAAGCCACGAGGACACGGAAACGCCAATCAAGAAGCCATGACACCAATATTATTATGTAACGTGGTTCTCGATTTTTCATTCTTACGTACCTCAACCTCGACTTCAAGCTACACCCATGTACAGCAACGCCAGGCCGCGGCTCACGCACTCGGAAGGCCGCTGTGATCCCCCCCCCCCCAATGCAGTGGATCATGCGGGGAAATAGCAGGGATCAAGTTGCCACCTTGAGGAGGGGTCGATCAGCAAAAGGGTTGGATCCAAAGGCGTTCTAGACCCGGAAGCGTCTTTTGGTTAAGGCAGCACAAGTTCCAAGGGTCCGGCCTGCGGAAGAAACGCACTGGGACGCATCATGCCACTTAGATACGTGTACATAGTAAGGGGGCGGGCAGCAACTCGGTTGGAAGTGTGGCGGGATGAAAAGGGTGTGTTCATCTCCTCAGTTATCCTCCTCTCACTGGTTGGTTACCCTCCGGCCTCCGGGGTCGTCTCACCGTCTACCAGTAGGTTTAGGTACCATTTTCATGCATGCCAAGTCCAGGGTCCTAAGCAAGACCGTTTTGTCTCAGGAGTGCCCATCCGAGCCTTACCGTTTCCGTGGGTGTGCATTTGAAAGAGAGACCAACTCATTATCATCGGAGACATATCTACGCAGGGTGCGGTGCAGATCCGTCACCACGACTGCTTGTTCCGAACCCCCCCGCCCTCGTCCCAAGTCTCTGTCCAATGCACCGTCAAACTCGAGGGAACTCTTTCCTTCTCGGCAGCGATAACGGAAACACTGCTTCTCTTCTGCTTTCTTATTATGGTCTATCGACGCTTTCGCAAGGGATATGACTCGATAACAATCTGCTACCACCGGATACCACTTGTTGGCTCGACGCAGCATGCACGTCCGATATGCCAGCGCACCATCACGGATGCCAAGTGCCGCTGACCACAGCCTGGAGGAGGCACCCTCCAATCCGAGCGAGACAGCGTTCATCAACGATAAGCGCATCTTTTGACACACGGCCCAGGGACCAAGGAGCGTTTCCGGTGCCGTAGGTAGGTTGAAGCGTCCTGTGCAACCCTGCGTTTGTGCCGCCACTGTCTCGGACCGGCTGGGTGGCGGGCTCGCGCTCCACCCTGTAGTGTAGATGGACTATCGTCAGCTTGCCTGTCAAAGGATCATCGATAGCAAGACAGGTCATAGCAGCCCTGGTGCGATTGTAATGGCCTTTGGAATACAGCCTTTCAAGGCGAAACAGGCTTCGCAAAGCTTCGGTGCGCGGTTGACCCGGCAGAGCCAACAAAGTTGATACCATGTTCTGGCACGGGCCATTACTGTTCATGCAGACCGTAGACGGGACAACTCCAGTTGAACGAATTGCTATACGCAGTGTTTGCCACGAGAAGGAGACATGCGTGAAGGAGCGCGGCCGCGCAGGCTATTGATGTCCAACGTCCGGTTAACGAAGGGAGGTCAGGGAATGGTTGATGCCCGACAACTAGCAGGGTGAAAGGCCCGCATCCCACCACGGTCTGTTGGCGTTATCTCTCCATCATCATGATGGCGAAACGTATCAAGGCAGATCGCCATGACATTGATAAGGCCAGCTAATGGAAGAGACGCCATGTGGCGGGGTAGCGGCGACATGACCGAGCTCGGAGCTGAGGTCATGTCCCGTCCGGCGTTGCTCTTCTAACCCCAGGGGGGTTGGGGTTGGCAGGACACCACCAGTAATTATCACGGCTCTGGAAGCGTGTGAGCCGTGTGCGCCGTGTGCGCATCGCCGGCTATCTCTGGCTTGTAGAGGTGACAATACCATGACCGAATCGGGCACACGAGCGAAGTCTATATCACGATAAGCATCATGACCGCCGTGGTCCATAATGCTGGTGGAGGTGCCAACTTGGGCCACGCGCGTCCGGCAGCCCGGCCGGCATCGGCTTCAAGAAACCGATCATGTGACCGCCAACTTGGAGATACCGGGCCACATCCGGCCTGCTGCTATCAATAGCACGCTTAGTTGAGTGTAGACTCCGCTTAACTCCCCTCCGGGCTTGTCACTTCTCCACATGTCGATGGGAACTAGACTGCATCGGGAGGTTGGAGACGATCATCACGGTGGCTTATAAGTCTTTCTGCAGCGAATGGTCAGTTACACTGATAGATCTCAAGATGCCACCAACAGACGGCTCTCTACGTTGATAGTTTCATCAGCGATCTCTCATCCATTGGCCCCTCCAGAAACCAGCATAATTATCTTATGAAAACGGGCCTCTCAGTCATGGATCGCTCACAGCGCGTCGTCATCATCGGCGCCGGCATCGTTGGGACCAACATCGCCGACGAGCTGGTCTCGCGGGGGTGGACCGACATCACCGTGGTCGAACAGGGGCCGCTTAGCATGCCGGGAGGCTCGACGTCTCACGCTCCCGGCCTCGTGTTCCAGGTGACAGGCTCCAAGACCATGTCTTCCTTTGCGAAATACACGGTCCAGAAGCTGCTGTCGATAGGCTGCTTCAACCAGGTCGGCGGCCTCGAGGTGGCAGAAACGCCCCAGCGGCTCGAGGAGCTCAAGCGAAAACACGGATATGCCTCCTCTTGGGGCATTCCGGCGCATCTGCTCACCGCCGACGAGTGCAAGACGCTCTACCCCCTGCTGAGCACCGAGGTGGTGCTTGGCGGTCTGCACATCCCGACTGACGGCCTGGCGTTGGCCGCAAATGCCGTCCAGCTACTTATCGAACGCACCCGCAAGGCCGGCGTCCGGTACCTCGAGCACACCCCGGTAACCGGCATCGCGCAGAGCGGAGGCCGTGTCACCGGGGTGGAAACCAGGAATGGCCCCGTGCCCGCCGATCTCGTCCTCGCATGCGCCGGTCTCTGGGGCGTCGAGGTCGGCGCCATGGTCGGCCTGCCCATCCCTCTCCTCCCCGTCGAACACCAATATGTAAAGACGACACCAGTACCGGTCCAGAAGGGCAAAAACCTGCCTGTGAACGGCGCACAATTCCCTATCCTCCGCCATCAGGATCGCGATCTCTACTATCGCGAGCACGGCGAGCAGTACGGCATCGGCTACTACGGCCATCGTCCTCTACCCGTGGTCGCCGCCTCGTTGGGCGAGACGCCCAAGCATGTAGACGAGCACAACATGCCGTCCCGTAGAGATTTCACACCCGACGATTTCGCACCCGCTTGGGAGCTCTCAAAGAAGCTTCTTCCCGCCCTGGCAGAGAGCGAGATCGAGTATGGCTTCAACGGGATTATGTCTTTCACTCCTGATAGTGGCCCCCTTATCGGCAGGGCACCCAACCTGGAGGGCTTTTTCGTTGCCGAGGCCGTCTGGGTGACACACTCTGCGGGCGTCGCCCGTGCGGTTGCCCAGCTGCTCACAGCCGGGCACTCCGAACTCGATCTCTCCGAGTGCGACATCTCGCGCTTCGAGCAGGTCCAGCTCGCTCCCGAATACGTCAAGGAGGTTTCCACGCAAAACTTCATCGAGGTCTACGACATCCTGCACCCTTCGCAGCCCCGCGAGTCGCCTCGCAACCTGCGTATCAGCCCCTTCCACTCCCGCCAGCAAGAACTGGGCGCCTACTTCCTCGAAGCCGGCGGCTGGGAGCGTCCGCAGTGGTTCGAGGCCAACGCGAATCTCCTCAGTCAGCTGCCCGAGAAGTGGAAGCCGAGAGAGCGCGATGCTTGGTCTGCCAGGTATCACTCGCCGATCGCTGCCGCAGAAGCCTGGAAGACGCGAACCGCCGTGGCCATGTACGACCTCACGCCGATCCGTCGTCTGGAAGTGTCCGGACCGGGGGCGGTTGAGCTGCTGCAGCGGTTGACCACGAGCGACATCTCCAAGAGCCCGGGAACGGTCACATTTACTCTCCTCTTGGATGGGCACGGAGGCATCCGCAGCGACATCTTCGTGGCCAGACTCGGCAACGATCTGTTCCAACTAGCCGTCAACGGTCCTGTCGATTTTGCCTACTTGTCTCGGGAAGCTCGCATCCAGGCGGAAGCATCTCCGGCAAAGTTCGTCCAGGTGCGCGACACCACGGGAGGGTCCGGTGGCATCGGGCTCTGGGGCCCTCGCGCCGCCGACGTTATCGGCGGCATCAGCTCGGACAATCTCAAGGATATGCCTCCTTCCCGCGTCAAGTCGGCCATCATTGCCGGCATCCCGGTCACCGTTGTCAGTCTCTCCTTCGTTGGCGAGCCTGGGTGGGAGATCTACACGAGTGCCGAAAATAGCCTGCGCCTCTGGGACACTCTCTGGCAGGCTGGAAAGCCGCACGGTGTCATCGCCGCGGGCCGCGCTGCGTTCAGCGCCCTGCGTCTGGAAACGGGATTTCGGACGTATGGCGCCGATGTCACCTCGGAGCATAACCCGTTCGAGGCCGGGCTCGAGTCCGCCGTCGACCCCGAGAAGCAGGGCTACGTCGGTCACGACGCCATCAAGAGACTTTCGAAAGAGAAGGTCTCCAGGCGACTGCGCTGCCTCACAATTGATGACGGCCGCTCGGTCGTCTTGGGCAAGGAGCCTGTGTTCCTGGACGGCAAAGCAGTTGGCTATGTCACGACTGCCGCCTTTGGATACACAATCGGGAAGCCCATCGCTTATACCCATCTGCCCAGCAGTGTCAAGGAGGGTGCTGGCGTGGAGATTGAGTACTTCGGCCGCCGGATCAAGGCCACCGTGACAGCAGAACCATTACATAAAGCCTCGAGAGGCGTATCGGTGGCCGGCCCAACTCCTAAGCGTGTAGCCATCAGGTCGCGACTGTAATGACTGAAGGATCACGAACTATTTTCAAATCTAATGATAACGAACAGCGTCTTTTGTATAGCCTCGGGGTATTTAGTAACTGGTATTTCCATTGGGAAGATGTCGTACGTAGTACATAAGGCGTTCATTGCTGCTTGCGATTAACGGCGTCGTTTTTGCGACAGAAGAATAATGATTTTGATTGCATTGAGAATCACATGGCACATTATGTGATGCCAAAAACCATTAAAACTTCAATTAGCAAACATATACTCAGGCGCCGTCACTGAGTCTCCTATTGTTTTCCCACCAATCTCAAAGCAAGAACAGTTGGGCTTTTTGTGTATTTGTGCACTGTTACTGGATGGAATCTGATCAAGGTCTATTGTCCAGATGCAACCCATGTATATCTACTGATTCGACCTTTTTGTCTTATGAAAAAGCCTCAGAATTCACGATGCTCTCTTCCGCGCTGACGGTTTCTCGTGCGTGCGCCCACTCGTGCGCTCTTGTTGCCTCTCTTGTTGCCTCTCCCGTTCCCTCTCCCGTTCCCTCTCCCGTTTCCTCTCCCGTTTCCTCGCTCGTTCACGCCGGCTAGCTTCCTCTATAGCCTGTACAATAAACGGATTCATTACTAAGTACAAAATCATGGAATAATCTGAGAGGTTTTGGTTGCATAAGTTTCACTGCAAAGGGGTTCTTGCAATATTACAGCAGAAAAGAAGATGCTTACCACGGCCGATTTTCGGGAATCTTCTTCATCCCACTTCTCTTCTCTTTCTATTCTTTTTGGATTCTTTCCGTTCCTGCCTGGATGATCTCATTGTCGCGGTTCTTGTCGTGTTTCTCAAGCATGTTGGCTATAGGCGAAAATCAGTTGACCTTCGTAAAGAGTCAAAAGTTGGTTCGGCGGCAATGGCTTGACGACGTGGACTTACCTGGCGAGTATGCCTCAGTTTGACACAAAGTCTTTATTAGTGGTGCTGAGTTTGATTACTGCACTGTTGCACTGCTCTTTCACGTTTTGATTAATGTATGTAACACGGACAAATATACCATCATACTTGGATGTTATTCATGCCTCATAGTAGTAGTTGCAGTCAGTGCATGTTTCTTTGCCTGATAACAGTGAATGGTAGTGGGGTCTAACTTGGAAGTTAACCGATATAATAATCCTTAGTAGTAAGCCATATTGTTCACTCCTAAAAAGTCCTGTTCAAGCACAAGCTCCAACAGCAGATGGCGGACTACGGCCAGGCCAAAAGCCAAGGTGGTAGAAGTTATTGGACTGTACTAAAAAGTTGAGGAACTACACAGGAACCACCAAAGACTCAGACCATCTGTCGTCTTCACAAGTACAATTCTTGCGTCGGACAGAGGTCAACCAGTCCAGGCGTGAAAGTGGTTTAGAGAGCGGGTTGAAGAGAGACCGCCAGAATCTAAGAGTTTTTGAAATGAAGGGGGCCTTCAGGACTTTCATCCAGCGCCCGGAAGCATCACAATTCACGCGAAAAAGAGACGCAAAGTCTTGAGCTCTCGGAGGACCAACGTTATGGAATTTGATATGTTATCAACGATAACATGAAGATAATACTGGTTTGAGAGACCAGAAAGTGGGTTTTCTGAATCTGTTTATTTTCAAGCGGCTGTTTGTTTGACGTCCGTCGAGTAGAGCTCCTACAAGCGACTTCAAGTATTTCCTTTTACCAAGACAAGCTCATTTCTTAGTTTGACATCTTGCACTTTTGAATATAGAAGCTACTATACCTTAAACAGATTACTGTTCTACTTTCTTGTATTCACTAGAGTTGTATGCACTATCATTTCTTTCCTAAATCAGAGCTAGCGGTTGCGCTGCCGTCCACGCTCAGTAGACCTCTCCCTCTCGCGCTCCCTCTCCCTCTCGCGCTCTCTCTCTCGCGCGCGCGCCTCATTCTCGGCACGGGCTTGCTCACGAGCTCTCTCCATATCCTGGCGGATTCTCTGCATTTTGGGTTAACTCGATGGTCAGTGTACAGACCTCAACGACATAACCAATACTTATTGATGGACCCCCTTGTGCGTGATCACATCATATACCTCACTTGAGAAGGGGTACTTGCCTCAGCCCATTCCCTCGCTTCCTCTCGAGCTCTGCGAGAAGCTTCCTCTCGCTCCTCTTTCGCTCGACGGAGCTCATCGTCGCGGTTCTTGTCGTATTTCTCAAGCATCTTGATTGTGGGCGAATTCGGGTTGTTTCTTCCAAACAGTCAGGATGCATTTATATCGACCAGGACAGCGATTTCTTGGAGGGTTCAACTTACTGGATACGTGGTTCTCGGCTAGTTTCAGGGGTTGATGCAGAAGTGTTGCGATGTGTTCTGTTACAAGAGCTGTGTTGCTGTCTGCGGTGCTTTGGTTGGTTTGTGTTCAAGTCTCTAGGGCCGCGAGGAAATCTTTTAAATACAATAAACCAAATGGGAATCACCGTATCACTTCTATGGTCGTCATGGTGAATGGGAGTAAGGTGTGTTGGATATTGATAGCATTCCGTACTACCGCAATGATATGATTCATACGTTTAGTGAGTGGACTGGTTGAATCCAACCAGCCGAAGTCTCCAATCCTTATGACTCCTGGTAGCTTGTTTCTTGAAGCCGGCCTAAGAACTTGTAGGAGCAACAGTTTCTATTCTATGAACTGCAGGGGTGGCGTTGGGCACGTGGATGGTAGCTATGCTCTTCGCACAATCCATTCCTGACAATGTTATCGTCACGGAGAGTCCTGTTCCTATCAAAGACACTTTTCGAGTGGGTCAACCTGGCTTGCTGTTATCGCTGCTGCTTTTACATCGTAACGGCATTCCCAAGCCACGGAAAGCGTGAACCAAATCAACAGATCAAGCGACTCTATCTCAGTGCCTCCCTGGAAAAGACTCTTGGGTTAGTTGACTCCCAGTTCGTATGCTCATCAAACAAAAATAGTCACAGAGATTTCTTTTTCCTGAGTATTGCGGTTGAAACCAGAGGTTGGTCATGCACAGCTTGAATTTGGAAGACAACTAATCACAATCTCGTGGTCTCATTTACAGGAAGACTTCTCTCCGGTGCTTTCTATCCTGGCCCCTCCCTCAATTCGTACGTCATAAGTCTTGTGCACGTAAATACCCCCTTCAACTTGTTCACTTGTCTGTTTGTTATCCAATGGAGTTGACTCGGTTATCATGGCCGAACGAGACATTGTGTTGGGGCAATACCCATTGCCGTCCCGATGTTTGGCCGAAGACCTGTGGCCGGCCTTTTTGCCTCTGTTGTATTTCCTGAAACCACTTGTAAAGAGAATCCTCAGGGGCGGCAGTGAGCCGACGATGATGGAGACGCCGAGCTCTGTTATGCTCCAGATGGAGAGTCCGACCTTGTCCAGCGTATGCCCCTTCATCACTTGTGTCATGCGGACGACTGCTATGAGGATGGTGATCAGGGCAAGGCTGAAAGCCACGGCGAGGCCCAGCTTCTTCCTGATTTCGAGTTTCAACGATGGGAGCATGGCGATGGGGAGAGCCATTATCATCAAATCCGTGGCGATGTCGACGGCAGCTGCGTAGTAGGCGCTGTAGCGAACACGGTCGAGCTCACTTGGCGAATTGCATTTTCCTGTGACGATGGCGGAGTCAGAACTCAGCTGAGGAAGACGATCATCTGCAGTCCACGGGGGCAAAAAAGACATTGGGATCTTACCTGCCACGAAGGAATCGCTAAAGCGGTCACATATCAGCGAGCCGGTGACCCATCCACCAATATAGGTGAGGAGAGTGAAGGCGGCAACTGAATACCATGCTTTCCTCAGTACCGGAACTGGGCTGACGAGGTGGAAGAAGACGGTCAAGATGCTTGCCTTTACCGCCCAGAGACCCGTCCAGTAGATGTAGTTCATTGCGTGAGACCACCGCAGCCATTGTTCAGTTTGCTGTGACACCTCTTGTAAAGAGGTTGGGATCAACCGTCCTGCTTGGAGATGGATGAGGTAGTACATGGGGCCGGTCTGCTCCATCTGTATAACGGCCAGAGATAAAAGACACAGCCAGCCAAGGATTATGCAGTAGTCGTCGAGCAAGAGGCGGCGGTTGCGGCGCCAGCGAATCAAGAGACGGAAAAGCAGGAAGATGAACGAGGCCGATGCATTGCCCCAGCCTATGGCCACCAGAGTCCGGCCGTTGATGTTTTGCGCAGCGCCGAACAGAACTGCATCAGGGTCGGCTGCCGGCGACGACATTACTGACGATGAGCGGGATTGAGTCTGGCGAGGGCTCAAGGAAGGGCACTGAGGCTATCGAAACGTGGAGTATTTAGAAGTGGCATCGGCAGAGGAAGGGGACAATTGTCAGAGGCATCGGAGGTCTGATATCGCGCAACTATTACGCTGATATATATGAGACTCTGAAGGTTCGGCAATTGACCATGGAAAGCATCGGCAAACATGGATCATCACCTTCTTCCCTGTTCTTCCCGGCTTCATCTGGTCCGTACAAGTACAGGAGAAGCAGGCAAGTTACGGTGCTGCTTTGTTTTTTCGGTGGGGCAGGCAAACATTCTTCTGGGCTAACTATCTATTTGTCTTGAGTTTGCAAACAATGGTCCTACTTTAGGATCAGCGCGGCGCCAAGATACGGGGATACGGCGCAGTAAGGTAACCGGTAAATTCGATCGGCGAGAATTTCATATTGAAGCAGAAACAGGGGTATCGGCGCTGGCTGGGAAACCAGTCCTAGTGGTTGACATTGCCAGAGAAAGCAGAGGAAGCAGAATAGTAAACCCGTCAGTGCGTTATAAGCCAGAACTTACATGCGGCATCTCCCAGAGGTCCCTGGCCCAGCAGTTTCTGAAGGTTCAAGCATGGTTCGATTCTACGCCAGAGTCAGACGGTCAGACGATCAAAATCAACACTATATCGACCATTTTCAGCCATGGCCAGTTTTGCATGCGTGGACGTTCGTCCAAGACCTTCGCCGAGCGGCGGAGACACGAGATATGGCGAGGTTGCTTGCGCTAACTAGTAACAAACCCCTGGTTCGAGCTGACGCCTAGAGCAAACAACATTATATTATCCTGGTCTGCAAACTGAAAGCCTTCAACTCTGGCCATAGAGAGGGGAACATAGTCAGCTAAATTAGATGCGCTTGCGATGCGCCACGGACTCGTTCTCTTTGAGCATGTATTTCTTCTTCTTTTCTTATTAGAAAAAAGCCAGAGCCGAACCGGTCTTTGTGTTGATTCTGTTTATTTCAACCAAAGATTCTGCACCCCTCAGCGGGAAAAACACGTCGTGTTTGGGAGAATGGGATTCTCAAAGTTTCCGAGGACGAGATCATCGAGCGGAGAAATACACGTCTCTGGGCTTCCATCAGACATCCGGCCTCAACACCCATTATCGAGAGGTAGGGACGCTGATGTCTTTACCCTCAATGCCAGAAGTATCCCGGTCACTTGATGGCACATTTGTGATGCTCATTGGTGGTGCTTCCTATACTAACAGGACCGGGCATCCCTTCGTTCTCACCCTTGCGGCACCAGTCACTCTGGCGAAGCTGCTCAGACACTGCTCCTTGCCCTCCACCGCACTAATTTAGTTTGGCCAAGACAGTTGATTTATATTGATTTGTAGGGGTGCACTTCTTCATCACCGTCTCATGTATTAAAGCTCTAATTAACCGCCGGGTCACCAAACCCAGCGGCATTCGTACAGATAACGCACCGGTTGCCGTGCTACAGGTGTTATTGCTCATCTTCCCCCGCTGTGGCATTTCCGGGTTTTTGGATCGGGATGATGGATCGTGTTTGACCACCACTTCCCACACGTTGGTTCTCGATGGCGACAGCCGGGATTCCCGCGTAATATCAGGTGTGGGATCCTCCAATTGTCAGCGTCGTCAAGCTGTCGAACACCGGATTGCTTGCAGAGCCGACGTGCAGTCATCAGTTCATAGACGACCAACATCTGTTTGCATTCCCATTGCTGCGCGGGCCCTGAAATACCGAGTCCAAAGATGCACAGGGTTACTAGCCAGCGGCCATATGATGTTGCTCTGTCACTTGGAATCCATGCCACGGCCCATCTTGGACAGAACGCAAGCCGTCGCACCTTGGAAGGAATCAAGTGTGGCAATGTAGGCAAGCGGGCAGTTCCAATCTTACCGGCATCGGCACGGCCGTTTCGCCACAGAGCGGTTCTTCACCCGTCCTCCTAATACATTCATTTGGCGCTTCTGAGAGTCTGAAGTGGGCTCAAGCTCCATGATGCCATTTAACCTGGCATGCTCACGAGTCTTGACTTTGTTGTTCGCAGATGGAGAAGATGACGAAGATTGCGAAAGCATCTTTTGCTCGCATTAACATTGGTTATGACGTCTGTCACGATATATAAGCCACTATTACTGCCCACATAACTAACGGTATCGTTTTGTTACGTGACAATGTCTTCGTATCCTCACCTACTAGAGGCTTCTGACTCCCTGCAGTAACTTCAACGGGACCTCATCTCGGTCGAGTACAGCGTGCGGAGCCCAGGCCCATCCTCACTCCGCATGTCACCCAAGCTCGTGATTTCGAGTTGCGCAGTGACCGAACGCCAGATCGCTTCCCCGGTCCGGGTCTACATCATCAGCCCTGGTAAGTTCAAGTCCCCGCACTCGTTCCCGCTCATCGGAACTGAAAATTACGCCATCGGTGTCGAGATCCATCCTCCCGGTGCCATCTGCCGGTTCTCCCAATTTCAAGTCCACAAGGGCCAATGAGTCTGGTGGGGCGCTGCTCCAAAGGCTTTGGCTTCACCAACAGGTCTGGTTTCCACTTCCGGCCCCAACATGACACGTCGCAAATCACAAATCGCAAACCGCACACTTGCAATTCTCGACTGTAAGCAAGTTGAAGAGGTGCTTTTGACGTAAGCTGTTGCATCGTGGATCTCACATCGGACCCGACGGATGCAGGCCCAGTGTAAACTGCCGTGTCCACAGCCATGGCAACGATACCTTCCAGGAGGCCCACATCTGCTTCTCCATAGGACCGAAGATGGAGTAATGTGGCAAGTCAAGAAGGGCAAAGGCCCCCCAAGTTGGCTGGGCCCGATGACTTCGACAAGACCCCTCTGTTCAAAGGCACCCCGGCTTGCAAACCACTGCACACTTTGTAGGAGAATTTCTGTCAAGCCGATGCTTGTATAGTTGCCGTGAAACAGGTGGACTGATGGCTTCTATGGTAGCAGGTTCTAAGTGTGCGTGGGGGTTTTTTTCTCCCCCCCTCATTTGTCAAAGCCGGGTGAACGGATACGGAGACCTATGGTGCCATGGTTCCTCCGGTAATGCTGTTCGAAACCCCATCATGCCACATCATGAGGTTGTAAGAATGTTGATGTCTGGTTGGCGCTGGAGAGTTCAGCCCCGACCTTCCGGCAATAATTGTTTGCCTGTAAAGCTAAGATTTGAGATGCATTGGTTCTCAGTTTAACCAATCCGTTCCACCGGTTATTGCAGATTATCCACCAAGTTTTTGACTGATGTTTAATTTTTCTCTTTTCGGACAAAGCGATTTCGATAGCACATATCAAGGGTCTTATGAATGTCTAATGGGAGGTCCATAAGGTCTGAATGAGGCTGAATGCTTGGACAAGAAGCCACAGTTTGTAAACATTAAATCATACATGGTCATCTTGCTGCACAAGTGACAGGAGATGGCTCGAGGAAACTATCCAACTTTTTGAAATATTCCAGATAACGTAAGGGGTATTATTATCCGGAGGGAAAAACTAAGAAATAAACGCTGGGGCATTTAGCCAAGAAGAGCGCACGTGAAGGGGCTGCTAATCTTTCCGCTCTTGAACTTGAGATCCTGTTGAATGTGGTCAGCGGCGGGCTCGATGGCTGGCTACAGTGGAAGGGACGGGGGGGACTTACAATCTCAACAATACTGGCGTAGGTACCGCAGACAAGGACAACGATGCCAATGACAAAGACAATGCCGTTGAGGATGGTCCTGGTCAGGTTCTGGGTGGCGAAAGGAGAGCCATCGCGGATGAGCATGAACCACATCAGAGCGGGGAAGTAGAAGGTGAAGCCGGAGATGAACAGGGAGGAGCTGATGGACAGCAGCTCGGAGAAGAAGGGGATGGCCTCGGCGATGATGAAGGCGACGACGGTGATGACGGTGATGAGGCCCAACCAGGTGATCCAGCCCATCTTGGTGTTGATGAAGCGGATGACGGAGTCCTTGTAGACGCGGCCGTGGATGTAGCGGCCGACGACGGTGGTGTTGATGGACCCGGAGATGAAGATGACGGGCAGCGCGACTCCGAAGGCGACCTTGGAGATGGTGTGGCCGGCGGACAGCAGGGCGGGGGACTGGACGTCCTGGCCAACAAAGGCGTAGATGAGGGCACCGGTGACGGTGTAGATGAATATCTCAATGAGACCGAGGGCCCAGATGGACTTGACGTAGTCGCGGGGGGTGTGCATCTCGTCCATGAAGGAGAACTGGCAGATGGCGAAGGAGTAGGCGAAGACGATGTTGGTGATGGCGATGAAGGCCTCGGCGAAGGTGACGCCCTCCTTGGGCCAGGCGGACCAGGCGGCGGTGGTGATCTGGCCCTGGTTGATGCCGGTGGCGATGATGGTGATGCCGATGGCCAGGATGACGGAGACGAAGTCGATGTATCCGAGAATGGCGACCTCGGCGAAGGAGGGAGGGATGGCGAGGATCAGCAGGATGATGGCGGAGACGACGGAGAAGACGATGGAGCAGGCGCCGTTGTCGGAGATGTTGCCGAAGGCGATGGCGCCGGTGAGGGTGTGGGAGCTGACGAGGAAGGTCAACTGCAGGGCGAACATGGCACCGATGATCTCGTAACCCCAGCGGCCGAACATGAGCTGGCCGGCGTCGGCGTAGTGGGAGACGTGAGGGAACTTGAGCTTGACCTGGCCGACGACGTCGCTGGTGTAGATGGCGATGAGGCCGAGGCCGAGGGAGAGGATGACACCGGCGACCATGCCGAGGGTGGCGAAGGCGGCGGGCAGACTCAGGGAGCCGAGGGCGATGGCCTCGACGATGAGGACGACGGTGAGACGCTTCCAGCCGAGGCGTTTGAAGTGGGCGCTGCCCTCGGCGGCCTTTTGCTTCTCAAGGTCCTGTTGGTTGAGGTCGGTGACCTCGCCGACGACCTCGCCGGGGAAGACGGCATCGCGGGAGAACTGGGGGGTGACGGCGGCGCTGTCGAACTTGACGTCCTTGCTCTCGTAGGCGCCGGCCTCGTTCTGTCTGATCTGGTCGTGGTCCATTATGATGATTATTTTGTTGTAGTAGTTCGACCTTTTTTTTTTTTTTTTTTTTTTTGTCTCTCGGTTTTTGTTACCAGTTTGTGTGGCGTGGGTCCTTGGCCGGAGAGAGTGATGTCAACTGAGATGTTGCCGACAGTTGTTTTATGTGTTGAAAAGACTGGTGGCGCAGCAACTTTAAGACCGCACGTACACAAGGTGAACCGGGTTGGGCTGGTCGAACTTCAGTTGAAGGAAGAGAGCAGTGAAGAGAGTGTCAAGTGCCGCTTGGACTGATGGAGTGAAGAGAGAGAAACGTCAACCCGAGGGGGAAACAGAGGCAGCATATATGATGGCGAAGGCGGAGCATCGGCACCGACCCCGGAGTCAGGCCGAGGGGAGTTGAGAAGCAAGTCGGCAACCTCTCTCGACTGGCCCCCCGCAGAGACGATTCGTCTGACCGGGGTCTTATCTTTGGGCCCCCGCGATCGTGGGCGGTGTCACCGGCAGCTGGGTGGGCGGGCAGAAGAGGTTCGTCAGAGTAGGCTAGTTTGGATGGAGCCAACACCGGTTATCAGAAGATCACACAAAGGTCATTTAGTCATATGCAGCCCGTCCCCTGCCTTCTCCCATGCGTCGTGGAATTGCGGGGGAATAAACCGTTGCAGAGCTTCCCCGCGAAATCGGAACTCGCGTCCCTGGGATCCCAGAGATGACACTGGTCGTCTGCCGCTCCCGGTTTTCCCAGCAGGAGGGGAGGAGGTTTCGCCATGTCAAGAAAACCAGGCTCGCGGCGAGCGAGAGGCGCGCTGCAGAGGGCGTGTTAGATGGCCCGATGGAGCTGGACAGGCAACGTTGCGGGACTCGAGGCGATTGGAAGAGTTTTCGCATCGTAATACGGTGGATATTGTGACCTATTCTTTACCTAACGGACCCAGACGCACAGCCGGATGGTGGCCTCACCTTACCCCTTGACTCGGTCCATGTCAACCATCAACCCCGAAATAGGACCGGTGGCGCTGGGAAGCGACTTGTGGGATGGCCGGGATGACCGGTGGGATTCCTGTTGACCCTGCACGCTCACGGTATCTGCGAGATATTATAGCGATGGGGGGAGAGAAGAGGGAAAGCTTAGCTTGTCTCTGTTTTTGCCTCATCTCCTGATGGCTGCAACCCAACCGCGAGAGAAACAGCGTCATTGAACCCCCCACGAACATCAGACGTTGGGTCAAGAGCGTGAGGCTCAACGACGTCGGACGGGAGAACGAGACCAGAGCAAGCCAAGGAGTATCGATTGCCGAACAAGGGGGGAGGGGGGTCATTGAGAAACCCCTCCCATAGGCCAGGACTCGAAGCCGTCGACAGAATCTGCAGCCATGAGCCGATGAGCTAGACCAGCCATGGCTACAACGCCGACCTACCCGCCGTGAGAATCGGGTAGGGCGAAACGTAATAGCGTCGTTCCCGGTCCCGTGCATTCCCGAGGCCCTCCAGGCGTCATCCTTGTGCGTCGCCACTCACACCTTGCTTGTCGTTACCCATCAAGGAAGGCTTCTAGAAGATCGCCTGCATGGCCCTCGGAAGGCTTGTCGACGCCCCCTACGTGATTCCCTGCTCGCCAGCGAATGAGAGGCTGCATGCAGGGTCCCCTGGCATGTGTCCCACGCTCAGTGTGTGTTGGCAAGGCAAACAGAACCAAATCTCACGAGACATGATGAGAATATCCTTGCTTGAGACGGAGTGAGGGTCGACCTTCTGGTTATCACCCACGGCGCGCGGCGGGTGCTCGAACCAAACCCCAACTTTTGTGCAGACCCCCTTTTTTCCTTTTCTTTTCTTTTCTCTCTCACCCGCCTCTCAGAAGACTATGACTGGCCAGAGCGTACAACTGCCCAGTTCTTTGACATGCAGCCATGACCAATTCGAGAGATAACGAGATCGGTGGTCGAATGGGGTGGGAGGAGAGAGGAAGGGGGAACAGCGGCGCTGCGCATTTGCACCGAGCGGTTGTCCGACATTAGATGCGATAATTAAACATAGCACAACCAGCATGGCTCAACCAGTTTCAAAGAGAGTGCGGGTGATTAGAAAAATCCCGCTCATTTCGTAAACCGCCTTGTAAATGGAGGATAAAAAAAAAACAAAACACATGAGAGATAAGGCATTCGAATGAGTCGAGAGGGTATGTTGCATGCGTACGCTCGGCCATAAGCGATGAACCAGTCATCTAGTCCTGATTCCTGCCGATCTGTCGCAAATAATATGGCGGTCCCGAAGGCGAAGCTTTCAAGCCTGCGTCAACGACCCGGCCGACGGTGCCGCAACACCCGGGTCCCTCGTCGACGCGCTTTTTGACGGGTTATTGCACGCGCCGCCTCGCCCGCTGTGGCCAAGGGGGGTCAGGGGGTTGGCTTGTTCTCTGCATTATCCGTACCTAGTTTACTATGTAGGTACGGAGTATAGAGACGGGGAGCCCGCAGCCGACCCTGGCGTCAGACCAGAGGACCGACAAGGGGGGGTGATGGTGCGAGGGGCGAGGGTTGGGACGAAGCTGTTGGCAATTCACATCGCGTCATTGAGTCCGGGGTAACATTTTGCGGGGGTTAGGGTGAATGTCTGCTTCAGAAAATGGCAATGCGGGAATTCTGCACAACGTCGTCGACGACTCATGGTCTCATTCTAGACTATCTGGGTGTTTGTGTTCATGAGCTGACAGTCCGTGGGGGGGGGGGGGGGGAGTTTGTTCACCGAGTCATGTCGTATTATGTTCTCCCCTCTCATCGTCGGTTTCAGCTGAACGAACTCATCAACAACCGTAATTGCCGAAGGACGGGTAACAACGACCAGGTGTCGACTCGGAGGAAACGAAGGAAATGTCAGCAGTGAATCTACCAGTGTCCATTCGCCGTTCGTGCCCGAACGCTCCGGATACTCGGGGAGGAGTCGGCGGAGACGGGCGAGACCAATCACGGCTTAGATATTTGACTTTACAACAAGGAGATTTGAACAGAGGACGAGAAAGGCAAACACATGGCGTTCGTTTTGCTACGTGACCCTGCGTTCCCACAACGCCCACACGTCGTTGAGGGCCGGCAGGCAATGCTTATCCTTCCACAGAAACCTCGCCAGCACCTGCTGCAGGTTCTTGCGACTGCACCTCTCCGGCGGCAAGACGTCCCTGGCCCTCTCCAGCACCTCGAGCAGCCTCGACATGAACCACGCGCGGTCCTCTGCCGTCCCGGAGCCGACAACGCCCACGAACAGGATCCACAGCAGAGCAGCGTCGTCACGCGACACCCAGACAGGGGCAATGGCGTCGGCGTCCTCCAGGGCCGCCCGCATCCTCGCGACCAGGATGCGAGCCATGTGCCCGGTCGTCGGGACCTCCCGCAGCACGGTGTACAGGAACACGTGGGCCGCCGAGACGAGGACGAGGAAGCGCTTCTGTACTGGCGTTGCCGTCCGGCGCTCGGCGTACAAGAAGTGCAGGATCGCGTTGTCGGCCGTGTTCATGACGATCCGGATGTCGTCGGCCGCAACGGCCCCGGCCTGCGAGCAGATGGCCTGCCTCAGCGTCGCCAAGATCTGGCGTGGCTCCTTGCCCTCGTCCGTGTCGTGGCCCGCAAGCCTGTCCAGGTGACGCAGCGAGGGCGTCGCCGCGCGACTCACGACCGACGACGGGAGGGAGACCTGGTCGAGAGTGTGGAACATGGGCAACATGGGAACTCGTCCCAGCCCGGACGCTACTTGGATACTCATCCTGGTGTAGAGATTTGGTGAGCGAGTGTTTCATGTTTTTCCCAAGCGTTGGCTTATCAAGGAACAAAGTTTCTTCACCAGTTGATGCTGCGGCAGAGGATGTAGTCGTGTTTGATCGTGTCCGGCCCGCCGCGAGCCATGATCATGGCATGAAGCCCGGCCAGGTGGGCTTCGGCTGCCGCGAAATGACCTTGGAACGCCTACCAATGATTTTGTTAGCATTGCAAGCTCTGCTGTATGCAGGGAGGGCGAAGGGACAACTCGCTTCCACACTGCTCAGCATGGCTACACCAGCCAGCACGGACAGGTCGTCGCCCGCCCTTTTAGCCGTCTCTCGGGATTCCAAACGGCTTCTGAGCATCCGCATAGCCTCGCCCTTTTGCAAATACCCCTCTCGCTGGAGCGTGAGGTCGGGCGACGGCATCGACGCTGCGAGGAACTCGGCGGCCAGCGCGAGCGTGGTGCGCAGGATGAGAGCGCTCTGCATGGCGTATGGGAACCATGGCCTCTTGTTATCGGTCGTGGTCGAGTTGAGGTTGAACCTGGTGGTGACTGCACAGTGAGCACCAACCAACAAGAGAAAAAAGAACCGAGGCCGGACTCGGTCGAGTCAAGAAGACAACACGGGGGGTTCATCTCACAGTATTTGACCAGAGCGTCGACCGAGGGATTACTGGGGATCGGCAACGTGTTGAAGGGGTCGGCACTGTCGCTACCCAGCCTCTGGATCCAGGGCGGAAGAGAGGCCTGTGCCAGCAAGTCATAGATATCCGGAGGCTGGCAAGAAGTGAGTTGTGTAAGCGAACGTGTGAGTCTGATGGGAAAAAGGGGGGGAACAAGTAAGTGGTGGTGTCATACAGCAGCAGGTCCGGCGGCATCCTTGCGGCGTTGGTTCTTTGGGTCTTTGGGCTTGGCCGCTGTGCCGCCCAGCCTGAAGCGGCCTCTCAGATGCGCCTTGCCCCTTATGGTCCCTTGGGAGACGAGGGTAGTCGAGGCAACCAGCTCAGACTCGCCCCGATGGATAGCGGTCCGGATGGCATGGCTTCGGACGGCCCTGGTGGCCGGCTGGAAGGTCCCTTGAACAGCGTCGACGGTGATGAACTTGTAGTCGGGCTCGGGACCCATGTGAAGGGTTCAAGCAGCCAAGTGGCGGCTACTTTTGGGGGGGGGTTCAGAACGTCAGTTGGTCAGACTGTCTGTTCAAACCGTGCCGGGAAACACTCCCGTACCCCTGGACTAATGCTCAATGAAGCTGCACGTCAACAAGAGCCGAGAGCCGGCCGGATTGGCCAGCACCGGAGAAGAGTGGTTTTGTTACGTCAATCAGGTACACGTGGAGAGCTCTCTTGTTAGTCCGCGACTCGTTATGGCTGCTGGCAGTGAGTAAGCACCCATGGAAATGATCTGACGCCGTCGTCGCGAAGGATCGCCGCAGGTGAGGGGGACGAAATGAGGGGAAGTATCCGGGGGGTTAGCAATCTCAGTTAATTTCTCACTCACTAGCTCACCTCTTACCTCCCCTCTCACTCCCACTCTCACTCTCACTCTCACTCTCACTCTCACTCCCACTCTCACTCTCACTCTCACTCCCACTCTCACTCTCACTCCCACTCTCACTGACGGGTGCTGTGACCACAGCTTCGAGATAAGCGGGTTTCCTGATTCGGCCTAAATGATGGGTTAATAATCAAGTCTGGCCAATGGGATTACGGGCATAGTGATGGAGTGGGGTAAGACTCGCATCCGCAAAGCTGATTAGACGAGTCACGTGACCCTTTTTACTACTTGTAAAGTCCACTACGTACAGTACGTACCCGTGTCTCACATCCACACGGCGATTCGTCCGCCTTCGGCCTCCGCGCGGACGAAAAGATCAGTAAGCCGTAAGCACTTGTATGATCCTTAACGTCAGCGAGAGACATTGGTTCGCCGCCTATACTTGAGATAATGTCGTTTTGTCCGTCTTCCTCGCAAGAGGCCACGTTGTGTTCCCCACGAAGCCTGTTGCACCAGTGTCCAGTTGGCGCTGTCCATATTTGCTCAATTCCCGAACCAGAGTCGTGCTTCATCGTTTGTTCAACCATGAATGAGCATGGACGAGAGACCGAACAAGAAGCGTAAAGTTCGCAAGGGGACGAGGAGTTGCTGGCAGTGTAGGTTCGTCCGAACATGGTGCCTCTCCCCCGAACCCCGATCGTTCTCGGCATCATCCCTGCCCCCCTTTCCATGTCTCTGACATCTCTCCTGTTCAGGTAGAAAGAGAAAGATCCGCTGCGAGTTCGCGTCCAATGATGAGGAGACGTGCAACGGGTGCCAGGCCCGAAGCACCATCTGTATCAGTCAAGAGTTTGCCGACGAGGAGCCGTCCGGCCCCCCCGAGCGCGGTCTTGTTCAGCGGCTGGGCCGGCTGGAGGAACTGATGCTGAAGCTGGCCGACAAGATAGGACCGGACGCATTCGCCGCCAATAATGCAATCACGCCGGCACCGTCGGTCGAAGGGTCTCAAGGTGCGCTCCCACCCCGTAGTCCGCCGCCCCATCTGGCAAGGCCTTCTACAAATGTCACCCTCATCTCCTCATCGGTACCCCGCCTAGGCCTATCCCGTCCGGCACGAGATGGGGTCCGGAGCCACTCCAAGTACGACAAATTATGCCGGGAGATTCACTCCGCCTTTCCCTCTCTCCAGGCCGCCAAGACCATTGTCGACTCGAGCAAGGGCCCCGCCTTCGTCATGGCCATGTTCTACGCGTATCAGGACGTTCTCGAGGGCAGATCCCCGACGATGGCGTCTCTCACCGGCATGCCAGACGCCACCAAGCACCCTGCCCTGTTGGCGAAATACTTGCTCCAGTTGATCATCTACCTTCAGCAAATGCCGCCTTCATTCGACACTTCTGAGCTCGAACTCGGCCTGGGTGGTTCCATCCAGGATAAGATGAACGAGTGGGTCACAGCGGCCAGCCTGGTCACTGCCAACGACGAGCTGCTAGGCTCCGTGGAAGGCCTGGAGTGCCTGATCCTCCACGGGTTCTATCTGATCAACTCGGGGAACCTTCGAAAGGCGTGGCTCGCGATGAGAAGGGCACTGAGCATGGCACAGCTGATGGGCATAGAGACGGATGGCGCGCGTTCCATGAAGTCGTGCGACCCGGCAACGGACCCGAACACCGTCCCCTCCTCTCAGGTGCTATGGCATCGCATCATCTTCTGCGACCGGTACATCTCTCTCCTCCTTGGCCTCTCGGCCGGGTCGCAGGATAACAGCTTCATGTCGGACGAGTTCCTGGCCAGGGACACGGCCATGGAAAGGCTGGAGAAGAAATACTCCGTCATTGCGCTCCACATCATCGAGAGGAACCGCGCGCCGGCCAACGAAGCATACGCAATCACCCAGTCGGTCGACTGTGAGCTCGAAAACGCTGCCAAGGCCATGGGCAGGGCGTGGTGGGAGATACCGTCCCTGCCCGAGGGCACCGATAAATTGGCGGACATGGGCACGATGTCGCACCTGATGCTCCAGATCCATCACCACACCCTGCTCATCATGCTCCATCTTCCTTATATGCTCCGTAATCAGACAAATAGTCGGTTCGACTACAGCAAGAACACGTGTCTGGAGTCGAGCCGGGCGGTGCTGAAACGCTGCATCATCTTCCGTACGGCAAACGACGCGGCCTTTTCGTGTCGCCATATCGACTACTCGTCGCTGACGGCTTCCATGACGCTGCTGCTCGGGCATCTCAACCGCCCTCCTGGTGTCCGCGAGGAAGACTGGTCACGACAGCGGAACGAGGACCGGGCCCTGGCCGAAACCACCGTGGCCAAGATGGAGAAGCTGGCCCTCCTGAACGACGACAAGCTGTCATGCGAAAGCGCAGACATCATCCGCCAGCTTCTCCCCATCGTGGACTGCTGCAGCGGCGCGGAGCCGTCGGGCTTCACCTGCGCAGCGAGGAACGTGCAGCTGACCATCCCGTACCTCGGTGTCATCAACATCAACATGACCGCGAACCAGGCCGCCGAGCGGCGCGCCGTCGACCTGACCCACTCGCAGCTCCCCACGCCGAGCAACACCACCACCGTCTCGTCCGACGCCTACCAGGAGACGCCTCCACCCTCCGCCCTGTCCATGGAGGCGTTCCTGACCGGCGCCGACACCACCATCCCCCACGAGGACGTCTGCTCCGGTCTCAGCGCCGACTACCTGGGTGGGTGGCCGTGCCCGGGCATCACCGCCGAGGCCGGCGACTGGACGTTCCAGGGCGTCGACACGACGTTCTGGTCCCTCCTCAATCATGGCATTGGCATGTCCTCCGACTTTACGCGAGGAGACTAAACTGCATTTAACATGTCTCAAATTTCGGGTTTCCCCTCTACGGCGCAGTATATATTACTCTACTAGTAGGGCTAGCAGGTAGAATGGGTCAGGTTAGGGTTAGAGTCCACGTGAGGCAAAGTTAACGTGACTGATTATAATATTTTCTGGCCGTTAAGGATTGATGGCTGTGGCTATAGCGATGCTGTCAGATGCAGCTAGATACAGACAAGACACTATAAGTACATCGGCACTTTACCCTTCACCCTCTTATTGCACACACGGCGATGCTTGCCGATTTGGAAATTATAGCATTGCTTAAAATGTTTTGAACAACCATTGAAGCAACCAGCTCCGTGCAGAAGCTCTTTCCGCAGAACTGCCCTGAACGGCTATCAAGCCCTGAGCCAAGGAAGGGAAATAATAGTTCTTAGCATAAATTAAATATAACAAAGTAATATACTCTTGATCACGTCAGCATAGGTTCGGGCTTGGATCGAGATATGGGCATATATACCCTTGCGTCGCTTTCCTAACAACTGTCTTCAAAACTGGGGCCAAAGAAGGAAGTTATGAAAGCTGTGTGGCAAGTTGGGAACCGTCGCCCTTATCTATTGCCGGCTCCAATACTCCTTATTATGGTGGAGGCACGTGAAGGCGGCTGGGTAACCGTGCTGTCACAAAATAGTTTGGGATGGCAGGTTCTGAGCATCAACAGGATTTGAACTCGGCCGTCTCAATCCAACTGATACTCTCATCCCTGCCAAGCTGCCGGGATACGTCTCGGCTCGTGTTGTCCCACCCTTTGTGGAGGCTTAGGGTCACGGGTTAAAAAGGGGCTGACAAACTCCTCGCTCAACTCAACACAGCCCGGCCACTGCCCCCGTGTCCAGTGCACATGGCTGTTGTTGACATGACTCGCATCCGTTGCCGCGGCCCAATCAACATGGAGGTTGTATATGGCATGTGGAGCCGAGCGTCATATTGAGGCTCAATGGGGCCATCAACTTACCAACAGCCAATGAGCTCCGTCTACAGCCGTATAACAAGATTGAGCTTAATGCTCGAACATTGCGTGACCTATCATAATAGCACCATCTTCGATAGTTTGCATAACACTGGATTGATTGAAACCGTTTCTCCGGGGGAAGGTCATTAGGAAATAGGACATGGCGTGCCGCGCTTCTTGATTACCTACAAAGTAATTCAGCAAGAATATGCCCAATGTCATCAGACGACTCCCCTTTGAGGCTGCCCTGAATTCGGCACATGTTAGTAGTTACTGGTTGCAAGCCATGGCAGGTTTCGGCCATGGTCCGGATATGCCTGGAACCTCCCCCGCGGGTCCGCTCCGCTGTGCCGCGGAAATCCTGCGGACTATCATTGGAGAGATGAAGAATAACGTTTCTCCACCACCCGAGAGCGGAGCAAACCATCATGGTACATACTCACGCAGTAAGGAGTCTCGTGGTCCGCCGATTTCAGGCCAGACTCCTTTTAGTTTGCAAAATAGCGGAGCGAGCTCAATAACCTTGCAAAGCCCCAGGGACATGCTGTCTATTCTCAGGGTTAGGAAAAAATACTCAAGTATAAGTAAAAGTACAAGTATACTCAGGTAAGTAAATATAAGTCTAGGGTTAAAAATTACTAACTAAGTATAAGTAAGTAAAATTCTCTAAAGTAGATACTTAAGTATACTTAAGACTTATTAAATACTTACTTATATAAGAAAAAGATAGATAATAAGGTATACTATAGGCTAGATTAGCTAGCTGCCTAGGTTATATCACTAGTTATATAACTAGAGACCTAGAGTATTAGCTTTATCTCTTTTACTTTACTAAGAAACTCTTTTAAAATATTATGTAATAAGTATTTAAGTATACTTAAGTAAGTATTTTTTTAGAAATAATTACTTAAAGTTACTTATTTCTAACCCTGTCTGTTCTTAAGTGCGTCCACCGGTGGTCGGACGTGGGGAATTAGGCTGAGGTTGATATTATGGACTGTTCGATGGATACGATACCTACCTAGCCTGGTACTTTGCTTTATTAAGAAGCCTCTCCTTGAATTTCATCTTTGGCTCGTCTTGTTCCCTCTCATTGCCCTAGTCGGCATCTACTGCATCGTACGTCGTGTCAACCAACTTTACTTCCATTCTTTCAATCATAAGACCAACACGTGTTCCTTCGGAGGATAGACAACCCAGCAACTCGATCCAAGATAACAGAAACAATGGTGTCTACCGCTTTCCTTTCCCTCATTGTCTTTGCCGCCGCCGTCTCTGCAAGCTCTCTCCAACCTCGCATACTTGCCGCCGATGATATCATCCTCCTCAACCACGATGGCACCTCTCAGATCATTAAGGCCGCCGAATACGAGGCCCTCGAAACCGCCGCCGCCACCGCTCTCGCTCCCGCTTCTTTTCCTTCGCTCAACATCACCAGCACCCCCGAGATAGCCCGGCGTCACTGCAGCCAGAGCAATGAAGTCCAGATCATGGCAGATGATTATTTGCTCGAATCGGACGTCGTCATGTCTCCAGTCGTCTCGTCGGTCGGTGGCGGGGCCACTGTGAGCATCGAGGACGGTTTCAGGCTCTCGGAACAACTGAAAATCCAAGGCCAGATCACCCTCGGCGGCCCCAAGATCATCCGCGCATCGCTCAACAATAAGTTCGACATGACGTGGACATCCACTCAGACCAAAACGTTCAGGTACACGTTGCCGCCCAACATGTACGGCGTTATCGTCAGCCAGCCCTACGTCCGTCGGTTTCAGGGCTTCCTGCTGAGCGGCTGCACGGACAACCCTACTAGGACTCCTTTCGAGGCCAAGACGTACGAGAGCCAGAGCTACGGCTCGCTCTCTTGGGTCAAAGGCGTCATTCGCATGTGCAGCAGCGAGATCTACCCCATTCCGTACTGCGTCGGCGACGGCTACCACGAATGAGTCGGACCATGTTAGCGTCGAGGGTATCGGGAGTTCTGGCTGGAGTCTTGGTCGACGGCTTTGAAAGTATACGACGACCGGCTTTGGAAGGCTACCGAAACTCAGCTTTTCGATACAAATGAACCGACAGGATTACACCCGAGTACGGTGTTCATCGGCGGTACTTGCGCACCATCAGAGTGTTGATCTTGGACTGCCAATAACCTATTGGTCAACACATACCCGCCACGAGGCCTTGCCGCGAAGGCCATTTGTGGTCCACTGCTTTCTGCCATTGCAGATTTAGCTCGTCCTTTGGCTCGAGCAACGCATCGATGAATATACGTTTGCCTGTGTACTCCAGCGGATCCGCATCAGCCACCGAGACCGGCTCAATTCTCCCATTGACTTCGTCTCATGATCCCACCGTAGGATCTTGTTCAGACTGGTTGCCAGAGTCGAGCAGGACGCAGCGCCTTTTGATTAGGCACCGGACAGCTGGCAATGAGGGCCAGCGCTGATGTACAGAGCATCATGATATAGAACGCCACGACAGACGTTTGTTTCCTGGCGCGGATGTGGGCGATATGGTCGGCGTACGAACCCGCGCGCGGGGGGGGAGGGGGGCACAGCTCGAAATGAGAGCCAACTGAGAGGTCACTTTAAATAATGCGCGCGAAAGCGTCTGTGACAGCAAGGTTCAATTATAGTTTAATGATGTAATATAGGTCTTTAAATTAATTCTTAGCCGTCTTACATGGCCCCAAAGTGAGGACGAGTTTCCGATGAATCATACAAGCCACAAGCCAACGAGCCAAAGCCCTTGAAAGAGATAAGCTCAAGCTTTATCAATGATCCGAATAGAATGAATAGAACCTGAGCAGCAAACAATGGCTTGCTTCGTTCTTTGACAGGCGGTCCAATTGCATTTACCACTTTTAATCCATTGTAGAGGACGGCAAGATAAGAGACATAGAGATACTCCAACATGAACATGAGTTTATACTGATACATAGGGATTTTGTAGTTTCCGTTGAATAAACACATTTGAGTCGCCTGGCCCTGAACCTTGAGTTTTTGATTGGTCGACTCAGCTGACTCGCTTTTCCATCGACCTTCTTTACGACGATCTACAACCTGATTCCTTTTGTCTATAGGAACGTCCCGGCGTTAAATATAACACACACACACACACACACACACACACACACACAACCTTATTCATGTTAAAGCGGCGAGATCCAGCTTACACTACTCTCCATTGACCAGATATATGCAGGCATGCTTACTGCCCCTGAACAGTCGCTTGGCCAAGACGGTCATTGGTTCCCGGTTGGGCACGCTATTCCCTTAAAAATGCCACTGTCCCCAGTAAATGGGTGATAAACTGACAGGAACTCCAGCCTCGGGCGGGGATGACAGAGTTTTATATTCTCCGCTCCTACTCGATCATTGATCAGACATTGTGCCACTGACTTTTGAGTGATTGTTTAAGCACGACTAGACGCGGCGATCTCTGTTACTTTGTCATGGGTATCCGAGCAGGATGGTGAGTGCCCTTCAGGATCTTGACTATGGATCTTGACTATGGTTGGCCTCCGATTGCAATAACATACTAATTTCGAGATGCGTAGCTACCGGTTCGTACCGCTCATCGGATACCACCATGTCCTAATATTATTTATTGTGGTCTCTACAATTCTGTCATGTACTGACACCAGCCATCCATTACCAAAACATTTAGACTTTGCTGGCGAACCTATAGCTGTTCTCCTATCAGGGTGTACTGCCGAAAACCTCAATGGCATATGCCTCATTTCTCTGTCATAGTCCAGTGATTCAACAAACCCAGCACTCAATCCTGCAGTCGTAGTGAATAGCTCTTCTCCTGCAGCTGCAACAGGTACACCATTCGAGGTTCGCGTCGGCTACTTTGGCATGTGTTTGATGAGCTCAGATCAGTGGATCTGTTCTAAAGACTCTGCAGCTCTTGAAACTTTTGCAAATCGATCTCAAATTGGGATGGTCGATGATCCCTTCAAGCTGATTGCCTCTGCTGAGAAGTTCAAAGACGAAGTCATTTTCAAAGGATTATAGTAAGTCCACGGAGAATCTTGTTTCATGACCTTTCTAAATACTCTCATCGAGAGGCTTACAAACGAGCGATACCGTTTCATTTCAATCATCTTCGGATTCTGCACTTTCATACTATTAGCTACCCTTCCGGGGTGGCATGAGGACGAAAACTCTGCGGGAAGCAGTGTTCAAATCAAGCCGTTTCCATCACCAGCAGTAATGAACAGTGCACTGGCATGTACCTTTGTGTCGGCTGTAATATCCTTTCTTGCCACCTTCTGGCAGCACCTCTCGAGTTCTGCAGCGATAGCGATGAGTTGTGCATTTACCCAAGGGGCGGTAACCGGCCATGTAGGAGCTGCCGCCATGGCGCTTGGATGGATCTCCGTCGTTCTTTTGATGACTACGTTTATTGATATGGCTGTAATGATATTATCTATAAAGGTATTATCGCGAATGGACGAATAGATGAAGGAAAGTGTCCCAGTTACTATTTATATACTTTAGTAGTACTATATAACTAAGTATACCAAGAGCCTTTAGTTACCTAATACAAATAACACTAAAATACCTAGGGGCTAGCCATATAGACCTAAGACGCTAAAGAGCTATGTGTCATGGGACAAAACAGCTAGATAGATAGATAGCTTAGCACAGCAGGTGCTTATACCTACAGGCACATGAACCTTCATGTGCCTGCTAGGTATATAGACCACTGCACCAGACATTTCCCCCAGAAGGAAGGGTCAACCATGAATATACCTGTCTACTAGTATATATTTGTCCTTTGCTACCTGTTTATCGCCTTGTTATTGCTTGCCTTGCTTACTGCTTTGCTGTTACGCTTCACCTTTGCACTCCATTGCTTTATGTTACGCTGGTGTGATATCACGAGGCTATGACAGCCTAGCGGTTTCTGCTAGATCTAGAACAGCTGCCAGGAGGGCTATGCCACCATGGGCTCTTAATAGTAGGAATTAATTTAAGTTCAACCCCTAGATATAGTTAATAGAGGCAATAGGAGGACCTTTTAGTAATGGTATAGTTCGTAGAAGGGCTGTAGTGAAGCTATTGGTTGTATTTAGTACTAAATTCAGTTAACCTAGGCACCTTTTTTCAGCCTTTTATACTACGACAACAACGAAACCAATGTTGTCGTGTGGGAGAGAAGGCGATAAAACCCGTAGGCAAGTACTAGCATAGCGGCCAATACACTTATGAGGATGGATACTGCCGCCTTGATATCCGAAGAAAGCTGCGATGCCCAAACGGGCCCCAAGATAGCCAGAAACAATGCGACGCCTGCGGAGATGCCGAATCCCAATTTCAATAAATGCCCCCTTGCATCACGAAGGGTTTTGAGCCATCCGGCTATCCTGTCGACATTGAAGGCTATGACGATAAGTGGTACGGAGGGACGCAGCTCAATAGCCACTGTGAAGAACTCTTGATTAGCTCTGAAGACGGCTTTCTTAGGCTGAACTCACCAATGTGCTTCATCAGGTAGTCAAAGGGAATCCTGTCATTTGAGTCGAGAGGGAATCCATTGGTGTTTATCGCAAATACTGATGCAATGAGGGACACGGGCAACTTCGGCACTATTAATGTACGTTCTTATCTGGCGCCGGGAGGTTGGCCGGGAGGGCAAGGATATGCGGACTTACGAAAAGAATGGTCACAACTGTGAAGACAATTACAATCTTTCCCTGTCGAGCAGTGTCTATAGCTGACTCTCGGACATACAAAGCTTCGGTCAAGCTAGCCTGCTTCTGCTTAAGATCGATTAGGCGATTTAGCTTCAGGAGTGGTCAGTGGATAACCAATATATGCGCGGAGCGAAACAAAATTCCTCACCAACTTATCCACTTTCCTAGCTGCTTGTTCCATCTGCTCGATCCGTACGAGGTGGTTGTTCAAAGTTCTCATCTCGACAGACGGGCATTTACCGCCAGCATTTGCTGTTACCTTGAGAGTCCTGTTGAGGTCTTCAATCACAGTCTTTTGACCCGTCAAAACTAGCTTCAGGGTCTGCAGTTCGTCCAAGATGTCGTCGACTTCGATCATGAGTCCTGTCTCGGTGGCAATGCCCATGGCTTCGCGATTGCCTTCGCTCAATGCCTCTTTAAACTCTCTGAGATATTTGGTAACCTTTTCGTTCTTCGAGGGAACTCGTTAGCTATGCCAATCGCCGTTTGGAAGGTTTACTCTGCAAAGGAGGTGAGGGGGGGTAGAAAAACAAGTTAGGCGGTCTTTCTGCTTGGCCAATCGACCGTTCGAAAAAGTAAAAAAAGAGAGTCTTCGTCGACTCTGTGAGGGTTGAGCAACTCCACGCAGCGTGTGGTGATGAGGCTTGCCAGATCATGGACAGAGCCAACTGCACTTCTGCTGGGTCTCGATAGGTACTCCGTGACCAACTGGGGCACACTTCATGGGTCGTTCAGGTTGATCCCTGGCCATGTTCCCTCCTTTGCTGTGTCGTCCTTGGGCCTCTGGTATCTATCCCCTCTGTGATTATTCTTTGAACTCTGATCCGGGTGCCGCTTATGGGACATCCAATGGAAATTAAAGGTCTGTTTTTTGGTTTGCATGACTGGCTCCGGTTTTGATTCCAGTCCCCTCGGCAACCAGGAGTTCCAGCGAAGCGGACAGCAAGATATTATCGTGTCTATGAAGAACAATGTCAGCGGAAGACTTCAACCCTCAGTCCGGGTTGATGCTGAAATACACACCGTCGCCGAGAATCCACAACCACAGCTGGTCGACCATGATTATCTTGGGGTCAGAGGCTAGGCCAGTCTTCGTGTAGCGATAGACAACCTGATCATCCTCGCGATGCGACGTCGTCTGAATATGGGCATACACGTATGGGTCTAGGGTGCGTTTTGGCCGGATCCCTCGATTACCAGGATCGAAATAGCCTCGAATCAGGTATTCGTGCAGATTGCCGGTAGGAGGAGCGTGCGTGTGCTTCTTCTTTTTTTTTCCGCCTCTGTTGTGCTACCGCTACCATCGAAGCTTCATGATGAGGGTGTTCACGTTTCTCGCTTGGTTTGATTTCCCTCGGGTGGTCTTGGTCTTCAGCTTCTTGTCCTGCATCTTTCGGCTCTGATATCCCACTTTTGGCACTACGAAGCGTCGACTTTCTTGTTATGGCAGGAAGATCCTATGGCCCGGTGTCGGAAGCGTTACTCTTCCGGTCATCACTCGCGATGAAGGGGGCCTGCATCACAGGTTCAGATTCATTGTTCGTCCGTGGCGATGGCCCATCTTGAGCCCCTGGTTCAGGTTGTTCCCCCTCCGCACCCTCCCCCCCGGACGGTTCGCATTTTCCAAGGGTTCGGTGATGTTGAGACTCATCGCAACGGATTGCCTCTCCAAATCCCTTTCACTGTGTCTACCAGTTGGAAGACTAGTTGAAGCACTGGCAGAGGAGCCTGGCTTACGCCGGCGCCAGTCACGTAATCGATTTTGAAGGTTCCTTAATGATCTGAAAGCAACGTTCATACGTGACTTGGAATTTTGGACTGTGATGCCGTTGTCGCAGGTGTTTCCTGAGTGTAAAGAAGAAATGTCCAGTTCTTGGGGCTTAGCGGTAGGTTTATTCTCCGAGACGGGCTGATTTGTGCCTTTAATGAAGCCTGGAGATAGAGGAGGTCTGGGACTATGCTCGCGACCAAAGACCGGAGCACAACCAGAACTCCAGGGTTGCTTCTTCGGCCGGGAATCGAGTGCTTTGACCATGGCGGTATATCCACTGTATATTTCATAGTGCAGAAATGGCACCTGATGGATTGGTCAGTCGATCCGCTGTTATGGAATTGCCGCTGATGAACGAAGTCAACCTACAAAGGAAACGATGCTATCTCCAGCACCAGTCAGGGAAAAAGAGTCATGGCCCTAACACAAGAGCTAAATTAGCTTATAGATTCTGAGGCAAGGTTACAGCGCGTTTCTCTTTCTCACCGGTACGTGACGACAGTGTGGTCGCATAGCTGAGAAGCGAGGTGCAAACGACTGAGGGTTCTTGTTCGTGTCAGATGTCGACAGTTCCATTCAGACCTAGCGTTATTGTAGTCCTCTATAGATATCCCTCCTTTCTCGGCTGCTAGGCGTCTGACGAGGTTCTGTTTCTGTGAGTTCTGTTTACGTCTTTTCACCTGAAGCTGACCGCGATGCAGGCCGACTCACTTCGACCCAAACCGTCTGAACAGGGGATAATGTCAGCTCGACCCAATTTCGATCTCGGAGCAGAGAACTGACGTTGTTTGTTGGCAGGTGATACCACGTAAAGTTGGGCTCATTGCCATCGAGACGACTTTTGATGAACCCGGGCCCGTGACTGTAGAGGAGTTCGTAGACAGATACTGTCTTCTAAACCAGTTTTTCATGCTCTCCCGTAGTGAAAAAGTCTACGGTGATGGCGTCGAATCCGTGGCATGCCACGGCCTTGTCGCGATCACTCTCGGTTGGAGGCGGAGGGGGTTTCAGCTCTGGCGAGCGTTGCTCTGCCTCTCCAGCTTCGTCAAAGTTACGGATCCGAGGCCCCAACAATATCATCTCACCCTCCAAAATCTGGAGCATCTCGTCGTTCTCTTTCGCCAGATCGAAGACGGATTGACCATCAGTGCCCCATATGAGTGTTTTGGCTCCTCTTTGTAAGAGCAACTTGACCGCGTCTAGGCTTCCTGAAGCAACGGCTCGGAGCAATGGTGTGCCCCCGTCCATTTCTCTCAAGCTGTTGACGCTAGCACCATGCTCCAACAATATCTCAATCACGTCGAGACTACCATTATCACACGCTAGATGGAGAGCCGTGGGAGGGTCCTCGGCGCAGATGGAGTCAGGATCGGCGTGGCATTCGAGCAAGAGCTTGACGATATTTGGATTGCCCTTCTTAACGGCGAGGAATAGTGGCTCTCTCCCATCAGACGTTCGAGCGCTAACATCGGCCCTGTACCCTAGGAGCATGCTGCATATCTCGAGGTCGTCTTTCAACACCGCGGCGTGAAGGGGTGTGAGCCCCTGAGCTTCGGCATCGGGAACTGCGCTGTGGCTCAAGAGAGCCTGAACGATCTCGACGCATCGCCCCTCAACTGCCATGTAAAGCGGTCTCCGGCCATCTGTAGCTAGTGCCTCAATGTCAGCTCCATAACTCCAGAGAACTTCAGTCGCCGTCTCGTTGCGGTTCAAAACTGCCAAATGCAAGGCTGTCAAGCCGTACGAGTTTTGAGCGTCTATGCCTTCATCCGCTTGACTGATCACCGCATCCAAAGCCTCGGGTTGTGACGAAGTAGCTGTGTTGAAGATCCTCTCGGCCCACGATTGCTCCATTTCTTCCCAGCCCTCCTCGATTGGCGTGACTTGAGAGGGCTCCATAATGCACTTGTCGATACTTTAGTGATTGCCCTTGACGGCCCCTGTCATTCATCGTGAGTGATAGCGGCGGAGGAAAAACAAGGTGGCTGATGTAAGCAGATCTGTTTCTCGGTTGTGTCTGCGGAAATGTTATTTTGGTGTCTTGCTATCTATCAGCTGCATATATGTCCTATCCTACGGTATCTTGTGTACCCGATGGCACACAAATACCGCATATATGTGGACCAGGCCTATAAGAACACCCCTGCTGTCGTCCCAGACTTCCCTGTGATGATATACGAGATACAAGAACAGCCATGCTGACTGGACGGTCATTTCAGCACTTGTAAAGCAGCGGGCGATTTAACCGCATCCAAATACCAGATTTCAAGTGGGTTGGTACCCAATCAGATTATGCAGATGATTCAGATTGTCGTTATCTATACCGTGAAGCAGGCTGCGGTTGCTATGGTAAAGTGGACTGCCTGGGAAAAATATCATTTGTATTAGTTGCTTTCATGTCAAGCCTCCCATCCCTTTGCTTGGCTTTTGACGATAGCCACCTCGTCGTCATCCTCCCTGGATGAGTCGTCACGGCTGGCGTGCGTTTCGTATGTTCTTTGCACGTAGATCCGGCCGTTCATCTGGCGACTCCTGTGCAAATCGTCCAGCGGTATCGACTGCGTTACCATGACGGACCGCGACGTCATATCGGGCACGTACGTGATGGCATCACCCGGCTGGTTTTGGTGTATGCCGTATCTCTGCGTGTTGCTCTTGCTCGCAGAGGAGTGGTATTTCTTAACCCCTCGTGTGAGGAGGGCCTTGAGAGGCAGCAGGGAGCCGACGACGACTGCCGTGGCCGTCTCTACCGCGCCCCAGATGGCCAGGCCGACGAGGTCGACGTGTTGCCCCTTGATGACATGGGTCATGCGAACAATGGCGACGCAGATGATGATGGAGGCGAGACTGAAAGCAACAGCCAGCCCGATCTTTTTCTTCCCGTCTATTTGCAGAGATGGCAGGATTGTCAACGGGAGTGCCATGATCATCATGTCGGAAACAACATCGACGCTGGTGGAGTAAAGGACGTTGAAGGTCTGCATCCAAACCTCGTGCGGCTTGTTGCACTTTCCTGTGCGAGTGTGTCAGTGTTGTTATCTACACACGTTGGGCATGTTTGTGGAGGGAAGGGCATACGAGGAATGAGGGGGGGGTTGACAAACCAGCTCTGAAATAGTCGGATGGCGGACTGCACGTCAAGGTGCTTGCCACCCAGCAGCCGATATATGCCAGAAGGGCAAATACGGCCACGCAGTACCAAAGACCCCGACGTACAGGGAGCGTCTTGACCAGTGGGTAAAAGACGGCCATGAAGCTAGCCTTCACGGACCAGAGGACGGTCCAGAACAGCTTGATGATGGGATACTGCCAGCGTGCCAGGTCTTCCAACCTGGCAGCTGTTTCGGCAGTGACTGGGATCCGTCCCGCGACCAGATATGTGGTGTAGTAAAGCGCGTCGAGCTGTCTCGTCTGCAGACTGGCCATGGTGACGAGGCACATCCAAGCCAAGATGATGCAGTAATCGTCGGCGAGGAAGTGGCGGTTCTGCCTCCAGCGTACTGTGAGTCTCAGTGCAGCAAACAGGGTGGCAACCGAGAAGCAAGTCCAAATGATGGCTGCGAGTGTTCGCGGATCGACGGACTGCGCTGCCCCCGCGGCGAGGGGCGCATCGGGGCTGGCTGCTGCCGACATTGTTGGCAGAAGTCAGGGAGGAAGAGTGTGAGGAACAGACGGCGAGAGTACAACTTTGGGAGAGTGTCGGAGCAAACATATATCGGCCGGAAAGGAGATTATGTAGCTTTGAGAGTCGTCATTCGTCACTGGACTCCCATGAACAAACCCGTTGGAACAGAGATTTGTCGAGGTCTGGTTGTCGCTGGACGGAACCGGGACGGTTTACTAATTACAGCCGGGGGGGCGGGGAGCGGATGAGACGCCTTCAGGGAGTCAGAACCTAGTCTGTCAAGACTTTCGCCATCCGTAGCTTGGCCTCATAAAAAGTTCGCAAGAAAGCTCAAGCACAGGGGCATCTCAGCACCAGTCATGTCCAAGACTTGGGGCAAACAATGCCATTCAAGGGTTGAGATGGAAGAACAGTTATCGGCTCCGGGCATCTTATCCTGCGATGTCCATCGTGACTTGGATCGATGACATATTATACGTAGATGATTGGCCTCAACCGCAGAAGCAGACGAATGTTTGCTCGGGATGGAACGAAAGACATAGTTCCAACAGTTTGCTATATGGAGCACCGTGGCCTGCTCAAGACCCTAGCTGGAAGCGGAAGTGAACCCGGTCGGAATCGCCTTGGGTGGAGTTCATGACGGATCCTGATAATCCTAATGGTCATGACCGGCGCAATGTTTGCTAGAACCAACAGTATCCGACGTTATCTTCCCGAAGTGGCCGGGGCTCTCCGTCATGCGAGTGTCGTGTGTCGCCCGGGGCCTTGGACCGTTGTATATTATTCAATGCCGTCTCCCTCCAGATCTGCACATGTCCTGATACCGCTCCCCAGGAGCATGGATGTCGGTATCTTTGGGCCAAGACCGACTAACCAGACATGCATATTGGCACCGGCGGGCGGAAAAGAGAGAAATGAAATCAGACGATGTCTCATCTCCTGCGCCGCACTCGCGCCTTAGCGGGGGAAGAGAGCCTCCAACCGATGCGGAAGACCGGCAACCTGTGCCGGGCCCGATGTCCAACATTCATTCGGACGCGGCCGGTTCCCTGCCGTGGAGAGTGTAGACGCGCGCAAATCATCACTGGCCCTTGGTCATGCAACCTGCATGTCTCACCCCCCCCCGCGCTGAGCAGCAGCAGCATTGGCGCAGGACGGCGGATCGAAGCCAAGCCTCAGCCTTGGTCAAAGTCTTCCTGGCCTAACCCGAAAGACGGCCACCGCATAGTCGGATGGACCATGCTGACCACAGCCAGCGGTGCTCGCTTGGATGCAGGTAGAGCCGCGTTGCGGGCTTCACAGGGAGCCGATATATATCTTCAGACTCGACTTTTCATCTGTTTGCCCGCCCACCGCAGCACTCCTTGAGTTTCCAGCTGTATCGCGCACGTAAAAGTTGCCCGGCATGCAGTTCATCCAGACCTTGTCGGTCCTCGCGGCGCTCGTCGTCGGCTCGCAAGGCGAACAGGTCACAGACGGGTCCCAGACCGATGCCTTTTGGCCCAAATGCAAAAGCGTAAGAGACCTCCCAAGATACACGAGCGAATATGGGCCATGGAGGAACGTACGCTAAACCTGCACGATAGGTGCCCGGCGACAGCGGATGGCCGTCCGAGTCCTCGTGGAAGGCCCTCTACCTGGCGACCGGCGGCAAGCTGATCAAGACGGCGCCCGTCGCGCAGTCGTGCTACGACGGCCCTTCCAAGGACCTCCAAGAGTGCGCCCACGTCGCCAAGATGTGGTCGGACCAGGACTTCCAGACCTCGAACCCCGTCGGCCGGCCGTACCCGTACAACATCACCTGCGCGCCGGTCGACTACGCCGCCGGCCAGGCCCCGGCCAGCTGCTCCCTCGGGTCTCTCCCGATGTACGCCATCAACGCGACCGACCGCGCCCACATCCTCTCGGCCCTCCTCTTCGCGCGCCTGCAAAACGTCCGTCTCGTCATCGCCAGCACGGGGCACGATCTCCTCGGACGCTCCGACGGCTACGGCTCGCTGGAGATCTGGCTGCGGCACTACCGCAACAGCATCGACTTCCAGGAGACGTACGCGTCGGCCAACGGGTGTCGCGCCTCGGGCTGGGAAGGCGGCGCCATCCGCATCGACGGCGCGTGGCAGTGGAGGGACGTCTACAAGGTCGCCAAGGCCAACAACGTCATCGCCGTCGGCGGCGGCTCCGCGTCCCCGGGGGCCACCGGCGGTTGGCCTTCCGGCGGCGGGCACGGGCCGGCGACCCGCAACTACGGCCTCGGGGCCGACCAGATCCTCGAGGCCGAGGTGATGCTCGCCGACGGCCGCGTCGTGACGGCCAACCACTGCCAGAACGCCGACCTGTTTCGCGCCCTCCGCGGCGGCGGGCCGGGCTACGGTATCGTCCTCGGCACCACCATCAAGGCGCACCCCAACGTCGACGTCGTGACGGCGCACAAGCTCGCCGTCGCGCCCCTCCGGCCGTCGGCCAGCAACTCGGACCTCCTGGACGCCGTGTCGGTCCTGCTGCGGTCGTACCCGGACCTCAGCGACGCCGGGTACGCCGGGTACGCCTACTGGTTCCGCAACTACCCCGGCGTCTTCGTCGCGAACGCCACCTCGGGCTACAGCCACGGCTTCTGGACCATCGGCAAGACGCGGGCCGAGGCCGAGGCCGCGTTCGCCCCCGTCCGCGAGGCGCTCGCCGGGTTCAAGGACCGCCTCTTCGTCCACGAGAGCTTCGCCACGTACACCGACTACTGGTCCTTCTACGAGGCCGAGTCGGGGCTGTACGACCCAGCGGGAGACACGGCGATACTGACGTCCCGCATGGTCGACCGGGCCGCCGTCGCCGACCGCATCCGCGTGCGCGAGGCGGTCGAGGTGCTCAGCGGCAAGCCCGAAGAGTACGCGTCCAACGTCGTGCTCCTCGTGTCGGGCGGGCAGGTCTTCGAGGACGCCAAAGACGAGACGTCGGGCCTGCACCCGGCCTGGCGCCGCTCGCCGTACGTGCTCATCACGGGCCGCGGCATCCCCAAGACGGCGAGCGACGAGGTCCGCAAGGCGGTGCAGGACGACGTCACGTTCGTCAAGGGCGCCGCCGGCAAGAAGCTCGCGCCCGACACGGGCGGCTACATGAACGAGGGCGACCGCCACGACCCGGACTACATCGGGACGTTTTACGGCGCCAACTACGCGAGCCACCTGGCGGCCAAGAACAAGTACGACCCGTCCGGCGTGTTTTACTGCCCGTCGTGCGTCGGCGCCGAGGCCTTTGTCGAACGGCCGGACGGATCGTTGTGTAGGGTGTGAGGGGTGGGCGACATGTCATGATGTAGTCTCGATATAGGCTTTGCATAGTCTTTTATACGGCGGGGGGAATTGTAACAAGTTGACATTAGAAACTGAAATACTAACGGTCAAGGCAAAAGCAAACCGTATATAGTTATGCCAAAGTCAAGAGTTGTGTCACGCAAAGATGACATCGGTTTTCATTCAAAGTTGAGGAATTGCAATATCTTAATATATCAACATTATCCATGCCGTTCCCCTATTAAAGAAACAAGTTCTTGTCCTGATCATGTCTCGTTACAACATCGCTAAAGCCCCCCGTTTAATTATACAACATGGCACACGTCACCTCAAAAGGTCGTCAGCTCCGGCGAGCCCTCGGCCCGGGGAAAGGAGAACTTGGTCTCGACAAAGATCTTCTGGATGCCGTCCTCGTGCTTGTCGAATTTGTAGTAGACCTTTGCGAGGTCGTCGAGGCGGATGCGGTGCGACAGCATCTGGTAGACGTCGATCTTGCCCTCCTGGATCTTCTTGAGCAGGTCCTCCCAGTACAGGTGGACGGGGGCCTGGCCGTTGCCGATGAGGCGGACGCCGCGCTCCATGAGGGAGCCGATGTTGAAGTGGTTGGTGTAGCCGACGTAGACGCCGGTGATGCCGCAGCGGCCAAAGTTGCGCACGCCCTCGATCATCTCGTTGACGATCTCGCTCGTGTCCGTCTCGGCGCCGACGGCGATCTCGGCGGCGTGCAGCCAGCCCTTGGGGTACTCGCCGGCGGCGCACTCGATGCCGACGTCCGGGCCGCGGCCGCCGCAGAGCTCCTTGAGGCGCGAGACGACCGTCTCCTTGTTGGTGACGCCGAAGGACAGCTTCTTGTAATCCATCAGCTCGAGCTTGTCGGCGTGCTCGGCTGGCCACCGGGACTTGATCTGCGACAGACGGGGCTCGGTGTCGATGAAGATGATCTTGGAGGCGCCCTGGTCGACGGCGAAGGCGCCGGCCATCTGGCCGATGGGGCCGGCGCCCCAGATGGCGACCTGGTCGCCGGGGTAGACGGCCGTGTCCTTGACGGCGTTCCACGAGGTGGCGAGGACGTCTGAGAGGTACAGGGCCTTCTCGTCGGGCACGTCGTCGGGGATCTCGAGCAGGTTGACGTCGCCGAGGGGCACGCGGACGTACTCGGCCTGGCCGCCGGCGAAGCCGCCGGTGAAGTGGGAGTAGCCGAACATGCCGGCGGTCTGGGAGCCGTACATGGCCTTGGCCATTGTGTTGGAGTTTGCCCTCTCGCACTGCGAGGAGAGCTTTTGTTTGCAGTAGAAGCACTAGTTTGATCAGATCAGGTCGTTTTTGGTGAGAGGGAGAGAGAGAGGGGGAGAGAAAAAAGACATTGATCGACTTACGTCTCCGCAGGCGATCTGGAAGGACGCGACGTATCGCTTGCCGACCTTGGCCTTCTTGACGTTCGGACCGACCTCGTCGACGACGCCGCAGAACTCGTGGCCGAGGATGTCGCCCTTCTTCATCTGGACGATGGAGCCGTGGAGGAGATGGAGATCACTGCCGCAGAGGGTGCTGCCGGTGACCTTGAGGATGACGTCGTTGTCCTCGAGGATCTTGGGCTTGGGAACGGTGACTGGAGCGTGTGTTAAGAGACGCGCACGAGAGACGGTTGACAACAGGATTCACTGACCGATTTCGACCTTGTTCTTCCCTTGCCAGGTGAGGGCCTGCATGAGCTCGTTCGGGTCACCCTTGTCGCCGCTGTAGTTGGAAACGTCCTGTGCCGTGATGGCGTCGTCTTGGTGGCCAACGGCCTGTTCGACCGCGTATGCTGCTTGAGTGGCGGCCATTATCGTGTATTTTGTGTGTGGCGTTTGTAAGTCAAAAAGAGTTGGTTGAATATCTTGGAATGACAAAACTTGCAGATTGCTTGAAAACGCAAATGTCTTGGCCGGTCTTTACTCAAGGACTCGGCAGGATTCACCTGTCCTTATACACGGAGACGGATCACATCGCAACAAATGCGTAACGGGGCTGTCAATGGCAGAACATGACATACGGCTTTGCCAGAGAGAATAACGTGTAATGACGGGAGGCGGCGTCATGTTCAACGGGGATGCGACGTCATGGATATCAGAGGCGATGGTACGGCGGCGGAGCTCTCGATCTACGGACCAATGAGAACGGCCGGTCCGAAGCGGATGGCTGGCCACCGCTCGGCGCAGCGCAGATGGGGATTAGGGCGAGCAAAGGCCGGCGGCGGTCATGTTGCGATGCAGAAGGCCTGTCAGGCTTGGATACATCGTAAACGGCATCTGGATCGAAACAGGCTTGGCCCTCCGGAGCGAGCGGAGCCCCGGACAACGGGTTTGGAAGCGTGTGTTGAAGGCCGGGTTCAACCTGTTTTCTTGCTTCATCGTAAGTCCGGAGACTGGGAGACCAGAAAGATGACAATAAGAGTCGAGTGTGAAGCAAACAAAGAGAGACGGCTCAGCTCAGGCTAGTTAACCTCGAGAGGAGGTCATCAAGGTTCTTTCTTGCATCACAAACACTCTCAAATTGAAGAGACTGCATGCAGTAGCACGACGTACACCAGCATGATCAACGAGATGGGAGATGGAAGTGGGGTAAAGAAGCATCAAACAAACGTCACTACTCCGTATACTCCGTATTGAAGACGATGTTCATGCCCTTGTCCATGCCAGCCGGCAACGGCTGCAACTCCTCGTCGGCGTACCAAGAAACAGAGACACAAGGGGGAGACTGAACTGACGGATCCCGGCGCGTGGCTTACAAGGATGAGAGATTCGCAGGGGGGGGGGGGCGATGAGGGGAAACCGGGGGGGTCTCTCCCGTTCGGTCTAGGTATTGTTCATGTCTCTCTCTTTTTACCCCGTTCGGTTCATTTGGGGTAGAAAGAGAGAGAGAGGGACATTGAAGACGTCCCGGAAAGAGACGGACGAGACGGAGGCGACGGAGGCATCACCCGCTTCGAACCGCACATTGGCGCCAGGAACCGCGACTCAAAAAGGCAACCCGGAGCGTGCTGCGTCCGCAAAGGACAACAATGCCGTTCGCCGTTGCCAGTGTGTGTGTGTGTGTGTTCTGTATATGTAGAGCTTGAGAGGGCGTATGTAGTAATAAAGCAGTGGCATTCTTGGTTGTCTATTGTTGTCGCCATCGTTGTGCATCTTCCTCGTGATAGTTCGTTCCAACCTCAACGCCCAAGTGCAGTGCAGTGCTGCATCTACAGAAAATAAACACAATGAAGTCGGCGTCCCTCCCCCTCGCGGCCGCCCTGCTGCTGACCGCCGCGACCACCGCCATCGCCGCCGCCGGCAAGCCGCCCGTCCCCCAGGCCAAGACGACCATGGCCGACAACTTCCCGTGGCGCGACCCGTTCGCAGCGACGGCGGACGGCTCCTCCGCCTACGCGGCCGTATGCGAGGCGTCGGCGACGTTCCCGGCGGCGCAGTACACCCTCCACGACCTCTTCGACAAGCCGCCGACGGGCCTCTTCAACTACGCCGACGGCCTCAAGGCCTTCTTCTCCGGCCGCGAGTACCCCGGCGGCTGGGCCGGCCTCGACCGCCACATGTACGACCGCAACGTGCTCCTGATGGAGTACGCCGACGTGCCGCCCCGCGCGCGCGCCTGGATCGAGGCGCAGGAGCGGCGCGACGGCGACGGCAAGGGCCTCTTTGCCGTCTTCGACAAGCCCGCGTCCGCCGAGGACAAGGTGATGGAGCGCGTCGTCGTGCCCCCTGAGGGCGAGGGCGACGTCGACCGCGCGCTCGACGGGGCCAGGGTCGCCATCTTCGCCCCCGGCGCGCTGTACCACGTCCTCCCGCTGTTCGTCGCCGACGGCAGCGAATGCGAAGGTGAGAGAGAAAGACCGGCGCAAATGATGATGCGCGGATCTTGGAAACCCTTTCTGAAAAAGCTAATCGTGTTCCGTGACGTGATAGATGCCCTCACCGACCTGGGCAACTACAAGGCCGTCCCCGAGGACGGCGCCGTCGTGGCCTGGCCCGTCAGCCACTCCAGGCCCGATGTGGACAACCACAAGAGGGACATCAAGTTCACCGTCAAGGCCCAGGTCCTGAAGCGCAAAGAGGGCGGGGCCGTCGAGGAGGAGGAGAAGCCGGCGCCCTCGGAGCCGGTCCGGGATGAGCTGTAAGGGGAAATGAAGGATGGAGACGGAGGAGAGAGACAAGTGACACACACACACACACACACAGCATAGTCCACTGTATTCTTACCTGCGAGACCTCGGATGCATAACGATACATTACCACTGGCTGGCCGACGCTTGTCTATCTGGCATGTGACTGTCTGTTTAATTCTCTGCGCATGTACGATGTACTCCGCTTGCTGGGGGCAGAGCCATATGTCCCCGTCGTCGATTCAAATAGCATTATTAATCCAAATCCTTGGCGTTTTCCTCCGTGGAACTCCACTGAGCCCTGTGGCCGCCACGGTGGCTGAAGACCCCTCCCCCGGTCCGTGGATCTCACACCGGTCTTTACCGAGTCTTACCGAGCCTCACCATGCCTCACCGAGACGTCCTGGGTGCAACACAGCGACTTACACCAAGGGTGGCTGCTGGCTCACAACAGTGACCGGGTTGGCTCAATATAGCACTCAGCTTGATATCCCGTCAAGAGTTATGGTTTAAATGTAAGAGTTGCACAACGTCTGACCGGTGCTTTGGCCGACCTTTCCACGGCAGCCGGGCGGGTCTCAAACAGCCCCCCCGCGCAGTCCGTGGAAAGCGGCTCCGTGGCGCTCTGAAAAGTTTCCGCCGGCCAGCCACCAGACTACCAATCACACCGTTTATTCCGTGGAATACCACGGAGTCGGACGCGTATACCATGCTCTCCACGGCACCGGGGCGTGGAGATGGCGCCGTTGCTCCAGGGAAGCCGCCGAGATGGCCGACGAGACTATATAAATAGGGCGCTCTGCAACACTTGGCGATGACTGTCTTCATCTCTGCCATCATCAACCCACACTCGAGGGCCGCGCTTCTGGCGTCATCCGGCCCGTCGACATGCTCGAGGCCGACTTCGGCTTCGAGCACGGAGCCGCTGACTTTTCCGGCGAAACCCGGCCATACGGCCCAAGTGCTGCGGTGAGAGAAGAGTAAGCCAGGCTCTGGGATGGCGGTGCCATGGGCAATTTCCAACAATCCGAGTCAGTTTTCGTAAAGCAAAGAAGATTGGTCATTGACCGACAAGGATTGCCGACTAAAACGAAAGGAAATATCCGTAAAGGTGTGTTACCTCGTCTGGCACCTTGGAACTGTGGCTTGGGGAGTGGGCCAACAAGCTCATCCTTCGACTCTGGATTTGTAATCGGTGGGCTCAACCAACGTTTGGAGGCATATGCATGCAGATCCCTGGCTCCCCCTGTTTGGTCCCTTTGATGCTGTGTAAAGGGCGCGGGGAGAAAGTATTATCTGGCAGATTTGCGTCGTCTTACTTTCAAACATTCATTCCGCTTATTTCACCTTGACTGGGCTCAGAGTCGATTTTCAGAAGCAGCCCAACATGGAGACTTCATCACTACGCCGCAAGGGTGAGTCTACTGCCGGAACTATTCGTCTTGGCAGGCGGTGCACGCTGGCTAACACGCATACATATATATAGCCTGCGACCTGTGCTTCGTCAAGAAGATCAAGTGTGACATGCTCAAGCCGGCGTGTTCGAATTGCGTCTTGTACAAGGCGGATTGCAAATCAACCATGGTCCGTCGCAAGTCCGCACCGGCAAAGGAGCGCCAACAGCAACGTAAACAGGACGCCGCTGGAGAGTAAGTTTTGCCCGCAGACCTCTTCACATCATTGCCGACGTCGTCTAACAGCCGATGCAGCCCAAAGAGGATTACAGAGCTGGAGGGCCGCTTGGCCATGATAGAAGAGCAGCTGAAACTGGCCATCGATGCCAACATCCGCCTCGCAAGTCAAGCCCCGAGGGACTCGCCAGTCATGGTGGGGTCGGTCGAGACATCGACGGGCAGCGAGGACTCGACGGGTGGCAGGGACTCGATGGACGACGCCGACCACGGCAACTCCTTCTCGTGCAGCACGAGCCCGGGCGAATGGGTGGCTGACCCGGAGAAGCCAAAGCTGCCGCCACTCGAGTACATGATACCCGTCATCGACGAATTCTTCAACCGGTACAACCTTATCATGGCGCTCTTTGACCAAAAGACGTTTATGCGGATGCTCTCCGACTGGTACTCGCCGTCTTCACCACAGTCTCCCGCAGTGTGGGCGGCCATCAACATTGTCATGGCGCTGGGGTATCGATGCATGTTGAAAGATCCGGGGAACGTTGAATCTCTGAGGGACGATCAAAAGGTGTTGTACCACATGCGAAACGTGCAGTCGGTCGTTTCGGACCTGGTGACCCGGGAGGAGGACCTGCTGGGGGTCCAGGTGCTTCTCGGCATGGTCGTCCTCTTCCAGGGCACCAAGGACCCTAAGCCGGCATCGGTGCTCATCGGGACCGCCATTCGATTGGCACACCGTATGCAGCTCCACGACAAGGAATCAATGAGATTCTTCCCGCCAGAAGTAGCCCGGCAGAGATCGCGGGTCTTTTGGATGGCGTACATTATGGATAAAGTGAGCGGCTTCTTTTTCTCTCTTTTTTTTTTTCTTCTTTTTCCTTGCGCGGGTTGGGGGACGGCGAGACTGACAAAAGACGCAGGACATCAGCCTCAAGACCAAGACGCCGTCGTTCCAGCTCGACGCGGACATTGATCTGGCGCTTCCGGAGCCGTTCCCGGATGACGGGGCGGGCATGATGGCGGCGAAAAACGGAAGCAAGTTCAACGTGTTCCGGGCACGGGTGGAGCTCAGCCACATCGCGGGCAAGGTATACGACCTGCTGTACAGCACGAGGGCGCGCAAGGTGGCGAAACAGGAGTTGCAGTCGCGGCGGACCAGGCTGGAGTCGATGCTCGAGAACTGGCATAGCAACATTCCGGCCGAGTTCCGGATGGAGTCGCTGATGGACAATGTTGAAGCACTGGCGGCAGTGCACATGACGCTCCTCTACCACAACTACTTTGTAGTGACCATCATGACGCACAGCATCTACTCGCACAACGCAGAGTGGGTGCAGAGGGTAAGCTCGCATAGCCGCACGGTGATGCGGGACCTCGACGGGGGGGCGACGACGGCGACGGAAGGCGGCGAGGGGAGCGCAGGGCTGCCGGTCAGGTGGGCCGAGTGCGTGGAGCTGAGCCGGAGATGCATGAAGCTGTTCGTGGAGTCGCCCAAGACGGACTGCAGCATCTGGACCAACTCGTGCGCGCACTTTTCGGGACTCATCATCCTGCTGGTCAACATGTTTGTGCACCCAGAGCACGAGGAGCTGATGACGGACCAGGGGCTGGCCAACCAAGCATTGCAGCTGTTTGACATGATAATGGAGCTGATCAACGAGGAGTCGTTCCGCAAGCTACACACGGTGGTCAGGGAGCTTCACCGGCGGGCGATGGCGACGGTGGAAAAGGTGGCGCGCAAGAGAGAGGAGCAAGCGGCGAGGGCGGCGGTAGCAGAGGCCATGAGCAACAGCCTGCCTTTCGGCACGCAGTTCGAGGAAGACGTGACGTTTTTGGGGGGCGGCGACATGGCTGGGTTCGAAGGCATGTTCGTAGGAGATGGCATTGGGGGGGTCTCGCCGGTGACGGTAGCATCGGATACGGCGGACGCGACCGAAGGGATACAGAACGAGGTTGATCTGGCGGCAGTGTCTATCTGGTACAGCCATCATTGAGGGGGGCGTGATGTCGGGATTGGCACCGGGGGGGAGTTTGGCGCATTACGAGTTGGGATGCGATATGAAGAAATGAACAGTCGATAGTGGTGATGCTCGGTTGGCGTTGATGTTGGTGTTTGAGTGGAATGGACAGACGGACAGACAGACAGACAGACAGACAGACAGTCAATTAGTCAGTCAGTCAGTCATAGTACGGAGTAGTTGGAGACGAGGAGGAAGGGGCTCAAATGCATATCATATGCTCATGCTCCCTTCCCGATTGAGCTCAACAATGAAGCTTCCGAATTTATCGGAGAATGGGCCGAGTGTGGGGCAGGGAAGGTGGGGTTTGCTTGCAGCATTGCTTATACGCTAGTCCGTTTACCGTTAGTATCGCGTCTGAGCTTCTTAGCTTGAGCCAATGATGGGGCCGATATTTCCAAGCGGGCTGAGATAGTGGGGGTGGAGGTGGGGCATGTTCCCTCCATTCCAACAGCGGCACAGGGCGATCGTGGACCAGAGCTCGAGCTTGGGAAGGAGCGAGCAGAGCAGGAAGACGGTGAATAGGTACCTTGGCACCTACTACGTAGGGAGCTCCTTCCTGGTGGAGGGGAGCAAGGTGTAATGGCGTCATAGTCGGGCCGCGTATTCCTCTTCTGTTTGCTCTTTCCCGTTCGACTGGGCATTTACCAGCCACCATTAGGAAGGAGCGAGGAGGGTCTCGTATGAAAGAGGTTGGTAGGCACAGGCAGGTAGATACACTAGATACGCAATAATGTAATGCATTATATTACCGTCCGTATACGGAGTAGATGGATTCAAGTACCGGTACCGGCAGATGTGCCGGTGGGATGTACACCAGCCCAGCTGCATGTACACAAGAAGCAGATGCACAGACAGAGAGACAGGGACAGACACATACACCCAACAATGACATGACGACGACATTTCCTCTGTCCTGCGTGGGTAGGCAGTCTCTCGCCCAATTCCTTTCCATGCATCCTCACTCACTCAGATTCTCATCCACACTCGCATCACATTCTCACTCACACCACACTACACTCTCACTCTCTCTCATCTCACCCGCACTCACCCCTGGTCACCGCCGACGCTTCCATTCCATCGTACGTTTCGTGCTTCAAACTTACCGCGCCCACCAGTCAAATCCCCGGCCCGTGTTCCGAACTCCTGCGTAGTGTACGAGTCAACAACACGATCCCATCTCTCTTCTCTCATCTTTGTCCTCCCGCCCCCTCCGTTTACATCAGCGGTCGGATTTACCCCTCAGTTCTCCCCCTCGGACCCTTGAACAACCCTCTCTCCCCTCCCCCCTCCTCCGTCCTTCATGCAAACCACCAGATTCCTCTTCCGCCACGCAAGCTCCTCCTCCCTGCTCCGCCAGACAACACACAAGAGATCTTTTTCATACACGCTGCGAACCATGGCAGACTACAAGCTCAAGTCCGTCACCTCGCTGTCGCTCAAGCCCGGCGACAAGCAGGAGGTCGAGGTCGAGGGCATCGACGGCGCAAAGGTCCTCCTCGTCAACGCCGGCGGCACCATCCAGGCCATCGGCCCCAAGTGCACCCATTACGGCGCGCCCCTCGTCAAGGGCGTCTTGACCACTTCAGGACGCTTGACATGTCCCTGGCACGGAGGTTTGTTTCTCTCTCTCTCTCTCTCTCTCTCTCTCTCTCTCTCTCTGCGTCCCCAGTCGGCCAGCCAACTGACGTCTGTCTACCCACACAGCCTGCTTCAATGCCAAAACCGGTGACGTCGAAGACGCCCCCGCCCTCGACCTTCTCCCCACCTTCAAGGTCACCGAGCGCGACGGCGCAGTCTACATCTCGGGCGACGAGGCCACCATCAAGGCCGGCCGCCGCAAGCCCAACTTCAAGTGCAACTCCACCGGCGCCGCCGCCCAGCCGGACAAGGTTGTCATCGTCGGCGGAGGCTCCGGCGCCCTCGGCGCCGTCGAGGGCCTCCGCAACGGCGGTTACGACGGCCCCCTGACCATCATCTCCTCCGAGGGCTACCTCCCCATCGACCGCACCAAGCTGTCCAAGGCCCTCCTCACCGACGTCAAGACACTGCAGTGGCGCGACGAAGAATTTTACAAGTCCGGCTCCGTCGACTGGGTCGCCGACGAGGTCACCGACGTTGACTTCTCCGACCGCACCGTCTCCACCAAGGACGGCGGCAAGATCCAATACACCAAGCTGATCCTCGCCACCGGCGGTACCCCTCGCAACCTGCCCCTCCAGGGCTTCAAGGTCCTCGGCAACATCTTCACCCTGCGCACCGCCCACGACACTCAAAAGATCGTCAAGGCCATCGGCGACAAGGGCAAGAAGATTGTCGTTGTCGGCTCCTCCTTCATCGGCATGGAGGTCGCCAACGCCACCGCCAAGGACAACTCCGTCACCGTCATCGGCATGGAGAAGGTGCCCCTCGAGAGGGTGCTGGGCGAGCAGGTGGGAGCCGGCATCCAGAAGAACCTCGAGAAGAACGGCGTCAAATTCTACATGAACGCCGGCGTCGACAAGGCCGAGCCGTCGCCCGAGGACCCCTCCAACGTCGGCGCCGTCTACCTCAAGGACGGCACCAAGCTCGACGCCGACCTGGTCATCCTCGGCGTCGGCGTCGCCCCCGCCACCGAGTTCCTGCGCGAGAACAAGGTCATCCGCCTCGAGGGCGACGGCTCCATCAAGACGAACGAGAACTTTGAGGTCGTCGGCCTGAAGGACGTCTACGCCGTCGGCGACATCGCCACCTACCCCTACCACGGGCCCGGCGGCAACGGCCAATACACGCGTATCGAGCACTGGAACGTGGCCCAGAACGCTGGTCGCGCCGTCGCCAAAAACATCATCAACTCGGCCGTCAAGACCGCCCACTTCATCCCCGTCTTCTGGTCCGCCCTGGGCTCCCAGTTGCGCTACTGCGGAAACACGGTCGGCGGCTGGGACGACATTGTGCTGCAGGGCAGCGTCGAGGAGTCGGCCTTTGTCGCCTACTACACGAGTGGCGAGACGGTCGTCGCCATGGCGTCCATGGGCAAGGACCCCGCCATGGCCCAGGCGGCCGAGCTGATGGCACTGGGCAAGATGCCTTCCAAATCGGAGCTCGCCAAGGGTCTGGACATCACGACGATTGGCCCGCTCGAGGCATGATTGGCGGACTTTGTCGTTTCGGGAGGAGACAAGTCTTGTAACGAATAGGAGCGGGAAGACAGAAGAATGTAGTCGTAATCATCGGCGTGGTCTGGCATGGGCCCCCCAACGCAGACATTTTCAGCAACTTTACCAATATGAACATAAGCGCTAGTTCCCAGCTGTGATCCGTTTGACCTATGATTGAAACGCGACGGCGCATGAAAATTCACGTAGCAGCCAAGGAATTGCCGCACCGCGCACCGCTAACCGCATCATGACATACGTCAGCAATGCTCGGGACCGAGCGCAATCAGCAGTACCCGAAGCATTTTCGGTGGTCATGCAACGGCGGCATCACCGGAGCGGCCTCGCTACTGAAGCTCGAATCACTTCGGGTACCGACAGGGGTTGGTCACACGAGGATGGTATAAAAAGGCTTCTACTGCATGCACCCAGAACGCATGGTATGGACGGGATCTGCAAATCACACGAACAACAGACGCTTCTCTGTTTGCCTTGTATCACATACGAACCACTTATTCATAGATATCTCGCCAATCTTACCTGCATACCCTAAGCCAGCCAGCCATCATCTGCAGGTGTAGCTGCACCACGTCCCCGAACAATGGCAGCACCAAACGAGGCGCCCGTCATCATCATCGGCGGCAGTCTGGTCGGCCTCGCCAGCGCCCTCTTCCTCTCCGCCAGGGACGTCCCCGTCGTCCTCATCGAGCGCCACACCGCCAGCTCCCGCCACCCCCGCGCCATCGGCTACACTACGCGGACCCTGGAGCTGCTCAAGACCGTCGGCATCCCGCCCAGCGCCCTCGACGTTGGTAGCGTCCCGCCGGGTGGCCGGCCCCGTCGTATCAAAGTCAAGAGCCTGGCGGGCGAGTGGGCGGACGAGCAGCACTGGGGAAATGGCAACGCGAAACCCCCTGGTGGCGGCGGAGGAGGAGAAGGAGGTCCCGCCGGCCCAGGTGGAGGACCTGAGGGGAAGCCGAGCACCGGCCCCGGAAGCGGTACCAAGGCGTACCCACCCATCATCGGCACCGCCATCGCCCAAGACCGTCTCGAGCCCATCCTCCGGCGACGGGCCGTCGAGCTCGGCGCCGACCTCCGCCTCGGGTGGAAGATGACGAGCTGGAGCCAGTCGGCCGACGGCGTCAGCGTCACGGCCGTCGACAAGGAGGGCAGGCAGACGACGGTCCACGGCTCGTACATGGTGGCGTGCGACGGCGCGCGCAGCGTGTTCCGCGAGGCGCTGGGCATCCGGACCACGGGCGTCGGCTATCTCCGCAGCCTCCGCAGCGTTATGTTCCGGTGCAGGCCCATCGAGCGCTACCTCGAGCGGGGCTTCGTCCAGTTCGCCATCGAGGGGCGTGACGACGGCTTCGAGGCCTTCCTCGTCAGCTACCCCGACCGGCGGTGGGCACTCATGTGGAACGACGACGACAGCAACGACGAGGACGACGGCGACAACGGCGCGGCGCGCACGATGGACGCCCGCGCCCAGCGGGACCTCGTCCGGAAAGCCGCCGGGCTGGGCGAGAACGAGCTCCCGGACGAGGCGGTCGAGCTGCTGGCCATCGGGCGGTGGGAGATGAGCGCGCGGATCGCGGAGCGGTTCTCATGCGGCCGCGTGTTCCTCGCCGGGGACGCGGCGCACACGCTCCCGCCGAACCGCGGCGGGTACGGCGCCAACACGGGCATCGCGGACGCGCACAACCTCGCGTGGAAGCTGGCGGCGGTGCGGGAGGGGCGGGCGGACCCGGCGCTTCTGGAGACATACGACGAGGAGAGGCGGCCGGTGGCGCTGGTGCGGCACGACCAGCTGTTCGCGCGGGACGACTACAAGGCGTACGCGCGGGGCGGCGAGGGCGAGGCGACGGGGCGCACCGTCCGCTTCATCGACGACGTGGCCATGGAGCTCGGGCAGATCTACCGCTCGCGGGGGGTGGTTCTCGGTCCGGAGGGGGGGAGGGAGCTGCCTGACGCGCTGCGGCCGGACGAGTGGAAGGGACAGCCGGGGACGAGGGCGCCGGAGGTGACGGTTTCGACCGGCGGGGAGGAGGTCTCGAGCCTGGATCTGTTCGGCGGCGGGTGGGTGCTGCTCTCGAGGGACGAGGCGTGGAGGGCCGGGGCCGAGAGGGCCGAGGCGGAAGCCGGCGTCGGATGCGAGTTCGTCCGCATCGGGGCCCGGGCGACGGAGGCGGACGGCCAGGAGACGTTTGAGGATACTTTCGGGGTGAGCGAGTCCGGGGCCGTGCTCGTGCGGCCGGACGGGTTCATTGCGTGGAGGTCGGCGGAGAAGGGGACCGGGCTTGAAGCTGCGTTTCTGCGGGCGTTTAAGAGTGTTTCCTTTTCGAGACGGTAAAGCCACGCGGGAGGGAGATGTCCCTCAAGATGCGACCTGCTACAAGTCATAATGAACTATTCCACTCCTGCATATCACATACGACCATACCCATTAGAGAACTCGGGATCCCGTCCGCTCTCCTATAGATAAGCTAATGAGGGCCGGATTAGTAGTTGAGTCGGTGACGATCAGCGAATACCTGGTGTTGTATGTTCTTTTTGAGAGGGGTTATGATTTTGTTGTTATTTCACAACATGAAATCTATGAAAGACTAGATTAACTGACTTTCTAGTAGACATTATTTTCAGCCTAGGTTAGTAATTGGTTTTAAACACTCTATAGCCTGACTTACTACGTGTTGTGAGACTGATGATGGCACTATATTTCAAAGCAACACGTTGGGGCCTGCACGGTGTCTTGTTTGTGGGACCACTAAGTGGCCTTTGAGATGTGGTTCACGCTTTATATACAGCTATTCCACACATTCACACCACATACGACCATACCCACTGGAAAACTCGGGATCCCGTCCGCTCTCCCATAGATAAGCCAGTGAGGGCCGGATTAGTAGTTGGGTCGGTGACGACCAGCGAATACCTGGTGTTGTATGTTTTGCTGTTTTTGTTTATCCACATGCGCGATTCTTTATCGACATCCTTTCTGCTGTTCCTCCTTATCGATGTACCTGTAACACTATTATATCGACGGAGGTACAGGACATATCACCGAGGGGGTAGGTCTTTTGGTTCTGTGTATATAGAGAGCGCAGTGCGTAATACTAATCCATTCTTGTACAGCTGTCGACTCGGAGGGTTATATATGGGATGTAGAGACCTATTCCATCCACCTTGACTGGTCCATCTATATCTGAACGAGGAAGAATCCATAGAGTAACATGGGGTAACTAATCATCTTGCAAAAATAAAACAGGATCGTTTATATCAAGTGAGCTTCCCCACACAATGATGTCCGGCTGGTTAGTTCTTCCTCTGCCCCAGTGCACAATGACTACATCCCGTACATGTATGAAATCAATTACGAGATACCCAACGTTTACATCACCTCCAGTATCTCCAAGTTACTGGTTCCATCTCGGCCTCCACTACCCCACGATGAAGGTGCCCTGTTGGGCTGGTGCAAGCCTTGGGAATTGAGCCGAAGGTATCACCGCCCCTAGCCGTGACACAGTAGTTACTTTGCGTTGTCAATAGCGTAACACATCGCTTTGTAGTAAGACCAAGGCACTTCATTTTCCAATTGATTAGTCTTTTCCCTCTGTCGTCATCTTCGTGTCTCAAAGACACTTGCATGGAGACTTACGGTGGTATGTTGAATCATAGACGGCCCGAACGAGCGCACAAGGGTTCTCGAAGTTGATAACCGGCGGTGGTGGCCCCCCGATCTCGCTTTTGATGGGCTCCGGGAGCTGGTTTCCAAATATCTTGACGCCTTTGTCGATATGGCAGAACTCCAGCTCTGTTGGTCTCAAGCTCGTTGGGGGAACCTGCGGCACCAGGTCCTGGCTGTTCACGATCCTCCAGGACTGCCCCTCAGACTCGGAGACAACGCTGTCGTTGTGGACTGCCCACGGCTGGCCTCCGACCCGCGGAGCACCGAACGTGTATTCGTCTCCCGTCGCCATACGCACATCAGGAACCCCATCATCTTGCAGTTGCTGGGCGTAAAAGAAGGACGAGTACGAGCCCCCGAGTGAGTGGCCCGTGACGTGAGCCCTGACGACGCTGTCGGGCGCTTTGGACATTTTCATCACACAATTCCCGAGCGCCGTCGTGATAAAGTCGTAGGCGGTGTCCTCGATGCTCTCGAACTTGTCGAAAAGAGCAGTGAAGACGCCGAGAGACACGCGCGTGCCGCCGAGGTATCTCCCAGAATCCGTCAGCTGATAGTTGTAGTCCACGTCGATATCGCGCAGGCTCAGGGGATTGGTGCCCTTGAACGCCACGCCAACAAAAGGCTTGGCCTTCTGGGTGTCGGTCGAGAAGAAGGCGCCGCAGTAGGGGCCGTCCCAAGCAACGTGCCCGTGGGGAGGGGAGTGTATCAGGTCGCAGAGGACGACGAAGTCCATGCCCCACGACTGTGCGAGTTCCCGGATGGGGCTGTAGGCAGCATGGTACTGGACTATACACGTTTCGAGGTCGGCATTCCTCAAAGGCCCCTTGGCCTTCAAGTCGCAGTAGGTTTTCCAGGCTTTTCGGAGCTTGCTATAGTCCCGTAGGTACATGGCCATGCTCTCCATGAAAGGGAGGAAAGCCCGAGACCAGGAGATGGCGGCTTTCCCACCAAATGCCTGGGAAGCAATGGACGCTTCGATGCTGGCTTTGTTCTGAACACTCCATTTCTTCAAGAGGTTGAACGCAACGTCGCACTTCTCTGGGATGGAGATGAAGTCGGGGTCCTGTACAGGTGCCTCTGGAAGCTCGTGTAGAGACAGCCTCTCAAGATTGGCGTGTGCGAGGTCACGGTGAAGCTGAGTCAAAGGAGAAGAATTGAATGCCATGTTGTAGAGATCTTTCTCTTTGGTGTCTGGGTCGTCCTGGATTGGTTGTGATGTGGCTCTGACTGTCCAAGGGCAATGGGCTATGCGAGAGCCTATATATCCTCATGCTTCATTACAAGTAAACCAGCTGCAGATTTATTAGCCACGGATTTGCTTCACTATAGGTTGTAATGGGGGGTTTTTTTTTTCTCCCTTGGGTGGCCTTTTAGGTGGAATACTTATGTCTCACACGCTCTTGGCTAGTATGTTTATCTTTTGATTCAGCTTTGTATCCTAGTATGTGATCAGGCATGAACGCATCCAGCATCAGAAAATGTTACTGCGGAAATAGACTGTTTATCGTCTCCAATTAGCTCAAGCTTGTTGCATTTGTAGCTCTGCGAGACATGTTTGCTGCTAGACTCCCGCCATGGCCTGATTTTACGAGTATATGCAATCACCCAGCTTCCAGCTCAACAAGCCACAGATACACACCACTTTTCCATTATCCCTATGTGTATATTTTGCAGCGCTGTCACGCTTTCCAAAAAACACACAGTACTCTGTACCTCTGGCTGTTTGCGGCTCGCCCAGCTCTTAGCATTTCGTTCAGCTCTATACGGTCATGCCAGTTTCTAGTTGTCGATGTGAAAGTCCGCTTTTCGCTCTATTTGAACTAGGACGCCGATTGTGCGGATCAGCTTGACGCGGAACAAGACGAATTTGGTTACAATGATCCAGTCCACGTGTTTCTGTTTCAATCTCGCGAGGCCCTAAGTGATCATCCAAGTGACTTTCGGATTTACGTAACTGAAAGCCTGGGTTAATGCAGGCTCTTGGAAATCTTGAAGTTTATTATTTCAGTTGACCTGCTCGATGCGATGTACGATATCGTCCATCTCCGGACTAGGCTCTATAACCATGGCAGAGAGTTCATTTCCATACGCGCACCCAGAGTCCAAGCCGAATGCGTATCTTGTCCAAGGACCCAGTACTCCTTTATCTTGCAGTTCCTTCGGAATTCTTATCTCTCGCTGGTCTTGCCGCCCCGCCCTGGCGTCATGGCCGTACACGACAACTGTGCGTTGTGACGGCGTCTCGATCGAGTTGTGCGTCTCGTTCCAGGCATCTCTCCAGGGCTTCCCGTCTTCGGACTCGATGGGGATGGCGGCTTGTGTGCGGCCTGGCGGAGCCTTCGTCCTCTCCCCGTTACCCTCGGATACCGCGGCGCTTAGCACCCCGGTGTCGACTTTCTCGTCTCTCGTAACTTGGAAAGCTGTGCGTCGACACCAGCGATCTCGAAGCCCTTTGGCCAGAGCTTCCCGAATAAAGTCTGGGTGACTTTCACTGCTTGGAAGAACGAGACTGCGCATGTTCATAACCGCCCACGGATCTTGTTCCTCCAGAGGAAGTGACGGCACTAGGCCGCCGTGGACGATTACGACCGAGCCGGCATTCCACGGTGGGCTGACAGCCCCTCTGAAGGGCCCAATACGTAGCATCAGGGGCAAGGACGAAAGCCAGGCGAGTTGGGCGTTGGACAGTTGAGTCGCGGTGACAAAGTCGCTCGATACCGCGTAGGGAATATCCAGAGGCAACGGCGCGCTACTGTTCTCGAACGGAAGTCTCCCATCGCCGCCAGAGACGCTGGGCACCCGACCGATGCGGAGGAGTCTATTGGCTGCCAGCACGCGGTCTTCGTTGTTGCCCCTCACTGCACTGGCACCGTGGTCCATGGCCAGCTGCACCACCCCGGGGCTGTCGGGTCCCTTGTTTATAAGATCGCCCGTGAATACGAGGTGATCACCCGAGGCCTTGTCAAAGCCGATGTTTCTCAAGAGCCTCTTCAGTTTCGAGAGGTGTCCGTGGACGTCTCCGACAATGACAAGTCTCCTACGCGAAGCACACGGTTCTGCCGACGGCAAGAGAATCGGATCCAAGTCTCGGATCAGCTCCTGGGCATGTTGCTGTATCAATGTCGATTCCATCATGAGTGTGCTTGTTGGTCTGAAGCGATCGGGGCGCGGTGTGCGGTGTGCGGTTTGCGGGGAGGGCTGGCTGTGAGTGAGACTGCATGGCAGCGAATGGAATAGGTCTGTCTACGCCCTTTGGTAGTCACGCCGGAAATATGGCGGATCGTTCCTCCGACACATTGCAGAATGACGGTCTTGACAGTTGTTATTGCGCATCGTACATCAACTCAGAGTGAAGCACCGGCCAGAGTTCACTTGTGGCTCCAATTTACGTGTTTTGCTCATCATTGAGGTTGATTTTGGCGTAAATGTAACTTTCGTTAGAGTGGAAAATGCTGTAAAGCTGGGGTTCCTTGGGTTTGTACATACTGCATCATCTGTGCGCTTTTATACTCTTTGATAATTGTCCGGAATGCCGGACGAACTACAAGCTGAGGCGAGCAGTGGCCAGAATCATCATTATTGAATCTGGTGTACACAGAGTCTAAGTTGTGTGTGTCACCACGGGAATCATAAAGGGTTGAGAGGTTCACGGCATGGCAGTCACGCCACAGTTAAACACCGTGCGGCATCTCACTCTAGAACTGTTAGCGGGTTGTCAAGCATCGAGAAGCCTTTCATTTAGGTGTTGGATTTCTACGGTGAAAACCTTATATATCATTCGCCCGTTCATAGTTATCACAGCCAAGCTTAACATACATGACAACCCGACCCAGATATTGCTACCACCTAACATTAAATATCACGAACTAACAACAACCTCTTCATCCCTAACAACCACCCAAAAATAGCAACCCCACTACATTACTATCACAGACCGTACTTCCACCAAAATCGTTTACAATCATTCCCCTTTTCTCCCCCCTGATTTCGAGCCCCCTTCCAAACGACACTGACCTCTCGTCCAGGTGCATTGAATCAGCTAGAGTGTCGTTTCATTTCACATAGGTTCGATACCACTAATGACGTTATAGGCCTTCCAGGGAAGACCGGTTAACAATGGTTGGATTAAATCAGAAAAAAGTTGAAGTGACGTAGAAAAATATATACAAAATATTCCCTATAACGAGATTTCTTAAGTGAGATGTTGCAATCGAGCCCTAATAATAGGCTTAGAGGCACTCTTGAGTGGTTTGGAGGTATTTGCGAATGGGTAGGAAGAGTTATAAGGAGTCGATGAAACTATGCCGTTCGAGAACGATTGAATAGACGATGACTTGGCCTTAGAGTGAGGCGCCAATGTAGTAGGGGGGCCGTGGTCTCCGAATTTGCAACCGTTGAACCAAACAGCAAGGGCGCCATCTGATGGCCTCACCGCAAGATAACTCGTCCAAGGTTTTGCCAGCTTCTCGAACCGCTTGAGGTACATCGAAGCCCACTTGACAAAGTGTCCCGAAGTCCAACCTTCGGCTATCTGGCCCTGTGGAAGCCAGGCCGGCTGATTCGGGTAGTTGTTGTACCAGGCGAAAACGGCACCATCGTGCGGTCTCGTCCAAACATAGTCGGCTTTTCCGTCGCTGTATAATTGTTAGAACTTGTGGCCAAAGGCGTATGAGAAGGTTAATCTTGCCCGTTGATGTCATGGAACGAAATCTCATCCGGTCGTTGGCCAATGCCCTCGGCGTCCGCCGCAGGGAGTGGTTTCCATACGTGATCCTCCTCAGAGTTCAAGTACATGTTTCTGTATATGGTCGTGCCGCCCTTTTTGTTCAGCATTATATAGTCGTCCCACTATGGATATATCAGTCTTCGATGTCCAGATTGCTCTCTTAACAAGGCAAGCCAAGGGCCGCTTGTTGAGGATGTACTCACGCCATCGCCGTCAATGTCAGCAATCCTGACATTCTTGCCGGGACCCAACCCAGAAGCATCGACATTAATCTCATTCCACCCCCAATTATCGGGGCTATTCTTGCCAGGGCCCATGTTTTGCCATACAGAGAGTTTGCCGGATTCGGGGTCCACAACAATGTAGTCAGCTTTGTCGTTGCTGCAAGGTTTTGCTCTGATGAGAAATTTTTCTGAGATATGGGGATGAAGAGGTACCGTACCCAGTGATGCGACCAAATGTTACTTGGGATGCCGGGGCAGCTCCGGAAGCAATTGGTTTGCCGTCGTTCAACGGAATCCACCGGTATCCGAAGGCTTCGTCGTTCGCGTTGTAGCCGTAGTTGGTACTGTGCAGAAGTAAGCATCCTGTGAGGCAGGGTATTCATGTGATGGATACTTACTACACGATCGGAGCACCTGTCTCTGGGTCAAGCCAAACGTAGTCGTCGGTCTGTAATGTACACGTCAGTCTGAAGATGCTTCTCTTCGGGAGAAAAAGAACTCACGCCGTCGCCGTCGATATCCGCAAAGCGAAGGCCATCTATCAACATGCTGGTGTGACCGCCACCGCGGTTGTACCACAGCCAGATGGCACCGTCGTCATCGATATAAGCATAATCATCCTTGCCGTCACTATTTTGACACAACTGTCAGCATTCGTAGATCCTTGGACGCTGACGGTGATGTGGACAATCTCACCCATCCAAGTCTGCAAGCCGAATGGACTCGGGCTTTTGAGAGATGCCGTCGGCAAGCGTCTTCGCTGGCTCTTGATCAATGTACGGAGTACAATGGAACGCCTTCTTTTTGAGTTGGCTGATTCAAAAAGCCAGTCAGACCGGCGTCGTCATCCCAAATGAGATAGTCTAGGAATAATCAGCTGGTGCAACGTTATAGAAGTCGTAGAAGCTTACCGTCACGGCCATCTCCGTTCATCTGTGCGTTGGTTTTCTTTAGCAGTCCATCTAGTCAATTGCAGAGAAGCCAAACTCACATCCGCAAACACAAGCCTCGATATGTCGTCGACGGCTCCACTTGCGATTCCGCCTTGTGCGAGGAACAAAACATCCTGGCCACCGACGGATCCGGTATTCAAGTGATGTTGGAGAGCACCACCCTCACCGATATAGACGTAGTCTGCTCTACCGTCACCGTTGATATCAGGGAACCGGAGAGTCTCCCAATTGGCGTGAGGAACGCCCGACGCAATCTCGCCGCCTTCCACGAACTTCCATCCGTTGACCCAGCTGTCGTCCGGTCCGTAGTTCCACCAGATCTCAACGGAACCGTTGTTCCTGTTAACGACCATATAGTCCTCGAGCTACGACAGCAGTCAGTTATGAATCTGATTAAAGAGGTTGGGCCTCAAACTCACACCGTCACCATTCATGTCCTGCATCTCTGTCAGTTTCTGTACTAATACCTCAAGACATAGTGACTGAACTTACAGCTATGAAGACCAAATCTGCAGGGCCGGCACCACTGCCGATGATGTCGTCGTTGGTACCGGCCTTGCTCCACGGCTCGGGGAGGTTATTAATCCAGCAGCGGATTTCACCGGTGTCAGGATGAATCCAAACATAGTCTGCAACCTCAGAGCATGAATCAGTCTCTCATCTCGCGGACAAAATGTAACAAGGCTAGAGAGGTCAAGGGTGTGGGGTTTCTTACCGGCCTTTCCGTCGCCATTCATGTCGTGAAGTCTGAGACAGATAGGTGTTAGCTTTCGCCCTTGTTACCACCGCTCGTTCCGACTGCTAACCTGACGAATCGGGGGTCTCGATGGAGCCCATCAGCGACCTTTCCGGCCTCCACCCAGTTCTTCTTGTACTTCCAGTCTCCGTTGCGGCCGATGTTTCCAAGTGCAATTTGACCACCGGCCCCCCAGAAGGGCTTCGCGTTACAAGTGTGCGTCTCGACCGGGCGCGCGTTCAAATACGCGCCACGAACCGTGTCAGGAGTAGTTGGTGTGACTGGATCAGCACCCCAGTCCGGAGCGGGAATGTTCTTGTCGAGACCGCCGTTATTTCCATCGTCTTTAGGGCCATCGCCGACGGGCTTCTGAATCCAATCCTTGGGGATCTGGGTAATGAAGTCGTACCAGTAGCTTCCAAAAAGCTTGTATCCGTCATTAGATGGGTGTATACAGTCTTGGAGGTGACTCGTCTCAAAGGTAGTAAAGTCTGCAGCGAGAATGTGCTTTCCGCCGTCTTTGCGGCTCTTGACGACCCCTGGAATCAATTGCTGATATTCCTTGGTTGCAGGAGACTGTTTTTCATCACATGTGTTGATTATCATACCCACAAGAACTGTTGCGTCCGGGCAGGCCTCAATGATCTTGTCGAGCAGCTTTCCCAGACGGTCGGCCGCGCCCTTGGGGTCGTTGCCTTGCTTAGCGGTGTCAAGACTAGGGTTCATATCGTTGGTGCCTGCATGAACTAGCACGATGTTCGGCCGTTGCTTTAGGGATGGGCCGATGTGATCAGATATATGCTGAATTGTCTGACCGGACCATGCGCCCTGTGAGAAAGTATATCTGGTCAGCGGCCGGGGATGGACCATATCACAAGATTCATCATAGTGGAAGACTCACAAAACGGTTGCCATCCATTGTGCCTGACATGGTCTCACTGCCCGCGAAGACAACTTTATCCTCTTCAAACAGAGATTGTTAATTTATGAACTAATCGTGCGGAAAAGGCCGATAGGGGTTCCATGACTTACTGGAAAGATCGTCGCGAAGTTGGAGTCTGTAACCGTTGCCATCGCCGCCATTGCGATCGCTTAGGAATCCCACAGTTATGGAGTCTCCAACGCCGAGGATACGCAGTTCCGTGCCAGGTTTCACCTCTTTTCCAGGCTTGGTTCTCTTGTAGCGCAGAGTTGCCGGAGAAGATGGTTCGAGTTCGCAGGTACCGAATGACGCAACTTCTGGTACGAGAGGAAGACTTCCTTTTCTCTTAATATTATCATTGACCATCTCAAATATGATTCTCTAGGCAATAATGGCGTGTAGGAGAATTTGAGGGTGGAAGACGCGGCCGTATCTTTCGTTGCAAGCAGAATTAGCAAACGCTCATCAGAAGTGAGAAGGGCAGCTTGAGGATGATACAAGGCTTTGAAACAGATACTTACCCATCAGGAAGAAAGCTAGGCACTTGAATCTCAAAATCGGCAGTAGTAAAATTGTCGTTATCAGCAGACGCTGGAATAGACGCGGCTGAGGCGTCGCCCTCGATTCGGTCCTTGTGAGCCAGTTCAGCATCGGGTTCAAGAAGTAGTGTGACCTGTGCCATGATGTCTTGTTCTCAGTCAAACTTTCCCTTCAAAGCATCATCGTTGCTTCGCTTCCAAGGGCTTGAGCCGAGAGGGTCCCAGGTGTTAAGCTCGTAGAACATGAGACCAGTTCTAAACACACTCATTAGCACTGTTGAAAAGAGTGCTTGATCCGAGAACTTACCTGGTCTTGGCTTCAGAGGTAGACTCGTCGACTCCAGCTTCGCAGTAGCGGCCACCGTAGTACCCGACATACTTGTCATAGTCGATGAACTTAACACTATTGCCGGCGCGCTCCACCGCTTCGGCCTGGACAACAAACTGTTAGCAAGGGATTCTCATGTAAACTCAATGATACCCACCAATTTCTTGTTGACTTTTTCGACTAGTTCATTCATCTTCTGACGCCTGCCTTGTGTAAGGTATGCCTTTTCCAGCTTGAATTTGTTGTACAACTCCTATTGCCGATATAAAGGTTAGCCGTTACCAAAATCCTTCATCTAAGCATTCGGGTGGAGAAAAAGAACTAACGTTGAGCCATGTCGACCATGTAACGTCGTCACACTCGGATGACATATCGGTGGCAAAGAACTTCGCATATCTGGAAAGTCAAGTTGTCAAAATCATTATCTCAGGTGGATATTGAGAACATCAACCTACCCTGTCATGTAAATCATGCCGCTGAAAGTCTCATATCAGCCGGTTGTGATCTTTGAACCGCCTGAAATACAGCGTGTTACATTAGGGACTTACTTTAGGGACAACTTGCTTTGCGCAGCCGCAATGACTTTATCGAGATTTCCGGCAAAGGTGGCGCTATCGATGAGTCGGCCACTCTCGGCTAGTTGCCCTTCACAACCCAATGCAAGTTTGTCCCAGTCATAATCAATGGCCTAATCTAGTTGCTTTTCAAGGGCAGCAGCCTTTGCGATCAAGACCTGGCTCTTGGAAAGGACACCCTATTGGAAGATGCACTGGTTTAGGATCTCCAGTAACTGTATATCGTTGCCACCTAATAAACGAGATGTTGTCAGATCATCTAAGAGCAGTTTCTTTCAATATAATTATTAGACAAGTATGGCACAAAACTTCCGGGGTGAATCGAAACCGCAACTGACAAGACGTGATCGATATGTATGGAACGAGTTGTGATATGCCACCGCGAGCTAGAAAGAAAACGTTTCTCGATTTCATACGTACTGGCAGAAAGAAGAATTACATCTTGATTTCCATTCAACTTGGGAATTTGATGCTCGATCACCTCGCTTGACGTTGCGCCAGAACACGACTTAAACTGAAAGTTGCGTGTCGCGCGGTTGCCAAGTCGCACGTCTCCGTCGACGAACGACGGGTAAGATTGATCATATCGACTGCAGGCCCAGTCTGTATTTCGTATGAGTGTTCATAGTGTGTAACTTGGAATTAAAGATACTGGAGAGTTGGCACTTACTACTCTGAGGGTTGAGTGCATTCACGATACTACCAAGCCTGTTGCCTGCGCCGATGCCCGCCGAATACGAGTCACCGATCGCGGCAAGTTTCTGGATGTATGATAGATCATCCGGGTCAAAGTCCTCAAGACTTTGCCTTGATGACAAGATAGGCATCGAAGCATTGCTGGAGTAATATGGGACAGCCAGACCAGATACTGGACCGATGGCCACGGCGATGGTGGCACATTGCCACCACGAAAGCAGCATGGAGGCCGGATAAACAGAAAGTGAAGATTTTGGTCGCCCACTATAACAAAATCATACAAAGAAAGTAGATGAAAAAATAACAGTAGATGCCAAATGGTTTCGAAACCTTGAAAGACGCAGACACCACTACAATAGGATTAAATGAAAATGCTTTTGTAGAAAAATACTACGTCCACTATCTATTACTACTTATATAAGGTTTGCGTCGTAAAACGGGCCGACACAGCCGCTCCGCCGGTAATTCAAAATAATCATAGGACGGTCACATACAGACGCTATAGACAAGTTGGGCCTGTTCCGAAACTTGATGTAGATCTGTCTGTTGGTTCATGGTTTTATTTCTTACTGCAACGGACTGAGCGGCGTTCTCGAGCCGCTGGTAAAGTGGGTTATTAGGACATGCTGTGATTAGTTGCGGCATAGCAAGCTAAAGATACATGGGAAGATCCAGCATTTCTACAATATACCTAATGGCATTCTTAACATGTGTCTTGGCAGGGCGGCAATCGTAAGGCCCAGGATCTTTAAGTGGAATAAGCGTTTAACTATTGGTACTTTGTAGAAACCAGGTGCGGGAGATAATTATCTAGCCAGCTCCGTACGGCCTAGGATATTTTACATGTAATTTTGACAACATGCATGTCTGATACCCCTGCGCTTGTTGGAGACTAACGGCTGCGGAGCTTCCTTGGCCATCACCAGGTTCAGCTCGTCACCTGCGGTCAGAGCCACCTGCGGTTAGAGTCACCTGCGCAATACCCATAGAGTAATTTTAGTTTCTGAGAAGCCGGACTGCCACTCTACGAGCTCGGCGGTACGCTTTCGTTAGTGAGACTGAATTGATCATGCGGTTGGCTTATGAGGAGGGGAAATTGGAACGGGAGGGCATATGCTAACATGGAACTTTAACACACTTATCTATATCTATCCTTCACAAATTCTCTATACTAGATATCTCTGTTTTTGTGGTATGATCATTCCTTCCTAACATATTCTAATTCTCCTATTTAAGGAGTCACACCTGTCGTAACGGGTTGAGGACCCCTGATAAACGGAGTATTTTCCTTCCTTTTGAATATATCAAGGCCGTAAATGAATACACCGGCGCCAGGGAACGACCACGACGACATTGAAACGACGGCAGCAAAACGAGTTCATTATGAGTCACCTTGCCTATAAGTCTTGTCCCTTCTGGGTCTTTTGTCTTATTCTCTCTCTCGCTCATCTCCTATTCGCCTGGGATGTCTCTAAAGAACATACTCCTGGGAGACTCGGAATTCAGCTCGACTTCTCTCTGTTTCGCTCATGGCCTCTAGACAATAACGGAGCAGACACAGGAGGCAAGAGGGCTGGGGATAAACGTTCTTTTCTTTTCTCTAGCTATCTTAAATTTAAGCAGGCAACTGATGTAGCCCACATTAGTGATGAACAGCTTACCAGCCTAGTCATTGAGGCTTACAAAGAGATGGAATTATTGGCAGATGAGAAGAAGTACAACATACATAGAGACAACAAGCCAACATGACGGTATTGGCGTATGGAGACGAAATTATCCTATTATTGTTGCAAAAAGGCCAAACATCCTTCTCTTATGGGGATCCCGAAAACCCTGATTCTCGGCCCCGGGCGAACATAGTAAAACAACAACTCGACCTGTGCCAGCAAACCTTCATGCACAATGTCCCCTAAGCCGACAGAAAGAATGATCAGCACTGGAACGGCGGGAAATGTGGTGAGCAGTTAGTTGCCTATGCATTTTACAATATCTATCCCGAACGGGACGCAGATCTGAGTAAGATGAATGCTCGTGTAACGACAGTTCAGAGAGGCATCAAACTGAACAAAGATCTGGGTGTTTATGCAATTGATCCCTGCAACACCCCAACCGATGATGATGATGATGTAAGTGCACAGAAACACACATTTACGACTCCAGAGCTGATGAATTAGAAAGAGCGCATACTATTGGGGTTGCGCTGATTTTGTTCGTCGGCCAGAAGTAGGCCTCAGAGTCATTGTTTTGGAAATAGCCGAGGATGAAAGAGGCGATGAGTGGATGTATGGCCTGTCAACTCTGGCTGGTGGGTTAGCTGATGGATACCCAAGGAAGATTAGTTTGTGTCAGGGATAATGAGATGAAGACCAGTAATCAATTTCTCTTTACCTAAGACTGTTTTTTTTTTGATAGTAATAGAACCATGATTCAAGGAATAGGTTCGTATCAAAGGGGCAAGATTGTTAGTAGTACTTTACGGGGTTTTGTTTTTCTTCTTTTTCTTCTAAAAGGTTTCTTAAATTTGTTTATTCTTTTACCTGCTTTTCTTATCCATGTTCATATATATCACTTCACTATTACTTCTATATTTCCATTATCTTATCCTCGTATCTAGCTTCCTCTGACGGTATGTGTTCCTCTTCTGTTTTAATCTTGATGAACTATCCCAAACTCAACTCCGTGCTTTGAACAAGCATCTATTAGGCCCTCTCTCTCCTTAGCCTGCCTATCGCCAGTGATCCAGTCGAAGGAGTCATAGTTTGACACCAAATGCAGACTTCGTAACTGATCTTCAGACGATCGTAGACCTCCTATATATTCAAGCAATCGGTCGACGATCTCCTCATATTCCCAATCATAGTCATGGATTGGGAAGTCTTCTGAGACGGCCAGATGCTCTACCGATGTCGGAACCACGTGTCCAAACTGCAAACCACGGTCTACTGATAACCCCACAAAGAATGGCAATGGCATTTGAAGGGGTTTCAACTGGAAGGCAGATAGAGGGCGTAGATGTCCGCGCATCTCCATGGAGTCGTATTCAAGGTTGCTCGGCCCGCGATCCACGGCGGCGACAATTTTCAAGTTTTCCAGCGTGCCTCTCACATGGTCCAAAGTAGATACAATCATGTCGAGATTGATGATTGGACCTCAAGGTAGTTCGCTGCTTACAGCCTTGTAAGCCCAATGCCATGTAAGAGACTTGAGGCAGGGTGTCGCACGCAGCACCTGCTCGAGTGACATTTCTCGCAGCAGCCATAGCTCCAATGATGCGAGGTTTGATAGTCTGGGCGGACTGATTGGCCATTCGACAGGTCCACGGCGCGGCGTGTCAATGAATGCCTCGAGCTGTCGCAAAGTTGGAAGGTAGAAAAATGGTAGAACCTTCTCGGTTTCCGTAAATCGACCGAAACGAGATCGACGATAGGAGCCTTGGAAGACTACGGTATGAATATCCTTGAAATCAGGAAGGTCGGTGCCATTGTGGTCGCAAAGAGCCGATCGAAGGACGTTACTGAACAACCGAACCTCTTGACCGAAGTTGGGCTCCATGCGCAGACTTTTTAGTTTTGGGACTTGTGTGAAGAGGAGCGCTATTAATGCGTCCATCTCTCCTGCACGGAGCTGTTCGACCCAAGATAATTCATACGGCAAGCATAAACTCTCAATTGCACTGATCAGCGGGCCGATCGAATCTGGATCCACGGGGATTTTGGGCGTTGGCTCACGCTCGTGAAAACCCGAGCCTAGAAGCTTGAGATGACGGACGTGTAGTGCCAAGTCCGGGGAGGCGAGAATGCTTCAGAGGAATTGGATGATGGGTGGGATATTCGTCTCGGTCCAAAGAAAGTGAATGTTTTCGTAGAGCAGTGGTACTGCTGCTTCGCGCAGGGTGGATTGGACTTTGCAGAGCGAAGCAAGATCCGCCTGTGACAATCCACGAAGTATCAGGCTAAGAAGCCCAGCTGGAAAATCCGTCAGAGAAGGCATATTCGGGATTGAATATTTGATGTGGTTTTGGTGTATGTTTTCGTTGTAGTTGAAAGTTGGAAGTTGGAAGTTAGAAGACTTGGGAGCGTGGTGGTTGGTTTGTTTGGTTTGTTAGGAAAAAGATGACTCAGGAATCGGCGGTTATTGTCTTATAAATGGACTGCAAGAGAAGAACACAGACCTCCACTCAAGGCACAAATAAACAAATGTGCCTACAGTTAGGAATTATGTACCGTAACGAAGATGGTTGACCGCAGTGTGTTGTTCAGTGAGGGGTTTGGACGATCAACGCTTTCTTCATTGGTGAAGTGTATGACAAGACCTGTGGTGCCTTTTCTGTTACTATGTAAGTGGCTATAAAGACTGTGAGCGTCTGCAATGGATGATGGCATGAGGGCACTGCTGCAATGCTTGTATGTATTTGGATGTGTATATGGAATTACTGCGTGTCAGGGCAGCGGTAATGGAAACGATCTTGCTACCTAGACCAATGGCGGCTTCATTTCGTATGTCTTATCATACGAGAGTGGGAATGAACTGAGAATAAAGTGAGAACGACAGTGGAAGTGAGTGTAAGAGTGAGAGAAAGTGTAAGGGTGAGAGTAAGTGTAACAGTGAGAATGAGAGAGAGCGTGAGAGTGAGGGTGAGAGTGACAGTGACAGTGGAAGTGACAGTGGGATTGAGCAACACCCCATGTCGGCCCGTGCTAAGGGGCAGCTCACCCGCCCGCCCATCAATGGTCCATATCAAATCACCCCGCAACCGAATGGCCCCAAAATCAATTCTCGACCCCGAAAAGCCAAAGTAAACAAACGACAGCCTCCTCCTCCTCCGACATCGCCACGCCGCGCAATCGCCTCCGTCGAACCCTCGAGTCCGCCCATTGCCTCTGTCGAGCCGCCGATCAATTCCCTGATCTCCCTCTCGTCCACACATACGTTCCATCGCGATGGCTTCCGAGCCCAAGCCCGCCAGAGCCTCCAAGGCCGTCAAGCCCGCCAAGGCCGTCAAGGCTGACAAGACCGACAAGTCGGACAAGTCCAAGGTGCACAAGCTCGCACTGAAGGGCAGCGCAAAGCTCGTCGCCGAGTTCGTCAGTCTTCCCAACCCCCTCTCCCTCCTCGGCGAATCGCGGGGCAAAAGAGCTAACTCGGGCTCGGCTTCCAGTTCCAATACTCCATCCACACAATCCTGTAGGAAGCCTCCTCCCTCTCTCCCGAGTCCTCGCCAGCATGCGTTCCGATCTAACCTTCTCTCCCCTCCAGCTTCCAACGAGGCGTCTATCCGGCTGAAGACTTTTCAGCGTATGTCACTTCCCTCTCTTCGCTCCCGCCTTGGAAGAATCATCCGCTAATAGAGTCCTCGCCCGACAGCGTCAAGAAGTACGGCCTCAACATGCTAGGTTCGCCGACGACCCCTCCGTTCTTTTATGCCCATCCTACCCCGCCGAATCGAGAGCTAACGCGACATCCCCCACAGTCTCCTCGGACGACCAGGTCAGGGCGTACATCAAGAAGATCATGGGCCAGCTCGACCGCTGGATGCTCCGCGGCAAGATCTCCAAGCTGGTCATCGTCATCACGGACAAAGACACGGGCGAGCACGTCGAGCGATGGCAGTTCGACGTCGACATCTTTGGCAAGTCGTCCAAGACATCCAAGACATCGTCGTCGTCATCAAAACCGGCCGACCAGGAAAACGACGCAGCCGCGGCCGACGCAGACGCCGCTGCCCCCGAAAAGACGGAGCAGGAGATCCAGGCTGAGATCGCCGCCATATTCCGCCAGATCACCGCGTCCGTCACCTTCCTGCCCCAGCTCGGCGGCGACTGCACCTTCAACGTGCTCGTCTACGCCGACGCCGACTCGGAGGTGCCCGTCGAGTGGGGCGACAGCGACGCAAAGGAGATTGTCAACGGCGAGCGCGTCCAGCTGCGCGGCTTCAGCACCAGCAACCACCGCGTCGACACCCTCGTCAGCTACCGCTTGGCCGACTGAGTACAAGCTACGCGGCGGGGGGCCAGCAGCAGCAGCAGCAGCAGCAGCAGCAATGACAGTAGGAAACGGAAACGGAATGTACAATGGATGCGACGGGCGCGGCATCCATCGGTCAGTAGCGGCCGGAGCCGCCGTGAAACCCGAACGGGAAAAAAGATGAGCGCTTTCGCGCATGTTGTATGGGAAAGGGCGGCGTCTTGGGCGTTTTATCCAAGGATTTTGTATAATCTCGACTTTGTCACGGGGCACAAACGAAGAGGGCCACGGGCTTGGACTGGAGACAGCCAGTCGGTTAATCGTCTCGCCTCGCAGAAAAGAAAAGCACGCTTTTTTTGTAATCTGGTGGCGGTGGCTCTATACTAGAGCCGGGCCCGATTCTCCTCTGATTCTACCGAGTACACCGTCATGCATCCATGTTTCTCGTTCGTCTACACGGTTATATCGCCGCGCCCCGTCATGCTGCAATGCCCATCCTCCTTCGTCTACTGACGCAAAAATCCAACCCAGCCTCTCACCCTCCCTTCTCCCCACCAACATCATCAGCTCATGGCTGTTTCTTCTTGTTTTTCTTTTTCCCCCGTCGTCACACTGCCCCCCAGCCCAAACGCCGTTGTTGCTGCATTCCCGACTAAACCCGCTTGAAGAAGTAGACGTAGGCAAACTTTCTCATCTCCTCAATCTCGCCTGCCTCGACAACCTTTTCGTCGTTGAAAAGAACCCACTGGGGGTGGCCGTCAACCTCTTTGCGGATGAAAGCCACGTAGTGTCTGCAATGAGGTCAGCATATCGACATGGCATGTTTCATGTACAGCGGGGATATACATACCCAGCGTGGATGCTGGTGCCTTTGTGGCACGCAATAGACTGCAGTTGATACTTGGCCGGGGTGGCTGCGCTGCCAGCCTCGCTCTTGGGAGCAGCAGCAGACTCGGATCCGACGGCCGGAGCGACGTCGTCGTCGTCAAAGATACCCTGGTCCTCCGGGTGGCTAAAGAGCCACTCGACGGCGCGCTCCACATCACCGTTGGTCTCACGCAGCGCCTTCTTCGCCTGCGGTACGGAGAAGCCCATGGCTCCCAACATCTCAATCTTCTCCGGATCGGCCGAGCCGCCTCCTCCCGCTGCAGCGCTGCCGCCGTCCAAGACAAGAGGCTCGTCAATGTCGGGGTCCTCCATGTGCGCGAATAGCCACTCCATGGCCGCGTTGGCGTCCGAGTTTCCGGTGGCATGCAAGGCTCGGTCGCAACGGTTCCGGCCGAAGCCCATGGCTTCCAGCTGACTGACAGCCTCGGCGTTGGCGACGAACGCGGGAGCGCTGCTCTCGGGCTCGTCGGGGAGCGTCTCCTCCGAAGCCTGCAGGCCCTTGGAGAGATAGTCGTCGAGGAGGAAGGGCTCATCCGGCACGATAACGGGAACATCAATCTTGACGGGTACCCAGTTGATGACGGCCATCTTCCTGGCATTGACGACTAGGTTCTCTGGGAGAGTCTTGAAGAGAGAGCGCTTTGTGTACCCGTCCTTGCTGCCGCAGGAGGAGCAGGTCAGTTCCACCACCTCCTCGGCCGTGAAGTTGTCGAGACACTCCTTCAGGGTCACGGCCTTGTATGCGTCTCCCTGGGTCTCGGAGCCCTCGGCGACCGGCTCCTTCTCCAGAGGAACGTCGATAAAGATGTTGTCCTGCTCGTTGGACGAGTACCGCACCTTTTTGCAGCCGAGACACTGCAAGCGCTGCTCCAGAGTGAAACGGAAAGGCGAGGTGGGGTCGCCCAGGTCCGAGGGGTGCTGAGAGCGGGAGACGAGCTTGAATATGTGCTGCAGCAGCTCGAAGGCGTCCTGCTGGCGCATGGTGGAGAATTCGGCATGGCCTCGGCCGATGAGATGCTTCAGCATGGCCGGGGCCAGGCCCTTCTGGTGCGCGATCTCGGGGGAGTGTTCAGATGCGACAAGGTCGGAGTCGGCCTTGGAGTAGCGGCCAGAGAGCAAGCCATCGGCCATCTTGCGGAGCTGCGTCTCAAGGTCGGCCGCGGGCTCCTGGACGTTGGGCAGGTCGCGATCGGGCAAGTAGTAGCGGTTCTTGAAGGCGGGGGTATCGAAGAGACACTGGACGATGCTGGCGAGGTAGCAGCTGTTGCCCAGGTTCTTGAGGCCGGTCAAGCCGGGGCCGAACAGCGGCTTCAGCTCCTTGCCGTCCTCCGTGGTCATGCTGAAGTCCCAGCGCAGGTTCTGTTCGATCTGCATCTCGGTCAAGCTCTTCTCCGTCTTCTGCTGGTTCGCCAGGTTGATGCCCCAGTGAGCCAGGTGCTTGCCTAGGTCGTCGTCGATGCGCTCCTCGTCGCACTTGTAGCAGTAGACGTCGGCGGTTCCCTCGGGCGTGATGGACCCCAGCTTGACTGCAACGCCGTGGCCAGACTGTTGGGAGTGGGCGAGGGCGTGGGAATTGCCGTCAACACCACCCATCTGCTTCCTTCCACAGCCCAGGTTCCCGCAGTCCAAGCAGAGCCACAGGTTCTCGTGCAAGTCGCAGGCGGAGCAATGCCCGAGATCGCCAGACTGGATGGTCCGAGACTCGGCCTGCTGCATCAAGAGGATGTGCTCACAGCTGGTCAGCTCCTGCTCCCAGGCCTTGACCTCTTCCTTGCGGGAGAAGGTGTTGGCTTTCATGATACCATCGACGATGGGAGCAAGCTTCTCGGTGGAGTGGTCGAGCCCCTGATTGCAGTCAAGGCACTTGACGACGGTCTTGGTATCGTATCGGTCGGCCTCGGTTTCGGCGGCGATGGCTAGCTTGGACATCTTCAGGGGGGGCTCGTCTCGGACGACGAGCTTGCGAGTACGACGGATGTTGAGGACGAGGGGGTGGTTCCAGAGCTGTCTGTGGAGCTGAGCGTGGTTGCGGTCGCCGGCGCAACCGCCGTTGAAACATTGGAGACAGACATCGAGACCGGCAGGGTCGTCCTGGCGAAGGGAGAAGGAGATCAGCGGGTGTCAGCAGCACCGAGTGACGAGAGTTCGACGTACAATAGAGTCAAAGCACTGGGTACAGTCTTCGCGGTAGACGGAGTTAGAGGGCGCCGGCGGCTGCAGCGCTGCAGGATAGTCAGTGAGAAGCTCTGTACCGTCACGCCGGAAAGGGAGCGTAGACTAAGTCAAGCAAGGTAAGGTATAGGTTACCTGAAGCTATGGACTCGATGTGCGGGCACGCCATGTTGCAAGTGGTTTTCGAGGACTTGTCGTTATTGTATCGTCTCGGCGTAGTGGCGAGCTGTGGAGGTCGTCTATTCCGAGTTCGGCGGGGAGAAGAGGTGGACGGCGCGTTGATTTAAGTGCGGTCAAGCTCAGCCTCGTGTTGGAGGGGGGAAGACAAGGCAGACGACCAAAGAGAGGCAAGACGGCTATGTCTGTCCACGCTGAAGCTGATGCAGAGTTGTTGGTGGTGGGTGGCGGTGGTGAAGGAGAAGAGGAGCCGAGGTGGAAGGTCAGGGCGGGACTGAACTGGAATAAGCTGCCCCGCGGTAGTAGTGAACTACAAGACCTACTATAGTGGTACTGGACGCCTGCAGTCGAAACCTCACAAGGCAGAAGGGGACATAGTTGTAGGTACAGTGCAGTGGGTTGGTTGGTTACAGGGACCTGGTTTGAATACAGTTGACAGCTTTCCCCTGCCTTAGCTTAGCTTTGGAGGGGGAACAAAGCAGTGTTTGGCGATTACGTAGCGAGGTGGGGTTGCTAAGCTTGGGGAGGAAGCATCCATCTGTATGGGCCAGTTGCATGTATGTCTTCTATGTGCATCTCCGAATTACTCATTCAGCTTATTGCATCCCAAGGCTTAGCATGTACTCATTTATGCAGTGTAATCAAGTACTGGTACCTAGGGTGGCTTCCCCGGACTGGGGAAGCAGCGACAACGGCGGCGTATCTAATCAGATTGAATCTGGTTCGATGACGACTACGATGACTAATTATTGACGGGCCGGCAAGACTCCATTGTAGGTGCCAGATCCCTACCTCCTCAACTGGTGGCCACTCGCGCTGGGACTGATGAGAGCTGTCAAAAGCCGAGAAACGAGTGGGGCGGTCTTTGGCACGTGCCTTGGCTTTTGCTGACTCACACAATGTGTCCAATCGGACAGCGTCGGCAGACAGTGAGTGGATCTGATAACGAGTGCAACGCAGCAGAGACGGACGAAATTTTGTCTTCTCCGAGGCGCCGAGCTGGTGCTGTGCTGGAATGTCTCCAACCCCAACACACTCCATGACTTAATCCACGGTCATTGAACACTCCTATTGGCCAGTCCGCCTCATCCGCTATCACCGAGATCGCCATCTTAGGTACTGCTAGTGCAGACTGCGCCGTCACAAGTCCCGCATCCCCGTTCTCCAGAAAACAAATTCCATTTATCCGCCTCCCCCGTCCGGTGGAATCTTCGCCTCCCCTCGTACACACCTCTTACATCTACGAACCGCTTTCTCCAACCTTCTATATTGACCACCTTTTGTCGTCATCGCCAACTCGATTCGTCGCCTATACCCCAAACCGACCTCTGCGACTTCACTCGTATCAACAAAAACCACCCGCTGTCGATACCTATCCATCAACGGCTCTTGCAAAACTCAACCCATTCACGCACGCATTCACATACATCGAATCCCCGACCGAAATGTTCTCCAGATCGCTCCGCGTCGCCTCCCGCAGGGTCCTCGAGACCTCTGTTCGCCCTTCTACCCTCCCCGCCCGCCAGCTTGCACCCGCCGCCTCCCTCGGCGCCACGAGGGCCTACCACGAGAAGGTCCTTGACCAGTACGCAACCCCCGGATATCACGTTTGAGAGAGAGAGAAAGGGTGCTAACCCGCCGTGCACAGCTACTCCCGTCCCCGTAATGTCGGTTCCATGCCCAAGGGCGACAAGGACGTCGGCCAGGGCCTCGTCGGTGCGCCTGCTTGCGGCGATGTCATGAAGTAAGACACCATTGCGACGGACATTCATCCCCGTGAACAAGTCCATCCCCCAGCGAGGGCATCATGGCGTGCCACCTGCTACAACAACAACCGCTGACAACTCCCCATAGGCTCAACATTCGCGTCGACCCCAAGACCAACGTCATCTCCGATGTCAAGTTCAAGACTTTCGGCTGCGGATCCGCCATCGCTTCTTCCAGCTACCTCACCGAGCTCGTCCGCGGCATGACGTGAGCCACCTTTGCCCAACCGTGTTCACCTGGTTTGAATCATGCCAATCATAAATGTGAAACAGCTTAGAGCAGGCCGGTCGAGTTAAGAACACAGAGATCGCCCAAGAGCTCAAGCTCCCCCCCGTCAAGGTATGTCACCCGGTCCGGGCAGTCGCTGTTGCATCACACACACGCTTTTGCTAACACCCATTCTCAGCTGCACTGCAGCATGCTCGCCGAGGACGCCATCAAGGCCGCCATCTCCGACTACTACACCAAGAACCCTAATGCGAAGCCCACCAACCTGGCCGGCACCGAGGCCAAGACCGAGACTCCCGCCTCCGCATAACCGGTACCGACGTCTCTCTTTCGTTACACGTTACCGGAGTTTGGCTTAGGGAGTGCAGAGGGGACGCTGCGGGCGGGGGGGAGAAGCCCGGGCAGAAATTGCCAGCACGAACAGAAACATTTGTCGATGTTGTTCTTACTTGCATCTTATCACCAGTGATTTCCAACAAAAAAACCTGGAGTTCTGGGAAGGAAATATGGGTTTTTCTTGGGGCTTATATGGATGAAAGCCTCCCAACCACGACCGCGAACTGCGACGAGGATCGCAACATGGAGGTGAACACGCTGCCGCGAAAAACAGGCCTTTTCCATGTGTTCTGCCAGGAGGGCCTAGTTCGGGGGAGGGGGCAGGGTTGTACGTCAGTGTGAAAATACCATTTAGTTTTCAGTGGCCAGCTTATCAGCGACCTGACAGAGACGAGAATGCCATAGAACGACATTGTCCTGCCACTGCGCCGCCGTCCCAACACCGCCATATGACCATCGTGAGCGTCCTTTGCGAGTGTCGGTTGCTTCAAGTCTGCAATGAGTGGACCGACGACGGCGTGACTGCGAAACCCAAACTGCGCCGTCGTGAGACTGAGGGATGCCGGAGTTGGAAACCTGCCGATAACATTGTCAGCCGAACGCGGCTTGAGACCCGAACAAACCGGTCTTCAGCATGGCCTTTGCAGACTTCTCGTCGACAGGCCGCCTCCCTGTCCGCCAGGCGTCGCACCGTCCCGCGCACTCTACGGCGGCCAAACAGCCATACATGGAGGTGTAGTTGGCGCAGGAGAATATATTCAGGACAATCCGTGTTTAGGCGCTTAGGCTAGCTCCTGATTTGTACCTTGGATTACTTACCATCGAGTTGCCACTTCGGAGATCGTGTGCGGCGTGGTAGATACGAATGGACCCATTTGATATTGCGTTACGAATAAGCGCTACTCGATGCCGCTCCAAAGTAAGTGAACACGTGAGGCTTTGTGCAGATGATTCCGTCCGTTCTAGACGTGAACTCCCTACGAGCATATGGTCAGCCGGTCCGCAGTTTGCAATCCATGTTCCCATTCATGTCTATCTACATACGGTTCCTAATCCTAATCCCAAATTCAGTCCCCCCCCCCCTCCACGCTCTCACCCAACACTAGCCTCGCGGGTGAGTGGGAGGCGGCGCCGGGGGCAGCCCGCCCTGCGATTCCGTCATGTAGCTATGTGACCCCCCGTAGTTGCTGTCCTCCTCGGACGAGTCCGATCCACCGTCCGCGCCGGCGAAGTGCAGGAACAGCATGCGAACCAGGAAGCCGGCGCTGACGAGAAGCGGCAGGACCTGGGCGGTGTCGGAGACGTAGTTGGCGCGGGTGATGCCGTTCCACGAGACGGTGAGCTCGACGGCGGCCGTGAGGGTCGCCGCGACGGCCACGTCGCTCAGCGTCTTGAGCTCTTTGACCGCCACGATGTGCGTTTTGCTGCGGACCGAGGAATGTACGTCAGCATCTGGCAGGCCCAAGACCGTGACGTCCAACACTGGGGCGGGGGAGGGGGGCCAACCTGACTCTTCGCTTCTTCCGTCTGGCGCGCCAATACGGCACCTTGCAGCCGATCTTGAGCAGCAGAACGAGGGCGCAGGCGAGCAGGATGACCAGGTATAAGATGGCGTTGGAGGCGATGAAGCCCTTGTTACCCAGGCTGATGGGGCTGAATAGGAAGCCGTACTGCTCCGACGAGCACGGGTTCTCCGGCGCGAAGGCGCACCAGTACCAGATGGCCAGCGAGGTGACGGCCAGGAGCAGGGTGAAGTTGAGCCCCTTGAAAGCGGGGGTCGGCGTCTCGCTGGACCACCGGAAGGGGTCCCAGTAAGGCCGGAAGCAGGTCACGACCTTCCAGGCGTACAGCGGGACGAGGAAGAGGTAGACGCCGGTGGCGAGGAGGAGCACGATGTAGACGTCGGCGGGCTGCAGCGTGGCGGCGGAGAGCCTGACGACGAGGCCGATGAGGGCGGCGGCCGAGAACAGCAGGCCGAGGAGGCGCATGTCGGGCAGGCCGGCCACCTCGAGGTATTCCACGAGGATGGCGCCGAACCACTGGATGTAGAAGGCGACGCGGATTCCCAGCCCGTAGAGGTCGGGCTCGCCCTGCACCTGGCAGCTGGCCATGATGAGTTTTTTCGACAATGAGTTTCGTCGGGACATTTGAAGAAAAGACGGAATCACTCGGTCATGGGGAGGCTATCGATTCTACCTTATAGTCCCCCTCCTCTTCCTCCCCCCCTCGTTCTTTCTCTCTTTCTCTCTCTCACACACACACCTCGAGGGGTACCGCATTGCCAATGTCGACATGCAACGTGGGCACTCATACAGACGAACAATAACAAGGGTCAACGCCGCACCCAGTTGTGCCACGGGGACACCGCCAATGGATGGACCCTGAGCGGATGGGCTGCCTTGCAGGATGATGCGCTCTTCCGCCGTCCCTTGGTGTAGATAACCCAAGTCGCGGTCCCCATGCGGCAGCGTCCGAACCCTATTGGTGGTGATCTTGAAGGGTCGGACAACAGGTCTCTCTCTCTCTGTGTGTGCGCGCGCGCGCGTGTGTGTGCATCTGTCACTAGATGGCTGGAGAAATGCCTCGAAGAATTGCATACTGCATACTGTCCGGTTACCTATTGCAGGGTTGGGCCGTCTTGCTGACGCCCAGGGACCTATTGGCTCATAGCCCGGGCCTCGACCTCTGTGGCCGACTGCTGGAGTCTGTGTGGGTGTGCGGCAGGTCAATATTGTGCTGTTCACCACCTCGCTTGCATCAGTCGCCGGCAGCGAGGCCGATGGTCCCGGACCGTACTGCGTGCAGAATCGGGGTTTTCCCGAGACAGGTTCAGGGCTAGCCAGTCCCTCCTCTCTCGTTTCCTGTAGCAGAATCAACCGAGCTGTTTTTGGCATGGCGGGGGTAGAGTGAAGACGTGATGGGAATGCACATGGCCTAAATGGGAGCGCCTATAAGCTGATGAAGGTCTCTGTGGCAGATGGCTTGGCCCAGGGGAATCATGCACCTAGGTAGTCAGATTGGCACACACCGGCGGCCGCGGAAGGGAAAGAGACTTTCCTAGTGTAGCATCAGGAGTGACAACTGGGCAATGGGGGGCGATGGGGAGTTCAAAGAGGGGAAGACGAATGGGAATGGGTGGATGACAAGATGGAGGGATGGACGGACAGTGAAGCGGACGTGGTAGGCGGGGGAATGACGGGTGGAGACCGATGAAGGAAACGGATGCGGGTGGGGGGAGGGATGATATGTGGGTTCCGAGCTCCGATTCTGGAACCGGGTGGCCAGTGGACTAGGTGGCGGTACGTGCCTTATTCTTTCGGCCGAAACAAGCTTAGCGCAGGGTCTCGATTCTTATCCTTATCTTATCCTTATCTTCTTATCGATAAATGTTTTTTTTTCCATTTTTATTTTTTTTAACTCTTGCGACAGACAATCCAATCCCCTCCAGCCAAGCCCGCGCCTTGGATCTCCCTTTTCACCGTACCCCAAGGCGAATTGAAGAGCGCCACTCTCCTCGCTCGCTCACAACTCCCCCCTCCCCTCTCACCGCAACAATGGCCGCCACGAAACGTTCGCTCGCCGACACCGAGGCCGAGGCCGAGGTCACTACCAAGAAGCAGAAGGTCAAGGACCTCGCCGTCGGTGGCGATGTCGACAGCGACGAGGTAGCGGAGCTGAAGAAACAGAAGAAGAAGGAGAAGAAGGAGCGCAAGAAGGAAAAGAAGGACAAGAAGGACAAGAAGTCAAAGTCTGCCGCTGCTGCTGACCAAGACGGAGAAGCCCCCGCCGCCGCCGCCGCCGCCGAGGAGGCCAAGGCCGAGACGGAGGAGGAAAAGGCCGAGAGGAAGAGGCAAAAGAAGGAGAAGAAGAGGAAGGAAAAGGAGGCGGCGGCCCAGAGCAGCAGCAGCAACAACAACGGCAGCGCCGCCGTCCCCGTCGTCACGGCTAGCGGCCCCACGCCCACCGCCGCCGTCCTCGGCGGCTACCAGCAGGCCGCCGCGCTGACCGCCCTGCCGCAGTCCGAGGTCGACGCCTTCCTGACGGCCGAGAACATCACGGTGACAGACCCGGTCGACAATCCCACGGCGCTGCGCCCGATCCTTGAGTTCTCCTACCTGCCCGAGACGGACCTGATCAAGAAGAAGCCCTTCTCGGCCTACAAGAAGCCGACGCCCATCCAGTCGGCCTCGTGGCCCTACACCCTCTCGCGGCGCGACGTCATCGGCGTCGCCGAGACGGGCTCCGGCAAGACCATGGCGTTTGCGCTGCCGCTCGTCGAGGGCATCTCCAAGATCAAGAAGCGCTGCATCAAGGCCGTCGTCGTGTCGCCGACGCGCGAGCTGGCCATGCAGACCCAGGAGCAGATGGAGCACGTGTCGAGCCTCCTGGGCCTCAAGAGCATCTGCATCTACGGCGGCGCGTCCAAGGACGACCAGCGCGCCCTGCTGCGCCGCGGCGCCGACGTCATCGTCGCGACGCCCGGCCGCCTCAAGGACTTCATGATGGACGGCACCATCTCGCTGCAGGACGTCAAGTTCGCCGTCCTCGACGAGGCCGACCGCATGCTCGACAAGGGCTTCGAGGAGGACATCAAGATGATCCTCGGCGACATGCCGGCCCGCGAGGCCCGCCAGACCGTCATGTTCACCGCCACCTGGCCCGCCTCCGTCCGCAAGCTGGCCGAGTCCTTCATGGTCGACCCCGTCAAGGTCACCATCGGCTCCAGCGGCAAGGAGACGGCCAACGGCGCCGTCGAGCTGCAGGCCAACACGCGCATCACCCAGCGGGTCGAGGTCGTCGACCCCCGCGCCAAGGAGCAGAGGCTCCTGCAGCTGCTCAAGCAGTGGCAGGCCACCGCCTCCCAGAAGAACGACCGCATCCTCGTCTTCTGCCTCTACAAGAAGGAGGCCACCCGCGTCGAGGCCTTCCTCCAGCAGCGCGGCATCCGCGTCGGCGGCATCCACGGCGACCTCCGCCAGGAGCAGCGCACCCGCAGCCTCGAGGCTTTCAAGGCCGGCACCACCCCGGTCCTGGTCGCCACCGACGTCGCCGCCCGCGGCCTCGACATTCCCGAGGTGAAGCTGGTCATCAACGTTACTGTGAGTTGTTTCCCCCTCTACTCCCTCCATCTCGGTTTGAAATCGACCGATCCACGCTAACGCTCGCCGTGTTTACAGTTCCCCTTGACGATCGAGGACTACGTCCACAGAATCGGACGTACCGGCCGTGCCGGCAAGACGGGCGAGGCCATCACTCTCTTCACCGAGCACGACAAGGCGCACTCTGGATCGTAAGTGGACCTCACCGTGGCGGGAGGACATTCAACAGAGAGAGAGAGAGAGAGGCCAGTTCACTAACGCGCCGCGCAAAAACCATAGTCTGATCAACATCCTCAAGGGCGCCAAGCAGCCCGTCCCCGACGAGCTCTTCAAGTTCGGCACCACCGTCAAGAAGAAGGCCCACAGCACCTACGGCGCCTTCTTCAAGGACGTCGACATGACCAAGAAGGCCACCAAGATTACGTTTGATTAGGACCGTTATATTATTTGATGCTTTCTGCATCCGAGAATGTCTAATTCTTTTTCTTCTGGCATTGATTCCATCCCGTAATCTACGCAGTCTTTGGCCTGCGCGCCGAGTTGTAACATTGCAGGAGGAATCTGCGTTCGGCGAAAAGTCTGGGTCATGTTAGACGACGGGGTGGATTGCATCAGACCAAAAAACAAAGAAAGAAAGAAAGCACGGGGTTTTGAAATTCGGGGAGATGGAGGAGGAGGAGAAGAAGGAGAAGAGAGAGAGAGGGGGGGGGGGGGGGGAGAACACTTACATCAAAAGGACGACGGGCACGGCGGCGAGGCCGATGGCGATCAGATCCCTGAAGGAAGAGGTGGGCGAGGCGGGCGAGACGACACCGGTCGCGCGGCGGATCAGGTGGGGCGCGGATAGACAGAGGATAGAAGTGACGGCGTTAGGCTGCAATGACAAGAGTTCAAACGGCGTTTCCAGGCCGGCAAAGTACGACTTGACAAAGGCGAGGCTCCAGACGATGCGGCAGAGCATGTTGATGCAGTTGGCGAGGACGAGGCCCGAGGCGCCGAGGTCCATGACGCGCATGAAGAGGAAGGCGGCGGAGCCGAAGGCGACGGAGAAGGCGCCCATCCAGGCCGACTGGCGGTGGACCTGGGCCTCGGAGGCGACGGAGGCGACAAAGGCCTCGGCCACGCCGTTGGTGGCCAGGAGCGGGATGTAGTAGCAGTAGACGGCGAGGACCTCGCCGGCGCCCTCGCCGGCCCAACGGCTGCCGGCGACCAGGGACAGGAGCGGCGGGGCGGCGACGGGGCCGATGCTCACGACGACGGACGATAGCAGCAGGTAGAAGCGGAGCAGCGTGTGGAGGTGCTGGCCGGCTGTGGCCAGCGTCTCCCTGGAGGGCGTCTTCTTGGCCTGGGTGTCTTGGGAGGAGGAGGACGAGGAGGAGGAGGAGGACGAGGAGGAGGAGGACGACGACGACGACGAGAGGAGGCGGCTGAAATAGCTGCGGCTGCTCTCCTCGACGGGCTGCAGGACGAGGCGGGCGAGGAGGCCGCCGTAGTTGCTGGCCAGGGCGTAGACGCCCTGCGACTTGGGGGTCGAGAGGACGGAGACGAGGAAGGTGTCGCCCTGGGTGAGGACGTGCTTGACGAGGCTCTGGGCCATCATGCTGGAGGCCAGGCTGACGGTGGGGCGGTAGAAGTAGGAGGCGAGGTAGTCGGAGGGCGGGCCAAGGGCTCTGGGCAAGAGTGAGAAGCCGTCGGCGCGGGCGAGGCGGGCGGCGGACCAGAGGTAGACGAGCAGCAGGGTGGCGCCGTACGAGAGCTGGCCGAGGGCGAAGGGCAGGACGCCGAACTCGAGGCGGGCCCTCGAGGCCCAGAAGGCGGCGGCCAAGGTGACGACGCAGCGCAGGAAGGTGGCGGCGGACTCGGCGGAGGCGCGGGTGGCGAAGCGCAGGCGGGTCTGCATGAGCACGAAGCAGGGCTCCGACAGCAGCTCGAGCACGGCGGCGAGGGCGTACAGGCGGAGGGCGAGGAGGAAGTTAGGGGTGCTCGCGGTGGCGGCGTCGGCGGACGAGAGGTAGAGCCAGCCGAGGCCGACGGTGACGAAGCAGCCGAGCAGGACGGCGAGGTAGCCGAGATTGACGACGGCCTGGCTCTCGCGAGCCAGGCGGGCGGCGGCGGTGGAGTCGTCTTCTTTGCCGTCACCATCCGTGTCGGCCTCGGTGTTGCCGGAGGCGCCGGCGCCGGGGCGGGTCTCCTGGCGCTGGACGGCGACGCGCAGGCTCTCGCGGGCGAAGAAGAGAACAGAGAGGTAGTAGACCTCGAGCTGGGTGGAGACGCCCAGGAGCTGGGCGGTGAGGAAGCGGAGCATGAGCTGGTTGGCGATGAAGGTGATGGCGCGGGAGGCGATCTGGAGGATGATGAGGAGGGAGGCGCCGCGGACGACGGTCTTGCTGGCGTCTGCCGCGGGGGCGGGAGCAGGTTTTCCTGACGACGGCATTGTTGGCTCCCCGATGACGGTCGAGTCGTTTGCCGTCGGTGTGTGTGTGTGTGTGTGTGTATGCAGTGTCGGGGGGGATTTTTGCCTTGTCCGTCGCGTAGTTGAAGTTGAAGGTTGAGGCGACCGTGTTTTTGGAGAGTACAGGGAGCGGAGCCGAACGTGGATGTGTTTACCGGGCCCGGTAGGACCCACAGCGGTGTGGTGCAGCGGGTCGGCCCACTGAAGCGCACCGCGTGCGTGGGAGCGGAGGGCAGGTGTACAGAGAGTACCGGAATTCGGGCAACGCATACTACTAGCTGGATGTCTTCATGGTTTCGTTTCATTTTATGATTCCTACAGTTCCATTTTAAATGTATAATCCTTGGGGAACGTTTTGTTCACGGTTTCCCATGCATAATGCACCCGCCGAACGACGTGTATAAGCTTGAAGGAGGTAGCATCCCGACGCAGACGAGGCTGGCTGGCTGGCTGGCTGAACCACCTGCCGAGTGCCGGATGCGACCTAACCGTTAAAAATGTCGGAGAGGAGAATACCTACCAAGATGAAGGCAGACGGGAGGAGGGGCTGGCTGGCTGGTGGACTGTTGATGAGTTGGCGGTGCGGCGGGCTCTGGTGACTCCCATCACAATCACAAGAGGCGACACCAACACATAGTGCTGTTCCGCAGGGATGTCGTCATTACAGCAGGGGTAGCAGCGATTCAGAGACATTCATTCGGTGAGAGTGACGATCCGGTGCGTCGCAGGAGGCCAGTTGGTCTCTGAGCTGTACACACGTTTGGGCACCATCTCATACGTAGGTGTGGTATGGTATGGTATTGTGTATGGTGATGGCGACTCATCAGTCTGAGATGAGATAGATGTACGGATACGTACCTGTACGAACTACCCAGCTTTTACCTACCATTGCTAGCGTACGGAGTATGGATACACAGTACGTATCCAGGTGAGTAAGCAGATACGTACCTTGCAGACAAAGCACAGGGCACAGGGCGGCAGGGACGAATTTGGGCAGGTGGGGTCGTTCCTGGCGGCGTTCCTGGATTGGCGGGTACCCTGTGGAGTTGTGTCCTGGTTTGGACCGCAGATTGGGCTTGTTTGGGCAGGATGCGCCTGCGCCTGCGCCTGCACCCACTCGTTTGGTCCGCCGCAAACGCTTTTGGTCCTTCCCAAGTTCCCATTTTCCCATTTTCCCATGCTTGTGAAGAGGAAAGCACGGAGATCATTCAGTGGTGGTGTGTTGTCGGCTTGCCTGCATGCCTATCTAATCCACTTACACCTACGGATACATCCAGTCTGTATCTGTACTGTACTGTACTGCACTGCACTGCACTGCACTTTTTGCAACACCTAGGTAGGTAGGTAGGTAGGTAGGTAGGTACCGTACACGAATCGCAACAATGCATTGTGTACGTAGTAACAGGATTGAATGCCGAAATACCCATCGTGCCAGGTACCGGCTTCCTTTTCGGTCGGTTGCCACCAGGTTTCGCCTTTTTGGCGCTGTATCACCACCAGTTCCTGCCGGCGATGGCGATTACCACCTTCTCCTGCCCTTTCTTGTTTGTCCCTTTGCCTCCCCTCCCCTCCCCTCCTTCCTCCTCCTGCGGCTCGTCGTTTCCTTTTTTTTTTTCTTTTTCTTTTTCCTTCCTTTTTTTTTTCTCCTCTTTTTCCTGTCATGTCACCTACGGTAGGTAGCTACGTACTTATCTAGTGAATCAATGTTCCCCTCCCCCAGTCTCCCTTCTCCCCGTACCTCGTCACCATCCCGTCCGTGTCGCGTCACAGAATCTTTTTCAACTCCCGCTTCGCCATCCTGAGACCATCATCCATCCCTACGTCGTCATTCTGTCTCTCGTCTCTCCCTAACGGTGTTTGACTTCTTCCTTCATCCGTCCCGTCGACCTTGCTTGGACCTAAACACGTCTTGTCTTTTTCCCGCTGCAACACCATCACTTCCTGCGAACAAACTTGCGGATATCATCACTACTCTTCAATCAACCCCTCTAGCACATGTTCCCAGCGGCGGCATTCTTGTTCCAGTTCCAATCTCTTCTGCCGTCATCCTTTTAACTATCCATTTTTTTCATCTTTTTTCTTTTTTCACTCTCTGCCTCCCCCCTCTTCCTGCAATCTTTTATATGAGCTCAATTTCGGCTCGGACCTCATGCTCTCAAAAGAAACTGCAGTCAGCCTCCACCGGTCTGGCCTGTTCCCTGCTGTCATCCACTGCTGCAGAGCGTCAACGGCCTGTCTTGTCCAGTAACGGCTCGCCCCAGACACACCAACCCCGGTCACAATTCGCGCTTGGATGGCTTGGATAGTGGGTGACCATCGCGATAGACGACCACAACCCGGCCAATACTCCTTGCTCCTTGTCCTGTTATTCCCCTCGTGCTCCTCCTCTCTGCAGCAGTGTGCAGCTGACGGTGGCCTCCAATCCCGTCACACCCAGCCAAACATATCGATACACACCAACACAGCACAACACAACAACACCCATTCTCGACATAAACATAAGCCCGACCCTCCACGACTCGCACAAACTCCTCCCCCTCCTTGACCTTCTCTGCCAGTCCCACGATCTCGCCCTGGTACAAGGTACCGAAGCAAAACCCTCGTCTCTCTCACCCGCTTTCATCCACCCCCCATAGCCCGTGCCTTCGCCTCTGGGGGGGCTTTCAGCATGCTGCCCGCCGTAGCGTCTTCTCTGCCGCAATAACGATGGCAGAACTCGGCACCAGTCCAGGTCCAGGTCCAACTACTGATCCAGACCCCAACACCGCCTCAGATGCCGACACGGTCACCGACACTGACACCGACACTGACACCGCCGCCACCGCTGTTTCCGACCAAAGCAACTCCTGCAACGCCGCCGATGACTTCCGACTTCCCGGCCCTGACGACGCAATGGCCGACTTCATCCAAACTCCTGCTGCACGCCCGAACGACGGCTCCAGGATCCAGTGTTGCTGCGGTCGCACCGACTGTGTCTATTTGAGCCATAGCCGCTCCGTCCTCGAAACGGTCGAAAAGGATGTCCATACCGCCGCCAAGCTGGGCAAGGTACGTCCTCGCTCTGCTTCTTGTTTTTACTTTTGGTTTTTCGACATAAATCCCCCCCCCCCCTTTCGTCCAAGCTTCCTCTCGATTCAGGGAACATTCCAGTTGCGCCGCTCCAGAAGCCCGTCTCAATCTCTCGAGACATTCCAGCTCCTCATTTCCCTGATTAAGTTCAAGATGGGGTGTCCCGGCACAGTTCCAGCCCGCAAACTTTGCTTTTCTTTCCAAATGTCAAAAGCCGCCCGAGATCTTCCCTCCTCAGTCGTGACGCACATGATGTCGACATGACCTTGCTGACCTTTCCCCTCCAGGCCCTTCTTGCTCGCCATGAGGCATACATGGCCGACGCCGAACGAGACCGCATGTCATTGACCACCCGCATAGAACAGCTGGAATCCGAAAAGGTGGAGCTGCAGGCCGAGAACGCGAGGACCGTCGAGGAGAACCGCTCCCTGCTCGACCAACTCGAAATGCTCAACACCACCGTCCAGGACGCGGACATCCGCATCCAGACCCTCGAGGCGACCTTGCTGTCCTCCCACCAGGCGGTGCGTCGCCTCGAGGGTGCGGCCGCCCGCGCCGCCGAGATGGAACGGCACATTGCACTCCTCGAGCAGGAGCAGCTCCGCCTGCAAAACACCCTCATAACCACCGAGTCCGAGGCCCGTTCCGCAATGCAGCGGTGGAGAAAGGCCGAGAGGGGCATCTCCGACCTGCAGGAGCAGCTGGAGCGCATGGAAAAGGAGGCCAAGGAAGAGCGCGAACGCCACGTCGAGGTCCTCAGTCGCATGGAGCGCCAGCGTGAGATGGAAAAAGAGCTCAACACCGCCGCCGGGCGCCTCAAGGGGGCTGCCGCGGCCAAGTCTCTCACCTCGGACAAACCCGCCAGCAGCGTCGTCTCCCACTTTGTCCGTGACCTCCTGCAGGACAATGCGAACCTGCAGCTAGGCATAGCCGAGCTGCGGGAGATGCTCATCAACTCCAACGACGAGATCCAGGCTATGCGGGACCAGCTGATGTGCCACCAGCCCATCGGCGACGAGGACGCCGGCGCCGGCGCCCCATCAACGCTACGCGCGGAAATCGGCCCAGACCCCCGCGAGATGGCCCAGCACATCTCCCAGGAGCTTCATATTCACCACCACTACCACGTCGCGGAAAAGACCAAACCCAGGAAGAAACGCCACAGCCTGAACCCGGCCGTGTTCCCGCCCGCCAGCGTCTCGCGGTCCTCGACGCCGCCGCCGGCCGCATGGCGACCCGCTCCTTCGCCGATGACTCCTCTGGCGGCTTCCCACTCCCACAACGGCTCGACATCGACCATCTCGATGCCGTCCAACCGATGGTCCGTCTTTTCGGAACAACCCTCCGAGTTCGCGCTTTCGTCCGTCCCTAGTTCGCCGCAGTCGAACCCCCGTCATTCCATGTTCGACAGGCCGGTGTTCGAGACCGACATGCCTATGTCGCCGACGACGAGCTTGGACCCTACCTCGCCGACGTGCAAGCTCTCGCACAGAAATCGCCCGTCGGAAGCGTCGATCCGGAGCTTCTCAGTGCCCCCCAAGCTCCTTAGTGTGGCTTCGCCGGCACCACCAGTAGCGCCCACCTTGCATGTGGCTCAGCACATTTCGTCCACGATCGAGGAAGAAAGGGAAGAGAACGGTCCTGAAGAAGCGCCGGATCTTTTGCCGACCAACGACGACCACATCGAGACCGAGACCGAGACAGAAACCGAAACGGAAGTCTCCTTCTCCAAGTACGAGGAGCTGCCACCGCGACGTTTGCACCGCGCCGTTTCCCACGAATCCATCATATCCTTGTCAGGGGGACTGGACATTCACACTCTCAAAGTACGGCCAAGTCAACTGACATTTCGCCCGCTGGGTGGGGCTGAAGCCGTGTTTACTGGCGTCACGGCACGTTCAACTATATCACGGGGCAGCGACAAGCGTAGCGACGTTTTGCTGCGCGATAGTCTCGCCGGCAGGCCTGTGTCGAGGATGGTGTCGACGCCCATCCGGAGCGCTTCGCCGGGGAGCACGCATTCGCAGTATTCTCAAAATTCGAGCGGCCTGGGCAGATGGGTCAGCTGGCGGCCATGGACAGGAGGAGGTTCGGCAGCGTCAGCATCCCGGGCGACGACACCGACAGCGGCCCAAGGCGCCGGGAAGGAAAAGGACAAGGACGTCGTTAGAGCGCCGGGCATCAACCAGCCCGGCGCCATTCCCGGCTTCCAAGAGTACCTGGCGGCTCACCAACGCCGCGGCCCCCCGAGCAAGGTGCTGCCTGACGTAATCGACGTCGATGCGCTGCGAGACGGTCTAGAAGGGGGATTGTAAGATTGGAGGGCCATGTTTGCACGAATCGGCACGAAAGTTTTCTACAAACTGCATTGCGAAAAAAGGAGCAGGGGCGCTTATTTTTCTTTCCCATTTCTTGTTTGTTTTTGTTTTTTTCTTTCGTCTTTCCTCCCTTGGGCAAACAAACACGTGCGGCGTTGAAATATTGGGTACGGATAGTTTGGGCATAGTTGAGGATGGGAGCTGGAGATACCCCCCCTGCTGGTGTACGCGCCGCGCTTGCGTTCACTCTTGATTGTTCGGCATCTTTCCTTTGTCATTACGGGCCCCGGCCACCTATTTATATCCATGCAGGGTAACGGAACCCCGCCAAGGCGTCGCAGTTATAGCTATAGACGCTGTGGCCATCTACTTTACAGCTAGACGCAGTCTTACAGAATGAGGCACTCTCCTAAATATAATTTCTAGTCAACTTGCACAATCGCACGACGTCTTGTGCCGGTGTTAGAGAGAGAGGGTTGGTATGTTGTCTGCCTGCATGCTTCTTCCGCGTGGTAGGGGCACAGGGTCCTACGCATTATGTCCCTGGGTAGCCCCTGCAACATCATCAAGTGGCCTGTCGCGCGTGGGAGGAGAAAATTGTTCTGATTGATTGCAGCTCGAAGGCTATAATCTCAGACATGTAGTTGTAGAAAAAGATAAGACACTGTCGGTTTGCCCCCCCCCCCCCGGGAAGACGAATCAATCCCTCCATTGGGCTAAAATTCCGAAGACGAAAAACAGAAGACAAAAAAAGATTAGAAAACGACCATAATTCCCCGCGACGAGAGTCCGATTTCTTGCGATGACGCCCCACGTATCGTCGTCTTCTTTTTAACGCCCAAAAGAAAAAAAGAAAAAAAGGGTTGGAAATTTCGTTTTCATCATAAGCGTCATGGTAGAAAAGGGACCTAAGAAGAAGGAGAGTGGTGGAGGAAGTGAGGGGAGGAGAGGAGAGGATAAGATGGGGGGGAGGGGGGGGTCACTAAAGATTAAGCGCCATCGAGGAACAGCATCACTCGGCACCGGGACCAGAAGGGGCGTGGATGCCGTGGAAGCCGTGGCCGACGGCGAAGTGGCATTCGGCCCTGCCGAGCTCCGTCATGGAGCGGGCGTCGAGGCAGAGCAGGTAGCTCCGCTGGGCGGTGCCGTCGAGGACGACGCTGAGCAGGACGCCGTCGTCCTCGGCGAGGGGCAGGCCGTCGTCGGGGCCGGCGGGGCGGGGGACGAAGATTGGCTCGCCGGGGGTGTGGGCGCGCGGGCACTCCCACAGGAGGGCCTCGCGCGTGTCGGCGTCGGTCTTGACGATGGTGTCGAAGAGGGTGCTGAGGCCGCGGTCTGTGAGGCTGTAGACGTAGCGGTGGCGGCGGGTGAGGTAGGCCGGGTTGATTGTGGGGAGCTCGCCGGCGTGCGGGCCGGGGATGGAGACGACGAGTTCCGGTTCGGCTGTGGGGGTGGTGGCGGTGGTATCTTTCCGGGACGGGTCCGAGAGACGGAACTTGTAGCGCTGGAGGCTTGCGTAGCCCGTCTTGACGCGGTCCTTCTCTGCCCAAAACTTGTCTGCGGCGCCGTTGCGGTTGAGGAGGACGTCGTAGTAGAGGTTGTAGAGGATGTCGAGGTTCTGGTAGGTGGCGGCCTCGCAGACGACGTCGAGGAGGCCGTCGTCGCCGGCGGGTCCGGGGGCGGGCTCCTCGAAGGCGTTTGTCGTGTGGAAGAAGAAGCCGGCGGGGGTATCGAAGGAAGCGACTAGGCCGCGGCCGTGGCGGCGGTCGACGAAGTACCACCTGCAGCGGTTGGCGGGGTCGAAGGGGACGATGGCGTCGAGGATATTGCGCTGCCAGGGGACGGCCATGCCGGCGTAGGCAAGGTGGGAGGAGGGGATGCAGAGAACGACGAAGCTGTGGGTGAGGAAGAAGCTGTGGACGTAGGCGGGCTTGGCGGCGGGGCTGGAGATGGTGGCGATGATGTCGGTCTTGCCGGTGGCGGCGCTGGTGCGGAAGACACGGTAGGTGGAGGACATGGCCAGGGCGAGGTTGAAGTTGTACATGTCGCCCGTGGCCGGGTCGCGCTGGGCGTGGGCGCAGGACAGTGGGCCGGACAGGTCCGGGTGCAGCTTGTCCTGCTTGGCGACGCCGACGGGCTCGAGGGTGGCCGGGTCGATCTCCAGCATGGGGCTAGAGTCGGTGGAGAGCCAGACGCTGCGAAGGCGGCCGTTCCGGTGGCCCTGGCCGGTTGTTTTTGTTGATGATGATGGCGATGATGGTGTTTTTATATGTCTGTCGTCGTCCAGGAGGCCGGGGATGTTGGCGTTGACGGCGACGCAGATGTTGGGGCTGGTGCCCTTTGCGAAGACGCCCATGAACTTGCCGAGGAGACCGACGCAGGGGTCGGCCTTTTGGCCGAAGGTGTAGCGGTTCTGATGACCGGCGGCCTTGATGGAGGCGACGAGTTCATCGCACTGGCGGCGCGAGGAGTAGACCACGCGGGTCTTGGACGACAGAGCGGCAGCGTCGGGGGCGACAATGTCGAACTTGTGGGTGTGGGCGAGGCCGTCAAACCAGTGGGAGACGTGATAGGTGCCCTTGGGTGTGTCTTCGATCTTGCAGCTGCCGGGACCGGTCCGGTAGAGGGCGCCTGCGGCCCAGGCGGGGATTTCGCCCTGGACGGTCAGCTCGATGGGGCCGCGTTCCTCGGTCAGACCGTCAAACTAGTGCTTGTCAGTAGGTGCGGTCAAAAGGAGGCGGCGGCGGGGGGGTGGACTTACGCCGGCCTCGTTGGGCCACTCGTCGTAAGGAGCCCTACGGCGGTTCTCCTCGTACGTCTGTCGGTCTGCCGGTTCGTCCTCGACCGTCCGGCGCACCGTCCTTGCGGGCAGCTTGGCATCGGTGTCCATGGTGATTTCTGATGCCGAAGGGGCTGTGACGGTTGTGGTGGACATGTCTCGGTCCGCCGAGGAAGCAGGGATTAACCGTTTCTCTCTCGCTCTCTCTCGCGCGCGCGTTCCCTGGGCTCTCGTCAGTATGTGGTCATGGAGAGACAGAGGGTGAAGTTGAGGGTTGTGAATGGAGTGCTAGTTCTGATCGAGGTGACGGGGGGGTTTTGAAAATCAGAAAAAAACACATACGGAAGGAGAGGACGACAAGCGAAGTGGGCGGGCGCACTTGGACAAGATATTGAGCCGGAAGCAGCCAAAGTTGGCGGTGCAAGTGAGTGGTGAAGGTCGGTGAGTTCGGTGTGACGGGATGAGGCTCGGTGAAGGTGCGGAAAGGAAAACTTGCTGGCCTGGACGTGTCATCAACTGGCCAATACAGCCTAAGGATATGCAGAAGAGGGACGACGACGGCGATGTTTAAGTAGAAGATGGAGGGGTGAAGTGGAGAGATGGATGGATGGATGGATATGAATATGGGCCACAATCTACGGGGATTTAATGCAGCAAACACGCTTGGCACCGTGCTGTGCGGGAATGTGCCTCTGGGAGCCGCCAAGGAGACTGACTGAGTGACGGTCAAGGCCAGTTACGGACGTATGAGCGGGTGTGTGTGTGTGTGTGTGTGTATTTGCCCGTGTGTTGGTGGGGCGGGGGAGGAGAGGAGAAAGAGAAAGAGAGAGAGGAGGGGCAGAGAGAGAGAGAAAGAGAGAGAGAGAGAGAGAGAGAGAGAGAGAGAGAGAGAGAGAGAGAGAGAGAGAGAGAGAGAGAGAGAGAGACGGGTGAGCCAACCAGTATGGACAGAGTGATGAGATGAGATGCGATGAGATGAGACGAGTTGAGTTGAGTTGAGGGCCTGCAACAAGAGATTGATGGCACCGGGACGAGAGGAAAGATTGCAAAAAGCGGGGAGAAGGAAGAAAATAAGAAGCTTCTTGGGTCCGAATCACCAAGACGAAAAAGCAAAGAGTCTGCGGTTGATTGAGGAGCTTCTCGGGTGGTCAACCATGGGCCGTTTTGATGGCGCTGCCGGGGGGGGGGGGAGGGGCAGGACAACGATACGGCCGTAGCGGGCGACGGAGACGGTACCAAAAGGCTGCAGGACCAAGCAACGAGTGAATGCGGACGTGTTGCCGAATCGAGACAGCTTTCGGGGACGTTGGACGGAGGATGTGTTGGTGGCCGTGTTTTGCTGTGACACAAGACAAGCAAGCAAGCAAGCAAGCAGGCAGGCAATAGTCTAGACAATGTGTGTGCGTACGATGCCGTGGTTGTTGTTATTGTTGCCGGGATGAATGGGAACGCCTTTGAGATGCAACGGTGGAGATGCCGACGGGGTTAAATGGACGCGGGTGTCATGATTGATTCATTGATTCCATCAACATGCCGGACGATTCGGCGCGGTTTTCCAAAGCGAAGTGTGCTTATGTCCCGCTACTGGGCTGCCAAGGCGTCGTCATCGAACCGCATTCGCATATTGTCCGATGTGGGAACGGGGGATGATTTGCTCTGTTGTGGTTATTGCAGGATCATACCAGCCAGCCAGCCAGCCAACAAGCTAGCTAGGTAGTCTGGTCGGAGCGAGTGGCATTTCCCTCCCACTTCAATGATGGAAAATAGATAGACACGAACGGGTCCTGTCAGGTCGAGTAGGTAAGACGTTGCCGTGTAATGACATGTACTAAGTAGTGCATCATAGACTGGACACTAGCGTAGGAAGGCCGTCTGATGCAACGTGGGCCATGTGGCTTGGACTTGCTCGCATTCGCCTAATGGATGGATGCGATGGAGGGACGGACCCATGGGGTAAACCCAGCGTACTACCGTAGTAGCGTGTGTAACACTACCTACGTACGTCCCTCGTGGGTTTGCCGATCCGTGGACGATGGGTGATGGATATGTCACGGCGATCCATCTTTCGTCTCTCCCCTGGATCTCTCTGCCGGCGAGGAAAGGCGACAAGGGGGGGGGGACAAGAAAAGAAAATAAAGCCGAACCTCGCAGCTGGGACGATGCAACATGCAGGTGGGCGCCGATGGCTTGGTTCGTGTGTTTTACTTGCATGTAGTGTATTGTACACGTGTATGTGTGTGTGTGTATGTGTTGGTTGAGACCTCTACGAAATACGGATACCTGGAGCTGGAAGATGGGCACCAGCCACACCAGCCACAACTGCCACAACTGCCACACCTGCCACAACTGCCACAACTGCCACAACTGCCACACCTGCCACAACTGCCACAACTGCCACCGCCACACACTGATCGGACAATGTGGGTCCCTTCCCTGTATGCACGCTAACGTCAGCGAGCCAATCACGTGCAGCATTTCGCGAGAAGCCCTGCCCTTGACCCATGCAAGTCACGGTACGTACCCTTCCTTGCATCTTCCCTCCGTCTTCTTCGTCCTCAGAGAATGACAACCTCTAGTCGACCAACTACACATCGACTACAGTCTATCCGTACAGACCACCTCGCTTGCGTTCCGCCATGGCTGACGACTACCGGTACTTCATGGCTTCAGCTCATTCCGCACTCCCATCCTTGGCTTTACTCTCCCCTTTCTCGCATGCATGGCCTTGAGACACGCCATGATATGTGGCTCTTCTCTCGTTGCACCCTAGCCAGCCACGGACCGACGCATTTCCTCCATGTCTGACGCCTTCACCATAACCCCTGGTGGCATGTAAGAGTCTGTCCCTCGCGAGGCCTTTGATCAACAGGTCACGTTTGTATGCGACCAGCTCGCTTGCTTGGTCCCATGGACGGGTATATTGGCGGCCCCGGGTCTGAGACTGGCATGAACGCGAAGTCACTCACACCACCACGTCGACGTTGCACAACATCACACTCCTCTCGCTCCGTTCTCGTTCGGCCCAAGACGACCCTGTTGATTCTCGCAAGCGCTTCATTGAACCCAACCAAGAGTCGACATTCTTACAAGCCTGCACCATAAGTCCTCGTGAAGCACATACAACCCTTGCCTTGCAAGCCTACACACTCAGACATGCCAAACATTCCACACTCCTTGGTCCCAAAGCTGCAACCTCTCCTGTGTCTCACGCGAGAGAAACCAGCCCTCGCAAGGCTCTTCTTTCCCCGAGCTACAGGTCCCCCGGAGGATCGTTCCGGATCGAATACCCCGTGCTGGCCTCCACCAGCTGGTACTCTCGAAACGGAAACTGCATGCCGCACCCAGGACACTCCGGCTCCTTGGCCGCCGTGCTCGTGTCCGTGATCCACTGGAACAGACAGCGCCGTCCGAAGATGCACCAGCAGTCCTTCATCTGCCACGCCGGCTCCCCATAGTCTCCCATGTCCACACCCGGGTGCGACTGCTCCGTCATGTTGGCAGGCGACACGTAGAACCCCCCCTTGCAGATTCTGCAGCTCCTCCAGCCTTCCTCGTCCTCCAGCTCCCTCCACGGGTCGATGGGCGCCGTCACCCGATCGAACACGCTCCGCCGCGCCTTGTACTTCATCACCTGCGCCTTCCACTCCGCCCGCCTGTCGAAGTAGTACTTTTGCACGAGCTGCACGAGGCGCGTGAAGGGCTGGCTGGGCATCGACGCCTGGTCCATCTCGCTGGCCATCCGCGCCAGCTTCTCCAGGCCCTCGACCCGAGACGCCGTCCGCCACGCCGCCACCTGGATGACGTGCGCGAGCCACGACACGGCGAGGCTGAAGCGCCCGTTGGAGATGCCGTTGTCGTACAGCAAGACCTCCCCCATGAACCTGACGAGGCTGGCGCGCCTCGACACCCGCGCCGTTTCCAGCGTGTGTGCCGCCGTCCATCTGCCGCCCCCCGCCCCCGCCGCCACGGCGCCCTCGGCGTTCTCGGCGTTCTCCAGCATCAGCCTGTCTGCCGTCTTGGCGGCGTCGTCCAGGCTCTTCTGGAGGATCCTGCGTCGCCGCCCGATGTTCCTCTCCGAGAAGAAGGGCTGCCGCGAGATGCCGTCCTTGAAGTAGAGGTTGCGCTCGCGGCACACGGCCGAGAGGGCCATGTGGCGGTTGGCCAAGACGACCTGCATCTCGGGGCTCCGCACGCGCGGGTCCCCCTCGAGCTTGTCCGCCGCAAGGTCCGTCAGGTAACGGCGGGCCGCCGTAGTCGGGTTGTAGAAGTAGGCCAGCGGCCCGTTGGCCTCGCACCGGCACTCTCCGACCCGGTGGTCATTCTCCTTGCACCGGCGCTCCATGAAGAAGGCGCTGAGCCACGACTCGGCCGCCTCCGCCGCCACCGCCGCGTCGTCGTCGCCCGCGCCCCACTGGCTCCGGATCCAGAGCAGGACGGCGTGGCAGTACTCGGACAGGTAGCTCTGGACCCAGGCCTCGTCCTGCAGCTCGTCGCGCTTCCACTCGTCGCTGACGGGCGTGTCCCGCGGCACGGCGGGGGACTCGCCCGAGCAAGCCGGGCACATGAACCCATACCGGCTCACGCGTTTCTCCCACTGCGGCGCCGGGCACGGGAACACTTGAGAGCAGAGGATGTTGGCCCTGACGCGGTGCTTCTTGGGTGGGTTATGGCCGGGCGGGTTTTTGATGGGCTCGGAGGGGCATTCGTAGAATTGGACATGCTTGATGCACATGGCTGCTGGCGATGCTTCTCGGTGGTCGAACGAGGTAGTCGGTGACGTTCTTCTTACTTTTGTGTCTTGTGTCTCGGTCTGAAGGTCGGTTTGCACTTTGAAGCCCGCTCGCAAACGTGCTGAATCTGAAGGAAAGCCGTGTAGAAGTGACCCGTCCCCATTTGATGCAGCGGAAACACGTCCATTTATGCGCGCCAGAACAATCGTATCGTGTCGTTACGGCAATGAAAACGACTCTAAGGGCAGGGTGGGGGATGGGGTTGTGTTTGGTTCCCATGTCCTTCTTGGTGACATCTCCAATCGGACAGTCATGGTAAGCGAAATGGAGTTGAATAGGGAGCGCCAGGGCCATCACGACCATTGCAAGAATGACGGGCCAGACTTCTTTGTGAGGACCCTCGAGCCCAAACAATAGGCCTCCTCCCTATGGCCCATGTGAATAGGTCGTCAACCGAAACCGGCGGGCACGCCATAACGGGAACAAAGAGGTCGAGCCCTGCGGTCGAGAGAGAATGCCGGGCCGGCTCAAGAGGTGGAAGTCAACAGCTGCAAGGGACGGTCTGGTCCGGACGAGGTCGTGACTCCTTTTGACAGACTTGCAACATGGTTTCGGATATAATAGGGGGGACTTTGGCGGTTTAGACAAGGACCGACTTTTGATTCTTGTCTTTCTACATGTTCTAAATCTTCTAATGAATTATACAGAGGACTCAAACGCCAGGAAGACGACGGTGTATCATCTCTCACGTTTTCAAACGCCCCTTGTTTAGCAGCGACAAAATATCATGTAAGCGATTATGGTGGTATCTCGGGAATATATAAAACCGGGCGGGTTTATCTCCTCCCGCCCATCTCTATGTGTACATGAGGCGCGCGCATGAAAAACTCTTTTTGGTTCTTCTCATCATTATTTCCCCGCCTGGGAAGCCCACTCACCCACACACACACGCAATAAACAGCAGACACATCTAGGCAGAGGCGGTCTTCTCGTGGTGGGCGGCGTCGCCGTCGCTTTGCGGCACGGCCTTGTCGCCCTCGGCGGCCTGGCGGTCGCGGAAGGTCGTGGTGGGCTTCCAGTCGGCCGACTTGCTGGCGACGCTGACCTCGGCGTAGAGCTCCTCGACCTCCTCGAGGGTGAGGCCCTTTGTCTCGTAGATGAAGAAGTAGACGAAGGCGATGCAGATGAAGCAGGCCCCGAACCAGACGAAGAAGATCTTGGACTGCAGGTTGGCGTAGCCCTCGCCGTAGTTGACCAGGTAGGGGGTGGCGTAGGCGATGGCCCAGTTCAGAAGCCACTAGGAAAGGGGGATGTTAGCATGTGTGTGTGGGGGGGGGGGTGGGAGTCCAGTAAGTCACGGCGTGTGGAGGTTGGAGTGTATGACTTACGTTGGTGGCGGTCGACAGAGACAGAGACTTGGCGCGGGTCTTGAGGCTGAAGATCTCGCCGTTGACGACCCAGGCGAGGGGCCCCCAGGTGGAGGCGAAGAAGAAGATGTAGATGCAGACGAAGGCGATGGCGGCCTTCTGGGCGGGCAGGTTGAGGACGACGATGTTGCCGGCGGCGTCCTGGGTGGTGGTCAAGGTGCCCAACATGGCGACGAGGAACTGCGAGACGCACATGCCGATGGCGCCCCAGAGGAGCAGGGGGCGGCGGCCCCAGCGGTCGACGGCGTACATGCCGGGGATGGTGGAGACGACGTTGATGGAGGAGGTGATCATGCCGATGACGAAGCCGTTGGAGAAGCCCGAGTTCTGGAAGTAGGTGGTGCCGTAGTAGAAGATGAAGTTGATGCCGGTGAGCTGCTGGAGGGCCTGCAGGGCCATGCCGGTGAACTGGCGCTTGAGCACGGGGGGCCTGAAGCAGTCGAGGTAGGTGGCGGTGCCGATGCTGGACTCGTAGTCGTGGTTGGCCTTGATCTCGGCAATCTCCTCGGCCACGTACGAGTCGTTCTCGGGCAGCCGGCGGAGCTTGGCCAGGGCCTTTGTGGCTTCCTCGACGCGGCCGCGCTTGATGAGGAAGCGGGGGGTCTCGGGCAGGATCAGCATGCCGATGAAGAGGATGAGGGACCAGAGGAACTGGATGGAGATGGGGATGCGGTACGAGCCCGTGTCCTGGCGGCTGTGGGTGGCGTTGTTGATGACGGCGGCCAGGAGCAGACCGATGGTGATGGCCCACTGGTAGGCACCGACGATGGCACCGCGAATCCACTTGGGGGCGGTCTCGGACTGGTAGAGAGGGACTTTTCATAACACGACAAGGTCAGTTTCTTTCTTCTTGTTCTCTTCTGCTCGATCTTGGGTCTACAATTGGGGGAGGGAGGGAGAGAAAGGAGACAAAAAAAACTCACCCAATGCGGAGATCAGACCGACACCGAAGCCGGCGAAGAAGCGGCCGGCCAGAAAGAGGGGGATACCGGTGGCGGCGGTCTGGAGAACGACGCCAAGGTTGAAGACCCAGCAGGAGGCGGCGAGACCCAAGCGACGTCCGATGGAGTCGGCCAGGAAAGGCGAGGCCAGGGCGCCGAAGAAGGTGCCGGCAGAGAGGATAGAGACGATGGAGGACTCCTGGGACGGCGAGACGTCGGGCTGGCCGCTGGTGTTGACGTAGCCGGTGCTGAAGAGGCGTTGCCAGTAGGGCTGGAGGGAGCACAGTTAGTTAGCAGGCGCGTCTTCTTTCTCTCAAGCCAAATGCAGAGTGTCGCCGTACCATCTCGAGGATGCCATTGATCGTGCCCGTGTCATAGCCGAAAAGCAGACCTCCGAAGGCGACGAAGAAGCCAATGGCGATGGCGGGCCAGGTCTTGCCCGGCACGCCGGCTGGCTTGATACCCATGATGACGAAGGGGGGCGGCTGCGGTGGTTTGGAGGGGTCGGGCTGGTTCCGATGGCCAAAGCAAGTTGGAAGGGGAGAAGAGAGTTGACCAAAAAGGGATGCAGGCTTGTCAAACTATCGTCTTGGGTGTCGGGCACCGGGAGGGGGAGGCTTGAGCACGATGGCGGCAATGACAACGAGAAAGGGAGTATCTCACGGGAGAGAGGAGCGAGGGAATGACGAAGATATAAACTTCTCCGCAGAGTGTGTGTGACACGACGCCGAGTTCCCGCAGAAGCTTCCCCTCGGGGGAGACGCGGGGAGACGGACACAACCGCATGCTTCTCTCTCCCTCTCCCTCTACTTTGATCTTACAATGTTTATGCGGCAGGCCATGACAAGGGCAACCGAGTTTTCTAGACAGGGGGGAAGGAGGTCATTGGCCTCAAGTTCAGACAAATGATGTGGGGTAGAGCCATTCAACATGCCACGGTAGGGCCGGTGCGATGATCACGAGGTTATTACTGTGGGATCTCAGTGAGAGAGAGAGAGAGTGAGAGAGAGAGAGAGTGAGAGAGAGAGAGAGTGAGAGAGAGAGAGAGAGAGAGAGGTGAGGAAGCTGGTTGCATATGGGGTGAACAGGCCGTTGAACCAAGTACATGGCCAATCATGCGCGTGCCACGTACATGTCACAACAGCGGCGGGCGATGGAGGTGTACCGGATACTTTGAACAAGTTGTGACGATCTTGGAACGAGTTGGAAAGCAGTGCAGCATAAAACAAAACCCCTGTGCGAAGTACACACCATATTGCTTGTTTGGTAGAGTCGCAGCCAACGGGTCCCATGGGGCACCCACAACCCCGACGTGCCCGACAACGAGCCCCAGCAGGGGTAGTAAGAGGGGACGCCGGCACTAGCAGCGATTGGAGGGTCTGAAGGACGAGGGGGATTCTGGGGTAGATGGCGGCGGCGGTCTGACGGTGCCAAATCAACGGTTGGTTTCTCAACAGCGAGACTGAGAGAGAGAGAGAGAGAGAGAGAGCAGTATGAGGTCGGCAACCATCTCATGCGGCGTGTCTCTTGGCCATTGGGGGGTACCGTTGAGGCAGCTCAAGGTCGCTGCAGGATGCTCTGCCATGGTGAGTAAACCAGTCTGATAGTGCGAGGTGCTATGTGAGATGATGCAGCAGCCCACGTCGCAGTTTACCATGGCGTACGGATACACAGTGGTATAATGTAGATTGGAATCGGCTTGGCACCGATCAACATGACTAACCATGGCACTGGTGTGCAGTTGTACCCTGAGGACACGAGAACGTCAGGACGAAAAGACATCTTGTCTTCGCCCTCCCTGAAGCGTGTCCTGGACGTCTGTGAGACTGTCCGACGGCTTGAGGAATCCCCACGACTCGGGTTTCCCAGGTGCTCGTCAAGGTTTTCTGGAGAAACGGGGGGGAGATGGTGGGGGAAGAAGGGGATGAGACGGCTATGTACATGGTACATTGGGTGATGGTTGCTTTACCCAGATGGCTCAATGTTTGACCAGGTTGTGAGTGAGTGTGAGTGAGTGAGTGAGTGTGTGAGTGTGTGTGTGTGTGCCCCGGACTTCATGAACCGTCCATCTATGTACACGGTACATGTACTGCGGAGTATCTCTTGAAAAATCTTGGAAAAAGCGAGCATATTGATATTCAGTAGTTTATTTGCATTGTTCTCGACGTCACCGGGTGTTGACGGAATGAAAGAAAAAATAGAAGAAGAAAAAAAGAGTGGGAAGACCCCCCACCGCCGATGGAGAAAAAGAGAGCGAAGAAAAGGGCGGCATGGGTCAGTAGCGCAGTCATGATGCCCGTACATACATAGTACTACTACGGATACGTATGGAAACTACCTACATAACGGGCAGCAGTACATAGTATTAGTAATAAATCTACGAATATGGTTAGGGGTATGGCCCAGATGGATGGATGGTCCAACGGCCACGCCGCCGCCAAAAGATGGGGAAATTGGGGGGCGTCTTGTGCTTGGACGATGGCCATGCGGGCACCAGGATTTGCTCCAGAGAACAAGCAACAGCCAAGAAGACCAGAAAGACGCCGGTGAAAAAGTCCTTCAGCACGTCCAGTCCATGTAGGCAGTGTATGTACATCGTACTGATAGAGTAGTAGATGGAACCTGCAGCCAAGAACGCCCCGTCCGTCCCCAAGACTCTTGTCTAAGGCTTGACATGTTAATCTCCCAAGGCTATTTTCGGTTTTCAGTGAGTCCGTGTACTTACGGGACACTTGCGGACATGCAATGGGCTGGCTGTACGTGCTGTAGTCTCACTTCTCACACTCACTCCACACTCACTCCGCACTCACTCCGCACTCACTCCGCACTCACTCCGCACTCCACACTCATTTTCACTCTCATTCTCACTCACCCTACATACTGAGTGAGTACGTGTAGTCATGACAGCTTCACTCACTCACTCGCCATGCGACGACATCTCGTCCCCTCGTTCCAAGTCACACGACATGAAACATGCCCGCCGTGCATCTTCAGCGCATCAGGGCCGCCAGTGCCGTGAGTCTGTACACCACACACGCTACATACCAACCATGGGGTGATCGATAAGTTATAACCGTAAGAACGTCATGCACGATGTACTCTGCTAGACCATGTCGAGGCCCCCCCCGGTTACGGTCGACTCGCTCGTCGAAACTCCCTTTCGGCCCGTCTCCTAGCTGTCGACGTCCCCCCGGCATTTCACTTATACGTACTCTGTACTCCGTAGTGATACACTAGAACTTACGCCGCTGTCCCCGCAATGTTTTGTGTCTTCGGCCCCTGTCAATTCGCTGCCATCGCACCCTTCATTTCTCCCCGCTGTTTCTCTCGCTATATCCATCATGAGGCTGGCTTTCGCGTTATGAGCGCCACAATGCACCAACCTACGAGCAAGTGCGTGCCGAATGGGAGGGGGAGAGACGTTCGTGTGTGTCCACGCATGTCATATGCTCCCCTTCGGAGAGGGCTGCATGATAAACCCATCCAACACATATTCCCGGTTTGCCCATCATCATGAGCTACGAGTAAAATGCTGTCTTGGCTGGCCCAACCAACTGGCATCGTCCCTTGGATCGTCGACTGACCCTTCAACGTTAGCGTCTTGGATCAACCGCCGCTCACGGCCGATCTGTGATTCGACGCCCTCTCACACACCCACCTCGAGTCTCGCAGTCCACCGTAATCCATCCATCTATCCATCCCTCCGCTCCTACGCCCCGTCTTAGTCGCCGCCACCATGCAATGTTTCTTCCAACTGCCGACCTCGTGTGCCCTTTGCGCCTTCTTTGTCATCCCGGTGCGTGCTGCCAACTAAACGGCACTATTCGTACACTACCTTGGTGTGCCGTAGGAAAAGGTCGGAGCGGTTGTTGACAGATGCCACCGCAGCGCGCGTCCCCGTCCGGTGTGCCGTTCGCTTGTCGACAACCTGGAAAACCAAGTCCTCATCCCGGCTTCTGGGCCTGGTCCTGACTCTCATCCCGGCCAGCGTCCACAACCAGTCCAAAGCTTAGTAGTAGTTCGAACACCCTTTGGCCAATCGGGTCTCCTCACAGTCGCCCACATACCCGCTGGCTTCTTCGGGCCTTCTTCGTGCATTTCTCCACCTGACTGCACCGAGTGTCTAGGTGCGGTGGGCTCAGTACCAAGTACAGAGAGGCCTGCAGGCATCGCCATCCTTCGTCCCACGACAACTTCGTTTGAGCCGCCATCGGCCTCGTAAGACTGTCCGTCTGGATCCTTCTAGCCTGCTCTTTCGTCCTCGTCCATAACCAGCCCGGTTGGCTGCGTCGAGACTCGTCGACCCAACCACGGCAACATCACCGACTCAACAAAAGGAGCCCGTATGCTCTCCCCGCGCTTGACAGTCCGAAGGCGTCGCCGTTCCGAACCATCATGGCATGCTGCGGTGGACTCGAACATTATTTTCTTTTTTTCTCGTCCTTTCCAACAAGCGCCAGCGGGCGCATATAGCCAATCCACCCATATGTCATCCCCCCCCCCGAGACAGGTCCACTAAAGGCCCGATATCTCGAGGAACGCGGGGTCATCTTTCCCCGGAGCCCTCCCTGCGGTCGACCGTTCGCGTGTCGGCCATGCTGTTTGCGACTCGGAACCTGGCGCTGACGGCTTCAGCTGGGGTGGGGAGAACCAGAGAACCCCCCGCCGGTGGTGCGAGCTGGCGCTCGTTTCTCATCGTCCCGGAGCTTTGCGGATGAATATGACGCACCCCCAAGAGATGAACCATGTCGTCAGGCCGAACCTGCCCGGGCTCGAAATCCTTCCATGTGCGCCTCCAGCGACGTCTCCGCCATTCGACTCGGCTCTTATTCACCACCAGGCGTGAATAGCTACGCCTGTAGATCACGAGCAACGAAGCTCTTGCCAGAGCCCCCCCAGCAGACTTCGGACGGCTACCGACCGACACGCTGATGTGGCCTTGGAGGGCTGCGGCACTCGCCCTCCGTGTCGTCCACCCGTCAGAAAGTTCTCCGGGGAGCCTAGGGGTGGCCACTCAGGTCTGGATCTCGTCTATCACGGACGCCCAAGCTGCGCAGGGAGTTTCAGTGGTGAAGGCCAGGCCCTAAGCCGTCTCCGGGGTATCTCCTTGGCCCTGTTGTGGGAGTTTTGTGTCTGCCGGTATACTACGTAGTGAGAGCACACATGTCTATCGGATTCCTGTTCAAATGGCAGAAGGCAACGACGGGCCCAGGGGAGCTTCTTGAGGTGTGCGTTGCTTGGCCGTGTCGTCATGTCCGGCAGAACGACGGAGAGCAACAGCCAGCTCCAGGCCGTCGCGGGCTGCTGCCAGCACTGGATCTGCTCGTTGAGCCATCATAGTGCGGCCGGTCGCCCGAGATCCCGCGTGAAGTTCAAAGTCTCTGGTGTGCGTCTCTTTGCATGAGCCGAGTCTGCGGGTTTGTCCCATCGTCGAGAGAAGCTCCAGATTCGCCAGTGAAGTGATTCTCGGGGAATGCCCGCACTGCGCGTTCGTTCTGAAGTCAAAACTCTCTCACAAGTCGTGATCGGTAGGTGAAAAGCGAGATTGTCACGACCATCAGCCACTTCCAAACGTGACGGATGTTCCTGGCGCGCCACTCCTCAAACCGCCAACATGTCTTTGGATACATGGGCAGCATTCATGAATGGGACTCCAGCAGGGTATCCTCAACTCGCCGAGATACAAGAATCGGGCCGATGATGCCTTTGGATACCGGACAGGGGTGTCGAGATGGAGCATCGAGGGCGAACGCCTACCCCGCGCTGCAATATATTGACGACAGATTGGTATGAGATCAATCGTTTCCCCCCGGGTTTGTCTGCTCCCACGCTCTCCGCGGATCCATAAGGCGGGGGTTCGATGGCGATGGCGATGTCCCCGTCGTCTCGGATATCTCCAACCTGGTCCCTCCTGACCAAGCTGTCGGGCCCCAGAACTTGCCAGTCCGGGTCAAGTAAACATCAACCATCACTTAACGTATACGATTTGGTACTAAAAAAATAAATCACTGAATCGGATTCCCTGAACTCGGACACGGTGATTTTGTTTGGAGGAGAACCCCGGGGTGCCCCGCAAGCTCCGGTGCCGGGTGCCGGTGCCGTCGGGTCCACTTTTAGGTCCGAGACGGTCGGTGGTTCCGCTCAAATGCCGGCACTCGGGTACGGCATTCTATGAAAGAGCGAAAAGGCCTTACCGTCAATTGAAATTAAACAAAAATCGGCGTCTGAGCTGGCTTCCTGGTTGAGAGAGGTTTACTACTGGCCGAAGGCTGGCTTTAACGTGGCGGATCGTCGCGGACCCTGGAGCCTCGATGAGCTTTTGCCCCGGCTCTGCCTCCCGTCTTTTGTGTTTGAGAGCCGCTCACAGCTGCTTGAAATTTTCCGTCACGCAAGCACTAGCAATTCGTGCCTTTTTCTGGCATCTCCCTCGTTTTCTGTCGGTCCCTTGGCGGCTAGAAGCAGGCTCCGCTCAACCTCGGAGGCTCTGGCTCCGTCTCTGCAGACCTTCGTGTCACCCTCCCGCCCGCATTTGGCGCCACGTTGACAGCTTCATATAAACATCTCATAGAAGACCGTACTGTTTCAGACTGATCAAATTTACAAGCATGCCGCAGCTCGTTCGTCAATGTATCATTTCCATCAGCATGCGTGGCGGTCTGCTCTATCAATCAGTTCGGTGGCGTATGGTGGCAAAATGGAGCTACTGATAGACCGAAGAGAAAAAGAAAACAAACTACCTTCTTCTTTCGTCCTGTTTCGGACCTTGAAGACCGTTTGCTTAGATATCATTCGTTCACCCGTGCGATAAGTCAAACCCCGGTCTTAATCAATATAGGACGGCAGCATGTCAAGTGATGCGGCGGCTAAATAGAAATCCCCGACAAGCTTAATTTAAGTAGATTGCAAGTTAGATGTGCTTTTATTCCCGGCAAATAGAAGACCCGCCTTCATGGCTTTGCCCAGCGTAGAGCAGTAACACGGGGCTAGGTGCCTCCTGGCGCTTAACTGCATCTGTCCCTCCGCATACTTGTGACACTCCATCTTTGCCGCCTTCGTCATGGGCCTTTTCTTTCTCCTTTGCGTAGCAAGGTATCTGAAATTGCCAAAAGAGTCCCATTCTGACCACCTCCTTGGACTCGATGTACGGGGACACGGTGGGTGGGTGTGGAAGGAAACCGCCCTAATAGGAAACGGAGCAACGTGCTCTTCAGACTCGGTTCTTTGGCCCCTGAACCCATGACGTTCCTTGCGTATCGCTCGGCACAATCCTCGGCATTGGTCAGATAGATCGCAAACCGGGGAACCACGTCGTTCGGTGCCGTCTCCGACTTACCGGCAGGACTGTCACGCGGCCCAGCGCCCCGCGACTAATGTGCCGCGGCACCCCTTGGCAACGCGTGTAGTAATTCTACCGCCAAGAGCCGGCCGCGCTGCCGTGGATCGTCGTACCCTCCAAGGATCGACGCTTTTCCCTGGGACTGTGGTAGGGAAGCAGGGACTCCGGGCCGCTTAATCTACAGTCTACTCAAGGTTGTGTGGGATGTCGCTATGTTCCTATCTGTCCATGTCTAAGATCATAAAGGAGGCCCCGACACAGTCTTCTCCTTCTCCTTCTTGATCTCACGCCTTCACCCTCAGATACCAATCTCAGTCAACAACAACAACTCCTCCTCCCTCCTCCTGGTAACACTGTCCATCATGAAGTTCCTCGCCCTCGCAACCGCCCTGTCGGTGGCCGTCACCGAAGTCTCGGGCCACTACATCTTCCAGCAGCTGTCCGTCGGTTCCACCAAGTATGGCGTCTATGAGAATATCCGGAAGAACACCAACTACAACTCCCCGGTGACGGGTAAGTGCACCTCAGGCAACCCGCCTGTGCGTGTGTGATAGCAAACTCGCTGACGCTCTCTAGACCTCGCCTCGAACGACCTGCGTTGCAACGAGGGTGGCGGCAGCGGTGCGAAGACCACGGTAGTCAACGTCAAGCCCGGTGATTCCTTCACCTTCACCCTCGACACCGCCGTCTACCACCAGGGCCCCGTCTCTCTGTCAGTCAAGTGAGCCGCATCACTCGACGCACCCGCTGACGCGTGTCCAGTTTCCTCTCCAAGGCCCCCTCCCACGTGCAGGACTACGACGGAAGGTATGCGGACCCCGCGTCACTTGAAAGGGGGCGCCTTGCGCGTCGAACCAGCAAGGGTTCAATGCTGACTTGTTTTTGAAAAAAAGTGGCAAATGGGCCAAGTTCAAGGACTTCGGCCCGACCTTCTCCAACGGCCAGGCATCGTGGCCCCTAAGATGTAAGGACAAGAGAGCGTCCGCACTTTGACGTGATGTCTCAAGGCTGACCAACGCACCTCTAGTGACCTACCAGCACACGATCCCGACGTGTCTCCCCAACGGCGAGTACCTGCTGCGTGTACACAACATCGGCATCCACAACCCGTGGCCTGCTGGTGTTCCTCAGTTCTACATCTCGTGCGCGCAGATCAACGTGACGGGCAGCTCTGCTCCGGCCAGCTCGTTCGCGCCGACTCTCAGCATCCCTGGAGCTTTCAAGAACACCGACCCTGGATACACCGCCAACGTACGTATATTCACCACCCCTGGAAGAGAAGGGAGGGGGTAGTAAGGTGTGGACCGTGTGGGCAGAGGACGCAGCCAGCTAACGTTTTTCGTTTTGTTTCTTTTTCGCAGATTTACCAACCTGGCTTCAGTTCGTACGAGGTCCCTGGAGGCAAGGAGGTAAGTTTCTGAAAACTCGTCCGAGAGTGCCCGCATAGGCTAAATGATCATCTTCAGTGGACGTGCTAGTTCTGCGGCCGCTATCATTCGTGAAGGAAAGACATGGCGTGCTCGAAAGGTTGTCTTCTTGAAAGGGGGGGATTTCGATTCTTGTGTGGAATACTGGGAAGCTTGTCCAAGAAAACCCTCAACCAGTAGTTGGACCAAAGCAGATAATAAGCCTTGGCCTCGCGTCCATGTTGGAGTCTATTACGCTCGCACTTGTGTTGAAGATGAAATATGAACCAAGGCCCCCGCATGTTTTCAGACACATAATCACCAACCGCTGTTCCTGACCAGTCTGTCTCATGGCTGCTGGCCAGGGCTTTAAGCATTCAAACCCACGTGGGCGTTTCATCACGCCGTAAACTCGAAACATGGTGAATGGTTGTGAACATGACCAACGGTGGCGATTTGGCGCCCGCCCGCTTTCTCGCGGGTTCAAGAGGCACTCGGTGCTATATGCTTCGTATATGCTTTGTGAAGTAACGGGGACGCTCTCGAAAGCAGCCCTTCCTACACACCAACATTCTCGAAGAGACTGAAGGTTTGTAGCCAAGGCTCATGGTCTTTCAGGATCCAGGCCCCCGGACCGAGTGATGGGTGGTCGTGTTTCTCCTCACTTTTGGGCAAACCATATAACGACGAATGGCGCAAGGTTCAGAGCAGGTCGCGTGCATAATAAGAGTAAGTGGCCGCGCTGCCAACAACCCACGCCCCGGTGCTCCCCAATCACGGCACTTGCAGAGCTAGCCGGTTCATTTAACCATACATCGTCACGCCCCTTGGATTGGGTCTGACCGTGAGCTCGCCACCAATACCAAGAACTCAGAAGCCCATGGATTCGCCGTCTTGGCGTGCTTGTCCTGGCCTACCACGCAGAGTGTGTGTGTATATGCGCCTGGCCGCTATATGAACCACCCACTATAGGTGCGGCCCGGGAGGGGGACGGGGGTTCTCCCCCGTGACACGGGAAAATCCACCGGCTATATCCAGCCAAGTCACATCGGAAAGACTCGGCAATCTAACTTCAACAGCCATTTGTTTCCATTAGGCAGGTGACAGGGACGGAGCCGCGGACGCTGGGCCCGTATTTACCGAGCGCAGTCCAGGGAGGGTGGCCGAGGCCCGTTGATCTTGATGGCGCTGGTGATCGTGCTGGTGCTGGCGAAAAGGGTGAAGAACGACTTGCCATGAGGATGTGTATGTTTGTGTGCTATAAGTGAATGGTGATCGCTGCCGGGAATCCCCCCTTTCCCATCTCTGCTTCTCCAGGAACAAGCTCTGCGAACCCTTTGTCTAGCTCTGCATCTCTGCCTATCTACCGACAGCAGCCTCTGCCAGCTTCCCAAAGAGGGTTTCTTTTCTTCCCAACTTTTCAAGATGAAGTCTTTCGCCCCAGTCCTGGCCGGCCTCGCCGCCTTTTGCGACCTCGCCTCGGCTCACTGTAAGTCGTCGTCGTCCGCAACGGAACCCCCGGAGCGCTTCCGTGACTGACTCCTCCTCTCTCAGACCGCTTCACGAGCCTCGTAGTGGGGGGCCAGAACACGGGCGAGTACGTGAACGTCCGGAGGAACACGAACTACAACAGCCCCGTCGTCGACGTCACGAGCAAAGACATTGTCTGCAACGCCGGCGGCCTCTCGTCGGGCTCGGCGACGGGGGTCGCCACCGTCTTGGCCGGATCGACCGTATGATCCCTCCCTTCCTGGGGGCCCTGTGCAGCTCGCCTTTCTAACGCTTGCGTAGGTCGGCTTTGCCATGGACCAGGCCATCTACCACGACGGTCCCGTCACCGTCTGGCTCTCCCCCGCCGGGTCTGGCGGCGTCAAGAACTACGATGGAAGGTGAGTTTCCAGCATCATCCCCAACGCATACTCTTGCTGACATACCGACGCAAAGCGGTTCTTGGTTCAAAATCTACGAGGTCGGGGCGCAGACCGGCAACGGCCAGATCAAGTTCCCCGCCTCGAACCAGGCCGCGTTCAACTTCCAGATCCCCTCGTGCACACGTACGTCATGCTTTCCACCTCCCCTCCCCCCATCTCATCCTTCTCTTCCCCTCTTCTTCTTCTCCGCGTGATGGTCATCGATACTGATCCGTGCGGATGAACGTTAGCCCCTGGAGAGTACCTCCTCCGAATCGAGCAGATAGGGCTGCATCAGGCCAGCACCAAGGGCGGGGCTCAGTTCTACATCTCATGCGCACAGATCAAGGTGACTGGATCCGGGAGTGGCCAGTTCTCCCCGGCTGTCAAGTTTCCGTACGTCCACCCCCAGTCTTGATCCTGTTGCTGGCTTGCTAACACCCCCTCCCCACCAGCGGCGCGTACACGGGCACTGAGCCGGGCATCATGATCAACATCTATTACCCTGTGGTAAGCCTGAGTCTCTCCCCGAAAAGGAGCATCTCGTCGACGAACCAAACTGACACACCCTCGCAGCCGACGACGTACACCATCCCAGGAGGGCCCCTCGCCAAGTGCTGATCTAGAGTAACGCAAGCCGAGGCGGGAGCAAGAGGGTAGTCTCGTCACGTCACATTACGTCGTGCCTATTGCGTAAATGGACATGTGAAACCCCCTCCCCCCTTTATTTGTGTGTGTATGTGAGGTTGTCAACGACATGCAGGAACCGAGTAGTATAGATATAAGAGAGCGGACAAGCTGGTATCACCAGAAAATTTGATATATTCTGTCTGCCAAGATCTGCATGCAGTCGCACAGCCTGGTACTGTTGGCATTGCTGCCATTCCGTGACTCTAATACGCCCCGGACGATATCACTCCGGAGGGGGGGGGGAGGGGACGTTTGCCAACACCATGACTCCGGTCACTAGGACCAAAAGCAGCGAAAGAAAATGTCCGAACCACGCTGTCCCCTCTCCCGTAAGAAAAGAAAAAACAAAACAAAAGACAGATGAGCTTGAGAAACGCCTCAAGTTTTCCAAGAAACTTTAACACCTCCCAGTGGATCATTGAGAACATTACAACTCGTTAAAAGGTCCCGCCAGTCATCGGCGATGGGCCCATACAGGCTGGGCCGATCATCATCATCGTCATCATCTCTCTCTCTCTCCCCCCCTCCGCCAAACGAAGCTCCACTCCACCGAGCCCCGCGGCCGGCTTCACGACGAAAAGGGGTTCCACATCTTGTCGGGGCTCCCGGGAAACTCAAGATATGACTCGGGAACGGGACTCGACGCCGTCATGGGCCCGACGCGGTAGGTGTTCAGGGCGGCCATGTCCAAGGCCAGGTTACCAGACCCGTTGAGGTCCCAGGGGGCTCCCGGCTGGCCGACGGGCATCTGGTTCGCCCGGAGACGGCTGCACTCGCTGGCCAGGAGCCTGTAGGCGCAGCAGAGGGCGTCGTTCTTCTGGCTCATGTCGTCGAGCTGCTGCTGGAGCTCCTCGAGACGCTGCTCCTTGCGCTTCCGGTAGGCGCGCTGGTTGGCGCGGTTCTGGGCGCGGCGCTTCTGCGGAAGGGGTGTTAGTCGCATGCGGGTGGTGATGCCGTGGTCGGGGTGTGATGAGCTCACCGAAAGCACCGTCTCGCTGCAGTTCTTGTATCTGTTGGCCCGCCTGCCCTTCTGGGCCGACTGCGAGGGGTCCTCTGACGCGCTGGTGGTGGAGTTCCCGTCGTCATGAGAGTCGCCTCCCTTGCTGGTGTCTATGCTTGAGGTCGGGCTCGGCGGGCCTGACCAGAGTAATGACGGTGTGCAGTAGCCGTTCTCGTTGGACGCCTGGCAAGCACACGTTAGCCTTCTCATTCCCCACGGACGAGAGTGCAGTGGGCTGGCCATACAAGACGTGAAGCAAAGTGTGCCGAGATGATGTCGTAGGGCGTGTTGCCGGCTGTCATGGATGAGAAGCCGGAAGGCATGGCATATGCCTGGTACTCGGATGACGATGAGCTGTTCATGGTAGGCGTCGTCCGGTGGACTCTTCTCTTCTCTCTCTTCTCTTCTTCTTCACCTTCTGCGTGGGAGGGAAACGAGAACAATGTTGACGAGCAGCAGTTTATCAACAATAGTGGTGGTGGTGGTGGTGTGTGTGTGTTGATGACAATGACACTATATGATATGATTCACTTGTTCGAGGGCACAAGATGGTTTTCAAGATGTGGGATGGCCAAGGTGGGAGAGTATGATATGGGAGACAGACAGACAGACAGACAGAAGCGTGGCGGTTTGGGAGGGGGAGGGGGGCAGGGCGGTTATATAGATTTCATCTTTTGTCGGGTGAGAGGGAGACATCGCCAGGTCATAATGTCCGAGAGGGGATGAAAAGATACGACGAGTCTACGACTAGCGGCGGCGAAAGAAGAAGACAGGGATCTGGCGTAGGGAACATGGAGAACATGGAAGCATGGGGGAACTTGGCTGGAGCCACCAATGAGAACGTTGGCGGCGACGGACTGGAGTACGGTGACGAGAGAGGCGAGTGAGGACCTGCATATGGAGTCAGTTGCTCCCACGTCTGCCTGTCTGGGCATCTCAGCTTTTTCGCAGCTGGGATTCAGTCTTCAGTGGCGTGATAGTCTACCACTGTACGTATGTCAATGGCGTACAGGGGGGGGTAGGCATGGCTCGACTGACGTTGGGCTCAGGTTGGAGGGAAAGGTAAGGGGGGGGCCGCCGACGTCCTTGTTCCTTGTGGATGTTTGAATCGAGGGTGCGAGGCTCTCGGTGCATGGGTAGGAGTAGATAGATGTCTGTGTGTGTATGGGTGCGGGTGTGGATGTTTGTGTGTGTGTGTGTGTGTGTGAGTGTGAGTAGATGAGGGGATAAGTGGATGAGTGGATGAGTGGACGGATGCGAATGTGAATGAGGATGTGTGTCCAGGGTGGTGCCTCTACCAGACGCTAATGCAAATAGAGTAACGCAGCACACATGCTGGTCGGATTTGGAGTATGCAAACTTCGTTTTGCCGAGCTCTCTCTCTCTCTCTCTCTCTCTCTCTCTCTCTCTCTCTCTCTCTCTCTCTCTTTCTCTCTCTCTCTCTTTCTCAGGGTCAAAACCAAGCTGCGTTTACTGTTGTGGGAGGGGGGGGGAGGCGTAATTCTCTCGCGGTGAGACGCAGGCAGGGCAGAGACGAGCATGACCTCCTCTCCGCTTTGGGTCCGTTGGGTGCCGCGATGCCGACAGACCAGTCGCGTGTTTCCGGCCAGACATGGAGACCCGAAAGACGAGCGACAGAGCGCACGGGGACGTGCCGGGAATAGAAGCACTGCTCGGGATGTTGTGGGCCCGCCGCTCACCCCGGGCGCTGATCGTCAATGAAGAAATAAAAAGGAAAGGAGAGGGAGAGAATGTGAGACAGACTGACAAACTGACAGACTGGAAGACTGACAGACCAACAGATAGAAAGAGTCAGTGGGTTCGAAAGAGTAGGACGGGTGAGAAAGAGAGAAAGGAGCAGCAGAAGTGAGAGCTAGGTAGTGAGGTGAGGCTGGCCCCGAGTGGTGTGAGGGATTCCCTCTGGCCGCGGAAGGGATCCCAGCATTCTTTGACGGGAACTAATCCCTGGCCTTGGCCAGGCTAGCTAGCCTCGGACATGGTTCTCAATACCTTATTTCCTGCCAGTGGCGTTAGCCCTGTAAGACACACGAGCCAGAGAGCCAAGGCGAGCTCGGTCTCGTCCGTTCGTGATATCATCCGCCCCCCGTCAGGGGTGGCCGTTGTACGGACGAATGTCTCTGGGATCTGCTGCAGATAACTTAGTGAGACGCTATGCAGCACGGCAACGTTGGCGTCCAGTTAGATGGGAGGAGGACGACAGACGGAGAGAGAGTGATTTGCGTGCGGGGGGGGGGGGGGGGCAAATGGGCCAAGGGCAAAACAGGGCCTGGCCTGGTAGCGAACTTGGCTGACATGTGCACACACAAGAAGCCACGTTCACCACGAACCACTAACAAAAGAGGGCAGCGGTGAGAGTGAACGCGTAGCAGTGAGAGGCGGGAGCGAGAGGTTAAACGAGTGACAGTGACAGTGAGAGTGAGGGTGAGAGTGAGGGTGAGAGTGAGGGTGAGAGTGAGAGTGAGAGAGACGGAGCCTCGGGACGGGACGGGACAGTCCAGCATCTGAGACGCTCCCAAGCCCTGCCAGCTTAGCCCCAAGAAATCAGATTCAATAAAAAGAAAAACCGGTTGTCATGACTGCCAGTCTTTGATTGTTTGGGCGACCGTTTGACAGGATACGTATCGCGTTCGTTGCTTTACTTTGCTTTGCTTTGCTTCGCATTCCCCGTTTCCCCAGCGGTTCCTCGTGCAGCAAGTCAGCAAGCAAGTAGAGCGGCGAGCGATGATGTATGTGCGTGCGGGTCAGAGCTGTTTTGGTTTGATCCCGTCTCCGTCTCCGTTTGTCTGTCTGTCTGTCTATCTGCAGTGTTCCTGTGTCTCCGTCTCATCCGTTGCCATCGGTCAAGTCGTCAACCGTCCTGTCTCGAGGGTATCTCCCGGCATCTCGGTGTCTCGTAAAGTGGAGGCGCGCGCTAAGGACCTCTCTCTCTCTCTGTCTGTGTGTGTAGGTATGTCTCTCTGTGTCTTTCTTACCCCCCCCCCCCAGGTTGGTCGGTTAGTTTTTCTTTCTTTCTTCATTTTGTTAATTTCAGACAAGTTTTGTTCTATTTCTATTTTGGTTTTCATGTTTTATGTTTCCCAATTTCGTAATTTCTTCACTTCATCTGCATCCCGATTCTGATTCAGGCTTCGTGGTTAAAGGATGAATGCGTAAGGACAACGAGATCCGTCCAAAGGATCCCAGGTGACGATCCCGTGCGGATGCCCTCATGGTGCCGATGCCAAGAGGGGGATTCGGTAGTCTCGCTAAGAAAGGATCGACGAAACCCTAAAACCTTCTTGTCTGCCAAGGGGCCCAAGACTGCAGCCCTTCTGGGTTTCCCTCTCCAACTCAACCCCATTGGACCCGAGTCATTTTGACTTTGGGAAGCCTGCCTGTCGAGTCCGTCCTCCATCATAATGATCAGCAGCAGCAGCAGCAGCAGCAGCAGCAGCAGCACCGGGCCTGGCACACCAAAAAAACGCTCCCGGCACTTTGCTTCGGCTCCGAGCACGAGCATGGGCCAGTTCCACCGTCAATCGTGCACATGTCTCCAAGCACTCTGATCTCAGCCCTAACGGCGTCGAGGTCCTGTCTGGCCCCAGCAAGACACCAGGGGTGCAACGGCCCCAGTTCGGGTAATTCGGACTCGGTTCGGCGGCTTCGGCAGCGTCGGCGTCGCCGTCGGCGTCGTACACGCTCGAAAGCAGGCTGGGAATCGATGCAGAACCAAGGTCGGCCAAGAGAAAGATAGAAAGAGAGAGAAAGAGAGAGAGAGAGAGAGAGTGAACACACAAACACAGAGGAAGACAGAGAGACAGAAACAGAACGCACATGGAAGCCTTCGACATTCGTTCCTTGGCTAGCAATAGTCTCTCCAACCCCTCCCCTCCATCTCCACACCCCCTCTCCCCAACGTACGCACTCCCCATCCCCTGCCATCAAAGTTAGTTTTTTGGGGGGAGCAGGGGGAAAACACCGTCAAACGAGACCGATGAGGGAGGACGAGGGTGAGAGGAGAAAGGATAGGAGCAGAGTGTACTGAAAACAACAGCATCAACAGCAACAAAAACAACTACAACAAGAACAAAAACAACCGGGCTTCGTATCAGCCCAGAATAAGCTTATCCTCGAGCGCCGGGGCCACTGGAAAATCCCTTGTCCCTTGCGGGATATTATTATCGTGTCCCAGGAGCCTGTCGCCACCCACCCAAGCCCCTCGTCCGATGCTGCACCGAAGTCTTGGCGTCTTCCCCCGAAGCTTCGGCACATCTTCTCAACCACCATGTTGACCCCAGCCCAGCCCGGTCCAGCCCAGTCCAGGATGTGATCGGCGCCGGGGGCGGGGGTCAAGGGCGCTGCCGCGAAACTTCTCACAGCAGTGCAGTGCCCTGGGGTGTCGTGTCGTGTCGAGCGTAGTCTTTTCTTGTGGGCGCAGTACACTTACACTTAGTATATACCATACGGTGCTTTCTCGACCCGCCGTCGTCTCAATATCACATTCGACAGTGTCAGGGATTACCATCGACCCTGACCCTCTCAGCGCATGCCTTGTCGTCCAACCAGCAGCCAGCAGAGCATCACAGGGTGAGGATGAGAATACTATACAGTGTCACCACTTCACAAAAGCTTCAGGGATGCCAGGGGCAGGGGGACGCGGTGTGCGGGCGCTCGCGAAGCAAGGAGTGCCTCCTCCTCCTCCTCCACCACCACCTCCTCCTCCTCTTCCTCCCTCTCCTCCCTCCCCCTCCTCTCCCGCCAGTTCTTCCTCCCGGTCCTCCTCTTCTTCTCTGTGCTCCTCTTCCTCCTCCGCCTCGCCTGGGCAGCGTCCACAGAAGGGGTCCAGTTCTCGCCATCCCTCTTACTTTCCTCCCCCCTTTTGGCTTTCCCAGGTAGCCCGGCCAGGGGTGCGGACCAAAAGAGCACCGAAAACATAATTTGGGCCTTGGCTAATAGTGGTCGACCAAACCCGTCGAGAAGCTGGGAAACTCTATTGTCGTGGCCGGTTTGGCCTTGAAAGATGGGCTTTTTTGAGTTACTTGACCTAACGCAGTCAGAGAGTCCCCATTCCCGACCTAAATTGACATGGCAAATGATACAACGAGACCCTGCATCTGGCCATATCCCATGTCTTTCTTTTTGCCTCGACGTCAATGCCTTTTTGGACAAATCCCCTCCCCTCTCCTCCCCTCTCCTCCCCTCCCCTCCCCTCCCCTTCCCTTCTCTCCCCTCCCCCCCTCCCCAACCAAGCTCGACGTACGGACTAGTTCCTGTAAATGTTTCGACTGAGAGAGGAGCAGGAGGAGGGGGAAGGGAGGGAAGGGGTGGGGAGAGGGGGCACCTGAATCCCTACACCTAGGTACTTGCCCCGCTACCAACTAGATACATGCATTTTATACCTTGGGCAATGCACTGCCGCGTGTACTCGCTGGGTACCTGCTGTGTACCTCGCGACGGCCGCCACCCAGTGGCCCGGCAAGAGAAGGAAAAGCGGGTCATGCGGACCGGAAGACGGGGATCCACTTTCCATCGGACGGCGGCGGAGGAATATGGGGCTTGCGGAATTCCGCAATGGGCCGCGCTCTCTGAGTCCCTATCTTCTTTTTTTTTCCCTTTGTTTTTTGTCTTTTTCTTTTCTTTTTTTCATCATTGCCTATACTTCCTCATCCTCTCATCTTCTCAATTACTCGTCCGCCCAATGATACACGCAAACATTTCATCCGTGGCTGCTAACGCTGCCTTTGCGTTTGAAACGTGTCAACGAACGGACGCACCATCAAGTCGAACCCTCCCATTCTCTTGCATGGCCGGAGATGATGCACCACTCCCCGCCCCAAAACTTGGTTGGTTCCTCCTTGCCCGTCGTCAGAAACATCAGACCGAGAAAGGAGAGGGATAGCATGGATCATGAAGGAAGAAAAAAAAAAGGCTGGTGGTACGCACACATGATCTCTACCGCAACTCTCTCGACAGCAACACAAACCACTCAGCAATCCCCGTGGGACCACCCACTCACTACCTTTGACCGACTGACGACGACCTGGTTGAATACCGGCATCTCTTGTCGAACACCGTCGGCACAGACCTGACAGCCGCTGGCGCCGTAGATTGACTCTCCCCCCCCCCCCTTCCCCACCCCTCGTCCCTGGTTCCCTCGCGACGCGAGCTCGGCCCCGAGTCTGAAGCCACACAAACAAGCATGTCGACGTTTGACGTCTTGAACCCTGGGAACAAGGTGGAGAAATGGCGGAAGGAGGGTGGGAAGGCGGATGGCCAATCCCGTGTCCCAGTCCACCTCGTCCACCTCGTCCCAACTCCGGGGCGTTATTCCCGTAGAAATAAATAAATCAATGAAAAAAGCAACGGAAACGAAAGAGAGATGGAGAGGGAAGAAAAGGGAAGAAAAAAAGACAAGGGAAGAAAAGTTTCACACCAACATCCATCCGTCCGGAATTTGGACTCCTTCTGGATCGCTTCTGTCCAACACCATCCGGCCTTCATCCAGTATCGTCTCAGCTGCCCTCTCTCGCTCTCTCTCTCGACCACTACGTCGTTGAACCGGGCCGTGGACTAAATAGCTTGCCGGATCCATCCTCGCCGCCCGACGGAACAGTCCCCTTCGGATCCGCCAGCCATCCGAGGGTCAGAGCGCGTAGTCGGACCAAATGTAGATACACTCACTCACACACACCTAGACACACACACACATACACACACACACACACACACACACACACACACACACATATACACACACATATACACACTTGCCCGTTGTCCGTGACACCATCCATCCACGACAAGTCATGTCCCGCCGAGCCCACATGCAACGCATCGCGATCGAGATCGACTTGAACCACAAATAATTTTCCCCTCCATGACAGACAGGTCCCATTGTTGGAATCGCCAGGTTCGCACCATGCAATTGTTTGATTGACTCGTTCGATGCCTCATTTTCCCCATCCCATCTCTCACTCACCCGCTCACTCACTTACTCGCTCACTCACTCACCCCCCACACTCAAATTTCACCTCCTCCAACCCCCAATTGCATCGTCACCGACGCCAAATGCCTCTCGCTAGCTGGTGGGCCCCAGGCTCTATCTTAACTTGGCGATCTTGGCATGAAGCGTCCACGGCTGGGCTCTGCGGGGTAAGTAGAGCAGCCGCAGACGAGTTTGAGTCCATTCTATACAAAGATGAACAGAGACTCGGTCGTGCATACACCAAGGAGCCTATTTTCAGCAAGCGCCTCAATGGTTGTTGGTTTGTGATGACTACGCCCATCTCTGGGGTTTCTCGGCCCCGAGCATCATTGAGGTTACCATCGCCCGTTTTTCGTTATTTTGGTCTTGGCATCTATTGATGGCCATCGAGTGAGTGAGTGAGTGAGCAATTTGACTGGGATTTCGGCAATCATCGTCATGTTCTCTCTCTCCCCTCTCCTCTCTGTCCATCTCTGTCTGTCTCTGTCCGTCCCCCCCCCCCCTCTCTCTCTTTCTCCACCAGCTCTAGTAACCTTGGCGCACTGCCGTTGTTCACAGCGTCAGACGACGACCATCTGTTCTGCCAACGAGCCAAGACGGGAGAGAGGCGTAATCTGCCAGCTCCCATGGGCTTGGTCTACCCTACCCGTGGGCTTCTCAACTGCGGAACCCGGTTGACATCTCCAGACTACTGCAGCAGCCCGTAACACCCACCCCTAGACGTGTTGTACATTGCGATATCATAACCTTTTGCATCTTCACTTCTTCTCATACTTTGCACATTTTGCATATCTTGTCGGTCATGAGATTGCCATATCACCACACACACACACCCGAGGCGCGAAACCGAGTCTTGGTGTCTTGTCCGACGGGCCAAAAAGTCATTTTCGGTCCGGTCCAAGGACGAGGGGGACCGGACGCGGCGGGTTCGAATCTCGTACCGGCCTATTTTCTTTCCTTCCCTTTTTACTTAATCTTAAAGAATTTAAGATTTTTTAGCCTCGAATGGGCTTGGAGATCAAACCCTATCTAACCATGCAAAACTATCCTTAGTCGTTGAGCTTATGTCCAACACCCACCCGAGCTTCATGTCAGGAGAACCCAAACCCGTGGCATGGCACTGCACTGTGCTGCCGCTTGCTCGTGGCCTTGTGGAGCGACGAGGGACACCCGCGCGCCCTGCTTGACCCTTGCTGCCTGAAGCCTTTTTGGTGGTGTGGGAGGGAGAAGCACTCGACCGTCATTTGACGCCTTGTCTTTTTTGGGGATCCAGAAACGCCAAAGGTATCAACATCGTCCGTTATATTGCTGCCATCCCTTCATCCATCCTTGCTGGGTTCAACCTCCTTGACGCCGCCCACAGCGTTACGCACTGTTGGCGAAGAACTTTGTGATCCTTTGCGTCCCATCCCCCTGCTTGACGGGACTCTTGCTCCCGTTGCTCGTGGCGCTGATCTTACTTTGTCTCGTCTTCTGAGGCGAGGCCCTCGACGCAATCCTCTTTGGTGCCGCCTGCTGGTCCGCGTCTGTGACGTTGGGCGCTTCCCGCTTGACCCCTGCCTTGACCTGCCCGTCCACGCCTTTGGCCGCCTTGGCCGTCACGTCTGGCAGCGGCTGAGCATCTCTGCCTTCTTTTCGCGATTGCTCCATTGCTATCTTGGTCTCCACCTCGACCGTGGGCTCCTCCTCCGACCGTTTAGGCTTGCGCTTTGACGATGCCTTGTCAAAGAAATTGGCAATGTTGGACTTGTTCTCCTTACTTGCCACGGGTATGATGAAGGATGGCGAGTTGTTGCCGACCTTGCCAACCTCCTTGTTGACGGGATAGCAATCGAGCTCGCCGTCGAAGGGCTTCAAAAGACCCTGTAGCTCCCTGGACCACTCGTGCCGCTCGGGATCCAGCCAGGTCTTGATCTCCTGAGAGCCGAGATTGAAAATGACGGGCATCCTGTCATGCAAAAACTTGAGTTGCTTGTTGGAGTCTGTAGTGATGATGGCGTAGGTGTACCGTTTGTCGTTGGAATCTAGTCAGAATTCAGCCACCGCCAAGTAAAGTAAAGTTGAAAGGTAACTTTGGCCTCACCCTCATATTTGACGCAGTCCCAGAGCCCGGCAAAGCACATGATCTGGCCGTCCTTGCGCCTGACAAAATGAGGCATCTTGTCCTTGCCGTTCTTGAGCCATTCATAGAACCCCTGGGCGACGACAATGCACCTTTTACCCGCCTTCATGGTTGACCACATACCGCCGGGTGTGGCGAGCGAGTCAGCGCGACAATTGATCGTCTTGGAGATCGTAGAATAGCCGGGATCGCGCTTCGTCCAAAACGGGATGAGGCCCCATTGCATCGATTGCAACCTGTACCTGACTCTGTCAGTCTCTCGGGGATGGTCCGATGTGGCTTCTGCCGTCGTTTCATCCCGCTCGTTGCTCTTGTCATCGTGGCTATGCCTCGCCCCACGGTCAGGGACGTCAGCGCAATAGACGACGCCGTGATAGCCTGGCGCAAAGTTGTACGTCTGGCGAGGAGAGCCCTGCCCCTCGTCTTCTGGTGCATCATCGACAGGCATGCCGTCTGCCTCCAACATACGCCTGATCTGCGATGGTCGCTGCGCCCCGATTGCATTAGTCTTGATCTCGATTCAGCAAAGCAAGGCTGCGAGATGATGTGCGAGAGGGAGACGGAGACGGAGAGAGAGAGAGAGAGAGAGAGAGAGAGAGACGTCACCAAAGCCAGAGCATATCTTCCACACATGGCTGCGATACTGGCGTGTATCGACAAACCGTTCGGGAAATCGATTATTGCATCAATTCTCGATGACTGCGCCTACTGTCGTGCTATCCGTCGATGAGATGAATGACTGAAAGGTGTTGGGTGTGCCGGCGGCTGTGGTTCGCCGTCATTTCGTCATCGAGCCGCGGGGTAATGGACATCGAGGAAACTGGGGGGAATTGGCCAACGCGCTTTGGACACGTCGGCACGTGACGTGCGGCTACCCTTTGGCCATCAACGGGCTTCACGAAAACCAATGATTACTCGCATGGTGTTGATATCTTCTTTCTCTTTTCGTCTCAATTGACCTCCTCACCTAGTTCAAAAGAGAATAGAAAAGAGTTCATGTAGAAGCAATTAAGAAAGAATTGCTATTTTGCGCAAATTACCTCCGTGTGGCATCATCCCTTACAAACTATACAGTTCTCATGTCGTTGATGGACGCCAATGCCTCTGCGCGATAACTCCCTGTGTTTCCCTCTTAGACGTTTCGTCTCGATTTCCGCTTCAGTGTCGTATCGGCCGCCCACGCATCTTCAAACGCCGTCTTGCGCTGGCCCACGTCTCCCTTCTCCAGGGCAAGTCGACGGACCACGTGGAACGCGCCGGTTCCAACCGTCATGGTCTGGCCCATGATGATACACTCACTCACACCTTCGATCTGGTCCGTCTTCATACCGGCCGCAGCCTCGAAGAGGTGGTCTGGCGTCTTCTCGAATGAAGCCAACTGCAGGACGCTGTCTCTCATCTTGGAGAGACCGAATCTCGTGATGCCCAGGACCTCGCCCTTGTACGTCATGACGTCCGCGAGTAGCTGCATGTGACGCGGGTCGATGTTCATGTCTCCCATGACTTCTCCGATTTCGTAAGCAATCGTGCTTCTTGCGGCCTCGATGCCCAGCACGTCTCGGCACTCCATGACGTTGTTCGTCTTTACTCTTCGTCCGTCGACACCCTCCGTGTTCATGCACGAGAGCAGGCCGTATCCTTCGACCAGAACGGTGTGGGTTTCCTGCTCAGACGTTTGAATAATGGCGCGAGTGGCCAAGGGGTAGCCCGAGATGGCCACCGTCGGGATCGTCCGCCGAAGGTAGTTAGCCCGCACCAGGAGATCCCCAAGGTCATCCACCGGCTTGCCCTTGACAGCACGCTTGGCGGCGGCCGACTCATCGAGGCGAACGCGGATTTCGATCCTTCCCGCGCCAATGTGCATGTCCGACCTCGAAACCTTCATCTTCTTATGCTTACAAATGGCCTCGGCTACGTCGCCCAGAGTGATGCCGAGCTGCATGTCGGACAGAGCGTCCATGTCGACCTTTAGGACGACGTTGCCAGACTCCGCAAACCACTCGTCTTCGATGTAGCTGAGAATGTCCTCGACAAACGTCTTTTCAATGCGTGCCTTGACGATTCGAGCGGCCGTCAACTCTCTGTTCTGCACCAGCGGGCACGTGATGACGGGAGTGCTGATGACTTTGGAGGCGTTGATGATTTCCTTGATACGCGGTACACCTTGTGTGATACTCATGCCGGCGACACCGGCAAAATGGAACGTCTTCAGCGTCATCTGGGTTCCTGGCTCACCAATCGACTGCGCACCGACGGCGCCAACGGCATGGCCAGGCTCGACGTGCGCCTTCTTGTACTTCTCCAGGCACAGTTTGATAAACAGCCTCAACGTTGTCTCGGACACCTTGGCGACCTTCTCCGCATACGCCTTCTTGTGCCTCATCTCTTCCTGGTCCACATCGACGTCCATGCTGTCGGCGTCGGCCGTGAGACCCGTCAATTCCATCAGACGACGGAGCTTTTGGGCTCGGGCACCGACGTAGGACTCGAGAGACCGCAAAAAGTCTCTTGCGCCTTCGTGCTCGTCGGTATACCTTTCCTCTTCGTTGTCGTAATCGAGCGTCAGGTCACCCAAGAGAGACTTCCGCGGGTAGCGCGCCCGTTCACGGGAGAGCATGCTGTCACAGTACCGGACGATTTCGTCAGGAAGCAAAGCCGGTTCCTCGTTATTCCAAGTAAGATTCTCGGCGTGGGAAAATGTTCGGTCAAAGTTTACAGGCTTCGCCGAGGCCTCCATATCGACTGGGTCCAGCTTGTCGGCACCGAACTGAAACTGCACAATGCCGCCGCCAGAGGTTCGTACAGTGTCGTCGTACTGGGTCGAGAGATCTTCCAAGGACTTCATCAGTCTGCGAGACATGTATCCGGTCTCTGCCGTCTTGACAGCGGTATCGACCAGACCTTCACGTCCGGACATAGCGTGGAAGATGAACTCGGTGGGCAAGAGACCCGAGTAGAAGCTGTTCTCGACGAAACCCTTCGACGGCGGCTGTGGAGCGTTCTTGTGGAAATGAGGAAGTGTTCTGTCCTGGAAACCATCGGCGACACGCTTGCCACCAATAATCTGCTGTCCGACTAGAGCGACCATCTGCGCCACGTTGATGTTCGAACCCTTGGATCCGCACTTGGCCATGACCAGCGGCGCATTGTTCTTACTGAGCGTTTCGATGCAGTGAGCACCGGCTTGCGTTCTGACCTTACTCAAAAGACCAGAAATGGAGTTCTCGAGGGTCTGCTCCATTGAACAACCCGTGGCCTTTTCAAGCTTGTTCTTCTTGTACTTGTCGATCAGCACGTCGACCTCGAGGCTCGCAGTCTTGACGAGTGTGCTCTTCTTTTCCAGCAGCTTTTCCGTGGGGAAAACGTCGCCGATACCGATGGAAAAACCGCGGTTGGTCAGGTGCCGAGCACACAGCTTCGCAAGGCGGTTCATCGTGGCGACGGCCGCGTCTGGGCCAAAGTCTCTCAGGATGACATAGAAGACCGAGTCCTTCTTTCCGTCACCGACAGTCGACTTGTCCATCACACCACACATAACCTCCGAATTGCGAATGACCAGCCACGCGTCCTCGGGATCCATATCGGGGCATTGTCCGGCCCTGGCCTTGTATTCTCTGCACTTGGCATCCAGGTTGATCTTGACCGGGCTCTCCTTGTTGGGTCGCATCATCATGTTGAAGACTTGCTTACCAGTCCACAGAGCCTTGGGCTTCAAGACGGCGGGAGGAGGTAGGTCAAGGTGGACCTTGCCGTCCATCATGTGCATGCAAATGTAGGTGAACGTCTTGCGGTCGAAGAAGTTGTCTTTGCTGCTCAGCAGATAGGCGGCAGTGATGAAATCCTGCGTGGCAGCAATGACGGGTTCTCCGTTCTTGGGTGTCGCCAGGTTGTGTTTGACGCCCATGAGGTTAATGGCCTCTGCGCGGGCTTCTTCCGTCTGCGGCACGTGAAGATTCATCTCGTCCCCGTCGAAATCTGCGTTGTAGGGACCACAGACGCACTCGTTCAGGCGAAATGTCCTCCAAGGCCGCACCTTGACCAAGTGGCTCATGATACTGAGCTTGTGGAGAGATGGCTGACGGTTGAAGAGGACGATGTCGTTGTCTTCCAGGTGGCGTTCGACAACGTCACCAATCCTGAGATCTTGGGCGACCTGATTCCTGTTGCCGAACTTCAACGAGATCTTGTAGCCTCCATCGTCCTTCTTGATGACCTGTTGCGCACCCGGCCAGATGTTGGGCCCGTTTCGAACGCACTCCTTCAACTTTGCAATATTGTAGTCAGACACCCGCTCCGGGTACGTCAGGTTCTTGGCGACAAGCTGCGGAACGGCGACCTGGTCAATGCCAAGGTTGGGATCGGGCGAAATGACGGTACGTCCGGAGAAATCAACACGCTTTCCGGACAAGTTGCCGCGGAATCGACCTTGCTTTCCCTTCAGCCGTTGACAGAAACCTCGCACGGCCTTGCCGAACCCCGGCTGCTGCAGACCTGGCACGTCGCTGTTGACGTACATGGCGACCTGGAGTTGGAGGTACTCCCACTGCTCCATGATGGTCTGGACGGGCGAGCCCTTCTGTAGCGCTGAGCGGATCATGCCGCTGACCCAGACGATGTCGGCAAGTTTTGTCGTGATATCGTCCTCGTTGCTGGCGTTGTCCTGGGCGACCGAGGGTCGGATACATACGGGGGGCGCAGGGAGGAACTGCCAGATGAACATCTCGGGACGACCTTCGGCGGGATCCAGGCCGAGAAGCTCGCAGTCGCTGGGACTGATCATCTTGAAAAGATTGAGGACCCTCAGGGGGTTCATGTCCTCCATGGCCTTGCGCAAATGCTTGTCGAGCTCGGCGTTGTTTTTCCTCGCCTCGCTGAAGGACTCGTCGAACTTGATCTTGCTCTCGGGAGGCACCTTCTTGGCTGAGGTGGACTTGTTGTATGTGACGAACTTGTCGTGGGCCAGCTTGAGAACGCCGACCTTTCTAATCTGACCTTGGACGGAACCGCAATACATGCAGTTTTTGACCTTCCTGCACTGCTCGTTAATGCGTTTGCAAATCTGCGACCGCCGTAGGTTGTCCAAAAGCGGCCGTCTGAGTTCCTTCAAGAAAGCCCGTCTCTCGGACTCTGTGAGGAGGACCTTGCCGCAGTCCTGTCTCATGTTAGTCGTGCTCAAAACCGACGAGCACCTGGATTCTCACCTTGCAGATATCCTGCAATATCATCATGACGAAGCGCAAGTAGCCGATATGAAAGGCAGGTAGAGGAAGCCTGACATGGCCGAAATGGCCTGTGCAGTTCTGGAGAGACTCCTGGCAGGTTGCGCATTTTCCCGTCTTGCTCGAAGTACCCTGTGACCGGACGTGTTAGAGAGGATGGATGGGTAGGCTGGAAGGGATCGCTTACGAGACGAGGATCGAGGGGGCCATGCTGGTAGGGTGCTCTGTTCTTCTCAATGTCGTAGAGGAGGCGATCGGAAACTTCAAGGACGGCTTGGTTCGCGATATCTTGGTTGGACCTGACAAGGAGCAGCCGGATCAGCATGAGTGCATAACTCAGGACGCATGCAAGGGGGGCGGGACTGACTGGATGCCAAACTTGATGCCCTTGAACCGCTTAGGCAGCTTGTCAACAAGCTGGGACTTGACGGGAGTCACGGTGGTTGTGGTGGCCATTGCGATTGTTGTCGGGGATGCAAATGCACTCGTCGAGGAGCCACTGAGTGGTAGGGATTCGAGGAACTCGCGGTCGTGATCGTGGCCGTAGTTATCGCGATAGTGGCAGTGATGGTGGCGGTGTCGTCGGCAGGTGAGTCAAGGCCTCGGTCGGAGGGGTCAAAGTCTACCGGCTGAAATGGATGTGGATGGATTTGCGCATTCGTGGCTGGGTCATGATCGTAGGCGGCCAACAATTAGGAAGGGGATCGAATAAGAGGATATCGAGTCGGAACGACAAGAGTGCTAAGGCAAGGCGGTCATTCGAGGGGGGTTGGTTGGTTGTTCGGTCTGCGTCGTCTGAATTGGAGATGGTTCCTGGAAATTTTGATGAGAGGCACGACGAGAGGCGGCGCGGGACGTGCAAAGAGGGACGTACTGTACCGTACGCATGCAGGTCGTACCCCACCATCGAAAAACGCAGCGCAGCTCGCCCCACCCGCATTGGTACCGCGATGGCCCAGCTCCGTGTCACAAAAGTGCGAAGATTGGAGGGTGCAGGTTCCTCGCTTGTGGCCAGAGATGAGGTAAGCCAGTGGGGGTGGTTTCCAAGAAGCATGAAGCGCGAGCAAATAGGTACGTACTTAAGCACCTTCCTAGGATCCAGGCAGGTAAGGGAAGGGAGGTATCCGTAGACAAGGTACCTACCTACCTACATAGTACAATGTAGGGACGATAGGGTGCCTTTCCAGCTGGAGCTGCAGCTGCCCCGCGATCACCAATCTCTTCAAGGTACCGTATCCACTGGTTATATCCGGATAAAGCTAATTATCGGGCTAACGGCAAGGAGTATCGCGGCCGCTGTGACAGGTATAGTATGCTGGCAGAAACAGGGATCTAGAAGTAGCAATATAGGATAGTAGTGTACATAAGCAAGAAGTTATAGTGTGAGTACCAGATAAATGTTGTTGCTAATAGGCAACAGGTAAGTGGGTAGATAGTTAGGAGGATGGATAGGTAGGGTTAGTAGATTGACCGCTTTCTATATCAGGCCTGGCGGAATGGGCCTGTACTAACTACTATCGGACATCAGCTAGCTAGCTTTGGCTAGACCCTTTATTAGCTTTATCCGGATCTCGAGAGTGTAGGCGGTACCCAGGTACCTACCTGCCTGCCTACCGGTACATGCCTACGGATACCTACCGAAGTGTCTGTCTGTCCTTTGCCTCTCTTTCCATTTATTCGACACGGGACTCAATGTGCGTCATGGGGTCCCTGGACGCGGGAGCTCCCTCCTTCCCCCCCTCGTGCTAGGTACTACACCGCAGCTGACTGGAGATTGGTTTGGAGTCTGATGACTGAAGCCCTTCATCATACAGTACCAGCTCAAAAGTCTTGTTACAGCAATAAAGACAGCCAATAAAAAGCTACAGTAGGTGGTTAGGACATAGGGTCTTTGGTGACGCACTGTGAAGTGACCTCGAGCTATTAATGGGTCCTCTCTTCGACTCTTCTTTGGGTTATCCTTATTGCTGTAACAAGACTTTTGAGCCAGTACTGTAGCTACCTACCTGTATTCTGTCCTGTTCCTAGTCAGACTATAGCTGTCTCTCCCAATCTATATACATACATACATACACGTACATGCATGCATACAATATACATATGCCTTACACCAAGGGACTCGGCTCACATGGTTGTCGCAAAAAGCACACCTTGTCCCCCATTTGATTTGAATAGAAAAGAGAGCAGAGCCTCTCCTCGCCCTCTCTCACACGCATTACACACGTATCTCTCTCCCATAGGCATTCTTCCACTGTCTAACAAAAACAAAGACTTCACCACGCCGCATTTCCCCCGCCCCGTTGTCGACGCCTCAACCTTGTTACTTACTCCAGCCTGAAACCAGCATTCCTGGGTCCCGCCCTCAACAAGCTTTCCGAGACCGACCGCCCTACCTACAATCCGGTGCCGTTCAGTCCGACGTTCCCGTCCTCTCCGTCGCCCTGACGTCCCTGCGCTGATAAAGATAAAGCGCCCCTCCTCCCTGCCTTGCGTTTGTGAAGTTGGCGTCTGCCGTCCATCGCTCCAGGCAGGTTTGGGGACGACATTACAGACCGTCGAACCTCTGCCAGAACAACACCACCGCCTCTCGCCCTTGTTGGTCATCTCGTCACACTTTCGCCGCATGGCACTCGGCCCAGTCGCAAGCCATGGCTCCCAGCGGCCCTGACCGCAAACCCGAAAAATCCTACCTGTCGTCTGCCGTCGACTCCATCAACCCGTGGGCTGGCGCCCGGAGCACAACACCAACCCAAATCCCCAAGGATCCCCCTCCGCCCCCCGTGCAGGGTCAAAAATCCCGCCCTGGCGACCACAGCATCACCCATTTATACGGCCAGAGCATCAAGAGCTACCCCGCCGACTGTCCTCCTCTGAACGTGCTCTGGTACCACGCAACTGATGTAGGGGCGCCCATCCCATAGCCCACTCTTCCCCCTCTCCAAACAAACGCCCATTCGTCTTGCTCACATACTTTCCGCCAGGTACCCAAGCGCAAACCCCAGTTTCTCCGAGACAAATCGAAACCTGCCGATGACGCCAAGCCGCCGCCCCAGCCCAAGAAGTTCGTTCCTTTTTCAAAGCTAGACTCACGCGCTATCGAGGCTACATACCAGCGCCTGCTTGAGGATTCAGAGAAGAGAAGAGGCGGCCGGTCGTTGCGGAACGTGTCGGCGGGCTCGCGCCGTGGCCGCAGGGATACCGACGAGGAGAGCAACCACAGCAGCTTGGAGACCAGCCCCGAAGGTGCTCAGGGTCCCAAAACGCGGGTTCCTGTCCACGAGGATTATCTTTTCGATGTCGACATCGAAAACCGAGAGCTATCCCCCGTCTACTGGCTCGGCCCTGTCTACGAAGTCCGCCGCGGTACCTGGTTCTATGAAGAAGGCTCGTCCTTGCGGCCATGTGAAGAGAATCTGGCATCGCAGTTGGAGGAGGGTTACCTCAAGGTCAAGCCCTGGACGTACCCGAACCCGAGGGTTCGCAGTGACCCCAAGAACAAGGACGCCAAGACCAAGGGCGTGACACCAAAAGCATCCCTCGACAATCTCAATGCTGCCGCCTCAACAACTCCAACCGCAGAGAGCAGCAGCAAAGTACCCGGACCTCAGAACCAGCACCAGCCGTCGTCGCACCGCTTGTTCGGCGCCTGGATGAACAGCATCGCCACGTATCAGGACGCAAGCACAGCATGGCTCACGTCAAACAGCATGCTCTCATGGGTGACCTCCACCATGTACGAAAGATTCTCGGGGGGCGGTTTCATGAGTGGTGTCAAGCTGGTGAGGGGCTATTCCGATGTGGCCAAAAACAAGAAGGAGAAGCAGCCGTCCACCCCCACCGATGCCACTGCCACCTCGCAACTTGACGAGAAACAGCAAAAGCTGCTCAAGAGGAGATCTGCGCCGCCTTCTTCCGCGCCGTTTCAGTCCAATGACGACCTCTCACGTGCCGAGGAGAAAGGCAACGAGGAGAACTCCCTTCAACGGCAGATCTCGTCACTAATGGAGGGAGCCGAGCGGAACCAAGAGGAGCAGGAAGAGGAGATTCGGAAACGCGAGGAGAAGGAGATCGAAAACGACTACAACGGCCAGCTTGGCGAAACTCAAGGGCGCGAAATCGAGCATCTGGTCCTCGTCACGCACGGGATTGGCCAACTCTTGAGTATACGGTAAGTCTCGGCTACGGTGCGTGGAGCTCCAGGGCTGACTTGAGCAGCATGGAAAGCATCAACTTTGTTCATGACGTCAATGTCCTGCGCAAAAACTTCAAATCCGTGTACTCTAGCTCTGCGGACCTGCGGGCTCTGAACTCGGAGCTCGAAGATGGCCAGAGAAACTGCCGCGTGCAGGTTCTGCCTGTGTGCTGGAGACATCTTCTCGACTTCCCCAAGAGACGGGAGAAGAAGAACGAGCAAGACATTGGTGATGCCGCTCTAGATGAGGAGGAGTGTAAGTTCTGGCGGCCTTATTCTTTCAGGGGCAAGCTATCTGACAAACGATGTCCAGACCCTTCTCTTGAGGATATCACCATCGAAGGTGTGGCTTTCGCCAGGTCTCTGATTTCCGACCTCGCGCTTGATGTTTTGCTATACCAAAGTGCCTACAGAGAACAGATCTCGGAGATTGTGCTGAAAGAATCCAATCGAATCTACAAGCTGTTCCTTGAACGGAATCCGGAATTCAAGGGCAAGGTTCATATCATCGGGCACTCTCTCGGCTCCGCCATCATGTTCGACATCCTGTGCCGGCAGAAGGAGAAGCCCAGAGGGCCGGAGAGCCCCCGGAATCCTCTCCGCTTCTGGCCATCGCAGGAGAAGGCCCAGGGCTCCCGGGATCGAGAGGCCAATGAGCTCCGGTTCGAGTTCGACGTGGAAGACTTTTACTGCCTAGGATCTCCGGTGGGCTTGTTCCAGATGCTCAAGGGACGGTAAGTCGACCGAGGTCTCTTGAACGAGACGCATGCTGACCTCATTGAAGGACCATTTCAGCTCGCCACCTCGCCAACACCCGTCCGTCGGAAAGCCCCCTGGATCCAGATTTGATGGATGACCCCTTTCTGGCGGCGGCGCCATCAAGTCCAACCCACAGGATCTCTGCAATTACCGGGCTTCCTTACTCCGTGTCATCGCCCAAGGCCTCGCAGCTCTTCAACATCTTTCATCCCTCAGACCCCATCAGCTACAGGCTAGAGCCCCTGATCTCACCTGCCATGTCGACATTGAAGCCCCAGGTGTTGCCGTACACCAAGAAGGGCATCTTTGGCAACGTGACCCAGCAAGGTCTGTCAGGTATCGGCATGAAGGTTGGGCAGAGCGTCAGCGGGCTGTGGTCTAGCCTGAGCGCAGGGATCGCGAGCAACCTGCTCAACCGCAGTCTGGGCCTCAGCAACGAAGACGTGGCCAAGATGAACTCGGCGAATGCTCCATCACAGGTTTCAGGAGCGGGTACCAACATTGCCGACAGCGGCGTGATCTCGGACGTGTCGAAGCTAGAGGCGAAGACCAACGAGCGCAAGAAACAGCTTGCAGATTCCAAGGCCATGGTTGGCCGTACCAGCATCAGCGGCAACGAGATGACGTTGATTGACGACGAGCTGGAGACGCTCTACGCCAAGTTCCAGGAGAAGCGCATGGATCTGCCCAAGACGGACGACGACGATGGCGGCAGGGCGGACTGGATCGAGGCAGAGCGTAAGGCGCAGAAGCTGCGCCGGGAGGAGATGAAGGTGCGCGCTCTGAATCGCAACGGGCGTGTGGACTACAGTATTCAGGAGTAAGTCGAGAGGGAAAGAGACCCCCTTACCCCCCCTCTCTCTCTCACTCAGTCATGAGGCGAACGCCCGGCGGTGTGTGCTGACAAGCCCAACAGGAGCGTCCTGGACTTTAACCCGATGAACACGATTGCTTCGCACATGAGTTACTGGTCTGACGAGGACGTCAGCCACTTTATCCTCTCACAGCTTCTTTCTAATAGATCGCGGGCAGGCCGCAGATAGACTTTTTTTTTTCTTCTTCTTCATTCCCTTCCTTTCAAATCTGACGTGTTGGGTGGGGCAAGTCGGTTGATTACAATAAATTTATGTTTATTTCATAAAATAGAGGCATACATTACTTCAAGTGACCCATCCGTATCTGGAGACTTTCTTTTTTCTTTTTCTTTCTTTTTTTCCACTCGAAGACGCACTTGGGGGTATCTTTTGGTATTTGTTTTTAAACTGCTTAATCTGCTCAAACTGCTCATGCGCGCAGGATGCCGGCGTCGACCAAGGCGCTCCAACGGGCGGGCTTGGTCCTGGCGACGTCCTCGGCCGTCTGGCCGGCGTCGGTGCGTAGAGAACGGATATCCTCTGCGGTGTCGTTGGTCAGGCGCACAATCTGCAGGGCCTCGGCGGCCTGGCGGGCCGAGACGGGGAAGAGATCGGTGGGCAGAGGAGAGGCAATCCACAGCAGCAGCCAGACGACCTCCTCGTGCTCCTTGTCGAGGGCGAGGTGCAGGGCGCTCATGCCGCCGGCGAGAGGGTCCTGGTAGCGGATAAGCTGGGCGAGCTGAGCGACGTCACCGGCGAGCTCCTCGTTGGCGTCCTGGAGCAGGTCGACGACACCCTCGACATCGCCCTCGGCGCACATAAGGTGGTAGGCGCGGGCGGGACGGGCGTCGGGGTTGGAGGCGAGGTAAGCCTCCTCGGTAATGTTGGGGAGGATGTCGAGGGCGTCCTGGAGGCCGCCCTCATTGACGTAGCGAGTGAGGATAGCGGTGCCGGGCTGGGAGTTCAGGAAGGGGTTTGTGACGGAGGGGCCCTGAGTGTTAGAGGGGAGGTACTTCTGGCACGAGGGGCAGTTGAGGGACACTGCGATGTCCTGGGACAGGTCCAGGAGGCATTGCCTGTTTGAATGGGGTGAGCGAGTCTCCTCTGGATCTGAGTTGGGCTTTCTTTCTCACCAGTGGAAGTGGCAGCCGCAGGGGAGCTCGAGGTCGTCGGGGACGGTCTGGGTGTCGTCGGCGGCGTGGCCCTCGTCGTCGCTCTCAGGTTCAAGGACGATGACGAGGGGGTCCTCGCAGGCTTTACAGACGGCGGCCATGGTGATTTCTGAATGAGACTGGAAGGATGAGAGGGGTTCCCTAGATGGTGGTATGCTCCGCGGGGACTTGAGATGCTTGCTCGAATCCTGAATTATGTGAAGCTCGAGATTGAGACGTTGCGCTGAATGTTCATTGCCAGTGTGATGGTGACTGACTGCATCGACGTCAGAAAATTCGAGGTGGGGGAGAGCGGGGACTGTGCATTTCTCTCTTTGGCACTGTACATAATAGCGCTCGGTGTGTATGTCAACACAGTGCATCATAATGTTAAGTCTTCGTTACTAGGTGACGTCCCTATTTCGTTGCTACCTTAGCTACCTACCAGGTATGTGCGATGTACATACGGTAGGTGGTGTACCTAACTGGTAGTGTAGGTAGGTAGGCAGGTTGGCAGGTACGTGTTTGTACTCCCTCATTCCCTGCACCTGGGGGTTCCAGAACATTGCCTGAATCGGCCTACGGACGAGGGGGGGGGGGACAGGCAATCCGGGCAAGGGAGCACGGGCGTGTAAGTCGGGGTGGGATACAGTCACAGGCAGCAAGCGTACCTGTAGTAGTACATTGTAGTGTATGTTGATCGGGCACCTCGCTCCAAGGTCGAGCAGGCGTGTTGGGCTATGTAAGGCCAGACGAGAGAGGCAATGGTGGAGGGGCAGCAGCATCAGGCGGGCCACATCAAGGAGGCGGACCCACGAAGAAGCAATGTGGTAATGTACTATTAGATTACACACATGTCGGTTCTGCAAAGGACTCGTGGACTCGCAGACCGTACGTGTCTCGGTGCCTGGAGAGCCACGTGCGGGTGGAGGAGGAGGAGGATATTGACTGCCTGCATGGACCCGAGTTATAGATAGACGGACGGGCAGACTGCCTGGCGTACGTACATTGTACTGATTGTACTATGTACGTTGGCGCGTTACGCAAGACGGAGACACGCTCACTCAGGTACTCGCATACGCACATGACAAGCTGTCGCCGCGTTACGCAAGTCGTTGTGGCTATGGCTGATATCAGGCCAGCCGTTGCCTACTACATCGTACATACATTGTACATACCTCCTCAGCACACATGGTACCTTTGGGTTATGTCAAGGTATCTATCTGCCAGGCAGAAAAGAAAAGGGACCCGCTTTGGGCGGATTGAATCAGGCTTCCCGCTGTATTTCTGTGCAACCCGACGGCCGTGGTTTTTTGTCTTTGGGTTGCTTCGGGTGGCAGGTCTGGCATGCTTATTAGGTAAGCGGCCGCGACTGATGTACCCTGCCGCGCTCGTCGGGCTGCTAGGAACCTACAGAGTACATCGAGGCTTGCCTACCTGCCTACCCACTTTCTGCTCTGTAAGGTACCAGCCATCCAAGATGATGTGATGTACTTGTACGATTCCCAAGGTATGAATACAAGCTGCCCTGCTTGTACCTGTACGGACATAAGTAGACACCCAATGTGCTCAGGCCAACTAATGCCTGTACGATTACATCAATGACCCCCCTCCCCGCCCCCGCCAACAGAGAACAAGCAAAGCAAAGCAAAGCAAAGCAACGCAGCACAGCGCAGCACCTACGTAAGTCTCCGTCTCTCTCGCATTCCCAAGGCACAACACATCGCAGCGCGGCACGGCGTAGCACGGCGCAGCGCGGCATTGGTTTGCGCAGCGTTTTGCCGGCCCGTTTAACCCTGTCCTTGAACCTTGTCTTGCGGCGATGAGCAAGCGGGTGTGTGTGTGTGCTGCTTTCCTGTTATCATCATCATCATCATCATCATCAGTATTAGTATTGGTATTAGTACGGAGTATAGGCCTGGGCATAACACCTGCCTACGGATACCTACCTATCTACCTACTTACTTACTTAACTGTCTAATACCTGCTGCAGCTACACGGCGTCAGTTAAAGAGACCCACCCACAGTTCTCTCTCCCTTCTCCGCTCCCCTCCTGTCTCTCCTCGCCTCCCCTTCCCAACTCTGACTTCTTCCTCTACACACACACACACACACACACACACACAACTAACTTACGAACGAAGAGAAGGAAAAAAAAAAAAAAAAAGTCGCATCCTCGACTGCTATTCCCAATTTTCCCCAAAACACACTCACTCCCTCGTCGTGAGGAACGGATACAGACAACACCACCTTGGCCGCGGTCCCAGACTCCATCACCGTCCGTGCGTTCCGGAGCTTCCTGCACCTCACATCTACCGCTCCGCTTGGTCCCTGATCAAACTGCTTGCTTCGTTTCGCTTCGCTTTGCTTTCCCTCCGCGCCGAGCGCAATCTCGACACCAGGACAGGACCACTCCCCTCATCATCCCTCTCTCCTGACCCTCTCTCGTCTTTGCCTACACTACACACCTTTTTCTCGACACAGTCTTTGGCCTCGCCCATCTGTTTGCGCGCCCACCCTTAGACCCCCACCAACATGAACGTTCTCAAGCTTCAGAGGTGCGCAACCGCAATCACCCCCGCACCCTGCGATTCCCCAAATTACTCACCCCTCGCCCCCGACCCGCCGCCTTGCTAACAGCTCTCTGCCTTTAGGAAGTATCCTCAGTTCCCTCAGGACGAAATCTACGGCCTGAGCGACGCCTTCCGCAAGCTCGACGTCGACGACAAGGGCTACGTCGATGAGGCCACCGCCATCAAGGCCACCCAGCAGAGCGAACGCCAACCCTATGATGTCGTACGACAGGCCCTCAAGGAGGTTGAACTCGACTCTTCTCGCAGAGTCGAGCTGGAGGACTACGTCGCAGTACGTCCCCCCCCCTCTCAGACCCCCCAACAGCCGGCCTCCGCTTCTTCTTCTTTACTAACCCGATGCCGCCTCCTGCAGTTGATTGCCAAGCTTCGCGAGTCTTCCCCGGCCCAAAAACGCATGACAACCGGCCCCGGTTCCGCTCCTGCCAGCATCGTCGCCCAAGCCACCGGAAAAGTCGGCGGTCATGCCTCCAAGTCGAGCGTCGGCAAGATCCATGTCCAGGGCTCCAATGCCAACGTCACTCACACCATCAACGAGGACGAGAGGACCGAGTTCACTCGTCACATCAATGCCGTCTTGGCCGGCGACCCGGATATTGGAAACCGCCTCCCCTTCCCCACCGACACCTTTGAGATGTTCGACGAGTGCAAAGACGGTCTCGTCCTGGCCAAGCTCATCAACGACAGTGTTCCCGATACCATTGACGAGCGTGTCCTGAACCGCCCGAAGAACAAGAAGCAGCTCAACGCCTTCCAGATGACGGAGAACAACAACATCGTCATTGAGTCCTCCAAGGGCATCGGTCTGTCCGTCGTCAACATTGGCAGTGGTGACATTATCGAGGGCCGCGAGCACCTGATCCTCGGCCTCATCTGGCAGATCATCCGCCGCGGCCTGCTGAGCAAGATCGACATCAAGCTCCACCCGGAGCTGTACCGCCTGCTCGAGGACGACGAGACCCTCGAACAGTTCCTGCGCCTGCCTCCCGAACAGATTCTCCTCAGATGGTTCAACTACCACCTGAAGGCCGCCAACTGGCCCAGACGGTAAGTTTCGGTTTTTTTTTTTGGTTTTTTTTTTTTCGGATTTTCTTTCTTGTCCTCCTGACCAGGCCCGGACGCACCACTGACTCTCCTCGCACAGGGTGAACAACTTCTCCAGCGACATCAAGGACGGCGAGAACTACACCGTTCTCCTGGCGCAGATCGGTTCCGAATACGGCGCGACGAGAGCCCCCCTCCAGACGAGAGATCTCTTGCAGAGGGCCGAGGAGATTCTGCAGACCGCCGACAACATGGGGTGCCGCAAGTTCCTCACGCCCTCATCCCTGGTCGCCGGTAACCCCAAGCTGAACCTGGCCTTCGTTGCCAACCTGTTCAACACCCACCCCGCCCTCGACCCCATCACCGAGGAGGAGAAGCTCGAGGTGGAGGACTTTGACGCCGAAGGGGAGAGAGAGGCCCGCGTCTTCACCCTCTGGCTCAACAGCCTGGACGTGCAGCCCGCCGTTCAGTCCTTCTTCGACGACCTGCGCGACGGCACCGTCCTTCTGCAAGCGTACGACAAGGTCATCAAGGGGTCCGTTAACTGGCGCCACGTCAACAAGCCCCCTGCGCACGGCGGCGAGATGATGCGCTTCAAGGCCGTCGAGAACACAAACTACGCCATCGAGCTCGGCAAGCAGAACCGCTTCTCGCTCGTCGGCATCCAGGGCGCGGACATCACCGACGGCCAGCGGACCCTGACCCTCGGCCTGGTGTGGCAGCTGATGCGCAGAGACATCACTGTCACCCTCTCGACTCTGGCGCAGCGTCTGGGCAAGAAGGAGATCACGGACGCCGAGATGGTCAGGTGGGCCAACGACATGTCCCGCAAAGGTGGCAAGTCGTCCGCCATTCGATCCTTCAAGGACCCCGCCATCGGCACCGGCGTCTTCCTGCTGGACGTGCTCAACGGCATGAAGAGCAGCTACGTCGACTACGACCTCGTCACCCCCGGCCACACGGACGACGACGCCTACCTCAACGCCAAGCTCAGCATCTCCATTGCGAGAAAGATGGGCGCCACCATCTGGTTGGTGCCCGAGGATATTTGCCAGGTCCGCAGCCGCCTGGTGACCACCTTTATCGGTAAGTCGATCCCCGCCCCTCCTCCCCCCCTTGGTTCCGTGCCGTTTCCGGTGCTGACACTCCCTCACAGGATCTCTTATGGCGACGGCCGAAAAGCAGGGCTTGTAAACCGTCTTGGAAGAAGAAGAAGAAAAAAGACGGGAAAGGAAAAGAAAAAAAAACACCTCAACTCCCCCCAACCCTCTTTTTTTATTTTATTTTTTATCGCGGCGCGCGAATGTGTCTGATGTTTTCCCCACGAGGATAGAAAAAGGCCAAAACTGCGGGCGAGGCTTTATTGATTGTTTAGTTGAATGAACCCATGATGAATTCCATGTATTGTGCTATCGAGCTATTGTGTTTCTGGATGACTGTGTTACTACGCATGCCTTGAGCCGCGGTACAGGCGACAAGTTCTCAAGCATTGATTTGAATAGGCCCGATGACTGGCAACCTTTTCTCCTTTCCCTCTTGTCCCCCCCCTTCCCATCATACAGAAGAGAAGGCCTTGCAGCAGAACTGATCAGAACCAAGAAGGGTTTTCTTTTTTCTTTTTCTTTTTTAGGTTCTTTTGTATACTGATTTCAAGGAAGAAAAGAAGGCGACAAGTGGAATCACAGGACAAGGTATAGACTGCACAACAGGCTGGGCCCCGTGAGGAGGCCTGTCCAGAACATGACGTTGCCCAGGACTCTGCGGCCTTTCAACCACCGCGTGCGGCTCAGCTGGACAAGCTGCATTCCGTTCCGTCAGCTTCTTGTTTCCTTTCACAAAAGAAGTGTGGGGGAGGCAGAGGGCCGAAGAACCGTACAGGCAGCTGGCACATTTGCGCAAAGAGGAGGTAGCCCCTCAGCTTCTTGAAGATGCACCACATGACCAGCTCGTGGACGCACGCCGAGAGGAAGAAGGTAATTAGGGTCGCCGTGTGGCGGTTCACCTTCATCGAGGAGATGGAGCTGTGGTAGACGTGGCGTAGGAGGAAGATGTGGACGGGCCTGGGGGAGGGGAGGGGTTAGCTAGCTGCGTGCGTCTCAACTCCTCCCAGGAGGGGAGGATCGTTTAGTTTAGCTCAGGGAATGATGGTCTCACCGGTTCCAGTCGCGGGCAAATTGGTCCCAGGAGACTTTTTTTCGTGGTTCACTGTTAGCAAGCCGCCGCGCCGTGATTCGGGTCGAGATAGACTCTCATAGGGGAAGAGGGAGGGAGGGGGTGACGTACCGCTGTTCCACCAGGCGTCGTAGAAGCTTCGATCAGCAAAGTAGGTGACTTCTGCGAGGATGTTGAGAATGGCCTCCCAGATGAGGTACCATCCCATCTGCTTCGTGTCAGTCCCGTACGTATTCTCAAGAGTCCCCGAACCTGAGTTGGCCCGGCCATCGTCGCTCACCAGGTACTCCATCAGGAACGGGAAGACGAGATCGCTCAGAAACCATGGGAAGTAGCGGACGCGCTCGGATAAGGGCATTCCGGTCTCCTTCATGGCCAAGGTCTGCATCACGACGGGATCTATTGACCCATATTAGAGTTGTTGTATTCAACAAGGCTTGTATACCGACGGGGCTGTAGAGCTAGGGAACATGATGAGAGGGGGGGGTGGCTCACAGATGAAGGCCTGTGACACCATGATCATGACAAAGATGATGCCAAACATGGCGGCGGTCTTCTCGGCGACGTAGAACCAGTCAATGGAGTCGGAACGCGGGTACTCGAGCTCGTAGACCAATGTGGGCAAGACGATGTACTCGTAATGGTTCTTGAGGGAAAGGTTGTTGGGGTACGCCCGCACAACGCTCGTCGCTTTGCCCCTCAACTCGTCCGTCAGGCCGTCGACCTCCCACCGGATGATGCGCTCAAACACCCGGATCTGGTCGGCGTCGAGGGGCTCTCCGGATTCGATGGCGTGGGAGATGCGGTCCAGGTCGGTCTGGTAGGAGCGGCGGGCATGAGCGGCGGACTGCCGGCGGACCTCGATCTCGGCCGCGGACGGCGGGTTGGCCAGGTGGGAGAGGGAGACTGTCGACGCGGAGGGGCTGGTGGCGGACCGGCACTCGACGGGAGCGACTTTGTCCAGCTGCTTGAGCTCCGAGAAGAGGGACCTCCGCCGCTTGTAGGCCGAGGAGAGGTGGCCGTTGTAGAAGGCGTACGAGTGCTGCTTCATGAGCATGATGATGGCGTGGAGGACGAAGAAGACGGTGTGTGTCCAGGGCCAGTCCCGGATGAGGGTGAGGCCAACCGCGCTGCCGATAAACACGGACTGCCATATCTGCCATTTCCCCGTGCGTAAGGAAGGCTGTCTCTGTCTGCCGCGAAACGAACGGGGGGGGGACGAGGATTCTCACTTACATTCTGGACGATCCAGCCGAAGCCATCCCAGTCAATGTAGCCGGCGAAGATGAGCCGTTGCAGGATCCAGCTCACGCCGGTGGCGGCGCACATGACGCCGTCGGACGCGAGGAGGACAACCACGTCGCGGCGGAACATGATCTTCATGATGTCGTTGGTGCCCAGCGGGTTCCCCGTCGCCTTCCAGTTGGAGGCGCCGATCTTGACGACGAAGAGCGCCACGGCCATCCAGAACAGCGTGTAGAAGCCGTAAAAGGGGCTGTTGGCCGTCTGCTGGTTCAGCCTGTCAAAGGTGGAAAAGCGGCGTGTGAAGACCAAGTCGCTGAACTTGCTCGGTCGCGTTGGCCTCTTTGGGTCTTTCTCCTGCGGTGCGCTTGTGAGTCGCTGAGGTTTTTTCTTTTGGTTTTTTCTTTTTACCCTCGTCATATCGGCAGAGCAAAAGCTTCTTGGCTTACCCTCTCCAGCCCCCTCCTGACGACATCGCGTAGCTCGCGGTCATCGGGCGATAGGACATATGCCTTGAGACGGCCGCTGTCGTCGCGAAGAAGAGACCCATCGACGCTCGAGGTCTCGGACAAGGTCGAGCCGTCCAGAGACAGCGTCCTGTCACGCTTTGACGGCGTGTTTAGAGGCGGCAATGCGCCAGGACGGGCGGGACGGGCCGGGGCCCGTTCCTCACCTTGTCTTGCAGCCAGCTTCGGGTCGTCGTAGTCCTCCTCGTTTGTACTTTCCGACGGCGTCGTCGAGGTGGCGCGCTCGCCGCTTGTGGCTCTCAGGGCGTCTCGCAACGGACGGGGCGATTCCGGAGAAGCTGACGTTGAGACTTGCATGGGTGCCGGTCAAAAGGTCCTCAAACGCGTCCTTGTTGTTTCGTATTGTAAGGGTGGGGAGCAGTAAGTGAAGCTAACTTTGGCGTACGGCAGACAGTTGGTGGAAAGTAGTACTCAAGTTGGCAGCGCGGGGACACTCTTGGTGATGCAGCAACACTCTTGTGAACCGAACATGTCAATCCCCACAGTCGCTTCTTTGATAAAAAAAATCGTCGGGACCAAGGACGCAGGAGAGTTCAAGTTGTGGCAGGCACGTGTGGGAAATGGAGAAACGATGGGCTTTTTGGGGCCAACGTCGCGATGACTGCTGGTTCGCCCCAACCAGGATGTGTGGCGCGGATGCTGTACGGGTGAGTTTGCTAATGACTCGATGCTATCGAGTATTACCGACTGTTTTCCGCAAGAGAGTAGGTAGAGGAACGAATCGTTGAGTACAGAATATGGAGGTATGCAGAGATGGGATGAAACATGAGCGGATGAAAGATGTGGGCTGGGAGGTGGCAATGATATAGTGTAGACAAATGGCAAGCCAGCGAGCACAGCGTTGTTTGGATTTACGGGCCTGCCGGGGCTTACGCTCGCTCGCGGGTTGTCCGCTTCTGACATGTGTAGATGGAAGAGATGATATGTTCACTGCGGCCGGCGGTTCCGCGGTGTCAGATATACACTACGACGTGAATACACACGGGGCGGGCTCACTCTCGGTTGCAGTTTGAGTTGACTACCACGTAGAGTTTACTAGGTGTTGGGGGAGATGCAGGTTGAAAGTTGTCCGCTGACACACGCGCCCCTCCCGCCTCCTCCGCCGGAGACCGGAGATCAACGGGGAGCCGGGAACGAGGAGGCGGCACCATGTGGATTTCGTGTAAGTGGACTCTGACGAAACCAGCCAAGTGGCAGAGACATGAGTAGGTACCTACGTGTATAGGTCGCAAGCTACCCCATATGTCTCTGTTCGTTGTCTCGGATGCTTCGTTCGGTTAGGTGCCAAGTAGATGTTGGAGAAGCAAGGGAGCGTGACAATCCACTATATATACCGGTATACGTATATATATATATATATATATATATATATATGTATAGTAAAGGCATGTGTTCCTCAAGAGCATGCACGCATCATATGCAGTACCCCTCATGTTTGGTTGTTTAACCCCCAAGCTCGGCCAACGGTGGGTAGATGCGGTCTCTGTGCTGTTCTCCAACAGTATACGGTATGTAAGAAGCCGGAAACGGAAAGAGAGACTCCTCGCCCGGGTCGTCCGTCTGCCGGTGTGTTCATGCAGTGTTCAGACCTTCTATACGGCCCTCTGGCTTGTGGTTGTCGAGTTGCTGCCGAGGCGGCATGTGTTGTGATGCGGCAATTCTTGGTGAGGTGGATTCATTTGGTCGGTCGGTCGGTCTGTTCACCTTGGATAGGGAAGCTGCTGCTATATAGATAGTACTTATACGATGTATATAAAGTAAACTGAACAGGTACAGGTACGTGCGGTAGGGACCTAGGTATAGGTAGGTGGATAGGCAAGTTTCCTTCCTGTCTTTGGCATACCATGACATCACTCCACCCCGATGCCAAATTACCTAAGTAGGTTACCTTGGGTAAAGTACCTACAAGCTTTTTGTAACGTGGGTAGATACCTATGAGGTAAGTAGCTACTACTGTGTACGACGTTGCGGTGAAGACACCTGCCAGCGCAGCGCGTTTCGAGCCTTCTGGAAGCCGAATACGGAGAGAGGACCCAGCGTGCATTCCATTCCACTCAGGAGTATCCGCATACTACGGATACTAGTAGCTACCTACATACAGGACCTGTATCCGTACGGTAGTACCTACGCGCGGGTGCGTGTGTCGTTACGTAAGCCGCCCGGAGTTCACGACGTCCGGGTGCGGTAGGTGCTTCCACCAATCAAACCTGGCCGTTCTGAATCAAGAAATGGGGCTGAGACCTGATTGTGGGTTCGTTCCTCTGTTTCCTCGCCGTCCAAGCTCACTCGCTTGCTGGCTCCCGTCCCGTACCGAAATCTTTTCTGCTGCGTCAGGCCGATCCGACCGACCGACTTCTTTCTTCTCCTCTTCAAACAAAAATCCATCACCAAAAAAACCACCACGCGCATCAAACTTCCCCGTCACGTGGCTCTGTTCCATCAGGCCCTCATCGTCGCTGCATCTCCATCGCGAGACGACACGCCTTCCCTTCTGCTCCTTAGCTAACCAAACCCTTTTATTTCGTTTTGTCCTTGCGAAGCCAAGTCAGCACAGCAATCATGTCGCGCGGTGGCACCACCTTGTACGTGACTGGCTTCAGCCACGGAACTCGCGCCCGAGACCTCGCCTACGAATTCGAACGGTATGTCAACTGAACATCAGAAAACCACTCCCACGTCGATGCCTCCCTCCGTCCTGTTTTCACGGCACGCGAGACCCATTCCGACGTTTCCGATATCTCATCTCCTTGCCTCGCTCGCTCGCTGCCTCCCCGCCCACCGCCTCCGTCCTCCCGCACTCGCTGCTCCTGTCTCCAGCATCAAATATGCTTCCCTCGTCCTCCGTCCTCCGTCCCCCTCGTCGATGCGTCCTGTCCTCGTTCGCTCCGGCTGCCTCACAAACCATCGCCCGTTGTCCGCGCCGCCGTGGCCTGCCAGCGCTCCCGTGGCAGCTCGAACAACACCAGCAGGTTCTGCTATGCCGACGACCCCCGACGTCTTGTCCACAATGACCAAACAAACCGGCTCCCCATGTATGTATCGGCATGCTGACGTTCCGACTTGACGATAGCTATGGACACCTTGTCCGCTGCGACATCCCTGCACCTCGATCGGCCTCCAGCAGACTGTGAGTTCTCTCTCTCCGCTACTCCTTCCCTCCTATGCCAAGCCGGTTCTGACCTTTTCATTGTCAGGTTCGCCTTTGTTGAGTACGAGGACCGTCGCGACGCTGACGATGCCTACCATGAGATGCACAACAAGCGCATCGGCCGTGACGACATTCTGAAGATCGAGGTGAGAAACAGACGCCCAGGTCTCCATGGTCAATGGGTCTTGCATGCTGACGAAGTACGTCCTGTAGTGGGCTCGCACACCTCCTAGTGCGTCGTGGCGATTCGACTCTGGCCGGGATCGTGAGCGCGCTCCTCGCCGCTCTTCTCCTCGTCGTGGCCGTTCTCCTTCTCCCCGACGCAGCACCCGCGACTACTCTCCCAAAAAGGATGACCGCCGGGACCGCGACCGTGACTACGACCGCAGCGACCGACGCGACACTCGCGAGCGTTCCCGCAGCCCTGACCGACGGTCCGTGCTCCCCGCCTCTCCCGCCTGGCAAGGCAAACAAAACAGACGAGCAAGCGATGCTGATTCGAGAACAGTGACCGGGACCTCAAGGACGACCGTGACGACCGAGAACCCCGTGAAAACGGTACCAACGGTGACGACAGGAAGCGTACGTTGTCCCCAAGGACGGAGTTTTGCTTGCAGACACAAGACTGACCTGGACGTCGTCGTAGCCCCGGACAGTCCCCCTCCCGCCCATGACGACCTGGACGTTGCTGCGGAGTGATAAGTATACTTGGCAATTTCTCTTGTCGGGTTGTTGTGTGCGGCTATGCCAAAAGTTTTCTGATTCCCTCTCCCGGTGTCGTACCTATTTTATCATTTGAATCTGGATCTGTAAAGTGTCCTCACCTTCTGGGAGCTTTTTTAGGCTCGATGCGACCGATTCGGCTTGTTCGAGCTCCGCACGCGAGGCCTGGGCCATTCGACACCAAGGCAGCACTCGCGCTGCCAGGCACACCGGAACATCGACCATCGGCGGGATCCCCCCACCCCTCCGCATTCGGCGACGAGCTCGAGACGACGCACGATTTTGGCAGGCGGCCGGTTTGATAGCATTACCCCTATAGTAGTTTAGAAATTGAATGTAGGTCTTTGCGCAAGCACTTGCTCACGCAGCCGTTGTACGTGCGTGACAAGATGGGAGAGTCGTCTCTGTCTCCTCAGCAGCTCAAATGGTATTGGAAATCCGGCCTTGTCGGCACTCGCAGACGAGCCCCGAGAGAAGGGTGCGGTGAAGGTCCGGTGAATAACGATGCCGTGCAGATGGGTAGGTGAGCTTCTTGTATGTATGCAATTCGCCATCCACACCGCGTCTGGCGGCGTCTAGCGTGGCCCGCGTCAAGATGAGCTGTCCAGCCAGCAAGCACACGGTGGTTTGCCCATGTTCTTGAATAGCAGCATTTTGGGCAGGCTGTCGTAGACAAGTCCGTTGTAGGCCATGATTCGTTAGTTTATGGGAGGCGGCTTGGCATCTATCTCCCTGGTTCGTGAAGACGAAGCGGGTCAACGTTTTGACGAGAGCGGAGACATTTGAGGTTCTTTCTTCCTCGGCACAGTCGAGCAGCCAAAAGCTCACTCGCACCCGCACAGGCCTTCAAGGCGTCGTTGGTGAAGCGGGGAAGATGGAGGCGGGGTGTGTGCCCTTTTTTTTCCCCCTGAAGCAACAGAGGAGAGGCGCGCTTGTGGGCGTTGATAGGAACGATCCGGAGGGTTGGGAGGAAGAGGGGGAAAGGGATTCGGTAAAGTGGCTCCGATGTAACCCGGACGAAGCCGAAGTCGAGGTGAGAAAGGCGGCTTCCGGAGCTTGACGGAGGAAAGGACATGTCGGATTAGCAGTGGCTGGCTGGCTGTACCTGGTTGGAGAGTGTGTGATGTGGCTCGTAATCTGACACGGAACGGGGTCGACAAGAGCGGCATTGTTACAAAGTTTTGGGTATTTGGGGCTGCTCCAGTGTCGCAGCATCTCGTGAGGGACAGCTCCTCAAACTGGCATTGGATTCAAGCAGCATTCAAGCCAATGATGGCGCTGATTGTCAGTCAGTCCCGCGGGAGGGTAGCCTCGAGATTTTGGTGGATATTCCTTTCTGTCTCGTCATCTGCCATCCGTCGTACTGTTTGTTCACTGGACCTACTATGTAGGTAGGTAGCATGCGTAGCACTCCCGCGGGCCAGCTGGGGTTATCCAAAGTAGCGGTACGTGACGTCTTTTTTCCCGGTTCGTCTCAAAGGCTGCCCTTTCGGGTTGGAACTGACTCTGTCAGCGGGCAACGGGGATGCCGTGGTTGGTTCCCAGCAGTGTGTCACTTGAGTCTCTTCCTGGTAGGGAGGTTCCGGTACTGGCGCTTGTCCGCCTCACCTACCAGGTACCGTGGGTAGGCAGTGAATGAATGCTAATGGCGCCACTGTCACTAACTGCTCCGTGGGCCTACCTCACTGGTAGCCTTTAGGTACGCTACATATCCGTACACTTACCAAATTTACTAGGTACCAGGTAATTACAGGGAGCTGAGTTACATACTACCACCTAGGTATGGCATCTGCATCTCATCTCTGATCTGCGTCTGCGTCCGTGTCTTGGTCGTCCGGTGTCTGTCACGACCGACCAGCTTGCTAATTCCTTTCTTCTCGCGACCTCGTCTTCCACCCCTCATTGACTGCTTTCCTTCCGCAGTCAACTCAACGGCCTCGGCACAAAACCTCCCCTTTTCTCGAGCTACCCGTTTCGCTGTCCGTCTTTCGGTTCCTCCCCTTCTCCGCCGACCGCATCGACCCTCGTCTCGTCTCCAACCATCTGCGAGCCTCGACCTGTCACTCTTCCCTTTCCCTCGCCTCTGACGACAACAACCCGCGCCTCTACCCAATTATCGTCGACTCGAAGAAGTACACGATTCGCCAGGCAAGCGCTCTTCGGCCCTCTCACCGTCGACGAAGCTTCCTTCCCATCCCGTACGGCCCTTGTTGTTGACCCTACGTCTATCTGCGCCTCAGCCGCGGCATATGGGAGACACCCTTGATCAACACCTTTGGCCGGAGAAAAAAAACCGCGATACGCACTCGACCACCAACACCACTATCGTCGACCGTCCTGACTTGACCACGAGACGCCTCTGATGCTCGGAAAGCCCCCTCTCCCTTGAATACACCCTCGATTATGTCGCCGTCGCTGTTCTCCATCTCCTCTCAGACTTGACGGATATTCCCTCCAGTCTTCTTTTTTGGGTCATTCTTTTTTTTTTTTTTTTTTTTTTTTTTTTTTTGGTTTTTGGGAGCACGCTTCCTCCCCCCCCGCCCCTGCTCCTCCGTCTTTTACCCAGGAGTCGCAAATCTTTCTGGACACACGGCTCCTCCCATAACACCTCCCCGGAACCCTTAAATGCAAGCAACGCCATAGCAACAAGGTGGCTTCAGAGGTTCACCAGTGTGGTCGTCAACCAAGAGTCTTGCGCCTGCACCAAATACGCACATATACCCGCGCTGCTCCTTGACCAGAGCCTGAAGTCATGTCGTCTGTAAGTGTACCTACCTACGTCTAGATTCACCTCTCGCACCGAATCGCCCCTTCCGGCCCTTGCCCCGAGGGTCAGGAGAAGGGGAAAAGAAGGGATAGAACATGTAGCTGACGTCCAATCTTCGCTTGTAGTCCCCGAACAACGCGGCAGGGACTGCCGCAGCTGCTCCGGCCCCGCCCCCTGTCCCGGTTCAGTTCGTCCGCCTTCGCGAAACTGTCTCCCAGCCCGTCGTTGCAGCCTTCTGCGCCGGAGGTGTTGCCGGTGCCGTCTCCCGAACCGTTGTTTCGCCTCTTGAGCGACTCAAGATCTTGTTCCAAATCCAGAGCGTTGGAAGAGATGCTTACAAGCTGTCCGTTGGCCAGGGTCTAGCAAAGATGTGGAGGGAGGAAGGCTGGAGAGGTTTCATGAGAGGCAACGGAACCAATTGCGTCCGCATTGTGCCCTACTCTGCTGTCCAATTCGGCAGCTACAACTTCTACAAAAGGGTGAGTACCAGCCTCTTTGGTGGCCTGGTTCCTTTGCCGGCCCTGGACGGATGCCTTGTGCAACTAGTGCAACTTGCGCGCATGCTTGTGTGAAGGTGTGGGCTAACGGCTTGCAGAGCATCTTTGAGTCGACCCCTAATGCAGACCTCTCTCCAATCGCCCGTCTAACCTGTGGCGGTATGGCTGGTATCACGTCCGTCTTCTTCACATACCCGCTTGACATTGTTCGCACCCGACTGTCCATTCAGTCTGCGTCCTTTGCCGAGCTGGGTCCCAGATCCGAAAAGCTCCCCGGCATGTGGGCCACCATGGTCAAGATGTACAAGACTGAGGGTGGTGTCTCTGCCCTGTACCGAGGCATTATTCCTACTGTCGCTGGTGTCGCTCCCTACGTAAGTGTTTTATCCGCTAGGCAAACACGACCCCGTCCGTCCAGACAGCTCTGACGTTGCATGGACAGGTCGGCCTCAACTTTATGGTCTACGAGTGGGTTCGCAAGTACTTGACCCCTGAGGGCGACAAAAACCCCAGCGCTGTCCGGAAACTGCTGGCTGGTGCTATCTCTGGTGCCGTTGCCCAGACCTGCACCTACCCCTTGTAAGTTGCGTTGAAGATGAAGCCGATGCTGGCCCTGCTGAACAAAGATGATAGCGACGTCCTGCGCCGAAGATTCCAGATCAACACCATGACGGGTATGGGCTACCAGTACAAGTCCGTCACTGATGCCGTCAAGGTCATTATTGCCCAGGAGGGCCTCAAGGGCATGTACAAGGGCATCGTCCCCAACCTGCTCAAGGTCGCACCCAGCATGGCCTCGAGCTGGCTCAGTTTCGAGTTATGTCGTGACTTCTTGGTCTCCCTCAAGCCTGAGGCCGACTCTGAGACGCCCATGTGATGTGGAGGGCGTCGCAAAACTTACTCTACAGGATTCATCTCGGCTCGGCCCAAGCCCTATATGAGCGAGAGGATTATGAAAAAGGGGATCGAGCATGGAGAGGTTGGGTTGTTCTTAGACAGTGGCTCCGTCGGGGCTACAGCGAGGCAGAAAGACTGCCTCTCCGGGTTGGGACTTCCACCCCGGTATTTCATCCATCAGTGTTTCTATAATGTATTACAACAAGACTCGCTCGAGCATTCAACAGGACTGGCAGGAGCTTCCGCTACCTGCGCACATTCACAGCATGGGAGGGCTGAGCCCACGCACCGGCATCTCACGCGGACCGGTGTTGTAGAACCGGCCCAGATAGACCAAGGATTGCCTCAATATAAGACGTGAATCTAGTCTCTTGCACGTTAGTGAAGTCGGTCAGGTTGTTTGACTCGAGGCTATGATGGCACAACAGTGCTTATGGCTCTTATTTTCTCTCTCGCCCCCTCACCCTCTCTCCCTCCCTCTTTTTCCACTCTCCACTATAGGTAGTTGCCATGTTCACCAGCATGAGCGTTTCTGAATTTGTCATGCACTACACCTGGCTCTCACCGAGGAAGAAAACATTGCTGACCGAAGCCTGGCAGGGGGGTCGGTCCTGCTGGCTCCGCCGTGTTTGCTACTGCAGCTCCGAGTCCGACCCACCCCGACCCTGACCCAGTCTCGATCTAGCGGGCCCCACATGCAAATTCATTGATCCACTCGCAAATAACGACCCATGATTGGCTCATTTTCCACTTGCACTTTGCCCTAAGCCCACACAGCAGGATTTTTTTTGTGCCGTGCAGGAAGGGGCCGTAATTGTGGCATCCCACCTCGGAAATCTCTTGAGAGTTTTCCCTTTGCAACACGACGACGACAACATCACGGCCGCCCATTTGACTCAGTTCGCCAACTTCGGGAGTCTTTCGACAAAATGGGTACGTAGGAACTCCCATTCCAAGCCTTTACATGCGAGTGGATTGTGCACGCGGATTCTTGTTTGCCCTGCTTCTCTCGGTCCCTCGTCCACGACGGATGCGTTTCGAGAGCAGATGGAACTGAATCCTGCTGTTGCTATTCTGCGAACTGGGCGCGCGGACAAAAGAAAGATCCTCTCCTCCCACCAAAGATGAGATTGCTTCCACGTCTCCTGCGCTCACGCGGGAGCCTGTGGCCAGGCTTTCTCTTCCGCCGTGGTCGACGGATTGATGGACTCCCGCCTCATTCAGAGCATGCTTGAACCAAAAGGCTGACGATGGGCTCTTCACCCTGATTATAGGTATCGATCTCGACCGCCACCACGTGCGCAGCACGCACCGCAAGGCTCCCAAGAGCGACAATGTCTACCTTAAGCTCTTGGTGAAGCTCTACCGCTTCCTGACCCGTACGTATTGTCCCCCCCTCTTGACTGGCTGGAAACGAAAAAAGGAACAACAAAAAAAAGGAACCTGCCATCGGGTATCATGAAGTGAAGGAGAGGAATGGAAGACATGTGCTAACGTCTCAATGCCAGGTCGCACTGACGCCAGCTTCAACAAGGTCATCCTGCGCCGCCTCTTCATGTCGCGCATCAACCGCCCTCCCGTCTCCATCTCCCGCATCGTCGGCAACTTGAACAAGGACGACAAGCGCACCATCGTCATCGTTGGTACCGTCACTGACGACAACCGTCTCCTGACCGTCCCCAAGTTGACCGTTGCCGCCCTGCGCTTCACCGCCACCGCCCGTGCTCGCATTGTTGCCGCCGGCGGCGAGGCCATCACCCTCGACCAGCTTGCCCTCCGCGCCCCCACTGGCAGCAACACCCTGCTGCTCCGCGGACCCAAGAACTCCCGCGAGGCCGTCAAGCACTTCGGCTTCGGTCCCCACAAGCACAAGGTCCGCATCCCCCCTTGCCCCGCGCTGCTGCTTCTGCTGCTGCTGCAGCCCGGCCCCGGAACGTATACTGACACACTCTGCAGAAGCCCTACGTCGAGTCCAAGGGCCGCAAGTTCGAGAAGGCCCGTGGTCGCAGACGCTCGCGCGGCTTCAAGGTCTAAGCGTTGGTGGCCATCACCATCATCACTCGGATCTCTACCACAAAAACTATCGGGGTTGGTCGTGCGCGCTCGCGTCGCGTTGGTGGACACGCTATGGTATGCCGGCGGGGATGGGAATCATCCGTCGTGCTCTACAGGGAACTTTTTTTCTGCATGGTACTGGCGTGTTTAGGTATCCAAAAACAAAGAATTGACGACTACGAACTTTCTCGCATGGCGTCGAATGGCATCTCTTGAGCGGTCGTTCAGGCCGGCATTTTTTTATTTCACACTTCACACACATCATCAATTGGCACTCGTTTGTGATGTTGCATGTGTGTATATGTTCTCAAAGCGATACTTGTTGCATCTCTGTTGATATATCTCCAAGCGGGTAGGGGGGAGCTCACAAGACTGACACTGGAACTCGTGACATGCCTCCCATGACCTCGGAATACCTCAAACTCATTACAATCTCTAATCCCTTTCCAACTCCACGTTGCCCTTCCTCCTGAGCGCCACAAAGTATGCCTCCTTGGAGTCCTGTAGATTGTGTCAACGTCAGAACCAAGAGTCAAAGACTTGGCAGCGGGTCGGTGGCCCAGAAACATACGCTGCGCGACGACTCGGGCTTCTCCCGAAAGACTTTGGCGAACAGCGTCTTGAGCTTCTTCTCGAACTCCCTGTCCTCGGAGCCCTGGTAGAACTTGCAAACAAAGTGCCCGCCGTTCCTGAGCGTGTCGTTGGCGAACTGGAGCGCGACGCCGCAGAGGTCCTGATGGTTCGTTTTTCTCAGTCAGTCGAATTCCGGCGGGGGGGGGGGGAGAGAGCAAGGCGCACCATGCTGCCGGCGTGGTCTCGAAAGGCCATGCCGCTCGTGTTCATCATCCTGCTATAGGGATTACTAAGACTGTTCACGCCGAAGCCGGATGTTTGGTCCCAAGGTGCTGACATGTCACTCAACACAACCTGCCCGCGTTGGTTAGCCCATGCTCATGTGGAAGGGGGCTGATGCAACAATCGAGGGATGCGCAATACTCACGTCCACCAGCCGCCCCTTCTTGGCCTCTGCCCCGTTGGCGGCATTCGGTGGCGCCTCCGCCTCTGCAACGGTCTCGGACGCCGCCCTCTCCATGTCGATGTAGCTTGGTCTGTCGTCCATCACCGCGTCCGCGTCGTCCTGCTGGTCCTCCTCCGACGACGGCGGCGGCGGCGGCGGCGGCGGCGAGGATGACTTGCGACTCTTGGCCCTCGAAAGGTACTCCTTGACCATGTCCTGAACGTCGGGCGAGAGAAAGTTGCCCTGAATCGTTGAGACGCCCTTGGGCGGCTGCGCGGGGATTATGTCGATGCCGAGGATCTGGCCGTTGGGTTTCGTCCGCTCGACGGCGACCTATTTTGTCACATCTAAACGTCATGAACCCGACCTTTTGGCGGGAACGCGCCGGTGAGTTTCGCGCCTGGGAGGGGTTCTTCATACCTGCGACCAACTGCCTGGGGCGTATCCCTTTCGAGAAGAAATTAAATATCAGTCTCATCTCCTCTTCATCAAGAGGGTTTCTTCTTCTGAATCACACATGTGAGCACATACCAGGTCCACAACCGTCTGTCCCTTGCGGAAGAGTTTGTACTTGGCATCCATCTGTGGATATAGATCAGCTGGCCGGCTTCAGAAAGTTATGGGTTCGCGGAATACTCGTACCTCGAGAAGCTTGAACGCAGCCCGGCTCTTGAGCCCCTGCACCTTGGCCTCGCGCGCAAACATGTCCCTGCCCTGCCTCATCTTCCACCGCGAGTTAGACGATGATGCCCGCGTCTGGCGACTGGCAGCGAGGTTGATTCGGCACTGCAGACACCCAGAGACTGCATTCATGGTCGTTTGACGCTGCGTCACGCCCAACAGAGCGCGACATGCTGCCGCTTTTGACATGGTGCCGGCAACGGGGGTAAGATTGAAGAACACGAGGATGATGGAATTGGCCCTCCCCCTCTCCACACAGACCACTTTGGGTAGAAGATTTTGAGGCTTTCTACGTAGAATAATAAGAAAAAAAACCTGCGATACAGGTCGGAATTCGATACTAATCAGTGTGGGGGGGATTCGCTGCCTCCGTCAAGACGCAAAGCATGAGATGAGAATCTTAGATGCTGCAGTGAAGCTTCTGCAAATGAAGCTGGGCCGAGAAAGTTGATTGGTCCAAGCTCCTTTCACCGTACCGTACGACCAGGGGGGGTCCTGTCTGTATGCCTATCTGCCTGTCTGTCTGTATTCGACCAACTCCAACCTCGAGTCAGAACTTCTCAACCGTCTCATCACAATGGATCGGTCTCTGATTCAATTGTTCGCTTGATAACCTCGGCGTGTCAAAATGCAGCTGGTTGGGCCTCTTCAATTGATCAGAACCAACCCTATCTGTACACCGGCCTCGTTCAGAAACCCTCCTCCCCCCAAAAAAGCAACCCAAAACGCCACCCATGCATTGTCCTGTATGCCCTTGTACGCCTTCTTCATAAGCCGGGAAACCCAGGCATAACCTAGCCTCATGCGCATGTAAATGCAAGGGTACAAAAGCTCCTTACGCCAGGAAGCTCGCACCAACTCCCCTCTTGTCCTTCTTGAGCGGCGAGAACGTCTTCTTACCGAAGGCGCCGGCATTACGCACCATGGTCAGGTGGGTCTTGCCGAGAGCCTTTCCGGCACCCAGGGCAGCCTTGCCGGGCCGCTTAGTAGGAGCAGGAGCAACCTCGTCATCGTCGTCAAACAGGGTCGCCGTATCACCGCCAAGCTTGCGTTTCTTCTTCTTGGCTTCCTGATCGCCTCCTCCCACGGCGGTAGCCGCAGGTATAGTGGCCTTCTTGCCGGCGCCGGCAGCCTTTGGAGGCGCTGCCTCCTCTTCACGTTCGCTTTCGGCCTCTTCCGGCACTTGCTCGAGAGATGAGCTCGCCTTGGTCGAGGGCTTGCTAACTGCAGCCGGAGCCACCTGCACAGGCACGTTCGTAGATGCCTCGGCCAAAGCCTTCTTGGGTCTGCCACGAGGCTTCTTCTCTTTGCCCTCGGTCTTGGCTTTCGACTTGGCCTTGATGGCCTTGGCAGGCTTCTCCTCTGGTACTTCAGCCTCCTCACCCTCCTCCTCATCCGCTTCCTCGGGCTCAGCCTTGTCGTCCACATCTGGTTCGGCCTCAACCTCAACCTCCTGAGACTGGGACTGATGGGAAAGCGGAATATAGCTAACATCAGCCGCGTCCTGTTCTTCATCCTCCTCGGCAACTGCATCTTCAACGTTGAGCGTCTTGGACTTGGCTAAGAAGGGCGTGATGGAGAACAGCGACTTCTCGCCCAAAAGAGACTGCTCAAGGCCCTTCTTCTTAGCAGGGCGTCTGCCGCGAGTGATATCTTCCGGAGTTCCGATACTCATGTCGTTGATGGTGAGTTCCTCGACTCTTCGCTTCCGGCCAGCCTGCGCTTTTGCGCCTCCAGCGCGTGCAGCGGGTTGCGACTTTGTTGCGGCCACCGGCCGGGCAACCAGTTCTGCGCGAACTGCCTTGAGCTCTTCCTGCGTGTTCCGGAGCTTGGACTTGACCGTGTCGAGACGTTGCTCGAGCATTTCGTTCTGGGCCTGGGCTTCTGACAGAGCGACCTCGCTCTCCTTGCGCATCTTCTCCCTCTCCCGCTTCTCGGCGGAGAGCGTCTTTTCGAGCTCTTGAAGCTTCTTCGTCAGCTCGCGCTCGACTTTTGAGTTGGTCTGTTCCGCCTTGGCAGCGGATACGGCCGCCTCCAGCTCTTCCTGCAATTGTTCCTTCTCACGCTTCTCGGTGGTCAACTTCTTTTCGGCATCCTTGAGTTTACGTCGCAGCTCTTCTTCGGTCGTCTTGTCGCCCTCCGCCTGGGCCGCCTGTTCTTCTCGTGCTCGTTTCACGGCGGCCAGCTCCACTTCAGCCATGTTGAGTTGACGTTCCAATTCTAGCTTCTCGGCGATTGCGTTTTGGTGGTGGGCGACTTGCGACCGCAGGTGTTCTAGTTCGGGCTTCATGGTGTTCACCTCTCGGGATAGAGCGAGCTTCTCGGCCAGCACCTTGGTCGACTCGTGGGACATGCTATTTAAAGATTCGAGTTCGGCCTGGCACGCTCAGAGTTAACACGGCTCGTCAAAGGCCAGGGGATCGATCCCGGGTAAGCGTAAACCAACCTTGATGTGGTCGAACTCCCTTCTCTGGGCTTTCAGCTGTGTTTCCTGGTCGCGGTTTGTCGCCTTCAACGAGTCTAGGTCACTGCGCGCCTGATCGAATTTGTCGGAGAGTTGGTTGATCTGAGATTCCTTCTCGGCAAGCAGCTCGCGCAATGTCGAGTTCTCGTGAAGGAGAACTTGTTTGGTGACCTTTTGTCTTCTCGTGTCCTCCTCCTTGACAATGAGCTGGGCGATGTGTATGTGTCTCTGGTGCTTCATCTCCAGCTCGTGAGCCGCCGCCATCCGCTGCACACACCGGTGGTCAGAATGGGTCTCGTCGCAGCGAGTATCACTGCTCGAAGATTCAATCACTTGCCTCGTCCGATTCCATGTTCCTCGTTTTGCAAGGCATTGTGGGAGTTGGTTGTGTGTGTGTGTGTGTGTGTGTGTGTGTTTCTGCGCGTGGGCGCGACGAGACGTTGGGGTTAAGTAGCCAACCAACAGCGAAGGAATACGTTCCAGTACCGAGGGAATTAGGCACAGATTCTGTATCGCAAACAGAGCGCGAGGTCCTTAGGGCCCGTACTGGTGTCGTTCGAGATTGGCGATGTCGATGTCAGGATGGGGTTGGTGGATGGGTGGCGTTTGCGGATGGATTTGGAAATGGAGGTCGAGAAGGTAAACATGGTTCCCAAAGCGGTTAGCCCGTCAACCAACGGTGTGAGCCCCCACCCCACTCCACCCTAGGCAGCATTGCCCCACTGTGTCTTTGGCACTCCCCGGACAGGACAAAACAATTTCCGGCCCCGGGCAAGCTTCGGCTCCGTGTCCGGTACGTACTCGTTCCCCCAGCTTGTAACACAACTCCACTGTGTGTGGGCTGTCAATCGCTGATGAGAGCTGTCCAGTTCGAGCTCAACACCACGGGACGGGACCTTTATTGTTCAGTGTGATCCTGACGACAACGATCACCACCACCACGATAACGAACACATCCGCGGCGCACCCATTCGTTACGCTTGACAACTCCACCGCCACAGAATACGAAGGCCAATTGGCCACGGACTCTGCACCGCAAACCACTATTCGATTGCTACCCCGTCTACCATTTCAAGCCCCTCAAAATGCATTTCTTCCGCTCTCTACTGGTCGCGACCAGCTTCGCCGCCGGTGCCTTTGCAACCAAGAAGACCCCCGAGGAACGCTTCAAAGAATACCACACAAAGGCTCTCAGCTCGTCCCCCATTAAGCTTGCCGACAGCAGCTACAAGGCCTTGACCTCGGCACCTCGCGATTACACTGTCGCAGTCCTTCTGACTGCCCTCGAGAACCGCTTCGGTTGCCAGCTTTGCCGGGAGTTCCAGCCGGAATGGGATCTTCTGGGTAAGACCTGGATCAAGGGTGACAAGAAAGGCGATTCGCGCCTTCTCTTCGGTACTCTGGACTTCTCCGACGGCCGCGAAATCTTCATGTCGGTATGTGTACTCGCGAAGAAGCCACTGCACAGCTGCGTCGCTAACACAATCGTCACCTAGCTCGGCCTCCAAACCGCCCCCGTCCTGCTTCTATTCCAGCCCACCGTCGGCCCTCACGCCGTCCCTTCTGCGGACCCCCTGCAGTACGACTTCACTAGCGGGTGAGTTGAACTCTTGCAGGAACTGCTGTGGCTCTCCGTGAAGCTAACAAGCAATAGACCTCAGTCTGCCGAGCAGGTCCATGCCTGGCTTACACGGCACCTCACCGGCCGTCCTCACCCCCCCATGACGCGCCCCATCAACTGGATGCGCTTAATCTCCGTCACTACCATTGTTCTTGGTGCCGGAACCGTCCTCGTCACTGCATCGCCCTACATCCTCCCCATCATCCAGAACCGCAACCTGTGGGCCGCCATCAGTCTCATTGCCATTCTGCTCTTCACCAGCGGCCACATGTTCAACCACATCCGCAAGGTCCCTTACGTCGCCGCAGACGGTCGTGGTGGCATCAGCTACTTTGCCGGTGGCTTCCAGAACCAGTTTGGCCTCGAGACGCAGATTGTTGCCGCCATTTGTATGTTCCCCCCACCCCCCCTTTTCCCAATGGTTGTTTGCTCCTCCAAAACTAACAAAGTTTAGACGGCGTCTTGTCTTTCTGCGCCATCTCTCTTACCGTCAAGGTCCCTCGCATCGGCGACAGCAAGAGACAGCAGGTCGCCGTCTTGGCCTGGGGCGGCGTCCTCTTCCTCATGTACAGCTTCCTCCTCAGCGTGTTCCGCATCAAGAACGGCGGCTACCCCTTCTCTCTGCCCCCTTTCATGTAAGGAGGTACGAGACGGCCCGGCAAAACTGGAGGCAACTCTCACGCGAGCAACGGCTCATCCCATTCTCATTTTGAGTTGCTTCCGCTCCGTTGGCGTTCGCCGAGACAGCCATCCCTTGTGGCCACTAAGGCCAAGTGTCCCCGGAGACACGAATGTAACATAGAAGATAGAGGGGCCGATCAAGGCTCTTAGAAACGGGCGTTGGACCAAAAAAAATTGTTACTAAAACGAATACACTGAGCTTTCCATGGCGCTCACCGCCCTGCAGTACCCGTGACGAACTCAAGTTGATCATTGTAAGCTCGACCAGCTCATTGAGACGCTGGTTTGCCTATAGGTAGTCTGGCGGGTCGCTCGCAGGTGAGACCGTTGGTATAAGCCATCTACTACGCCAAGCATGCTTACCGTTCCCAATTTGGTCGATTAACGCGGTATGCTCAAAGTGTCTCGACATCGTGACTATCTACGCGAATGAACGACAACTCATCCACTAAGAACTCTCTAACTACTTGCCTGTACTCTCATGGCATTTGGCCAAGCTCGGGAAATTTAGCCGGACACACAAGGGGAATTGAAGCTCAGCACCGGCACCCGACATTGGTTGTCGATTTGGGACCTACGGCCCTGGGCCGCAACAGTGTGTTTCCTCATGGGCAGGCAGCCCACGCGTGCCTTCCAGGATGTACAACCCATGGCTACTACAAATGTCTTTTCGTGGCATCTCACATGGCGTTCTGAGGGCGGAGACGCAGCAGGAGTTGCTCCCGTTACCTTCTCGCCAAATCGATGACGGAGTAAGGGTTTAAACAAATTACATATCTGCCGAAGCTAAGTGATGAGAAAACAGACACGTTGGTCCGTCAGCTTACTCTTCTTCTGGTTCCCGATTCGATGTCTAAGCTATAGAAAAATTACGGGCTAGCCTACGAAGTGGCTTGTCGATTCGATATTGTAGCTCATATACTATGTATGCACTTTGGCCGTCATCATCGCACTAGACAGCCTCACCCCTTTCGTTAATCAAGAGCCCCTTCAACAACATCACCAAGAAGCAAAGGTATCTCCCTCATTGGGCCTGGCTTCTCATTAAACTGGCCGACGGATGGCGAGATGATGATGCCACTGCCTACAGTGACACTATTGCCAACATAGGACGTCTCGAGCCTGCCATCTTCGACGTCCCGTGCCGCCACATCCTCGGCGTCGTCATTTACGACCTCCCCGATCACGACTGCGCTGCTAAGGTGAGCTCAAGGTTGGCCAACTGAGCCGGTACAAGAAGGAGCACAACGACCCCGCCGTCGGGATCCTCAAGGCTCACACCAAGACGGCCTTTGGTCTCGTCACCGAACCCGACTCGCTGCCCAGCCTCGTCACCAAGCAAGCTGTATGTCCCCTATAGCTTCCTCCCTCTTCTCCCCCCCTTCCCTTCCTTTTATTTCAGTGGCGCTTCAGCCGGACCTCTTCTCCCTTCTTCTCGACCCAGATGCTCCAGAAGTCAGCCTCGAGCTCGCCGACGCAGTCGTGTGGGTCAAGCCCGGCGGCGAGTTCGACGGCACCAACGACTCGAGCACCGTCCGTTATGGCTCGTTCTGTGGCAAGCTCGATGCCTACAAGACGTCGTCCGAGGCTGGTTGCTGGAACCAGGCCTGCCTTGAAATGCTTCCCAAGAACGCCGAACCGTCCTCCTAGGCGAATAGATACACCGTTCCCTCGGCACGGCGACAACAGTCACGAGGTGAAAGCCAACAGGGAGATGCAAATCCAAAAAGGTTGCGTTTGGTCGAGGCACTTGCTCCGCCCCCAAACGTCTCCTTACCCTACCTACCTACCTACAGGTGGTCAAAATACATTCTCCATCAGTGTCTATCTAGCCTCAAATCAACAATCAAGCAGTTAATGGCTTGTGAGTCTACCAAGACGGGCCCGGAAACATACCCTTCACATTTGACGGGATCCAAAATAACCTTGACTGCGTGAGGATAATAAGGGGTAACAACCACAGGCTTGGCTTGGCCTTCACCCAATCAATACATACACATGATGGAACACACGTGGTTGCTTTGCATTCTCGGACATGATCCCGAGGACAAGGGCAAGGGGGGATCCGAGCATGGCTTCACATCACAACCATCACTCTGGAAAGGGGGTTACCCATTGGCGTGTGCGCTGACCAAGTCAACATCACAATGTGAACGAGAAACACGGTTAATTTTTTTGAAGTTTGCCAGGATCTTTTGATTTGGGCGTTACGTGGGTTGATGTCCAGAGTCCTTTCGTAGGCTACCTATAAGCCAGCAATGCAGTCTCATCCCCAATTTTTTTCACAAATCGATTTGACCCTGCGCATCCCGAAAGACATAACGAGGAAGCCAGCCTAGGACGCCCGCCATGATCTACCATCTCAGAGCCCTTTCCCCACCACACATCGTCACCATCATCGCATAACCCAGAAAGAGAACAGAAGAGAGCTTCACGCCCTTTATGCTCTCGACATGACACCCCAGGCACGGATGATGTTGTCGGTGTAACCGGCGAACAGGGTCTGGCCGTCGGCGGACCAGGCCAAGCTCACGCACTCAGGCTCACGGCTCTTCTTGCCGACAGCGGTGAACTCGGGCTTGAGCTCATCAACCTTGCTCTTCTTCTCGAGGTCGAAGATGATGATGCTGCTGGCAGTGGCAGCGCAGAGCCAGTAGCGGTTGGGGGAGAAGACGAGGGCGTGGATCTCGTCGTTGGCGTTGAGGGAGTAGAGGTGCTTGGACTCGTTAAGGTCCCAGAGCATGGTGGTACCGTCCTTGCCACCGGAGGCGCAGAGGGAGCCATCGGGGGAGATGGTGACGGTGTTGATGTAGCCGGTGTGGCCGATGTGGTCAGTCTGCAGCTTGCAGGTGCTGAGCTCCCAGACCTAGAAATTGCCGCTTTGTTAGTCTGACTAGTCCGGTACAAGACGTTTCTCCAGAGGGGGCGAAAACGGGTTTGGGTGTGCGAGATCAGTGCATTGGTGAATAATGGTCTCATGGCCTGCAGAACAGGCTCTGAAGTAGCAAATACTTTTGGTTGCAAAGCATCATGTCGAAGTGGAGGGTGGGATCCCTTATTTTTTCCTTTTTTGCAGTACAAGGGAAAAAAAAAAAGGGACATGTAAATGGGAGGGTATTCTCAAACTGACCTTGACGAGCTTGTCCCAGCCGGAGGAGACAATGACGGGGTTCTGGGGGTTGGGGCTGAAGCGGACGCAGGAAACCCACTCGGAGTGACCCTTCTCGGAGATGGTGTACTTGCAGTCACCGAGGGTGTTCCAGAGCTTGATGGTGCGGTCGCGGGAGCCGGAAACGATTTGTCTGTTGTCGGCGGAGAAGGAGACGGACAGAACATCGTTGGTGTGGCCGACGAAGCGGCGAGTGGTGGTGCCGGTGGCAAGCTCCCAAAGGCGGAGAGTCTTGTCCCAAGAGGCAGACAGGGCGTAGGCGCCGTCCGAGGAGATAACCTGTTCCTTTCCATCAGCCCATGATTCCCAACGATCCAGCAGGAGCTGGGAGTTTCCCGCGAGGTTCGGATGGGTTCGAGAGACGTACGCAGTCGGAGACGATGTGGGAGTGGCCCTTGAGAGAGCGCTTGGGGTAACCGTACTGGGACTCGTCACGGGTGAGGTTCCAGATGATCAGAGTCTTGTCACGGGAAGCGGACAGGAGCATGTTGGGGCTGGCGAAGTGTTAGCGACTGTCGTTCTGTTTCCCAAAAATGTCTCGCGGCCCCGCGCGGCCATCTCTCTCTCCCCCTCTCTTTCCGTGCCGAGAACTCGATGTCGGATGCCGAATTCGAAAATTCCCCATCTCTTGTCGAGATCATCGCCGGTAAAGGAGGATTTCGGAGCGAGGGAAGAGGGAGGAGAAGGATAGGAAGGTGGTGGTCGTACTTCTCCATGGAGGTAGCCAGGCTGGTGACCCAGCCATTCTGAAAATATGCATCAACCGTCAGCGATTGCGAAAATTGCCAAAAAAGCGAAGCGAATCGCAGCGTCAGCGCCCAACGCCAGCGACGGCGCGGGCGCAAACGGCGTGCGGGCAGGCGACGGGACAGCGACTTACGTGGCCCTCGAGGGTACCCTTGAGAATCAACTGCTCAGCCATTGGGAAATGAGGCAATCAGGTCGATTGAGTGGTGAGGGAAAGGTAGAAAGATTGGAGTTGATTCTGAGCGTCACACCTTTGACCCTTGAGCTTGCTGAGAATTCCGGATTTTGGGTGTGGGTGGGAAAAATTAGCAAACTTCGGTTAGGGCCTGGCAGGTGGGAAGGGGCGACGCAGCCTTGCGTTAAGCCAGGTGGGGCTGGAGCCAATGGGTGATGCCCGTGGCTGCGCCGGGACTGGCGAGGCTGACAGGACCCGCCGCAAATTGTTCCAGACAGAAGTTGCATGTCACTTGCTGCAGGGGGCTCTTGCAGAATGAGACTTGGGTCGGTAACAAGTAGTTTTTGCTAGGTACTATTCTTCTTCTTCTTCTTCTTCTTCTTGTTGTTGTTGTTGATGTTGTCGTTATTGTTGATTGTCTTGATTTTTGTTTCCTCTCTCTGTCTCTTTGTTGAGTGTCACGACCGATCATGTATGTGCGATGCTCGTCCAATCTCTACACTCTGCTTTGCCTGCCTCATAGCCAACCCCATGGCCTACCGCCGCTCTAGAGCAAATGATCATCCATCAGCGATGTATGCAGTTTCAGACGGAACTCGAGAGAGCAAGTCGCACATCATCATTCGTGAGGGAGGGTGCCCGTCACTCTAGTGTTACTCACGTGAAGCCTCATCGCATTCGAATTGTTCATGATTGCTGTCAATCCCGACCATGTTATCGCCCATATTCGGACTGTTGTTTTCTTTTCCCGCTCCTAAACCCCGATCACGATGCCCTTCCTCAACTATGCCATCGCTGTATGTATGGTACGCTTCGAAAATCCATGACGCTAAGGTAAAAACGACACCGCCGATGTGCCAACCCCTCGTCAAAAGTGTTCTTGTGCGGCTCGCAATTGAACGCCCCAAACGCCTTGCTGAATGCATGTCCCGTTTTCCAGAATAAAGAACCTTGGTGGCCTCCTATCATGATGGCCACGGCCCAATGCCACCACTAGTCCACCAAGTAGATGCCGTTCAAAATGTGTGACCTGGACGTGGTCGCCGTCTCTCCGTCTGTGTCTCGCCTCTTGGTCTCACCCGGCGGAGGAGCACCGTGGCCTCGCGTTTGACTGCGCGCATGGTCGGACGATTAGCTTTGGCCGGCGGCTCGCTTGCTCTGCCGCTGCACCTCTCTGCGCAGATGGCGCGCATCCGAGTTGACAATCATGCTATGATCAGCAATCTCGAGTTGCCCTGATGCGCCGCCTTCCTTCTTGACGAAGCCCTCCATGGCGGCTGCCCATAGCGAGTATCGCTCCTTGGTCATCGGATCCCGCTCCGACAAGGACCTGATTTCCTTCTGCTTTCGGACCTTTGCCGCCCGCACCAGGCCTCGGAGGGCCTCCTCTCCCTGCTTGGATGCCTTTGCTGCTTCTTCCCTCGTCTTCTGGGGGTCCCGCCCAGTGTCGTCCTCTTGAGGAGTGTATTTATAGGTATGCTTGCTGGGGAAATCGGGAAATGATTTCGGTATGTACGACTTGGCTTCTTTCTCGGGCTTGCCGCTCAGCTCGTCGCCGAGGAGCGGTAAAGTTGTGTAGGCGTCCAGATCCTCGACCAGCGGGTTAAAGTATTCCGTCTCAAGCTTGGCCTTTGGTACGGGATGGCGGATATGGGGCTTGAGCACCATGGTCTTGAGGGTGAAGCGTCGCATCGTGGACTCGAAGTCGGCCGGTGTTGGCTGCTCACGGCGCGCAGAGAGAGCGACGCGTTTGAGGTCTTGGATAAAGGAGGCCATGTCTAGAGCAATGTTAGCGCCCCATGAATGCGAGGCGATGTCAAGCAAGCGCTGAGACAAATCTTACACGTCTCTACCGTCCCCAGAAAGCCCTCCATGGCTTCGGGGGTAGCAGCATCAAAGCCGACATGCTGCAATGCTAGTCCGATGCTTCGTTCGAGGCCGCTTTTCGCCTGGTAGTCGAGAGAAGGAATGGTGACTTTGGTGGCGCAGGGAAGGGAAGGCTCGTCGCTGCCGGCAACGACTGCGGGCACGGGCGTCGGGGTGTTGGTCTTTTGGCGCTTGCTGCTCGACTCTTCATCTAGACCGGAAGAGCCGCGCTTGAGCGGGGTCATTGTCGATGTCGGGGGCGAAGGCGTCGTCGACGACATGGTGGGATGCGAAGGAAGTAGAGAGAGAGAATGGGAAGCCGCACGGGGCGAGGGAGGACTGTTGAACGGTGTGGGCTACCAGACGCGTTGTTTGGATAGAGCGCGATGGCGGCGACGACGGCGGCGGCGGTGGAGATTGATCACAGATTGATGCCGCGGCGATGCAACGAAGAAGGAGGGCGACAGGTTGACGGGGAGTTCGCGCGAGATCGTTTGGGCATTGAAGCAATTCAGTTGCAGCTATCGCGCAGGAAGGTGCCGCGGACGAACGGTACGTACCCCCTGCTTATGCTCGAGAAATTTGGGAGTGCAGCTCGGACCACCCGATTGATTTGACTGGCTGCAGGCAGAGTGTCGAGGTCGAGTACCTAGGTACCTACATACCTCCCCAGATCCAGGAACCGCCCTATAACTAAGTACGTTCCCTCCGCTCGCCGGGGTGGGTGTGCATCGTCTCCATCTCTTGTTAGTCTGATCACTTCAACTCGTCAACTTTGTTGACTTGGTCTCTTAATACCTAGCTACCTAGATAGGTAGGTAGGTCGGTAGGTCGGTAGCCAGGAAACTCATTTAATAGGCGTGCGTCCATTCCAGCTACTTACAAGGCCATATAACTGTCTTCTTCAGGGTATGCTTCCTCTCCTCTTTACCGGCTCTCTCATTTGCTAGATGAACGTATCCGTCCCCCATTGATGCATGTCATTGCCATGCGTTTTCTGTGACTGGAAAAGTCTCGATCTTCTGTTATCCTTCATTCTTCACTCTTGATTCCTTATCGTCTTTGTTACACGTGTACTCGACATTGGTTCGATCAATTTAAGTGAGACCCATCTAGGGCGACTGCGGGCTGTGCTCAGTTATCTTATCTGTCTGGTCTGGTTCAAGCGCCTTTGTTCCTCCCTTCTCAACTACCTCATAGGTCGTTGTTGGACTTCACATTTCATGCGTCTCACGCATTCGGCGGAGTAGTTTTCAAAATCTCGATATTGCAACAGCTGTCTGCACCTCTTCGGGTTTCAAGTTTTCCAATATCCAAGCCAAGCAAGCAAGCATACTCGCAGTCGAGCCCGGCTACGGCTCAGGTAACCCTCGCACCCCCAACATCTGTTGACTGCTCGATCGAGACGATGCAAGATTTGGAAACTCTGCGAAATGGAGGCTATCGCGGTCAAGGTCTCCAGAAACTCAAACTCTCAGAACCCTTGAACGGATTCCCCTGCGAGATCCTTGACCTGGCCGATACCCTCGAGCATCTTGATCTCTCAGGCACCGGGCTCTCGACCCTGCCCGAGGACTTTGGCCGATTGCAGAAGCTCAAGATCGTCTTTTTCTCAGATTGCCATTTCACCGTCTTCCCCGCGCAGCTCGCCGCATGTCCCGAGCTCGAAATGGTGGCGTTCCGATCCAACGGTATGATCACCATACCGGAAGGTGCCTTGCCGTCCAAGCTCCGCTGGCTCATTCTCACCAACAACCGCATCGAGGCACTGCCCAAAGACATCGGTCGCTGCTCGCGTCTCCAGAAGTGCATGCTCGCTGGCAATAGCCTCACCGCTATTCCCAAGGAAATGTCGGCGTGCCGTAAGCTCGGATTGCTTCGTCTGTCCGCCAACAACTTGGCCGACTTGCCGCCCTGGCTCTTTGAGATGCCCGAGCTCGCCTTTCTATCCGTTGCTGGCAACCCATGCTGTGCAGTGAGCCTTGACGAAGAGCTCGCCCTACTTCGCAAGGTGGGGTGGCACGACCTTGAGATTGGGGGCTTGCTCGGCCACGGAGCTTCCGGCGACATCTTCAAGGCGAGGTGGATAGTGGCAGATTCGGTGGTAGAAGAGGTCGCCGTGAAGCTGTTCAAGGGAGAGGTGACGAGCGACGGAACGCCTCTCGACGAGATGGCCGCATGCCTGGCCGCGGGCTCCCATGACAACCTCATAAGCACTCTGGCGAGCATTCAGGGACACCCGGAGAAGCACGGTCTCATCATGCAGCTCATTCCCTCCCATTACCAGACTCTAGGCCTTCCACCTTCACTGCAGACCTGTACTCGAGACCGATACGAGACCGAGAAGCCGCTGTCTCTCGAGGCCGTCTTGGAAATCTTGAGCGGGGTCGCCGCGGCTGCTAGTCACCTCCACAGCCGGAAGGTCTCCCACTGCGATCTGTACGCTCACAACATCCTCTTCGACGATACCGGGCATGCTCTGCTCGGCGACTTTGGCGCGGCGACAATCTACCAGCACCTCGACGGGCTTGACTTTGAGAAGTTGGAGGTGCTCGCATTCGGCCATCTTGTGGAGGACATGCTTCGGACGACCAATGTCACAGAGGAGGATGGTAAGGGGCAGAGGTCGCTTCAAGAGCTGCGGAGGCTGCACACTCGCTGCTCAACCCCAATTGTGCGCGAGAGACCGACCTTTGCGGAAGCGGTAGAAGAGCTGCAGGCCCATCACCGTGAGTGAGCGTCAGTGAGGTGGACCGACAAATGTGTCTGTCTGCCTTGCCTCTCGTTTATCAAGGTGGTAGGCGTGTACACGACTTCAACACGACCCAGTCGAGAGGTGCGAGGAATTGTTCGAGATGACACCCATTGGGGTCCATATCAGGCGGGCATCGAGTCTCTGATGGATGTGCAGGGCGACAATAGAACAAAAAGAAACGACAGCGACCATAGAAGGTAGACCTATAGAGCGACATAAAGACCACGGCATGAACCTAGACGTTGGTTGCTAAGCGTGGCGTGTGGGAGTAATGTCACACACGAGTTTTTGGTTTGTTGGTCACCACGGCCGGCCATGCCCGCCATCTCCAACTCGACATTACCTGCATATCTCCCTAGGTGCTTTCAAGTAATTATACGGAGAATCGAGAAACTCTGGAGTATGCCAGAGAAGGATCACAGACGTAGCCGTCCAACGAACGGGCCTCTTCTCTCTCCTCTTCCTCGCAGTCCCGCTCCCCCCCCTCCGTTGACGGACCCACTTCCCTCCCGGATGAGAGCCGATTCGAGAGTAGTTGCGAAAACAACAGCTGCATGCGGGTGCGGGTCTCCACGGAGGCAGGGTCTCTTGGAGGTACCTACAGTAAGCAGCCTTATGTGCTCCATGCCACCCTCACCATCCTTGGACGCTCAAATACATACCACACACCCACCCTCCACCAACATCGCAGGATTGACGTGCTTCGCTCTTATTTCTGACTGCCTCCTGCCCATGTCGTCACTTTCAGCGGACAACTGCTCTTTTGCTGTTGATTGCCCTCGCCCGTCCCTTCAACGCCTATCCCGGTGACCTAGTAAGAGAAACAAGAACAGCAACAGGTTCCTTATCCACGGCATCTTTTGGATCATATCGCAACCGTTGCACATCCCCGTCCCGGGCTATCGTCCAGGCGAGGTGGAATGCTGCAGCCCCACGAACGCCAGCAGGCCCAAGGTTCGGATCAATCCCCAGAAAGCAAGCCTTCCTTGCCCCCACCGCCATTTCCGTCCATTTCCACCGGCATGTTTCCCTTCGACGTGAGCGCCATCCCTACGCTACCCACCCGCAAGGGTCTGCTGCTAGTCGACTTCCAAAACGACTTCCTGTCCGCCGATGGCGTCCTTCCCGTCATTGACCATGACGACCTTGTTGCTCGGACCGTTGACCTGGTCAAGGCTTTCCGCAAGGTCGGCGACATCATCTGGGTGTGCACCGAGTTCGACAAGTTCCGCTCTGCCGCCGCCGAGCCCATCTGGGCCACTGATGCATTGCCGAAGCCCAAGGTCATGGAGTCGCGCACGCGGAGGAGACCTCAGCTTACCTCTGCAATCCCAGAGCCTGAAGAGGCCTCGGACGCAGACCCCGAGGCCTTCCTCAGCCAGCCCGGTCCTGAGATTGTTCGCTCCGCAACCCGCGGCGCTGCTTTCCCCGAAGCCATCAAAGCAGCCATCGGCAAGAGGGACGTCACCTTCATCAAGTCTCATTACTCGGCCTTCACTTCTGGTCAGCTATTGCAGACCTTGCGCGTCAAGTTTGTGCATGAGCTCTACATCTGTGGCTCCCTCGCCAACATTGGTGTTTACGCCACTGCCATGGATGCTGCCAAGTTCGGGTACTCCATCACTGTGGTTGAGAACTGCTGCGGCTTTCGTTCCGATCTTCGCCAGACCAGTGCCATGCAGAGCCTCGTCGACGTGACCGGCTGCGAGGTCGACGATAGTGAGACCATCATTGAAAAGCTGCAGCCCAGGACCACCCGGGAGCCCGCCTCATCGCCACCCGTTGTACCCAAAAGGGTCGCCGAGGCTGGCGATGGCAAGGCGTCTCCCGTGCCTGATGCTTACAAGCTGAAGATCGAGCATCAGATGGCCAGACTTTCACTGGATAACCCGGTAAGTGGGCCTTCGAGCTCGCGGTCCGGCAATGCTGCGGGCCATCATGACTGTGCAACTGTGTCCGATCCCTTGGAGGTTGACCCGGCCGCACAGCCACCGAAAGCGACCGCGCGTGACTCATCCGACAAAGTGATGTCAAGAAAACCGTCGGGCGAAGGGGGGCCAGAGTCTAGCTCGGCTACGAAACCGGAGAGAGATGACATAAAGGAACCCCAAATCCTCAAGTCAGCCGTCGACGAGAGGACGTCCTCTGCATCCGACCTTGAGCTCGAGCCCGACTCGACATCTGACGCCAAGACTGAAACCAAGCCAGAGTTGAAGCTGGAACCGGGGAAAGAACCGGAGTCCAAGCTGGAGACAAGCGAGCCAGACGCGAGACCTGGCCGGGCAGAAGACCAGGCAAGCATGGATGAAGAAGCCAATGTAAAGGACCCCTCCCCGCAGACCACCGAGCCTCTCTGCGAGGGCGACACGACCGTCATCTATAACGTTCTACCAGCCCCCTTGGCCGAGGACATCTTTGAGAAAGTGAGAGACGAGGTTCTCTGGCAGAGAATGTCCCATCAGGGCGGCGAGGTTCCCCGGCTGGTTGCCGTCCAAGGCGAGGTGGCAGATGATGGAAGTGCGCCGGTTTACCGGCACCCGTCCGACGAGTCGCCGCCTCTGCTTCCTTTCTCGCCGATGGTACAGAAGATCAAGGCCGAGGTCGAAAAGCAGCTCGGCCACCCGCTGAACCACGCCTTGATCCAGTTCTACCGCAATGGCACCGACTATATCTCCGAGCACAGCGACAAGACTCTGGATATCGTCAAGGGGTCGTACATTGCCAACGTCAGCTTGGGAGCCGAGCGGACCATGGTGCTCAGAACCAAGAGGCGGGATAAGGATCCGTCCAGCACTGAAGTGCCGTCAGGGGAGGACTCAAAGCAGCGCAAGACCTCTCGCGCGAGGTTGCCGCATAACTCTCTGTGCCGCATGGGCCTGGTGACCAACATGCGTTGGCTGCACGCCATCCGACAGGACAAGAGAGCGGACCGGGATAAGACCGCCCCGGAGCTGGCCTTCTCCGGCGGGCGTATCTCCCTCACTTTCAGGCAGATTGGCACGTTCTTAAATCGGGATAGCACCTTGATCTGGGGCCAGGGTGCCACCGGCAAGACGAGGGAGGAGGCCCACGCAGTCATCAACGGGCAGACCCCCGAGGCCGTGAGGATGCTTCAGGCCTTTGGCACGGAGAACCACTCGACCGAGTTCGAATGGGACAAGTACTACGGCAAGGGCTTCGATGTACTTCACATGAGCAACTCCCCTCGTCTCTGTGCCTCGTCCGATCCCGTTGTCAACATGCGCATCGCCCTGATGCTGGCTGAATACGGCATCACCTACTCCAAAGGTAGCATGTCACCGTCGTTCGACTGGAAGGGGGGTGACCCGAGCGCCGAGGACGCCCCCGCCATACCCGAGTCCTTGCCAATCAGGTTCGTCGACAATGACGCGGCCAAGTCGACGGTGCAGGGCGAGCTGGCCATCATGCTGTATCTTGACGCAGTTCACGCTCCAGGCAGGGCCGACGCGGCAGCCAGATCACAGGCCGACACCGCACGGGTTTTTACACGTTTCCAGCAAGGGCTTTCTCTTCTCGACAAGTGGCGGCGACTGCCAGAATTCGATGGTGGGAAGGAAGAGGGGAAGGCGAGGGAGGAGAAGGCGAAGGAGGAGAAGGCGGAGGAGAGGGTGAAGGAGGAGAAGGGGAAGGAGGAGAAGGGGAAGGAAGAGAAAGAGAAGAAGAAGACGACGAGGCGCAACCTCGGGCCCCTGAGGCGGGAGCTGGCCATCTGGGAGGGGTACGCGGCCGAAGCGGACCTCATCGCAGGGCCAAGCATCTCATTGGCGGACTTTGCCGTCTGGCCGGTGCTGCACGCCATCGTCGAGGAATCCGGCGTCGAAGCGTTGGGCGCGAACAAAAAGCTGAGGGAGTACTACGAGAAGGTCAAGGCCAGGGAGTCCGCTGTCAAGGTGCGCGGCGCAAACCAGCCCGACAGCGTGGATGCCAAGCAGGCTTGAATCTCGGGAGACGCCCTTAACTGTGTGATGTGAGGGCGACTATTTGGAGGTGGTTCAAAGGCGAAAGCGGAAGACAGCGACGGAATGGTGGGGAAGAAACTTGGAGCGACAAAATAGGTGTTTTTTGTTACTTGGGATAAGGGTTATTATTTTTGATACCTTTTGAATAGCTAAAAGCTTTTCTTTGTGGCTAGCACGGCATATTTCTGATCTATGTGGAGATGCAAGCAAGCGCTGTGAAGAATTTGATATTTCCCTATCTCATTGAGGATGGCCAGGCTTTTGTCTTGGATGGTACGCAGATGTGTACGCACACATTGGCCTCCCGGATAATGCATGCATGATGAGACTTGGAAAGAGTCCGCGATCGTTATATGAAAATTGCAACAGGAAGCCGAGAGGATCTAGGCACAAACCGCTCTCGCACAACCTCGTAACCCAAAGGCCCCTTTAAACGCCGTGAAGGGCCAGAACCCTGGCCTGGTGCCCCCCTCCCCGAGGATTGTTCCATTGTCCGTCCATTCCTCATAGTACTCCATAACTCTCTACTGTTCAAGACGAGTGGATATCCCAAGGCAGCGGGTAGGTGCCCACCCAGTCGGCCACCTCGGACCGCAGCTGGACAATCTCAGGGTCATTTTCCCCGTCACCAAGATGTTCCATGTAGTGTCTCAGCAGACCGGGCTTCTTCTCCCCCTTCTCCTCGGCCGCCTTCTTGGCGCTCTTGTTAATCCGGATAGCAATGGTGACAGCGCGGTCGATGATGTCGGCCACGCGACCAAAGTCCTCCTCGTTAAACCCTCTTGTCGTCATGGCAGGCGTACCAATGCGCAGTCCACCGGGCACCAACGCCGACTTGTCGCCAGGAACCGTGTTCTTGTTGGCGGCAACGCCGACGAGCTCCAGTACCCTTTCGACACGGCTACCGTCGATGCCCTGGGGCTTCAGGTCCACCAGGATAAGGTGGTTGTCGGTGCCGCCTGACACGATGCTGTATCCCAAGCCTCCCTTCTCCTTGGACGCACCCAGTCTCTGGGAGAGAGCCTTGGCATTGGCCAGAACCTGAGCCTGGTAGGCGCGGAACTCGGGAGCCTGAGCCTGCTTCAAAGCGACGGCCAAGGCGGTGATTGTGTGATTGTGAGGACCTCCCTGGTGGCCGGGGAAAACGGAGGCGTTGATGGGACCCTCGAGGTTATACATCTCGTCCTCCTTTTTGGCGTTCTGCCGGCGTACGCCCTTGCGGAAGAAGATCATGGCGCCACGGGGTCCTCGCAAGCTCTTGTGGCTGGTGGTCGTAACGATATCGGCGTAGGCAAAGGGGCCGGGCATAACCTTGGCAGCAACCAGACCCGAGATGTGAGCCATGTCGGCCAGGAGATAGGCGTTGGTCTTGTCGCAAATCTCGCGCATGCGCTTGTAGTCTATCAACCTGCTGTAGGCGCTAGCTCCAGCGACAATCACCTTGGGTCTGTAGAGCATGGCCAACTCCTCCAGCTTGTTGTAGTCAATCTGGCCGGTGGTCTCATCAAGCCTGTAGGGGACCGTCTCAAAGTACTTGGAGATGGCGGAGATCTTCTTGGTCGGTGTCTGGTAGCCGTGCGACAAGTGCCCGCCGTGGGGGAGGTCCAGGCCCATGAGGCGGTCGTGAGTGTCCATCAGGGCAGAGTAGACATACAAGTTGGCCGGGGCACCAGACAGAGCTGCATCAGGAATTAGAGACGGTCCACGGACGCGACTGCTTGCAAGGCAGTCGGAGTGGAGGGAGGCGCACCTTGTACGTTGACACCCCATTGCTTCGCATCGAGGCCAAACGTTTCCAGAGCTCGCTGCTGGCAGAGACGCTCTGACTGATCGATGAACTCGTTTCCGCCATAGTATCTTGCGCCGGGGTAGCCCTCTGAGTACTTGTCTAGCCAACCATGTTAGCAGAAATCCCCGGGGTCAAGGATGGCTGGCGGGAGAAAGGCCTACTTTGCATAACACTGCCCAAAGCATCGAGAACGGCCTGTGAGGTAAAGTTCTCGGAGGGGATGAGATTGATAAAATGCTTCTGTCTTGTTTTCTCCTACAAGCCGCGCAGGTAAGCAAATGCACCAGGTTCGGGAGGTGTCGGCATTGCGCAACATGGAATAACAGCATGGTTGAGGTTATCGTCTGGTTGGTGGCAGCAGTATCGGCCCAGGTGGATTCGTACCTTTTCAATGATGTCGTAGACGGCGGGATCGGCCTGTTGAAGATTGGCAGACAGGAGCTGGAGTTGGCAGAGTCAGCAAAGCTAAAGAGATATCGTCCGGGAAGCAATTGAGCAGTGATGCGCACCCGTTGTTGGCCCTCCAAGCTGTTTGTTGAGATCAACCTCGTCACGCCACCTGCACGGGCGCAGGGTAGAGCTGCCGCCCTCGGCAAGCAACGGACTGCACGAGTTGTGCTTCGAAATACTGGAAGAGACATGGCGACTGGTGTGACAACAGGCCTGTGAAGAATGGATGGGTCAATCGATCGATTCAAACAATCTGGTGGTCGTCGCTATAAGGGTTGATAGAGAGAAGGTCCCGAGTTGTTCGGTCCGAGATATTTGGTGACGGTTTGGGATGGAGCATCACATACTTTACCACAAGAGACGGAGCTTATAACCACGAACGGACTGAGTACCTTGGATTACCTTACCCCAGCTACAAGCGGCAGGCGTGCACCGGCGATGGTGGTGGTGGGGGAGGGGAGGCGGTACATAAAGAGCGGATCGTTGCTGTTAGCTAGCGGAATCTGACCCGAGAGAGCAGAGCGGTGCAGCGACCGAGCTGCTCTAGCCGCGCTGTAAACGGCGGTCTCGGCTCAACTCCCGACCTAGGTACCTACTATAGGTAAGTAAGTAGGTACCTACACTAGTGCAGTAGGCACTGCCTACCTCCTAGGATGCCTGTCCTGTCCCCCATGCTATCATCGTCTTATCTTCTTATCGTTTTGACGTATCATCCAAGAATGTTTGGACACAGCTGGCTGTCTTGATTAGGTACCTACCTAAGAAACCAAGTCGTAAATTGGCTGCCTCAGGTGTATAGGCATGGGCCCTCGCCCTCGGCACGCTCCCGCAGCTCCACCACCGCCCAAGCCGAGTCCTTTTTCAAGGCCACGTCGGGGTCAAATTTTCCCTTCTTTTTTCTCTTCTTCTCCTCTTTACACAACTAAATTGGAGATGACGAGCACGCTTTCTTCTCATTATTAGCTCTTCCGCTTCGGCGGGTGCATGATGATATGTCCTGGCACCCTCACCACCTTTAGAGGGACAATTTGAAACAATCTGATCCAATCCGTGGTTGTGCTTACTTCATTTCTCTTTTCATCTGCTCGCATGGGAGCGGAACCATCACCAGGCGATAATGCAATTCTTCCGACCTCTTTCAAGTAGTAGGGGAGTACCGTTGGCTGTCGACATGGTCAAGCCATGTCAAGACGATGAGAGAACTGGGCAAGTGCCAGGAGGTGTCTTGCGACACAAAATATTGTTGAATGACGCCTCGGATGAGTGCGAATGCTGTGCTGAAGCTGTGTGTGCGTGTGTCGAATAACTGTTTTCTTTCAAAGCCACCCCGGTTCGTCACTCTCAGTCTGCGAGTGTGGCTTCGAGAGTTCGTGGGTCGGCCCTTGGGCCACAAAAGATGAGCACTTCTTGCGTGACCCCCCGGCTCGCCCTAACATAACCCGAATGCCAGGATAGTGCCATTAAACAAGGGACAAAATGATGATAATTAAGACGATTATACTGGACTCATAGTTGTTGGATTCCAACCAGAGGCAGCTCGACATGTGACAGTCAAACTCGCAGTGCTTGGTCTATACGGGCGTCGAAAAGCAATGCATGACGCTTACAATCGCCACCTGTCACCGCCGTCCTTGTCCGACGCTGTGAGAATATCAACATTAAGGGGGCGGGGGGGAGATCTCCTGCTGCTGGTGTTGTTGTGTGCGGGTTAACTATCCTCGGACATTGCCATGAAATCGTCACACATTTAGAAGTCTTGGTCATGATGAACGAAGAAAGAACCGTGTAAGAATTGCTGCTGCTCATTTTTCGTGCCCGTAATTTGCCATGTCATCGATTTCCATTTTTCAATGCTACATGCCAAAGCCCTGCTGCGACAATAGGGACAGTAGGACGTAAAAAAAGAAGACCCAACCCGATGACTCCGAATGCAGCCGCCTAAGGACCGAGATCGATCGTGATCATCTATTTGGCCTCCTCCTCGCCCTCGCCCATCAGGGCGTTCCTCTTCGCCGCCACTCTCTCCAACTTGCGCTCGCGAGCGGCCTTGGTCTTCGCACGCTTGGCGTCCATCTCGTCCTTGAGGGCCTTCTCGCGGGCCTTCTCGGCCTTGGCACGGTGAATCTGTGGAAACCCTCGCGTCAGCCCACCACTCTACTCCATGCTCATGCTGCTGTTCCTGCAGCGGCCACAAGTCAAGGGGGGTATGACTTACGTGCTCAACGAGAGCACGCTTGTGCTTGAAGGCGTTACCCTTGCTGGAGTGGTAAAGCTCGTGGTACAGGTGCTTGTCGATCTTGCCAGAGGCACGGTACTTGACCAGGAGGCGGCGGAGGACACGGAGGCGGCGCATCCAGAGGACTTGGCTTCATCGGGAGTCAGCACGATGTATTTCCACCATGGTCATCAGGTCGGCCTGTCAATCGGGGGTTTTCTTGTCGGCATGTCCGTCGGGACACACGGAAAACCCTAAATGACAGGCCGACCATCGGGATCGGCGTTGACGAACCTGGGCATGCGAGCCTCGGCGGTACCCTTGCGCTTACCGAAGCCACGGTGACGACCGATGCGGCGGGCGAGGTTCAGCTCGCGAGCGCGGGATCTCGAGTGCATGGTAACGGGCTTGCGGATGATGAGGCCATCGGAGACGAGCTTGCGGATGGTCTGGCGAGAGTTTGCGTTGGAGATCTCGTTGACCTCGTTGGGGTCGAGCCAGATCTTGCGCTGGCCGCAGCCAATGACCGACGCGGCCAGGCGCTTCTGAGTTCGCAGATTGACCCTGCAGAGGAAGCACTCGTATCAGCCATTGTTTCCCATCATCAAGTAGAAAAGTGGCCATCGGCCGTTTCCCTCTTCCAACGCCAAACGCCGCCGTTGAGTCTTCAATTGGGTGCCCCCTCCCCTCTCCGCGTGCACCTGGGGGTCGTGGCGCCCATCAAATCGGCGTGCCGGGCGCAGAGAAAACGACGCAAATCGCATTGGGATCGGTATGGGATGTGTTCTGGTGTTCGGATCGTGATAACTTACATCTTGAATGCTGTCCTAGTCGATGGTCGTACCTACCGGGGGAGTCGAGGTGTTGAAATTTCGAGAGGGGTGGACAGGAGGCCAATTTTCAGAAAGGTGAAGTGTGAGCAAACTCGGGGTTTGCTTCAGTTGTGGGCGAAGTGGGGCGATGGGTAAGCGAGCCCGGGAAAAAAAATCAAAACACCTTTTGGCGTCTGCAGACCACGTGACTGAGGCGACACAGGCCCTTTTGGCTACTTGAGGCCTGTGCACTTGTACCCGGTCAGGTAGTAATATAGGTAGGTAGTGTAGGCTGGTAGGTAGGTAGGTAGGTAAGTAGGTAAGTATCTGTAGTTCTTCCGTTGGCCTTCGTAGTGAGCATCTCGCTGAAGCCATCTCTGCTTTGCTTCAATCCGATATCTATCAATACTAGGCCATGCCAGAAAACGGACATACCTAATGACGTTCAACGCTTCACTGAGCGGTATGGCGACCATTTTGTCGGCGTAAGATTGAAACTGACGTACTTCGCCCTTACCCCCTCAGGGAAGAAGAAGGCAGAAATGAGAAGGGGGTGTTAGGGGCGTAAAAACCCGTGATCCAATCATCTTCCTCTTCATGTGTCTATTTATCTTTGTTTTATATGTGCCTAGGTAGGTAGGGAGCAGCAAAGCATCACCTCACTGGTTAATATTCTGGCCACAACAGACAGAAATCATGTCAAACTTTTGTAAACTCAAATCAACTTTCCAGACATACATATCTTTGTATCCGCCATCTACTTGCCAAACACGTCCTCGCCCACATCAACCTTGCCCACGCTCCAAATCTCCTTTTCGTCCTCAGCTTCGTCGTTTGACAGACCCAGGCCTCCCTGGCCGCCCTCTGCCTCTTTCCGCTCGCGCGCCTGTGCACCAAGACGCATCGCCACGCGCTTGAAGTAATCCTGCATGCTCCTCTTGGTGTTTGGTGGCAGGTTGGCGCTTTCGACGTACTTATCAAAGACTCTCGCCTCATCGTCGACCACGTTGAAGAGGGCTACAAAGGCAGCTTCCGCCGCCAGCTTGACAGGGATGACCGGGTCTCTGACACTGGCAAAGATGGGGCCCGCAAGCGCGGCAACGTGTGGCCTCACCATGTCCATGTTTACGCGGCTCAAGGTCCGGACGATGACCAAGGCCAGTCGGCGGGAGTCGACCGAGTTTCCTGGTTGAATGACGTTGGCGAGTGCTTCAAACAGCTTCTTGTTTGTTTCAAAACTCTTGGGTGACTCTGAAAGGAGGAATTTGCCCGTGGCCAGGATGACATTGTCGGCGATATATGGCTGCGTGCCCACGTTAGCTATGTGCGTGCGATCCTTGCTTCTACACCGAAACGGCAGTACTTACGTTCTTGTTCGACATGCCCTGGCCGAGGATGTCGGGCAAGTCGTCTACTAGAGGGCTCTCCAGGAGACTCTGCGGTGACTCGACGAGAACAGCGTTCAGCGCAAGCGCTGAGGAGTGGCTCCAGTGGCTGGTCACCACACGGTTCTTGAGCAGTCCATTGGCAGCCTCCTCGGGCACGTTCTTAATCAGCGCTCCGAGCAGCTTGGCATTCGTGATCGTCATGGCGTCGTCCCTCTCGTCGGTATCCATGTCAATGAGACCCAAGACCGCGGCCCGCGAGGCCTCGCCCATGTTCGCGCCGGCTTTGCTGATGACCTCGTAAAGCGCGCTGAGCATGGCTGTCTTGACTCCGGGGTCCGAAGTTTTGGAGCCCGTCACGAGTTCGGCGATCAGAGGATCGATACGCGGCGTGTACTTGATGAGGGTGCCCAAGGCCTTGGCTGCACGCGCTCTGAGAACCTCGCTTGACGGGTCGGCAAGGGACTTGGCGAATGTGCGCTGAAGCTGGGGCAAGAACGGCTTCAGAGCCGCAGGCATCTTCTCCAATAGATTGTTGAGAGTCAACAAAATGGCAGACTTGACGTCCGTAGACCTCTCGGAAACGACACGAATGAGTGGGCCAGTAATCTGTGTGACAAACGGCTTCAGTGAAGCCTCGCTTGTCCGGTCGACGATGTCGGAGATGGCCAGAGCTGCCTGTGTTCTCTGATCCGGAGTACCGTTCATGAGGCCCTGCAGGAAAATCGGCAGGATGGCGTTGATGCCCTTGGGAAGCTCGAAACCCGGCAGGTTTGCGCCGGGAACGCCAACCTGTTGCAGAGTTTGCCTGGTCGAGACAACCAAGCCCTCCATTTCCTCCTTCTTGAGCTTCTTCGTGAATTCGCTGAGCGCAGCCCAGGCTCCCTTGACAACGTCTGTGTCTCTGTCATCAAAAGAGATGAGAAGAGACCGGACGATGTCCTGGTTGTACCGCGAGTAGTCCACGTCGCCTGCGGCGAAGAACTTGCACAGGTGGCGGGCAGTGGCAGCGCGCCTGCGGTGGTCGTCATGCTTTGTGAGTTGGAGTAGAACATTCATGACTGTGTTTAGTCCGTCGTACTCGTCAATGGACAGAATGACAGTATCGAATGACTTCTCGAGGTCCTCTCTCAAAGCATCTTCTTCGCAGTTGATGATGTTGTCCATCAGGGAGGTGATGATATTGGGCAGCCGGCGGTTCATAGCAGCACCGGCCACCCTCGACAAGGACGCCAGAGCCTTGGCATTGAAGGCAGAGATGGGAGGGGTAATGAGCGTGGGGATAAGGTTGGGGAGGATAATGTTGGAGCGAGTTGTCTCGGTGAGGAGTGTGAGCAGGGCCGACAGGGCGTTGTCGGCGTTCTCGTCGGAGCGAAGGAGGTTGAGTAGATATGGGAGCACTTGATCCACTGCTTTCTTGCCCAGAATCTGTTGAAGTGAGTCGAACGCTTCTGCGGCAGCCTCTCTGACATCCGCATCCGAATCGGTAAGCGCTGTCCTGACGACAGAGATGAGCGTCTTTTCGTGGTCCTCGAGGGCTTCTTCTGATGCCGACGCAATGAGCTCCTTGAGGGCAAGGCAGATACCCTGCTTCGCGTCTGTGTCTGTAGATGTCTGCAATCCCTCCTCGAGCGTCGGCAGCAGAGTTGACAGGACGCCATCCCCTGCCTTGCGGATCAGCTCGCCGAGAGCATTGCTGGCAATAACCTTGTGCTCCATGTTGGAGCTGCCAAGGCGTCGGATGATGAGTTGAGTAAGAGTCGGCACCAGCTCCTTGAGAATGCGAGGGCTTGAGACCAAAGCCTTCCACACGGCGACGGCAGCGGACCGGACCGCATTGGCAGTGTCGCAGCGACAGACGTAGAGGGCCGACAGGATCTTGTTCCTCTTCTCTTCGCCAAGGACTTCGCGAAGGGAAGCACCGGCTTCTCGGGCGCTCTCCTCATCCTCCTCTTCGTCCTCTGTCTTGCCGGTGATACCCGTAAGGTTGAAGAGAAGGTCGCCGACGAGCTCGACTGAACTGAGTCGGATGCGGTAACTGTCATCGGCCAAGCCACGCTCAAGCTCGGGCAGCAGCAAATCGACAGCACGGACGGCAAAGTTCTTGACAAGCAGGCGACCGGCACGAAGGGCGGTCTCGCGAATGGATTCGACATCGTCGGCAAGGCCGGACAGAATGGGCGGGATGATTCTGCCCAAATAGTTTGCGAAGCTGTTGCCAAAGCAGACGGGAAGGAAAATGAAGAGGGACATGAAGCCCTCGCGAACCGCCGGCTTTGTGGACTCGACGTTTTGCAGAATGGTTGGGAGAGTCTCTTCGAGTCTGGCGGTGCCCAAGCCTGCGAGCACCTCGCTGAGAGCTTGTGCGGAGCCGAGGCGGTCTCCAGCGCCGTTGTCTGCCTTGAGTGTTTGCATGAGCCCTGGGATAAGATCGGGCAGCGCATCTTCTCCCAGTTTCTCCACCAGCGATCCCAGGGCCCTGGAAGCCGTAGCACGAGTCGTTGGAACCGGATCGACAATGGCCAGCTTGAGCCCTGCAACGAGGATTGGCAAGTGCGAAACAAGATCTTTGCGTTCAGTGAGATGGGCCAGACTGCCAATGACCTGCGCTGCCTTGCGCTTGGTGTTGGAACGGTCACCCAAGCCGCGCTGTAGAATTCTGGTGACCAGGGCCAAAGAGGGCGCATCTAGGTAGTGCACGAACTGAACCTTGATCAGGGCATCCAAGGCGTCGTCCGTGTACTTGGTAGGGTCGCTAAGCGCCTTGAGCAGGATGTCGACGAGGCCCTTGATCTCGGGGTTGTTAATAACCTCACCGAACCGCTTCAAACTCTTGTTGGCGGCGGAGCGAACCTCCTTGTGACTGTCGTTGAGGACACCTGTAAGAGGGGGAATGATATCCGGTAGACTCTGGGCCAGCTGGTTGGGATCCAGATAAGCCATGGCTCCCAGAAGGTCGCAGGCCCCCTTTTTACTGCGCCACTGATCATCGTCCAGACCGTTCAGCAGGGTGGGAAGAATCTTCTTAACACCGTATGAGCTCAGCTTGCCAAAGCAGGCCTTTGCCGCCGCAAGGCACGAGTCTCTGACGTTGGAATTGCTATCACCAAACCCAGTAAGCAGTTGCGGAACAATCTGAATGACGTATGGCTCGAAGAGACGGCCAAGGATGGTAGAGAGAAGCTCGTATGCAATCAGCGCTGCTTCTCTTTGGTTTGCTTCCTTCTTGTTCTCGATGGCTCCCCTAAGCGTCATCATGATACGCTGATCCTTGAGCGATGAAATGCCACGGCCTTGCACGAGTCCGGCCAGACCGTAGGCGGCACCTCGCTGCTCGGCATACATCTTGGATGTCAACAGTGTCTCGAGGACCTGGGCGAAATACTTCGACGATTTGTCTCCGTAGGCCTGCACCAACGGCGGCAGACATTCGGCAATGGCGTACTGCACAGTCTCCGAGGGGGTGCTCAAGGTCATCAGCAGGCGATCAATGACGACAGGGAGCTTGGAGTCGCCCGGGTTTAGATGGCGAGCGAGCGCGCCATACATGACGATGACGGCTTCATTGACACGGTCCGAGGCCTCCGTGTTCTTGTCGGATCCCTCGAGTGTGCGCTCAAACACCTTCATCAGCTTGTCAACCATGCTCTTGCCATGAAAATCAATAGCTCGAATAGCCGCGTCCAGCATCTCACTGCGGACGTTTGCGTTCTGGTCGCCCAGAGGTCCGTTCTCGATGAGGAACTCAAAGAAAGGATCGAGCTGCTGCTTTGCCATGTGGGGGGCCAGCTCCCTGAAAGCGGATGCGATGCCGTGCCGCGATTCCCATGGATCCGCCAAGTTGGTCTTCTTGGGCATGCCGTACTCGTCCAACTGAGGAACGCGAGGCTTGGCAAGCTCGGTGTAAGAAGACTTGAGAGACTCCAGGGTTGGCTCGAGGGTGGATTTGTGCGCACTGCAGGCCTCGGCCAGGGATCGTGCCGCAGCCCTTCGGAGCTGGCCATCAACGCTATCCAAGTAAGGGAGCATCTTGGCAGGAACCTGATCGGATAAAGAGAAGCCGCTCTCCTCCCAGATCTCGCGGCCAAGCTCCACGTTCTCCGCGACGTCGTCATGGCATGCCAGCCAGATCTCATCAGAAAATTCAAGGTCGCTCATGTCGACTTCTGAGCTGATGGCTAGCAATACTGCAGTTCTCACGCTGACCTGGGGAACGATAGCACCCTTGGCCAAAGACGCGATTTCCTCAAGAGTCATGTTGGGTGCGACACACCTACACATGTCGACAAAGCAGTCCTTGATGATCTTGTAATGCTGAGTGTACCGTTCCATGGACGAGACGAGTGAAGACATCACCTCCAGTCGAGGGGTTACCGGGTCTTCGCAAATATTCGTATGGAATGAAAGGAACTCGATGGCAAGGACAAGCTGTACATCTCGATCATCTGGGGAGGGCCCAAAGCCCCCGCTTTCAAGAACAGTGAAGACCAAGGGAAGAACGTAGATGAGAGACACGGTGTCGAAAGGACGCTGCTCTCCGGCAAAGCGCAACCGATAGAGTACCCTCGTCACGAGCTCGTCAACGGGCTCCTGTTTATATTCCTCGGGTATCGCAGTAACGTCTCGAGCTCGCAGGGTCGCCACTCCGACAAAGGGTCGCATGGAACCCAGACGACTGGTGATTCGGTCCGAGCAAGCCAGGTAGGCAAGCGGTGCAGCATCGCCTGTGAGAAGGCTAGCACCAGCATCGATGACGTCCAGGAGTGCTTTGACGGCGGGTCCCATCCAGAGGGAGGATTCGGTTGGAGGGCCAGTTGCGAGACTTTGAATAATACCAATGCCGCGCAGCAATCTTGCCTCGATGCGACGAACTTGCTCTCGAATATCAGCCTCCTTCTTGAGCTGGGCGTTGACCTTGGCTGCCTCTTCAGCCGTGAGCTTCTTCTGTTGACCCTTCTTCTGGGCCAACTGCGACCTCAACTCGGCTTCCCACTTCAAGATGTCGTAGTCCTTGTTGTTCTTGTCAGGCACCGTTGTCTGTGCCTTTTTCGCAAGGACATCCACGAAAGCGGTTCCTTCAGGGGTTCGGAAAATGGCAGCCTCCACGGGACCGATGGTGCGAAGCTCCTCAGGCTCTAGATCCTTTCGTATTATGTCGACAATCTTGCTGGTTATGGACTCGGGAGCCACGAAAGCCAGCTCAGCGGCGGCGTTGTAGGCAGCCTGCTTCACAAGAGCCGATTTTTGGTCGATCGAGGTTCTATCCGCGATTTCCTGGAGTAGTTTGCTCTCGGTTTGACGGGCCAACTCTCCTGGATCTCTCTCCACTCGCAAGCAGAGCTCGATCCAGCTGGCACGGGGCACTAGCTCCTGTCGAGCGAGAACAAGCAATGAGCACAGCTGCTTATCCACGAATTCTTGAACAGCGCGCTGTTCCTGGTCGCGCAGGACCTTGGGGTTGATGCATATCGCACGGAGAACCAAGTGGAGGTTCGTCTTGTCCGTCTTGGACAGGACTGCCGCGCTGTCCTTGTCACCGGTTTCCAGGGCCTCAAGCCAGTGCCAAACACCGTCAACGACAGCCTGGGAAACAAGGCTCGGTCTGGTGGCGTACATACGAGACAGGCCGTCCGTTGCGATCTGTCGAACCTTGGGCGTGGCTATCGAAGCAACGATGGCATAAATGAAGGCTTCAGCCCAGGCGACGGTGACAGGCTTGGGGGTTTTGTCCGTCAGGTGCTCTGCGGCGGCGCAGAGGGCCCGGCAGAACCAAACGAGTTCGTCATCTATAGTGATCTTGCCGTAGATACGAGGGTTCAGCAGGAAGGAAGGCTTGGGCTCGAGTGCGAGACACTGGCCCGAGACGGAGACCTTGGCGAGTGCTGACTTGACGGTCGAGGACACGTTGCTTTGCTGCGACAAAGAGGTGAGGGTGGTTACAATAAAGGCACCGACCGTTAGGTTGTTTTGAGCAGCAATCAAGGGATTGGCGACAACCTCATTGTAAGTATCTAGAAGCTTGGGCAGAACAGCATCGGCAAACTTGATTGCGGCTGAAGAGAGATCCCCAGAGTCAGCAGCCAAATTGAATATCTCTCCGACACGCAGGAGCCAGATACGGCGGGTTGGGAACTTCTTGTCAGAGATGCCCTTGACGCATGCGTCCACAATGGGCTTGGCTACTTCAACGTCGTTCTGTACCAGATAGGCAGTGGATCTCGCGAGCGCCAATGTCTCAACAGTGAGGGCAGCCTCATTTCCTTCCTTGGCCGAGACAGCTGCCAATGCAGTCGCAATCTTCTCGGCAATGGTCTTGGAGAGGGGGATGGACTCGAGCATCTCACAATGGAGAATCCTATGGTCAGCCGATGCCAGCTTTCCGCCTTTGACGGGCCCAACAATCTCTTCCGAGACCTTTTCCAGGGCCTTTTCGTCGCGGCTCTGGGCAGCCAGGACGGCGAAGGCCTTGACAGCACCGGTACGGGTAACGGCATTGCTTGACTTGACGTTAGAAAGGATGGGCTTCAGCAAGTTGCCCACCAGAACTTGGGAGAGATCGTAGTCCTTGGGAAGGGAGCGAATCAGGGGGATCAGGACGTCGCTAAGGACGATTTCAGGGGCTCTGAGAAGGCCCTTCTCGAGGGGCGGAACCAGTTCCTTTGTTAGCTCGTCGAGAGAGACGAAGTCGAGGAAGAAATCCTGCAGACCTGACGCCACGTGGTTGGGCAGAGCTGTCCGCGAACCAATAATTTCTCTGGTGTAGAAGGTGAAATACTGTGACTTTTGCGACTCGAGAGCCACCTTGACGACAGATGTTCTTGAGCTGACGCCAGCAATGATACCGAGAAGAGGAGCATTCTTGGCCGACGGCTGGGTGGACTTTGTCGTTAACAGCTGCACGGCGTCCTCGAGGGCCTTGTCGGGGTTCGGATGGGTAGAAAAGAGCTTGCGTAGCCCCCTGCGAGTGACGATGATGGCGGAATGAGCCATGCCGCCCTTGGCGACGGGCTGCAGGCACTTGTCCAGAGCATCAGCGTCGCTCAGAAGAATCTGAGAAGCCAGCTTATCCCATTCGGGTGTGTTTCCAAGGTGCTGCATAAGCAGACCACACCATTCGACCAGGACGAAGGCATTGCTAGCGGCGATTCCTGGTTTCTGCGACTCTGCACGCAGAGCGGCGACGAAGGCTGAGAGGACTTGGGGCTCGAGGCCCTTGGTCAGGAGGGCAGACAGGCATTTTTGAACAGCGAGTCGGGAAGGCCGGTCGGTGTAGAAGGCGTGCGTCCAGAAGAGCAGCTGGACGAGTCTGCGAACCCAGGCTGGGTCGGTGTCTGCGGCGAATGGTAACGGGGTTAGCACACAGGGCAAAAGAAGCAGGGACTGTTTGTGCGCCGCGGCTGCAGCTGCAGAAGCGACACACACACACACAGAGAGAGAGAGAGAGAGAGAGAGAGGGAGAGAGAGAGGTTCATACCGGTAGTGGATATCCTGTCCTCGAGTATGCGCAGGTGGGCTATTCTCGTGGCGGTGGAAGACGAAGTCAAGGCTGATCTGGTGGCTGCGAAGTCGAGAGCGACAGGGCCAGAGCTAGAGCCATTGGCGACGACTTCAGTCATTGTGGCGGGATTGGGGGCGGGCAGAAGATAGCATCGGGGGCAAGTCGGCCAGCTGTGCGGTCGACGAGCGGGGGAGAAGAGGGCGTCGTATACAGATCGTGGCTAGAGGCGAGACGGTTGATGTTGATGTTGGGGCCGGGGCCAAGGACGAAGAATCGTGTGTGGTGTAGTCGCCGTTCGCACAGTTTGCTGCGGATAAGCCAGGTAGGTATTACCTTGGAAGGGTACCCTGAAGTAGATGTTGATGGAGTTAAGGCTGCGCAGGCATGCAAGACAGCGTTGGGTCACTTGCTAGGTACTTCCACCGGGAGGATGTGTCGGCCTATAGGTACTCTATGGTGTTTACACCGTTTGAGGTGGCTCTTTTTTCTTTTCTTTTTTCCCCCTCCCTTTGTTTTCTGCCGGGGGAGGTGAGAATCGAGAGAATTGCGACATGTACTTGAGGTACTTACCTACTTACCTACCAACCTAGTTAAGGAGCTCCGGGGCTCAGGCTGCTGCTCTGCTGCGTTTTTGGGGGAAGCTCAATCGCGTACCATGACCAGCACAGCTGTGTACCTATGAGCAGTACTTTTGTCTGGGCCAGAGGGTACTTTGAGCACTAGGGCTGTGGCCTGGGGTCGTGCTTTGGAGGGGTCAAAACCCTCCTCATAAGGAAGGCGGTCAGGTCAGACACAGGTTCAGCTTCCTCATGGCGGGGCACCACTGTCGATTCACTCACTGGACACTGCGTTACAGTACCCAAGTGAGGTACATGTCTACCTACTGTGGTACGATGTAGGTACCTAGGGTAAGTAATGTTCAAGCACGAGGTATTCCTTCCTAGATACCTACTATGTACGGATACAGATAGTGCGGACAAACAAACAGTCTTTGACCTGAGCCCTTGGCCCATTGCCGGTCCGACTCAGAGGGGTGCTTTCCCTTGCTTATTTCTTTTTCCCAGGGACCACAGAAAACCTCCCCGACGATGAGAGATAGATAGGTAGGTAGGTTGGTAGATAGCAAGCTCCAACTACCTAGTTACCAAGGTACTGCCTTAGATACCCTAGGTTCCTAGGTAGGCACCTGTAGGATTTAGGAAATGCCATTGTCGACCCTCGCCTTCACTCACTTGCTTCGAGGCGCTTTGAGTCAGGTACCGAACCATGACCATAATAAGCCTCCGAGAGTGCAAATACACCACCTACGTATCCACACTACTACACAAGCCTGAGAGCCGAGCCCACTGTTGACATCACACTCACTGAGCAAAGTACCGCACCACTGGGCTCACTTCACCCACTCACCTCATTCTCATCACTCATCTGTTGCCACCACCCACCCTGCCTTACACGTACAATACACATTACTCATTCTCATCGCCTCTCACTCACCCTTGCTCCCGTCTGTTTTGTTCTGGGTCGAAAGGCCTTTGCTCACCCGCCCGGCTCCCATTCATTTCCATATCGCTCGCTCACTCAACCACAGGCGTGATAATACGGGGCACACAACTTCCGCCGCCTGCTCCCTGAACCATTCATTTTCTGCCCCCGTCTCCGCCTTTTGCCTCTCGGCTCGGCTCCCAGTTCTGTCCCTCCCGCGTCAACCAACCAGTGCACTACATTCTTCTGCCTTGTTTCCGGCCCTTCTCTTTTCACTTGTCTTGTTCGCCAGTCGCCCTCGTTTACCAAGAGCTTGCCTCGCCTTCTAGTCCACCGAGTCTTCGACTTGACACACTCACACATTCGGCTCTGACCTCACCGTCAGCGCCTAAATTTCCTCTTCTTTCTCACCCGCGTCCTTGTTACCACCTAACACCCCAACCGAGCCATGGCCGGGGCTAAGAAGAAGAAGAAGCCCGCCGCCAACCCGGCCAGAGGCTTCGCCACCACATCCGTTGCATCCTCCAAGCCTCGGACCGAGCCCGCTGAGGGTCCCGATAATGGCGCCGCTGTCCGCTCCGCCACCGCCGCGCCAAACGCCGTTTCGAACCAGGATGCCCCGCCCTCCGACCCTCAGTCTGCGTCTGCCGGTGCCGGTGACAAGGCTACCAAGGCCGAGCTGACCCCGGAGGAATTCGAGAAGCAGCTGGATGAATCTGAGTTGCAACTCTTGGTTGAAAAGTATGCCCAGAAGACTAAGCGAGACGCTCAACGCCAGCGCACGAGGCTCGAGACCGATCGCCGCCTGCTCAGAAGTCAAGCCGACACTGTCAATTCCAGAAAATGGCTGCCTCAGGAGCTTATGGACCAAGTTCTTGACCTGATCCAGGCCGAGAGTCGTTTCGCCTCCTCGAGCGTCTCCACCGAGACTGCTGTCAGCGGCAAGCTGTTACCGGAGGAGGACATGATCATTAAGCTTTGGACTCTGCAGCAGACCCTCACTGGCGTGGGCTTTCCTGAAGAGCGTGTGCAGGCCGTCATGCGCCACATCCTTGATATCGCCCCCAATATACCATCAACCGCCAAAGACAGCCTCTGGGGTCTCGAGGAAGCCCTCGACTGGATGGCCAGGGAGTGCCCGAGCGATGAGTTGCCTGATTACGAAGGCCGAGGCAAACAGGGAACCAGACAATTAGGTGAGACCAAGACATTTGTGCCGTGACAGCCGAAGCTAAACTGTTGCCCTTCTAGACACCCCGGCGGAGAGTCCTCTGCCTTCAGGGGCAACCACCCCCAGAGCCTCTGAGCCCGGCGGTCGCCAAAAGGGCGGACAAAGGTCCAAAAACGGTGGTTCTGCTACTTCCAAGAAGAAGACTGTTGTGACTTGTGACAGTGACATTGAGCCGGACGACCTGGTCCCAGTCTACCTTGTAACGAAGGCCAAGCTGTTCGAACTTGAGAGAAGCCAGCAAGGCAAGAAGAAGCAAAGGAACGGGGACTCTGGATCAGATGAAGGGGCCGAAACACTGGACAAGCTTCGCGCAAAGATTGACAGAATCGACAAGGATGTCTTGTTCGACAAGTTTGCTGCCGAGCAGCAGTGGAGGACACAGAAGGTGGCCTTGGAGAAGGAGATTGCAGCCGCCAGAAAGCAGAAGTCGCTTGAACAGGCTCAGAAAGAGGCAGAAAGGGATACAGAGGGGCCAGTCGCTTCTTCTGATGGGGACATCAACGACGAGGCTGAACGTATTGCCGCCGAGGTCCTTGCGCAGGGCGAGGACGACGAGGATGGCGGTCTCAGTGATCTATTCGCCAATCTGCCTGTCAGCGAGGTCGACGCCGCAGGCAAATCAAGCATCGTGTTGAACGGCGCAGATGGCGTGAAAATAACGATCCGGGACTTTGGCAAATGGACAGGCGTCAGTCCTATGCGAGCCTTGGAAGAGGCTTGCAGAGCGAGGTTCGTCAATGACACACTATATCCAGTCCTCCTGCTAACCTGACTCCAGAGACCCTGCCGTCAAGGTTACCTATCGCCTCATCTCCGAAGTACCGTTCGCCAATCGTCATGCTGTCTCCATCTCATGGTCCAGGTCTCAGGAGACACCGCCGCCGTCTCAGGACGACAGCGTGGAAGTAGGGACCTATCCATCCATCTTCAACTTCACCATGAAGTCCGTTGCCACCCCCGACAGTAAACAGTCGGAAGCTTACGTTGCGACTTGGGCTCTGTTCCACATCTTTGGCACCTCGGCTAAGGAAGAAAAGGTTGGGATGAGACTTCCCGTTGCCTGGCGTGATCTATGGGATGAACTGGCAGAGGCCCGAAAGAGCCAGCTTGACGCCAAGGATCGGGAGGCGATTCGAGAGCTGCGGGCTCTTGTACGTCAGAGACAGGATCAAGAACTTGAGGATGGCGTTATCCTTCAAAGCGCTTTCAAAGGGAGGGGTACAGCGCGCAATCAAAACGAAAAGGGAGACGAATCGTCTCAGGAGGCTGCCAAGCGACTCTCTGGCGGCCCCGAGTACTACCAGAACATTTGGGCCCAGAAGACCAACTCTCCCAGATACCAGGCTATGCTCCAGGGTCGCATGCAGCTTCCCATGTGGAACTTCAAGCAGCAGGTCACGGACGCTGTTGACAGAGAACAAGTCGTGATTGTGTGCGGAGAGACTGGGTGCGGGAAAAGCACGCAGGTACCAGCTTTTCTGCTCGAGCATCAACTGACCCAGGGCAAGCCGTGCAAGATCTACTGCACTGAGCCACGCCGAATCTCGGCCATTTCTTTGGCCCGCAGAGTCAGCGAAGAGCTTGGGGAGGGCCGAGGCGATTTGGGAACTTCTAGGTCTTTGGTGGGATACTCGATCCGCCTCGAGGCCAATACCTCCCGAGAGACGCGCCTGGTATTCGCAACCACGGGCATTGTCATGAGAATGCTGGAAGGCTCCAACGACCTGCGAGAGGTAACACATTTGGTTCTCGACGAGGTTCACGAGAGGTCCATCGACAGTGATTTTCTGCTCATCATTCTGAAGAAGCTCATGTTGAGACGCAAGGATTTGAAGGTGGTGCTCATGTCAGCCACGGTTGATGCCGAGCGGTTCTCCAAGTACCTTGGCGGAGCACCAGTTCTGACGGTCCCTGGTCGGACGTTTCCCGTTCAGGTTCGCTACTTGGAGGATGCCATCGAAACAACCGGCTACACCGTCGGCCAGGCCTCTCAGGAAAAGATGGTTGATCTCGACGACGATGTGGTCGAGACGGAAGTTGAAAGGCCCAAGTCTATTGCTGGGGCCGACCTTTCTGCCTATTCCGCCAAGACTAGGAACAGTCTGGCCCAAATGGATGAGTACCGGATTGACTTTGACTTGATCGTCCAGCTCATTGCTAAGATCGCTTCCGATTCCGAGTATGTGGCGTACAGCAAAGCGATTCTGGTATTTTTGCCCGGCATCGCCGAGATTCGAACCCTCAACGACCTCCTTTCCGGAGATCCTTCCTTTGCGCGCGATTGGCTCATTTACCCTCTCCATTCAACCATCGCAACTGAGGACCAGGAGGCCGCTTTTCTTGTTCCGCCCCCCGGGATGCGGAAGATCGTGTTGGCGACCAACATTGCGGAGACTGGCATTACCATCCCCGACGTGACTTGCGTCATCGACACGGGTAAGCATCGCGAAATGAGATTCGACGAACGAAGACAGCTTTCCCGACTCATCGACACCTTCATCTCCCGCGCCAACGCCAAGCAGCGGCGTGGACGTGCTGGACGTGTCCAGGATGGACTTTGCTTCCACTTGTTCACGAAGCACAGGCACGACACCATTATGAGCGACCAGCAGACTCCTGAGATGTTGCGTCTCTCACTCCAAGATCTGGCCATCCGAGTCAAGATTTGTAAGATCGGCGGCATCGAAGAGACACTGAGCGAGGCATTGGACCCCCCTTCGGCCAAGAACATCCGCCGCGCTGTAGATGCGCTCATTGACGTCCGGGCTCTGACCCCTGCCGAGGATCTGACGCCGCTTGGCAATCAACTTGCCAGACTGCCTTTGGACGTGTTCCTGGGCAAGTTGATCCTGATGGGTGCAATCTTCAAGTGCTTGGATATGGCCATCACCGTGGCAGCCATCCTCTCATCCAAGTCGCCCTTCACCGCACCGTTCGGACAGCGGGCACAGGCCGACCTTGTGCGCAAGGGTTTCCGTAGAGGCGACTCGGATCTACTGACTGTGTATAACGCGTATCTCTCATGGAAGCGCGTGTGCCAGTCGACCAGCGCATCCGGCGGCAAGGACTTTCAGTTTTGTCGAAAGAACTTCCTTAGCCAACAGACACTGGCCAACATCGAAGACCTCAAGGGCCAACTCCTAGTTTCGGTAGCAGATTCAGGGTTCCTCTTGCTAACTGATGACGAGAGGAGAGCCCTCAACCGGTTGCGGTATGGCGCCAACTCGAGAGGAAGACGCCATCAGAACTTTTTCGATATTCCTCAGCGCGTGAGTATCAACAGCGAGAACGATGCCATCACGACGGCAGTCGTTGCGTGGAGTTTCTATCCCAAGTTGCTGGTTCGCGACAACCTGGGAAGCCGGGGTTTGCGCAACGTCGGCAACAACCAGTCCATCAGCCTGCACCCGTCCTCAGTTAACAAGGGCCACAACGAGCTCAAGTGGCTATCTTATTACCACATCATGCAGTCAAAGAGGTAGGTAACATCCTGGTTGAGTACAACACCCACAGCACGCCTTGAACAGGACGCTAATTTCCATGAGAAGTGTTTACCACGCACACGAGACTTCAGCTGCCGACCCCTTTGCCATTGCTCTGCTGTGCGGCGATGTGCGAGCTGATGTAAGTCGCCCCCCCCCCCCCCCCCCTCCTTGGTACTCCAATGGCAACATTGCGCAATGCTGACATTGCTTCTCAGATGTTTTCTGGTGTCCTCGTCCTGGACGGCAACCGCTGCAGATTTGCCCTGCCCGACTGGAAGACGATGCTCGTCATCAAGGTCCTTCGCACCAGGCTTCGAGAGCTCCTTACCCGCTCTTTCAAGCAGCCAGGCAAGCTGCCGACAGCACAGCACGAGCGGTGGCTGGCGATCTGGCAAAAAATCTTCTCTCAGGAGGCGAACAAAGACAATGGCAATACGACCGTTAGCAAAGCATAGGTTGTGTGCGGCAGGTGAGGATCCCAAAGGTTTGCTGACGTTGATGGACAGGCCAGGGAACGACCTACCTCTTGTGCACACCCTGGGTGCCAGCCTTATGGCGCGTGGTCGGACTTCACATGCTGGCAGTCTGCATTTTGGCAAACTGCGCATGCAGAAAAGACCTTGATAGAACACAAAGCAAGTCCCTCGGAAATAGAGCAGACGAAAGAGTTCAGGAGTGGATATAAATCAGCAGAAGAGAAAGTGTCTATAGAATTGCGAGAGGCGAGGGCGGCGGCCAGTGAACAGAGTCAACTGGAATACAAGGCAGAGCTTTCAAAGGTGTTTTGCGCAATGGATGGAAAGGAGAGCAGGAAACGTGCTCCAGCTTGAGTCAGGGGCCGTCGATCTGTGACGTTCTAGAGCCTGGATTTGCCCTTTGTATTGCACAAATGAAAAGAGTGGCAATACAAACAGACGCGCACATGCATCCTCAAAGAGGTTCAGAGGGAGGCCAAAGAGGTTGGGAAACACGATTCACCTGCACATTAGACTATGCACGAGTAGGCATCGTAACAATTACATGGTTGGCCCACACCGAGGTGCTTGACTGCAATAGCTGCAAGTCGAGGTGGAGAAAGATGTGGCAGAGAGCTGGACCATTGGTATTAATCACCCTCCAAATACCGGTATGAGTGTTGAGGAATGTGTGCCAGGACCGTGGTAAAATCAAACAAACGCAGCAAGATACTCTCATATTTCCCATTTCCCATAAACGCCGCAATTAGTGATGGTTATGCCCAGCCTGGCCATTGCCATGCCTTCCCACATCCTCTTCCTCGGACGCATTAGTTGTTGTAGTAGTAGTTGTTGTTGTAGTAGCGGCGGCAGGGGCGGTAGCATTTGTAGTACCACCCAGAACTAGCGCCTTGAAGTCGGCGTTGCTCTTCATCGGTTTCCGAGCCTCCGTCTCCCCTCCAACGGCACCATTGACCTTGGCTACCGGTTGTGAAGCTGCGGCTGCTCCCGCGCTCACAGCCTTAGGCATGAAACCCAATCCTCGCTTGGCGCCGCCCTTACTGCCCAAGACCGGCCGCTTGACGGTCGTGGAGGGCGGAACGAAGACGCTACCACTGCCCATGTTCTTGGGAGCAGCGAGTTTGTCGCTCTGCTTCTTCCCACCGACACCGTAGACGATCCTTTCTGTGCGAATCTCCCCCTTGGAATGCTTGAGCTCCTCGACGGATCCCGTTCGAAGTTTCCGGCCGTCCAGGACGTAACCATCGAGCTGAAGCATTGCGCGGCCAGCACTCGGCTCATCTTCGAACTCGATCTTGGCGCCGCCATGACTGGGTTGCAGAACGAGGCTCTTGAAACCTCCAACCTTTTCCACAATCTCCTTGACCCGCGCATCGTTGACCGTGTCAGGGATGCCCAGGAGAGCGATGGTCCGCGAAGTGATCTCAGCCTGGCTGGGTCCAGCCTGGTGACCGCTGTCGCCATTACCATTGCTACCTGCCATTATTTCGTCTCCCTCCTCATCACGACTCGGCGCAGGAGAGGCGCCCTCTTTCGAGACGACCGCCGTCCTCTTGAAATTGCTGGGTGTGGAGATCTGCACAGTCATGATACTGCTGCGCAGCTTGGCCTTGTCGAGCTCAGAAACAGCAGTCTGTGCCTGCTCCTTGGTTTCCATCTCGACGTATGCCGCACCGTGACCTTTACCAGCCTTATTCCGCAGGATGCTGATGCGCTTGACGGTACCATATTTTGAAAAAGCTTTTTCGACGTCGTCCTCGACGGCCAAAGGGTCCAGGTTTGTGACATGCAGCTCGCGGCCTTCCTCTATCGCTCCTTCGCGTTTCTTCGCACGGGTTGGGTCGGAGTACATGGCCGACAGCTTGAACTTTCCATCGAGCACAGTTCCGTGTTTCTGTACGGCTTTTGCAGAGGCAGAGCGGTCGCGGAACGTGACGTAGCTGAATCGCCGACGAACATTACCCTTTAGACTAGGCATCCTAATACTCAGGATCTCTCCGCAGTCCTTGAACAGATTGCCGATGTATGTCTTGTCCGCCGTCGGCGGGTAGTTGGTGACATAGACGGTGAGATCAGTGCCGGGCTGCACGCTGATCTGGGCCGTCCCAAAGTATTTCCCGTCTCTGAGGAGTGCGGACCGCGCCTCCTCTGGGGTTTTGAACTCGACCATGACTGTCTGGGTTTTGTCTCGGGGGTCAATGGCCGGATCGGTGACGTCGACGATGTGGCCATACTCTTTGAAATACTGCCGTATCTTGGTTTTGGTTGTCTCAGCAGGGAGGTTGCTGACCAGCACCGAGGTATTTTCTCGGTCTCTTTTCAGACTTTGTTGCTTGAGCGCCGCCGTATCCGTTTCCGCGGCTTCGCTTTTTGGTCTCTTGCTGGACATCACATCGGCCACATCAGCTTCCTCTTCCCGCTTCCGTTTGGAGCTGGACGGCGAGTCGCCATCTACCGTTTGAACTGCATAGGCTGCTTGTGTTTCTTGGGCCTGGGCCGCGTAGTACTCTGCAGCTTGCGCCGCCTCTCTCTCTCGCCGCTTGGCCACTTCTTTACGGGTTTCATAAACCGTGTCAATGGCGATACGGACCGTGCTCGGGGGCTCGTAGTCATTACAGTGCTGCACATAGACGTCAATGATTCTCTCCGGCCAGTCCAAGGACTTCCTCTTAATGGCTCGTCCAAGCACGGCTGTGGCCACCGACGGGACTCTCAGCCCGGTGGCGGCAGTGGAAGGCGTAGGGCTGCGGTCCTTGCCGTTGGAAGCGAATATCATCATTTCCCACAAGTAGTAGCTGAGCCAGAAGTCGTAGCTGTCGGCATACAACTGTTTCTCTGCCAGCTTGTGCCATTCGCTCCTAGCCTCATCAACATTGCGTTTCTTCTCCGTAAGGTACTGGATATAGATACGTTCCAGACGGAAGTTGGGGTCTCCTCTGTAGCTGTCGCCGTAACGATGTTTGGCCTGGTCAACGAACTCGAGGGCAGCACGCAGTCCCATGTCGGCAATATCAACGTCCTCATCGGTAGCGTTCAGGTCCATGGCCTTGCGCTTGAGGAACCCGCACCAGGCAGCGTACATGTCGAGAAGTGCGGCCATGCCGTTCTTGTAGAGCTCTGGGTTGCTAGTGGCTTTGTGTTTTATCTGCTCGATTTCGTTGAAAGGGAGCCTGGCGTCTTCGGCCGTGAGAATGTAGCGCGACCAGATTGCACCCGACCAGGGGCAGTGGTCGACGGCCCGCCGCAAAACGTCCACCATGCCTTGCGGCGACTGCGCGTATGTGCCGGACGTGGATAGAAAGCGGACGTATTCGTTCCAGATGGTGTCGTCAAAGGCAAACACGCCGGTCAAGGCCCTGGCATAGAGACCTCGGCAGAGATCGCCAGTAGCCTCGGCCTGCTTATTGCTTCGCTTGCTCTGGGCGCACTCCCATTCGAGATAATCCTTGAGCAGATTGCGGTAGACGTCGTCTTTCCCGTCGCGGGAAGCCTGCTTCAGCTTCAACTCGAACATGTCGCGGTCCTCCGTCAGCTTCTTGGCCTCCTGCAATTTAGGGTTGGCGGTAACGCTCTGCATCGTCTCCTCCCAAGCAGCCTTATTATAGGTCGAGAGAAACTCGGAGAAAGCTTGCGCAGTGTTGTCGCGGGTGACGTGCGGAACCTGCAGGCGGTCGGTGTATAGGCAGGTGATGCGTCGGATGCCCTGGGCGGTGCGTGAGCGGGCGAGGAGGCCGCTCTCGAGAGAAATCCACTGATCCCACAACTCGTGACTGTCGCTGATGCGGTACTGGATAGCTTCGTAGGCCTGTTGCCATAGGCTGAGGGCGGCGTCGAGAGAAAAGAGCTCGCAGCCCATATGGCGTTCCTCGTCGGACCATCCCGACTCGTAGGACTGGCTAGCGACGTAGAGGGACCAAAAGTAGTCACAGTATGCGCGCCAGACGCGGACGCTGTTGGGTTCGGCCTCGACAGCAAGCTTGAACAGCTCAATGACGTGAACGCGCTTTTCCAGATCGTTGGCGTGCCGACTGTTCTCAGCCACGTAGTCGAGCCATTTGTCCTCCCCTACCGGCAGGGTCGCCATCTTGCAGAAATCGTGGGGTCGTCAACAGACGAACCATGGGAGGAGTGGTTGTCAGGTAAATGTGTGTCTTCGTTTTTATATCGGCGCCCTGACGTAGTGTGCAGGTGGATGGTTAAAGTCGAACAGCGTTTGTCTTGTCTTTTCTTCTTCTTTTTCTTTCTTTCTTGGTTGTATTGGAGATGGCGATGGTGGTAGTGGTGATGGCGGTGGTGGTGGATGGGTGGTAGGTGGCAGAGGGCGTGCGACGAGGGGACGCAGGCGTGGAGATTTTGTTGAAGAAAAGTAGAGCTTGGACGGTCGGGCGGGTAAGGTACAGGCAGAGAGAAAGAGAGCAGTAGGTACTTAGGTGTAGGACACAGAATGGAGCTCCGGAAGCTGGTGGAACCGGTGATAGCGACGGCGACCGGCTGATGTCGATGCAACGGTTCAGCGAAGCAATGGCTGGCCGAAGCGGTCGATTTTGAGCAACTGCAGTTGCGAAGATGAGGATCTCGCGACAACAAGGCGTTGCAGAAGTGAAGTCAGGCGCGGCGAGGCGAAATGCCGTTCTGCTCTTTCTTGTCACGTATTGTCTGGAGGGGGGAGGAACGTTGTACTGGAAAACAAAATAAAAATAAAAGCGGTCGACCGACGGGGCTGGATCGCGCCGAGAAGGTGTAGATAGGCGGAGGTAGCCAAAGGAAAAAAAAAATACGGCACAGGCACCAAACTAAAGCAGCAGGCACACAGTGACCAATGGGTGAAGTAAGCACGGATACCTTGCCTACCCGAGGGGGGATACCTTTAATACACACGTACGTACACTACCTAGGCAGCTAGGTAAGTAGGCACAGCGTACGTAAACCCAGGAAGCATCAATTGCTGCTGTTCAGGGCGGGTGCATAGTGGAAAGGCT